CCGACAAATAGCCCAACGGACGGGTTTCGCCAAATTCGCTGGGAAATTTGAGATCACTGACGTCATTTTCGGCGTTCTTAATAACGTCATTTGCTGGTTTTGTATTGTACTTGGTGGGATATTGCGTGTTAGTTTTTCAGTCTTTTTTTCTCATTTTTTCATCGAAAATTTAGTTTCCAATCGGGTATTTTAACGTTCTAGAAGAACAAGAGGGTGCTTTGAATTTTCTAAGGGAGACTTTTCAGCTGCCAGTTCGCCGGAAGCACGATTAGTACAGCTAGAAAGCGATTTTTCAACGTTTAGCTGGTCAAATTGAAATGAACACGTAGTTTATATATTTTTGAACCTTCTAAGATGGGGCCAAAGTCGCGAAATTCAAAAATTTCAAAAAGGTAAAATCCAACAAAAATCTCGGAAGTGCTAGGCTAGAAGATCAACTACATATTGGATTTTTTTGATTCATTTCTTACTTGAACTAGAACAATGAGCAATAGATAAAGGTAATTAAATAATGAAAAATAGTTCTTGATGCCTCCAGAAACGGTATTTTACACTGATCAGAAAAGAAACGCGTTTATCGTTCGAAGGTCGTCATATTTTCACAGAAATGCCTTACAATATTCAGCCGCCGGAAGTTGCGCAGAAACGTGTTCTTTCTTGTCCTTTTGGAAAACTCGGCCGTGGTTCTCTGGTCGGTGACGTCATTCTGTAGTGACACTGTCACGTTGTCATAAGTGGGCGGGGTCTAAATTGCCATAAATAGACGCGCGGCGGCTATTTTGCGGACTTGTCTTCATACCGTAATCTGTCTCTGATTTTCATATCTTTCTTAAATCCTCGCTGAAGCTGAGGAAATGAAGGCTTTTCGCAACATTTTTCGAAATTATAATTGCGTTTTCCTGAACGACATTTTCAAGAAGCCACTGCTCTGAATGAGGAAGTTGTCGTTCCTCCTACGTTATAAGTCCGGCTGCAACTCCGACTTTGGCTTTGCTTCTCATTCTCCCGTCGCGATTTGATTAAATTCTAAAGTTATTTTCCCGACTCGGCCGTTAAGAGATAAAAAAATACTCATTTTTTCGATTTTCCTTTATTGAGAGGTGTCCTTTTTATTCGAATTCCTTCACGCTAAACTGCCTCCGTCGATTCTTCATGGTGCTGTTCATTTCATCCACCGACTTCCTTTTCAACGCCTTTTTAGAAGAAAAAATAGACAAGTCGCTACGTAGTTCAAAGCGATAAATTTAGCTTTCATTCAAGTTTTCAAAAAAACATCAACTGGTTTTCATTCTTACAAATTTTTAAAAAATTTGAATTTTGAGTTAGAGCCTTATTAGACTTACTAGGAACTCATAAATCGTCCCTAGACGTCGGGTTCAAGGTGAATCTAAAGCCGACTTGGCCTCTCAAAAATTGGTCGGGCGCTCCTCAAATCAACCCCTCAGCAACCGTTAAGCTTTCAGCCGATCCACGTGCGATCGTAGACTTCCAGAAAGGAGTATAACTGTGAACTCAGAAGAGCAAACTAAAAAGGAATTTTTCAAAGAAAGCTCAAAGTGATAACCAGTCCCCAATGGCTGTTTTTCCTCTGAATCACATTGAGAATGACAAACGAGGCTCAACTGGACTTTCGCCGCCGTGCAAGCTGTCGTGGCTCATCTCTGCCACCAGACAGACTTCCCATAAGGAACGTCTCCAGATGTTTCCCCCAGGAATTCCAAAAAAGGCCTTTCCGACCACTTTTTCTTTTTTTCTGCATTCAAGACGTTTCTCGTCACGAGGGCCTCTAATGAAAAAGAACAACCCAAACGTGTTACTTTGCTTACGTCACAGTTTCAAAACATTCCGTTTTCGATAGGTCCTTCCGTTTTCCAACACACTTATCGCAATTACTCGGTGACAAAAAAACCGGGGGCGCGCAGTTGCAGTCGAAGCTCCGCCTCTTTTTGAAAATAGGCTCCGCCCCAGCGGACTCTAAAGGTCCGGCAAAAGGTTTGTTAATTCAAAAAACAGCCGTTCTTCTTTGGACTCACGCCTGCGCTTCTACCGAACCTCGTCCCAATCTTTTCTCTTCCAAACATTTTTAATCGGCACTCAGTCCGATTTCCGGAGTCTCTCTGTGGTTTTTCCAATTAACTCGGCTCAGATTGATGAGCTCGTGTCTCGTGCCAATGTCCTATTCTCGTTCACCTTTTTTTTATTGCTCTAAGGTTTCCTTTTTGACGCAAATATTTGTTCTCAAAGTATTTCGCTGCATCAGGATGTTCCTTAGAAGATCTAGGACCAGACGGTCCTCAAATTTCTGAAAGGCTTCCGAAAACAGTAGAAAGGCTTCAGCAAGCCTGGATTTCTGAGTATACACTCTGAAAGTTTAGGGCTTCTTGCTGTAAATTGGAAGTTGAAACGTTTGAACTGACGAAGCCCTTATAGTTTTCGAAAAAAGGGAAAATACATTATTCTTCACATTTTCTCGAAGCGTCAAGGTTACATTGCGGTCCGAATCGAGGTTGCAGCTGACTTGAAACGGATTTTTGCTTGGAACTGTGCTTTCTGATAGTCTTCTTGAGTCGTCTGCGCTTCAAAGAAGAACCATTCTGCATCAGAATCCAAGCTAGGGCGAGTTGAGTACAGACTAATGGGCTCGCGACAGGAAATTCCCATGTTTTTTTTTCCATTGACAGAAAAAACGACACATATGTGAAAAAGCAAACTTCATTAATCTTTTCGCAACAGCGACCGATCACAAGTCTCAAAAATTGTTTTAATGTTAATAGTTTTCTGATAATTACGTTCACCCCCTTTTTGAAAAAATAAAAAAAAATTTTTTTAAAATCTCAGAAGCTCTAAGAGTTGGAAAAGTTCAGTTATATACCAATGTTTGTCTCCAAAGAAAAAAAAAATTCATTTTTCACCTGTTTCCATTCAAAATTCATATTTTGTCAAAGTTAAACCTCCTTTGACGTCGACGGAAGCTAATTCAACCTATTTTGGGTGTATATAATGAATGGAATGAACCCAGAGCCCAACATTTTATTTGTTTCGCTTGGCCGCCGTTTTTCTTTCCTATTTTTGGTCATCCCGCCTTTGTTGCGTTCCATTGCATTACGAACGACGACGCCACGTGCTTCTTCTTTTTTATTCGCCCAATTTGGGGCTGACAAAGTGACATTTTCTCAGTTTGTTACAACTTGATGAGAGCGTAGTCTGTGCTTCGAGTGTACTTAGAAGAAAGAAGGGCGAATAAAGACGGAATTTGGAAAAGAATCGAACCGAAACTAGGACTCATGTCTCTTGACCATTCTTGATATTTTTACTCCTTTCACCACTAACCATTTCTAATCACTTCTTCACTAATCGGGTAAAACTCTCAATCAATATTTTCACAGAACTATATAGTCCAACTCCCAGCCTCTATATGTAGGGACCGCAGACCAATTTTCGAAAATTTTTTTTCAGCATTGAGCTTTGCATGGTTTGATAGCTGTTTCGATTCGAAACTCAGAACCGTTTAGTTTTTCGGAAAAGAATGAGGATGAAAAAAGTTATGACGAAAAATGTGGCGCGCCGCGCACCATTTTTTTAGTACTGAAATTTTGGTGTTATCCATTTTAGACATTTTTCTCGATTTTTCTTTTAGAACAAGTTTTGATACTGGTCTATTATGATGTAAGAAATCATAATAGAGCTCTATTATGATGAAAAATTAGCTAGTTTGCCGAAAAAAAGTCGGTATTTTCCAGAAAAACAAAAAAACTGACGCTTGCGGGTATCGAACTCGCGACCTCAAAATGAAAAAAATCGCAGCGCACGCGCTGCGCCAAGTTGTTAGGTCTGGCGAGGGGAACTTCCATCCGCCATAGCCTTGAGCCGTTTGAATAGCACAGATTGCCTATTTCAAAAAAATAAAAAAATTTGAAGTAATTCAGCTATTTTTTTATCAGAATATGTTCGCAAATCTTTACTCAAATTTTTCCGTGGAAATTCACTTCGAAAAAAACAGTTTTTTTCAGTGCTTTTTGCCTCGTTTAACGATCACTGCATTAAAACGGCCCCGTAAATTTTTTTGGCAAAGACGAATTTTTTTATTTTTATTCTTTTTAATTGAAAGATTTTTTTACTAATAAATGTATATAATCGTTTGAAAAAAACCTGCGTTCGACCGCTTTCTGTGTGATAAACGCCGCTAATTTTATTCTCTATTTTCAAGTGCATTTTTTTGCGTATTAAACAACTTTTTCCAGCACATATGCTGTGGAGAAAAAAATTTAAGTAAGCCTATGGTCTAACTTTTTGAAAAAAACAAAAAAACTCGATTATATTCGCTTATTAACGATATTTTGAATTATGACTTTCGGCACTCCCTAAAAATTTTTTTGGCAAAGACGAATTTTTTTTATTTTATTGTTTTAAAAATTACCGTTACTTGAATCAAAAATCATTATATAAAAAAAGAAAGAGTGCGTTCGACCTGAAAAACACATGAAAAAAAGCAAAAAAATGACAAAATTTTTTTAGTTCCATTCACGTTTTTGTACGACATTCCGCGAGAACGCATCAAAAAAAGCGTGAAATATTTTTTTAAAACGAAAGAGGAAGCTTTTTCTGTACATGTGTGTCAAATTTTATTCGCCAGTTCCACATATTTTGCAACTACAACAAAATGAAAGTTGAAAACCAAAAAAAAGCCACTTTTTCTATCGCGAAAAGGGGCGTGGCTTTGCGGTCCCTATCTATATGTGCCACGACTTGAAATTTCACCGAACGACATTCCGCTGTTCCGCTGCGTGCGTTCGCGAAGCGTCTCGAATCTAGATCTCGCTTTCAATTGATTGTTATCGCTGTGGAAAAAGAAAATTGCAAAAGAAAAAAAAAATTTAAAACGCGATCAAGGTTCGCAAAGGCGCGTAGCGGCACAGCACAGACTGTAAAATCTCGCGATTTTTCACACTCTTACTCATTTAACAACAAATATTCAAAACGCTTCAGTTTTCAGGTAAAACATGAGTCAGCAACTTTCGACGCTGCTCCGATTTCTCTTCCTACAGGTGGGAGTTTTCCGAGTTCAAGGGGAAAAAAAAAGAAGAATGACTGGATGACTCATAGTTAGGCGAGACTTCGCTGTAAGAAACTGGAAATCAAGCGTGACAAACTTTCCGGTTCCCACTAACATGAGCCATTCTCCCTGCGGCTACAAAACTCTTCCGGTGACTGAGGGAGAATGAATGAAATTGGAGCATAATAAAATGAAAATCCTTTTTGAAAATTGCTGACGTCTTCCAAAAACAAATTGTTTATCGTTTATTATTCTGTTCTACGTGACCCGGATGAACAATAAAAAAAGAAGAATAAAAAAAATGAGAGACTGAAATTTGACTCATGGGAAATTGTTGAAGAATAGGTCTAGTTTTACTTTGAAACGATTTTTTAGAAACAATTTTTCAGTGCGTTATGATAGCAGTGTGCTCGGCATACCCCTACATTCTCGTTCCACAAATGAACAGCAGGTTTGAAAGTTTCCTTTTGTTTTCCAAACGTCTTTATTGAAATGATCTTCCTATAGAATTTCAATTTGTCTGAGACAAGTTGCTCAGAAATAACCAATGCAAAAATGTCATAGCCTTGGATTAGAAACGATTCATTTTTGATGAAAAGTATTAAAAAGGGATATTTTCCACATGTTCTGTGTATTCATCGGAAATCTCCATATAAACCTCACAAAGCCGTCTGGAAGAATGAGTCAAAAAAGTGATGTCGGTCTTGAAAAAGAAGGAAGTTCCACATCTTCTTTACAGAAATCTGGCAAAAAGGTCTTTCGACCGTCTGGACAACAGCGCGTTTTCTTTCGGAACGAAAAGAGCCTTCGATCGGCTCGATGATAGTCCGTTTGGACTCGTCAAGAGGTCTCTCGTCAAACGGGCCTTCGACCGGTTTGTTTCCTTTTTTTCGTTTATAGAAAAACGGTAATATAATACTTCACTCGCCACTCTCTAGCTTGTCTGCGCTCTCTTTCCTTCACCCATGTCTTTTAATCATGAAGATAGAATAGGAAAATCGAGAGACGAAGAGGTGAAGCGGACTGTTCCAAGTCTCGGTGATATAGAAAAAAATATTGACTTAAAACACGGTTTTTTAGACATGAACAAAAGGTCCTTATGACAATTTAGTTACAAAAGGAAATGGGATTTATTATCTTCTTCGGTTTGTTCTCTGTCACCCTTCTCACCGATTCTGACAAAGGTGTAGCAGAACGCCTCTGAAAGGCCGATAGCCACAAAAATCCACCTGCCAGTCTGGTTTCACCTGCCATTCCAAAGCCCTTTAACTAACGTACTTTCAAATGGAAAAATCATCCACTTTCGCAAGAAATGGCAACGCGCGAAGCCCCACTACGAAGAGACCTTTCAATAAAGGACGGAAATAAGTGCACGAGTTGTTTTGGCGGAATTTCCTGGAACGAAACTCCTAACTAACGCTGTCATTTGCAGACTGGAGAACGCCGACTTCGGGTTGAGGCGGAAGCGCTCGTTCGACAGAATCACGAGGGCCGACTTTGATCTTCGAGTGAAGAGGGCCTTCGACAGACTCGGCGGCACCGAATTCGGACTGATGAAACGAAGTGTGCCAGAAGAAGACCCTATCAGAGGTCTGAAGACGTCGTCGAATTCTAAACAGGATCCGTTCTTGCAGATGAACTCGTCGACGAACTGACGCACTCCATCTCGGCTCTACGACAGGCACGTGCCGCCGACCAGCAGACGAGGACCGAAAAGGACGTCGTTCCCCTCGTCGTTTCCTACGAAGGCGACGAGTAGTTCACACACCCCGACCTCTTTTGAAACGCGAAACAATCAATAACGCAAAAACACGCAATTCATTTTTCTCTTTTTTGATTTATTTTTGACCCCAAAAAAAGTTCACTCCCACCTGAATTGGAAAAATGATAGGAGAAAAAATTGCACGTTTTTTGCGAAAAAGCTTGTTGCGCCAAAGTCCCACGTCCCTCTCTTTTTTTGTCATTTATGACGCTAAAACTAATCTGAACAAGTTTTGTATACAATTTAATGCGTGAAATTAGGTTTTTGAACTAGTCGTAAGCCCCGTGCCAACGGACCATTCTCTAAATTGTGATTGCCATTTTTCCAAACGCATCCCAGCATAACTCCGTGCCAATTCCATTCCACAACTAACTCTCAACTCGAGATTTTCGCTTCCAATTCGATCTCTTGATTGGTATTTGATCTCACCTAAAGTGTGTAATAATCCATATCCGCCAAGGTGTTACCACTCGCCTTCGGCTTCTTTCTTTTTCTTCGTAAATCGCACCAAATAAAGACCGCTCACCTTGTTGCCTACACTTTATATGGAGCATAACGGTTCAAATTGGTATTTCGCAAAGGGGAAGAGAAGATGAAATGCAATGGGAATTGAGTTAGCGGAATGCTTTTCGGGAATGAGTTCGCAGTACTTTCCACCCATTAACGCCATCCAATTCGTTGCTCTTCGAATAAAAGTACAACCAAGAGAAAAAGGTTGAATTATTTAATCTACTTGTTCAGCTGGAACTTCGAGATTATTAAGAACGGCTGGACCTCGAAAGAATGAATAAATAAATCTAATACAAGATGAATACAATTGAGAAGCAAAAACAAAAGAAAAAGCAATACATCAAACAGAAATGAACGTTTAAAAAAAGAGAAAACAATAACTTCACACCTTCCTTTTCTTCATGGCCGGCCGTTCGAAAACTGGTTTCGTTCCACCTGTAAGGAAATGATGAAGAAAGAAAAGAAAGAGGAACTGACCAGCTCTTTTGTTGTAGAACTGAGTGTTGAGGGTATTTTGAGAGGCCCAGACACCTTGATGTTCTGTGGTATCTTCCTCCGTCAAGTGCGTATACTTGGTCCGCGAAGCTTTTCCGAAGTTTTTGACCTAGAGAACCAAATAAATTGTATATGTAGAGGAAGAAGAAAGAACCCTATAAGATCAAGGAAACTTTAAAAATTAGTGCGGTTTTCACTGAAAACTGAACAGTACCATACTAGAAAAAGAGAAAACTCTTTAATAAGTTCAAAAACCAATTTCCTACAGCTGGAATTAGTTTTTGAAGATATTTACAAGATTGGTTATACCGATTAAAAAAATGTGACTCTTAAAAATAAATTATAGTATTTTTTTCTTGCAGCTTTTTGGGAATAGAAAAATTCTACCAGGTTTCCGATTACAATAATTAATGATAGGACAAATTTAAGAAGATTATTTTTTTGTTTGCGAAGCATTTCTGCTATAAAAACTTATGAACGGCGAATAGATTGCTAATTTTTTTCTTCTGAAAATCTCTCATTTTTTTAATTTGCTACTCACACGAGTAAAAAAACGTTGAACATAAAAATATTCCTCGCGCCGAGAGTCAATTGTTACCTGCATGACTTTAGGCAGGACAGTCTTGTCGAAAACGTCGTCGTTGGTGGCCTCGGCAAAGTTTCTCGTCAAGACCTCATCCTCCTCGTCCAGGAAGAAGGCACCCCGATGGAAGTACTTTTGCAGGAACTTGTACTTGCCTTTGTCTTGCTGAAGAGAATATCATGAGATCTGAATGAGAAGCCTCTCGTCAACTTTATTGGTGACGACGCGCGGATTGGCCTTCAAGTACTTCAGACGTTCCTCTTCGGTCATGTTGTGGATTTTCTCGAGTTCGGCCTTTTCCTTGGCGTATGCCTCCCGCTCATCTCTTTAAAAACATCATTTCAAACGAAAACATTTTTCTTCAATAAGTTACAATTTCTTTGAATCCTCAAGAGATCGTCTGACCTCATGTGGCTGGCTTATTTTGAAAAAGCGAAAAAATTAACGAATTGCTATTAAAAATTTCTTGCTACGTGTCTTTGCACCACCAAGTAATAGATATGGTTATGATTCGTTTTTTTTTATAGAAACTTTTTTTTTGCAACAAACCTGAAAATCTTTGAAACCCAGTATTTTTCAGTTAAGTTTTCCAGATAACACAGAATCAGAAACCTGTTTCGTTTGAGACGCTTCATCTCGCGGAGCTTCCACAACTCATAGGCCATGTTCTCACTCTCATCGTCAGTTGGCACAGAAGAGAGGTCGACTTTGTCCTCTTCTTTCCGTTTCTCCATTTCCTCCTCCTCGCGCAACACTTGTTCGACCAGCTGGAACCATTATTTTTAATATTTCTTTCAAGCTTCCAATTTTCATTTTTTTTTTACCTTGACGCTTTCTCGCTTTCTTTCCTCCATGCGTTTTTCTTCCTCCAGTTTGCGCATCTCCTCCAACTGTTTTTCCTTTTCCGCTTCTTGAAGGGTTATCCGGTCCTTCTTGCGGACGAATACCTGAGTATTCACTTCTGTAGGAAAACAAAGGAAAACGCACTGGTTTCAGTCTGGGCACCGGGTCGTCTTCGTCTTCAGATTCTTCTTCCTCGCTCGTCTCTTCTTCCTCCTCGTCATCCCCTTCTTCTTCTTCGCCCAACTCTTCCTTCACCTCTTTCTGAACTCGAAAATGATCAATTCGAAAACTTCAACAAGAAAACCTTGGAAGACAACTCGGCTTCGCGTTTGATCGCTTTCTCACGTAACAAACGCCGGCGACGTTCAAAGTCTTCCTCGTCACTTTGTTCATCTTCCTCTTGCTTCAAATAGTGGGATGAATGAACGATTTGTTCTTTTCAAACTGAACCTTTCTCATTTCGTTCTCCTCATTCAGCTCCATCCGCCGCATTCGAGCTCGTTGACGTCGTTCCTCGATTTTTCCCTCATCTTCGTCAGAATCGTCTTGGCGACCAAGAATCTTCAATCAAAGCATTCAACTTTATTTGAATTTCAGAAAAAAAAAACCTCGGGCTGTTCTACGACTCTACTAGGACCAGCACCACGGCTGGGTCCTTGACGGTCTTCTCGCCCTCTATTATCTCTCCTTCTAAAATTATTTTAAAAACTGTAAATTTTATCGTTATTTCATACCTGTCTTCCTCGTAATTATCCCTATCCCGTCTAGAATATCTGTCATCGTCACGTCCTCTGTGACGATCTCTGTCCCGTTTTCTGAATTCTTCTGATGATATTTATTTTAGAAATATCCCTAAAACCTATCATCGTCGCGATCTCTTCTCGTTCTTTCAAATTTTTCCTCTTTCTTCACCGGCTCATCATCTGATTCCTCATCAGAATCATTTGCAAAGTCAGGCCTGCAAATTGTTGTATCTAAAGAAAACCGCGGATCCATCTCACACTTTTCCGGCCACGTAACGCTGCACCTTGACTTTCTGCATGACGATCTGTCCTTTATCATTTTTTACTGGAATAGCGCCAAGCGTCGGTAAACGCGACGGACCAAAACTTCGAGCATCGCTCTCGCGCTGTTCAAAATGTGGCACGAAATCACCCATCCTGAAAAATATTGAAAGGTTGAAAAAACTATTTGAAATAATCGAAGTGTGTATAAAATTACAACTAAAACTTATTTCTTGTAACAGCCACACCATTATTTCCTCTAGCGAAACCAATAAAATAATTTCATGAATTTGAGCCCAAATTAGAAGTTGAAAGATAAAATTCCTTTTTTTGATTGAACACTCGCTAATGAGAACGAGCTTTTTCACACACTGCCATGCTGTATTCGAATTTCTCGCAAAATGCAAAAATAGCCGTCAGCGAAACAAAAAGATAACTGAACTTTGGAGAGTCAGAGATAATTTTTGCATTTGCGGAAATTACTTTGGACACGGCAATAATTTCTGATTTAAAGAAATTGAAAAAAACGAGAAATACAATTTAGAAAAAAATAAAAACGCTTGTTTTTTTGGCGTGAGATGCCCCGTTTCATACGCATAGTTGTGTCTACGGAAAACACGCGCCAGTTTGTTTTTTTGCTAAAAAAACCCTTCAAATTTTTTTCGAAAATTTCTTTACTATTCTATTATTTTTAATGAGTTTTTCTTATTGTCATTTTTTTGGTGCTTGACGTTACTCATATCGAAAAGACTACTTCTTTCATTTTTGTTGTTCGCATTTTTTTAAAGCGCTTTTTTTATACATAACTTACTTAAAGTGGAGATATTCAAAACTTTTTTGTCGTTTTTCATATCTTAAAGCGGGAAATGTTTAAAACTTTTTTGTCGTTTTCCATAGTTTTGAATTTTTTCAGAAACATGTTTCGGAAGCCGAAAAACAAAGGAGCGATCAGACAACGGAAAGCTGTAGATTGGGACAGTAATGACGCTGAAGAGAAACCGGCAAATGACAGTGGAGTCGTGGAAGTTCAGGTAAATTTAAAGAGTATGAACGTTTTTTCTTGAAAGTTGAGTTTTTTCAAAAAGCTGTATTAAATTAAAGGTCGAAGTGACGACGGTAGTGAAGAAAACTGTGATCTCGCTCAAGGAAGAAGAAATAGAAGAAGATGATGGCTTGTCCATCAAACCTCAATCTATAGTCAGTTTTGATATAGATGAAGGTGAGAATTTGTTTTTTGAAGCTTAGCAATTCAATAAGGAAGTTTTCAGGTGCCGACTCAACTTTCAAAGTGAAAAAGAACAAGAAAAAGGTAGAGGAGCTGAAGAGGATGCACAGGCTGGAAGAAGAAGCTGCAGCTCAAGCCGCCGAGCTCAAGAAGTACGAAAAAGAGCAGAAGAAGGAACTGGATGAGAAGATAAACATGGAAAAGAAAGCGAAGGAACAAAAGGAAAAACGAGTTGAGCGAGACAAATATCTGGAAAAGTACAGAGATTCTTCCGCCAAGGTTTGTGATTGACCAAATGTTGGATAAGATTTCCAATTTCAGCACATAGAAACTGTTTACGACGAGGACCTTGATGCGCCCTACGACATTGACGAATCAGATGTCTCTAAAAAGTTTTCCAGTGCATATGGTAGTCATGAAGCCACTACTGTTGGAGTATGAAAGTTTTCAGGCGGAATCCCAGATTCTAGAGCCGTTTATGAGGCGAGGAAACGTCGAGAACGAGCCAGGAGAGAAGGTGCAGATGGATACATTCCATTGGACGACGACAAGAAGATCCGGCCGAAAGGAATTCGCGAGAGACTCGTCAGAGAAGATGAGAACGATGATTCCGACGAGGAAGATCCCCACAAGTCCGTCGTTTTTGAGTTTTTGAGAAGTTACATGGGTGTTCAGGTTTTACTCTTCAAGAGACTTGCTCAAAGGCGAAGAGGAACGTCGTAGAGAAGAACAGAACGAGTTTCTGGCCAAGGAACAAGGCGAAAACCTAGATGAAAACGGCGTCGAAAGGGCTGAGGACGACGAAATGGAAGAGTGGGAGCGGCAGCAAATTCAGAAGGCCGTCAGTCGTCGTATGGTTGGGAAACTCTCCATTCTCTTCTAGTTTTTGAGTTTTCAGATTGGCCAGTTGCGGGAAGAGAAACACAACGTGGGAAGGATGTTTGGTCAGGAAGGTAGGGCAAATCACGGCGATATTCTGGAGCCCGAGTCGATGGATATGGACATCGACATGGACGTCATCGTTGAGAATTTCAAGTCGAAGCACTCTGGTCCGGAAAACAAGGGAGGAAGCATCACTATCGAAGATACACTGGCAAAAATGAAGTTGAGGTAGAGGAACTTTGAAAAAACGCTTTTGAAGGATTTATTTGAGAATGAACGACCGAGAAGAGGCGTTGAATGCTAGACGACGCGAAGTTTTGAAAATGCAGCAGCATCTCCAAGAAAATAAGGACATGATCATTAAGGTAATAGAAAGGAAAATAAGAATGATAATATTTTTTTCAGATCGAATCCGAGCTTCCGAGGCTCAGCACCAAGTTCTCAATGTATCAGGAACTGAGGATGTACAGTCGAAGTCTTCTCGAATGCCTGAACGAAAAGGTAAAGTGTTCGTTTAGGGATTGAATTTAAAAAAATATGTAATTGAATCCACATAGTCGTTTAGTGAGCAAATCACGCAAAGTATAATTTTCTCAGCCTCTCTGAATCTTTCTAAGCGTTTGTGTAGGCTGTAGAAATTGGTTGCTTCATTTTCGAACGCATAGCTGATTTACGGCTGGCTTGAGCCATCAAAAAAGGTCCTGACGCGATAAGAAAAGAGACAGTACCTTGTTCGTGGAGAGCGCAGACAGGCCACGCCTCATTAGAGCCCCAAGCCAGCCGGGAATCGGCTATAGAACTCTTACGCGGAATTTACGATATCCAGTTCATTATGTATTATTTTGTAAAAAATTCGAAAGAAAAAAGAGATCTTGAGAATTTATAAAAGAGCAAAAACATAGCTTTTCATCGCACAAATTGAACCCAGGTTGCGGAAATAAACGTGCTGGCGGACAAGAAGAGAACCTTGAACAAGTTGAAAACGGAGAGACTGGCCAAAAGACGACGTCGAGACGTGCGTGACCAGTACGCCGAGTGTTCAGCGACGTCTTCTGGGAAGAACGTCAACACGGTCCGACATGGCGACGCCGCCGTCCGAGCTGCAGAACGCGAGGCCCGCAGGTCGTTCAGAATTCGTGTCTCTAGTTCATCCTTGATCATGTTTTTTACATTTTATTCTCTCGTCAGAGAAGATTCTCGGCATGGGATTATAGAAGAGTTGTTGAAACTGTCGTTGATCACGAAAGGCGTGTAGAGCGTTTCGCCTTTCTTGTAATAGTAGTAGACGATTTTCGGACGTTCTGAATTTGAGCTGCTTCTCCATGTAGGAATAGTACGGCGCCCAGCTTGTTGGCGTCGGATTAATACTCCAATCTCTTCACTTTTTTGAATAATGATTGCTAAATTTGTTCGAGGCACTTAAATTAACGTAAAAGCGCGTATCTAGAGAAGAATTTTCCAGGAAAATCTTTTTTTGTAAGATTTTTCTTTTCAGAGGCCGGCGGAGAAGGGAGCGAGAAAGTGTGGCGAAAAACGCGACCCATGAGGAGGGCCTGAGTACCGACGACGAAGAAACCAACAGTCAGGTCATCGCCGACACAGAAGCCAATCGTGCGCTTTTTCCTCGCTTTCTTCCATTTTTCTCTTGTTTTAGAAGAAGTTGACGCCCTTGTGTCTACGATATTCGCCGATGCCTTGGATGAGTATGCAAAACTGCGGATCGTTCTTGAAAGGTTTTTTTTAGCTGCTTCTGAGAAAATCATTCAAAAGCAATAATAAAAGCAATAAAGCAAAAATTGTTGAATTTTATTCCGTATTTCTTTTAAAAAAACTTTTTAATAGAACATCTCTCTTGGATACATAGAGTAATTTTGTTTGAATTCAAGAATGATTGATTGGCTGTCGGTGGACACAAAATCCTTCCAAGACGCCTACGTTCATCTGTGCATTCCGAAGCTGTCCTCGCCCTACGTCCGCTTGCAACTGATCTCCGCCGATTTGTTGAATGTAGGGCTGAAAGAAGGCCAGAAAGCAATGAAGAATCCGCTTCAGAAAGACACGGAGATGTCGCGGATGCAGTGGTACGAGGACGCTTTGCTCGTCGGCGCCGAAAATACAGACGTCGAGAAAGAGCATCCGGTGATCGTCGGCTTGATCCCAGCGATCGTCGAAAAGGTCGTCGTCCCCTTCCTGACAGGTGAGAGAGATCCCCTCCAAGGTCTCGACCGACGGTGTCTGCAGACGTGGTCCGCGAAGAGTGGGAGCCGCTGTCTCTGCAGCAGACGCGGCGTCTCGCCCTCTTCTGCCAGATCCTGCCCCAGTTGCCCACCATCAACGACCGCAGCAAGACTTTCTCGGCTCTGATGGAGGCCATTCGCTCCAAGATCATGACCGCCGTCGATGAAGACCTCTTCGTCCCCATGTTTCCACCAGCGTGAGATTTTCTTTTTCAAAGATTGCTCTTATTTTGAAAATGTTTTAAGATGGTTTTAAAGGAGAGCTTTTTTAAAAATAATTCAGCCTCCATGTACAAATTATGTGCTTCGACAAATCAAAAACAATTATTGAATGTTTTCAGAGCCATAAATAATCAAGCGACAGGATGTCGAACACTTCTGGAACGACAGTTTTGGACGGCGATAAAGGTATATCAGTGAAAGGAGAAATGAACGCTGACAGAACCCTCTAGGGACCAGTTCACCCGCCCCTATAAGGATCACTTTTGCAAGCTTTAGTGGCCCATGTAGGGGACATGCTATAAATGTTATGACTTCTTAGCGAAGAAGCATTTCTATGGGAAAAACTGAATAAATAAGCTTTTTTGAATGAAATTGATAGACCCCTATAGGGTCCACTTTAGCTTTAGGCATTAAGAAGTCAGACCGTAATTCCCTATAAGGTTTTGGCGGCTCATTTTCACTTTCGCCTCAGTTTGTACATCTTAAACTTTCATCACTGCTTTTTGCAGTTGATACGCTCGATCAACACCTTGTCGGGAATAATTTCGCTGGCAGCTCGTTTCGAAATAATCGTCGAAACAATCGTTTCGCGTATTTGCATCGTTGCCCTTCGCATTGGCCCCAAAAACGACGTCACTTGTGAGCGGAAGGTCAGAAGAAATCCCCATTTTCTTTTTCTACTGCGTTTCTGTTCAGCTCCGGGCATTGTTCGAGGAGATGCCGTCGGAAGTTCTGGCTATGGGCGGAATGACGTCATATCAGCAGATTGTGGTGACGTTGAAAATGTTAGCCGAAGAGCAGAAAAACGCGGGACGGTTTGTTAAATTTTTTTCCTATCCATCTATTTTTTTTTGTTCAGGGACTACTACCGCGACATCCGGAAGTTCATCGAGAAGATTGAGCATTGATTAAAAATCGGTTTTACACCGAAGTATTCATAAAATAGATTTTAAAGTTTTAAGACGCATCAAAAAACTGGTCCGGAACTTTCCATTGTTTCTTCTGAACACTTTTCCCCTTTCATAGAACTACCTATCCATTTTTATACGCATTAGTTCATAATTCATTTATTTTTCTATAATTGTTATATTTGTTTCAATCGTTTTATTTTAGTTTTACATCCAGTGATTTACGTGTTTCTGTATATTACGTTGTCTTACTACATCAAATAAATTATTGAACTTTTATTTCTTGATAGATTTGAACCGGTTCGAAGTCCTGATCGTATTTTGAATTTTCTTTTTCTTGCAAATCCGGTTTTTAAAAATTTTGGCTTGGGCGTGGCCTGTCTGGGCTCTCCACCATGCAGACTTTTATTTTTTCGATCGTGCCAGGACCTTTTTTTGAATAATCGAGCCAGCCGTTTATCAAATCTGATGCCGTGTTCAAAGTAGTTTCCGCGAAATTAAGTCTTATTTAGCTATATTTTTCACTCTTTGACGGTTTTTTCGAATCTCGCAGAATTACTTTGAACACGCCATGATTTTTCATTGCGAGACACTCATTTCCAGAGAGATTGAATAAAAATTTTTGAATATAGAAAGATGGCGTCGACATGGGAGCGTATGTCGAAAGTGATAGAACGGTACGAACGGCTGACGTTGGGGGAAATCCGCGAACTCAAGAAGCTGCAGAGGGCCGCCATTGAGAAAAGAGCCAGTGACAATGCCGTGGCTCGCAATCAGGTGAATACTTAGGAATAACAAAGTGGTCCCTATAGGAAGGGAAAAAACCCTATAAGGACCGAAAAAGTGGTCCCTATAGGGGTTTAAGATCTGACCCCTTAGCCCCCTGAAGCTCAAGTAGACCCCGGTTCGGCCCCCCAAGTAGATTTAGCGAAGATGGTTTACGTAATTATAAACACTACTTTACTAATCTCAGTAATCAAAGAACGCCAAACGAGTATTCCCTTAACTAACTTTAAAGAGATTTCTACGCCTCCGAGAGGTTTTTTTCCCTTCAGGGCTTTCTCAGTAAGTTTTTTTGGAAAGTTCACGTCCGGTTTGTATCCAGTGGAGAGAGGCGGGCTGAGCCACAACACTCTTCCTAGCTGGGCTGCTGCAGGAGAAAGAAGGTGAACCGGCGGGCCAGAGCCACAACACGGTTTTCCGCAGTCGTCTGAGCAGCTTCGACAGAGAGACACGACGAAGCAACGCTGGCTGGGTCTGAGACCTTGCCCCTCGACGACTCTCGCTTAGTGAACACTTAAGTGTTCGAGGACTTGTAATTCTAAAGCGTAATTACGCGGTTTTTTTTTATATAACACGAACACGATTTCTTTTCAAATACCACTCTTTACTAACTTCCAACAATTGAGTACGAAAACGGGCGGCTCACAACTGTGCAAGGGTTGAGGTTGATCCCACGTTGAGAAACCTCAAACTTGGGTAATTAAACCAACACGTTTTGTAAAAACAACGAGAAGTTATTAACGCGTACTTAATAGGATAAAGGAGTGCTACTCGTTTGAATAAGAAATTAATTTAACAAAGACGAGATACAAATGAATAAAATAGATAAACGAAAACAAATAAAAAAGGTAACTAATTAGAAAGAACAATGAACTTGAAAGGAATAGAAAAATATGGCGAGAAAGAAAAGATGACAATAGAGAAGGGCTAAAAAGGGGGAAAATTTGGCGCCTTTCTTTGACCCGTAGATCACTGTCGCGGAAGATCAACTCCTATTAGGTTTTTCAACTTCAAATTTTAAAAAAAAAACTCTGCTTTTTGTTAGTTTTCGCATGGAACTGCTTCTTCGCATAGGGTTCAAAACAATTATCGACTAGCATGTCTCCTTTAGGGGCCACTTACTAAAATCCCAATAAGGATCACTTTTGCAAGTGGGTCCCTAAAAGGCGCCCTCCCTCCAAGAGCCCCCGAGATTGCCCCTATAGAGACCACTCTGGATTAACAAAGAAGAGGTCAATGTTTTTTTAAAAGTTTCTGAAAACTATCAAACCCTTCTTGTTTTAGTTATTCTGATAAAGGAGAAAAAAAAATTTTTTTTCATTGTTTTTTTCCAGATAAAAAGACTAGAAGATCAGCTCCTGAACGGCTTGGAAAAGATTTTGAGAATGCGAAATGAAGTGGAATCTGACGATCAGGAGCTCTTCGATCAGAGGATTGAGCCTATAAGGTTAGTTTTGCCTGAAATTTTTTTTTATTTCGCTCAACTTTTTTTCTGTTCAGAAAGCAAATCCAATCGACGGTGAGCTTGAATCGACAATTGCCGCCTTTAAAGGAAACCTCCTCCGGAAATCCTTTTCTGAACGATGGCGAAAATATCGATGAGAGCAACCCTTATGAAGTGGAAACTCAACGGTTTCGAACTTTTGAAACGACGTTTTAAACTTTTATTCAAAGGTATGCCCAAGAAAGCGATGCCCGCGTACAGGAACTGCGTTCGATTGCTGAAGATGCGAGGGAAAAGGCGAAAACGACAGTCAAAATTCAGCAAGTTTGCTTTTTTCTCTGTTCAAACTTCATTTTCGTCAGAAAAGATACGAAAAAACCTTCTTTTCATCAAAAATTTCTTGTATGGAGTTTGATTTTTCTAAAAACTGAAGTTTTGATTTCTGTTATTTGTTATCTGTACCACTCTGATAGGATTTCATTCTGCAGAAAACATTTTTTATGAAGTTTTGAAAGTATTGAGCTCTCCACAGGAACTCCTTAAAGCTTAGCTTGCAAAAGTGGTCCCTATAAGAGTTTTAGTTATTGGCCCCTATATGGGGACATGCTAGTCGATAATTTTTATGAACTCTATGCGAAGACGCATTTCTATGCGAATAACTAAATGAATAAGCGTTTTTTGAAGGAAATCGAGAGACCTCTATAGGAACCATTTAAGCTTCAGGGGCTTAGGATTCAGACCCTGAACCCTTATAAGGACCACCGTAATTTCACCCCTCTAGGGACCACTTTTTCAGCCCCTAGAAGGGTTGTTTTTTCCCCTATTTCTAAAAAATTGAGAAAAAAAAGCATATTTCAGGACATGCAAGACCTCGAATCGATATTTTCCGAACTTTCTCGGATCGTCCACGAACAACATGAAGTTGTCGATTCTATAGAGGTAATATTTGAAAAATAGAGTTTTTTTGTAAGCAGTTAAAAAAACAACTTTATGTATCCTTTCTACTTAGCTGATTCGATTACCATAGCTATTAAAATTACTTTTTTCAATTTTTCATGTTAAGGAGCACGTTGAAAGAGCCACAGAAGACGTGAAACGGGGAAATCAGCAGCTGAAAAAAGCGGTCGCCTCGAAAACGGCCAAGGTTTGTTAAGAATAACTAAAACTATTCTCTAACTTATTTTGCTTCCGTGACGAATGTATGTAAAAAAGTGTTTCAAAATTTTTTCCGGATCAGATAAAATTCAAATTCCTGTCTTTAATTTTGCGAGTGAACCTCGTGAATGGTAATTTTTAATAATCAAATGTTTACGATAACCAGTTTTTAATCTTCAAAATAAGAAGTAGCTGGCTTTTGGCATCTTACGAGGAGCTCGAAGGCTTTTAAAAGGAAAATTTTGTGAGAATTTTATAGAATTTGGCAGGATAGTGGGGAATTTTCTTTGAAGAGCAATTAAGAAGATCAACTGTAGTCTAATGTCCATTATATAGATTTTTATCGGGCAAAGTTGGAATGGTGGATAATGGCCGCTAAAAGGGAGAGACTCAAAAAAGGCAGCTTGAGCCTTTTCCATCCCTTTCCGAATTTACCTATGTTAGGAAGGCATTCTGAAAATTTATTGAACAGGTTTCGAAGAAAGCTAGGGAATGAAAGATGAATCAATATTATAACCTTTTGCTGAAAAATGAACGATAAATTAAAAAAAAAATCTCATTCAGTTAGTTTGTGGGGTGAAAAGAGATTTGAAGGCTCCATTCGTGGCGGCGGTAGTTGGCGGTTTGGCGTTGGGAGGTCCAGTAGGCGTGGCCGCTGGGTCCGCTGTCGCCGGCGTCGCTGCCGGCATCGGAGGCCTCGTCGCAGGTTAATCTATCCTTATCTTCCCATCTTAAAAACGATTCTCAGGCGTTTACACTGGTCGCTACTTCAAAAACGTCGTCAAAAAAGACTGCGAAACCGACTATCAGTGACCTATCAAATGTTCATATAACTTTCTTTTTTTGTGAATAGTATTGTCTAATAATCCATGTACATTTCCTATATTGCATCTTACTCGTTTCAGTGAATCTTTGTGTCTTTTCCTGGGCTTGAGATGATTTTTTTTAGTGTTATAGACTTGCGGGTTTCTCTGTGAAAGGCTAAATCGCGTTGTCTTTCTTTTGAATTAGTGCTGAATAAAATTCTATCGCTATTTGTTTTCTCAATTCTCTTTTAATAACGTTATTGATGACGTTGATATTTGTCCCTTTTTTCAAATTTCTTGAAGGCTCAGAATTATTTTAGATGGCTGTGTTGATCGAAACGACTCTGGGCGACCTGGTCGTCGATTTGTTTGTTAAAGAACGTCCGAAATGTAAGTTTTTTGGCGAATTCAGAAGTTATTTGTTTGACCGAAAGGAAAAATAAGGCCCTTGTAGCGACAAAAAAGCAACTTCCTTCTGATTCTGAATATTCTCAAATATCTTTTGCAGCATGTCTGAACTTTCTGAAACTGTGCAAGATGAAGTACTACAACCTGTGTCAGTTCCACAGCATCGAGGAGAATTACATCGCTCAGACCGGAGATCCGACCGCAACCGGCAAAGGCGGCGAATCTGTTTATTAGTAGGATCATTTCTTTTTCGTTCCCTAATTTTCCATTTTCAGTTCCATTTACGGCGAGCAGGGCAAGTACATCGAGCCAGAAGATTTGCCCAAAATGAGGCACACGAGAAAAGGTTTAGCTGATATAGCTGATTCTCGGCTGGCTTGAGCCATCGAAAAAAGGGTCCTGACACGATAATTCACGAGACAGTGCCTGGCTCGTGGAGAGCGCAGACAGGCCACGCCCTCTTAGCGTCTCAAGCTAGCCGTGAATCGTCTATAATGATAATTGTCTTAATTTCAAACTTCAGGAATCGTTTCATTTGTGAATAACGGCGAAAATATGCTCGGAAGCCAGTTTTTCGTGACTTTGGGCGAAGAGTCGGTGATTTTTTTAATTCCGAAAAAAATTTCTTTCTAAAGGTTGGATTATCTTGATGATAAGCACACGATCTTTGGACAAGTCACGGAAGGACTCGACACTTTGGAGAAGTTGAACGAACAGCTCACAAATTCCGATCACAGACCTTTCAAGGATATCAGGTGAATCATTCAGAAGAAGCTATTTTCAAGAGTTTTTCTGAAGGATATCCCACACGATAGTTCTTGACGACCCTTTCGACGACTTGCCGCGTCTCCGAATTCCTAGCCGATCTCCGTCTCCAACTTATGAAATGCTCGTCAAGGTAGATGATTTTGTGATTTCTTTCAGAATTCGTGCTGAAATGGATGTCCAAAAAAAATATATATTGATTGAATGAAATTTTTGATAATTTCCAGACCGACCAACTGGCGCTGGACGAAAAGGAAGACGAGAACGAAGGAAAGAGCCAAGAAGAAATCGAAGAGGAAACGCGCCTACGGGAAATGGCCGAACAGGCGCAGATCTTGGAAATGGTAAGGATGATCCTGGATGAGAGATTATGAAGCTTCCTTTGCACGGCGTTCCAAAACGGGGCGGGGAGACGTCAAAAAAACTTCGGCGCGAAAATTCAAATCTCAAGTACGCAGCCAAAGGCGGTCGAAAAAACAAGTTTATTAACGTTGAATACTCAGTTTAATTTTTAAATGACGTACTTTTATCCGGAGCGCACACTTATTTTTTTTTTGTAAATTCAGAAACTTTGACGCCTCGCTCACCTTCCCTCACCCCATTAGAAATGCCGTGTTTGGGGTTTATCTGGATGGAAAATTAAGAATGAAGTTGAATAAGACTAGAAAAAAAGAGGACAACATACCTAAATGATTAACTAAGAGGGCTCAATTTATCATAAGTTAGAGCCTCTTCATTAATTAATAAAAAAATTTTTCGAATTGAAATCATTGAACCTATGTCTAATCGTTAAAAAAATTATCAAATCAATACATTTTTCTATTATTTTCGATTTGGGAATCCATGCTTTTTCATGTGTTGAATTACCATTTAAAACAATTTTTCCCTTGGAAGGATATTTTTTGTAGGTTGGCGATTTACGAGATGCCGACGATGTGCCGCCGGAAAATGTTCTTTTCGTCTGCAAGTTGAATCCCGTGACGACGGACGAAGACTTGGAGATCATCTTCAGTCGTTTCGGAAAGATTAATAATTGTGATGTTCGTTAATTGATTTCTATTATTTTGAAAAAAAAAACCCTGGCTGGTAAGGTCATTTTAGTTAGTCTGAAATCAGTCAGACTGCGATGCGAAAAACCTTTATAACTTCTTTGTCGAAAAGAAAAGTCTCAGAAATAGTTGCCTTTATTGTTTTTCTTCGGCTTTCGAGATTCTACCCTGAAAGAATAAGGAGTTTTGAAAGTCAGGATTTCGAGGATATTGATCAAAAATCATTCTGACCGATTTTAGAAAAAAAGAAGTTGAAAATTGAATCTTCATCTTCGATTAAAGTCATGATTTGTATCATTCAGATCATCCGCGACCGGCGCACCAACGATTCTTTACAATATGCCTTCATCGAATTTGACAATGTAGGCATTTTCTTGTCATTTCTCCCTAATTGTCTTTTCTGAAGGCTCAAAGTTGCGAAAGAGCTTACTTCAAAATGGACAACGTTTTGATCGACGATCGAAGGATCCACGTCGATTTCTCACAATCTGTTTCAGGCAACTACAAGCGTTACAGAGATGGTATTGACTCATAGGAAGATATAATCCTATAATATTCTTTACAGAGAGAAGAGCAGCGAAAGAGAAAGCTCTGCAGGAGAAGCAAAGGTCTCTCAATAACAAGGTTAAACGGGAAAGGTCTTCGCCAACAAGAAGGGTTAGTTTCTCGACAATTCTTGATTATTTTACTGGCGGTTTTATGCAGGTCATTTTTGTATCAGCCAGTTTTTAATAAGTCTCAAATCCACACAAAAAAAAAATGAAGATTCAAAGAATTCGAAATTTATTATTGACTTTTCTTGAAAAGTTCGCATAATTTCCAACTTTTTTTCAGGAACCACTGTTCCAAGTTTCGAAATAGGCTTGATTTTCATTGGAAACTTAAATTTCATAAGAAATTTTTGAGTCTCATGCACTATTGAAATGCAAAAGACTTGATTATATTTTTCGAACTTTCGAAAAAAAAAAACGCAGAAATTGTATGAATGGTCCTGCAGATTAAGCGGGAACGGAGTGATTCGCCCCCGCGAAGGCAAATCAAACGCGAAGCTCAAAACTCGCCACCGCCAATGAGAAAGGTTTGATCTTAACGATTCAGTGAAAAAATTTTTCTTATTTTATAGAACATCTCTGTTTTCTTGAGGTGTAGGTCTTTCTGTATCAGAAGTTTTATATACCTGTTCTCAAAGCGCAAAGTTCGAGAAGAATATGAAAGTTTTCAATCACCTGCGGCTTTGAGACAATATTTAATACAAATTAATGAAAAAAAATGATATTTAGAAATTGTTTCAAGGAACCTGGGAACGATATAAATCACGTACAAGAGTTAGATCCTAAAATAAAATCCGATTTTTTCTGTAGGAAGTAAAACGCGAACGTGACGCTTCGCCTCCACCCCGTAGAAGGCATTCGCCGTCGCCGAAGCGCGACCGGAAGGACGACAGACGCGAGCGAAGAGATGACGATCGCCGAAGACACGACGACCGAAGCCGAAGGGACCGCTCCAGGGACCGCGACCGACATCATCGCGACCACGACGACCACAGACGCCGTCGCAGCAATGAACGACGCCGCCGATAATTTTGGACCTACCTTTCTTCTTTCAATCTACAGTATTTGTTTTGATTCTTTGAAAATCCCAGTTTCTGAAAAAAATGATAGAAAAACCGCGCTTGTTTCTATATTTCACTCCATTCAATGTTTTCCCTCGTAATTTATTATGTTCTCGAATTTCCGGGTCGAAAAAAACCTTTTGTTTGATTTCAGTGATTCTACGTTAGCATAAAAACTGAAATGAACTTGATGAAACAGTAATTATAAGGAGACAGAGAAAACGTAGAAGGAAAGGTCATTTCCGATTTGGCACGTGCACTGAATGTTTCTTCAAGTAATATGGCTCTATTTTGTGAGTTTAAGTTTTGAATCTAGTTTTTTTATAGATAATTCGCCGCTAGCTTGTAAGATTTAAAAAAGGGACACTTGTAGAAAAACGCATTTTCAAGCCGGCCGGTCGTATTACGGTAGTCCAGCTAGGTTTTTCGGAAATAAAATGAAAACTTGTTTACTTTTGGTGACGTATCTTGTACCCTCGAAAAATAGGTCCTTAACAAATTGCAAAAAAAAAAAAATAGTTTTCTGGCTCCGAAACGCAATACTGACCGGCCACCGGCCGCCGTAGCACTGTCTTAAACATGCGTGGAAAAGAAGAGGTTTTTGTGAGCTGTTTTGAACCAAGCTAGCGTTGAATGAAGTATTCCAAGAGAAAATTTTCCACTGAAGATCACTGTTTCCAGTTATCTTTACCGTTCGTAACTCTGACGTTGACGCTCTGCAAAAACCCTCGTCTTGAAACTGACGCGAATGTGCGTAAAGTCTTTTACTCTTATAGCTCAATCGGCTTACTTTCAAGTTCGACCTCAGACGTCTTTTAAAAAATTGTTTCTTCGACTTGCTTCTTCAGGTTGTTCTCATCTCCGAAAAACAGGCTAGAAAAAAGTACCCGTCTAAATCGCCACCACCAGTATTGCCTACACCTCCTCAGAAACTGTATGATTTTTTTTAATTATTATAGTTTCTTGAAAAATCACTGCAACCATTCGACAGCAAAGAATTACGAAAAGACTACAAATAAATGATTTGAGGACTCCTCCGAAAGACATCCCTCTGGCGAGGTCGTGTGCAGACAAGAATGCCGAAGACACTTTGGTGTACGTTTTTATTCTTAAAAAAGACTTTTCCTCTCGATTTTTCTGCTTTTCAGAAACGTTGCGTCTCTGGAAACGGATAAGAACGAATCTTTTATAAAGCCAATTAAGAAAGCAAAGTGACCCATCGTCTTTTTCTTCCACTCTTCAGAGTTCTTGACGTTTTTCTATAAATTTTGTCCGACGAATTTGATCCGATTTGAACCGAGCATGCAGAAAAAGGAGTGCTACAGCTGTTTTTTGGAGACGCCGCTGGAGAAGAGCGGAAGATGATTAGAGAGACTAGGGAGAGGGTAGATCGCGTGAGAGGCGAAGGATGAATCTCGATTGACCCCATCCAAAGGCGCCAACTGAGAATTGGGTCTCAATTCCAGTTCCAGCTACTTTTTTTAATGGAAAAGCAATCCGCGAAGTTTAGTTGTATTATTTGAAGGGGTCCGCATAGAAAACAAATGAGGTTTTTTAAAATCGAATGTGTGAAATGCTAAAAAAAATTTAATTAATTTACAGGTGTAAGCTTTATTTTTTTCGGAAACCATGTGAAAGTTTTCAGTTCTTTGAAGTGATTGCCATTCAAGCGCTACAGTGATTTGTAAATTGTGGCTTTGAACATCTACTTTTGGTGCAAATTTAATACTTTTAGTAGTCCTTTTGGCTGTATTTTCTGCCTCAAATGATCAAAGCTGTAGATTGGTGGCTTTTATAAATCAATCAAAATATCAAAAGTTGACAAATTATGCAAGATTTCAAGTCGCTTAGCAAATCTGACTAGTCTCTTCTTAATGAGTAGCCTCAAATATGGCCACTATTTCCAATATTTTGGCATTGCTCCAACTTTCATGAAACAAGGTTTGCCACTTGAGTTCATAATTCCCCATCCAAAAAACTTCCAGAATTTATGAAGTCCTCAGTTAATTCTTTCTGTCGACCTTACCCAGTCTGAAGAATCGAAGTCGAGGAGAAAACAAAAAGATAACAAGGCCTGGTGGAGTGGCTCCAACGGAGGCGTGGCCTGCCAAAAAGAAGACGTCGACTGCGCGGCGCTTTTCGGAAAAGAGAGTTGAGTGGTGGCACAATGGCCCACAGATTCGGCCATTGATCCGAGAAGAGCGCTTTCCCCCGTCCGTCCGTTGTTATCTCCTCCGTCGGCGTCTGATGCGAGCCGGTTGACGACGTCGGAATGGTCGAGGGCGGCGTTACCATCGTCAAGTACCTCCTCTTCCTCGCCAACCTCGTACTATGGGTCCGTTTACTCTTCGGGGGAAAGCTTTTTTCATTTTCGGCAGAGAACTTTAATGATTTTTGAAAAGTCTGACCTGTCCGCTCGAACTTTTAACTGTACTAAGGAAATGCAGAGTGGTCCCTATAGGGGTTAGGGAGAGAACAACCCTGACAGGGACCGAGAAATTGGTCCTATAGGGGAAAAATTAAGATGGTACCTATAGGGATTTAGGGTCTGATCCCTTAGCCCCTTAAACCCAAGTGGACCCTATAGGGATCTTTCAATTTCATTCAATATTCAGTTTTTCCGATGGCTTCTTTGCTTAGAGTTCATGAAAATTACCGAATCGCATGTCCCCCATAGGGACCACTAAATAAAACCCCTATAGGAACCATTTTTTCGAGCTTTAGTGGCCCTTATAGGGTTGGTAAAGAAGCCCCTGGAGGACACCCTCCAAAGCAAACTATAGCCATCTCTCCAGAAGTGTAGTCTCATCGCTCCTTCAATTTTTGAGCTTTTGTTCCGCGAAAGGCTCAAATTTAATTGCGAATCGGAAACACGAGACTTTCCAAAGTTCCTCAAATCAAGTCTCCAGAGTGAGCTTTGCGGAAAAATGAAAAGTTGTTGGTCAAATTTTGAAGCTTTTCCTCTAAGAAAAATAATTTTGAAATTTTTTCAGTGCGGCGGTTTGTTTCTCATCATTGTCGGCTCAATCATGCAGCTGAAATTCGCCGGAGTTTTGGACATTTTAGGCGACGAAAGGTTGGTTTTCAGTGGATTCTCGAGTCGCAATCGATGAATATAATTTATTACTGGACGATGCCTTTTTTTGGATCTCATAACTTGCTGAAATTGTTAAGAGAAGTTGACAAGGTATTTGATGTCATCTTATGATTTAGGATTCCCAAAAAATAGACCAGAACACTCCTTGGTGTACTTTAAAATCTGAGCCTGCATTTTTTAGTTTTTTGAAAAAAGACATCTCGAGAAAACCCTTCAAACTCCTTGAAATAGGCTGTTTTTGGGTTTTGAGCCGTTGTTTCTCGAAAACCAGGAAGCTGTGCAGGTTGAGATTTTGAGCATCCTCTTTTTAGAAGTAAAATTACCTTCCTTGTGAAGCTAGGAACTTTTGAAAGCCAAAATAGTAAGTTTGTTCACATCCAGGTTGGCGACCCCGGTGATTCTTCTGGTGATGGGCTCATTGTGCACTCTTCTCGGGTTCCTCGGGTGCTGCGGAGCCATCCGCGAGAACTACTGTCTCACAGTCTCCTTCGCCGTACTTCTCGCTTTAGTTATTGTGAGTTATTTCCGGATTTTCAGGCCTTTGTCCATTTCTTTAGATGTTGAAATGAAATCTTGCCTTCGAAGTTATCGGTATCAAAAAAAAAGGACGATAAAGGAATTGAAGCTCGTAGAATTCAATTTATTTTAACTTTAAAAATTGGCCGTTTGTTGTTTTTAATCCGCCACGACTTGAAATACTTTGTTTCCCGTTTCGAATGGCTCAACGCATTGTGGTCGCGCTGCAGTTGGCTTTAAAAGTTTCAGACCGGAACTGAAATATTGGAAGCCTTTTGTTTAAAATACTTTAATTTTGCCAGAAACTACTCGCAGTTTTTCAAAATTTTTTATAATCAATCATTCTCGACTTGAAAGACGAGATGTAAGGGCGACGCGTTGCGTGTGCGACGCGGCTCTTGGCGGAGACCTCGATGTCAAATACGAGTCTCAATTTTCTTCTCCTTTTTCTGACTCTTTTTCAATAAATTTATTTTTCATGGAGCTGTGAAAGCCCAGTTGAACGAATGAAAGCTTAAAAAGTATTGAAATACTCAATTTTTTTCATGATTATATTTGAACTCGAGATCCCCGCCAAAAACCGCGTCGCACACGCAACGCGTCACCCTTTGCCAATCTACCCATCTCCATTTCAACTCGAGAAAAAAATGGACTATAAAGAAAAATTTTTTTAATTAATATTCAATCCGAAAAATCCGCTCAATTTCTACTTTCTCTCTGGCCAAGACTTACCGAACTGATGTTTATCGAATTTTTCTCACCAAAATCATTAAATTTGACGTTTTTTTTCAGCAAGTTATTTGATCAAAAACTTCCGCTTTCCTTATATAACCCAACAGAAATCAACGAAATCCAAAACCTTGTTGAATAATATTGCTTACTCGGCACACAATCCCATTGTTTTGCCCCCGAGCAAACTCATGACAAAAAAATATTTTTTTCACAGAAAAAATTTTTTTTTAATAGGAAAAAAATTTTTTTAGGCTTGTGAAACGGCGATGGTAATCATCGCATACGCTCTGCACGACAATTTCCGAGAAGGAATCACTAATCAACTTCAGGTGATAGTTCAATCGATAAAAATAAAAAGAAGGTCTTGAAAGTTTACATTTATAAATTATTTTTTTGAAGCATTTTTTTTCCTCAGCTTGAAGTTCGAAGTTTCTCGAAAAAAACTTTCCCTTTTATTTGGTCAATTTTGAAGTATTTTTTGAGTTATAGCTTTTGACTCTTTTTATTACGTCTAAAACTCTTCTTTCCGCACACTGTCTCGTAAATGTGTGCAGTTCCTCATGAAGAAAATCTCTAGCCAGTACGGAATAAACTTTTGAAAAATTGTCTGTGGCAAGTCAAAAACGGATTCATGGATTCAGCTTTTTCATATTTATTCAGAGCATATTGAATACCTCTTCCTCTTGTATCCATTAGAAAATAATCGCAGTTTTCCATTCCTTGATTTCTCATTGTTTTTTGCTGCAGTTTCTAATGAAATTTTTTTTACAGACGGGACTTCTTCGGTATAATCGGAGTAGCGGTGTTCAACAAGCTTGGGACAGAGCGCAACAGGTTCTTTTTTTTGAAACAGTTTGGAAAATGAATGGATGATTCATACTTAAAAATCAAACACACAGTGTCTATTTTTTGGAGAAACACTTTCGCGAAAACTTTTCGAGGCGCCTATGAGAATCTTTCGAAAATTTGAAATGAAAGAGGGACTGTTTGAGGTGCTGGAGTGCTGCGGAGCGACCAACTCGAGCGACTGGGCGAGTCTTGGCTCCGTGCCAGACTCCTGTTGTGTCGTGGCGATGGAGGGGTGCGCCCGCGAGAACGCGCCTCTCCATGGCGTCGGCTGCATCGAAAAAGTCGAAGGTTCTTTCCAGAATAATTAATTTTGATAAAATATATTCATGGGTTATTTGAGTAGGGACCGCAAGCCATTTCTTCAGAACGATTCAAAAAAATATGTTTTTTTCACATTGTTCGATAGAGGAGACTGTCCATTTTCATAATCCGTTTAGTGTTTGAAAAAAAGCTCCACTAAGAAAAAAAGTTATGGCCAAAAAAACTAGCGCGCGCGGCGTACAACTGGAGGCAAAAATCTCACGGTTTTCCCGCTGCCGCACGCTTTCTTTTTAAATGTTTTTTTGCGCGTTTCTGGACCGTTTTTAAATCGGTTTTCTGTTTTTGAGAAGTTGTCGAACTGAGCCTCATGTTTTTGGTATGAATCTTTTTGTACAATCCTCATAAGAATTTTTGATAAAAATATCAAAAAAACTACCTAGAAAAAAAGGTCAAAGGGATTTTTTTCAGCTTATTTTTTTCTTTTTTTTCTACTCAGAAAAAAATTATTATCATTCGATTTGGAAAAAAAGAAAAAAATGAAAAAAATAATGTTATTTCGAAATAAAACAGGAAAAAAAGTGCAATTTGACTCCGAAAAAAACGGCTCCTGCAACATTTAAAAGGGCGCATCGGTGTGTTTGACGCAAACACTGCTACGGACACTTGCACGAAATCTTCCGAAATTTCAAAAAAATTGCTATTTTTTTCGAGGTTTTTCAAAGCCGTTATTTTTTTCGCGTCGATCGATTTTTTTCATAATTTTTTTCATTGGTAGAGTTTTTGAACGCTTAATAACATAATCAAAAGTATAGACGCGATCCTATTCTCTCATGCGTCAACGAGGCAGGCGAAAAAAGGAGGTTTTGGTAAAATTCAAATATAATTTGATTCGCTGTCCCAATAATTATTTTCATTTTGAATTTTTATTTTTGGACACACTGTTAGTTTTTAAATCGAATAAAAAGTATACCATGTCGCTGAAATTTTTTCGCATTTCAGCTTCAAAGTTTGGTGTCACTTTACAAGCTTTAATATTTTTTTCGCGTCGGTAGATTTTTTTTATTTTCACTCAAAAAATAAAGAAAGTGTAAATGTATAACATATTTAAAATTTAGAAGCGTTCCTCACTTGGTTTTCTGAAACGCGACGTTTTTGTGAAACTTGTCAGTTTTTTTCGTGTTAAATCTTACTTTTTTTCGCTTATTTTTTTGAAAAAAACATAGTTTTTTTAAAAATATTCAGTCTTGTAGAGCGTTGTCGATTACATAGATTAGCAGAAACAGTTCATTTTTAAAGTGGGACTTTAGCTAGTATAAACGCCTCAAAACCGTTTTTGCAACAAAAAAATCGTCAAATCGGTGGCGTGAGGGGGCAGGGCTTTGCGCCCCCTATATTTGAGCTACAGCATTGTGTAGGTGTATAAAGTTCCAATTTTTCGTCTTTTTAGGAATTGTCCTAAATTGCTCTATCAATTAGGAATTGTTCTAAATTGCTGTTTTTCAACTGTTTTATCTAGGGGGCGCAAAGCCCCGCCCCTTCACGCCACCAAAATGACGATTTTTTTGTTGCAAAAACGGTTTTGAGGCGTTTATACTAGCTAAAGTCCCACTTTAAAAATCAACTGTTTCTGAAAACCTATGTAATCGACAACGCTCTACAAGACTGAATATTTTTTTAAAACTATGTATTTTTTTTCAAAAAAATAAGCGAAAAAAAGTAAGATTTAACACGAAAAAAACTGACAAGTTTCACAAAAATCGTCGCGTTTCAGAAAAACCAAGTGAGGAACGCTTCTAAATTTTTAGTATGTTATACATTAACACTTTCTTTATTTTTTTGAGTGAAAATGAAAAAAATCTACCGACGCGAAAAAAATATTAAAAGCTTGTAAAGTGACACCAAACTTTGAAGCTGAAATGCGAAAAAAATTTCAGCGACATGGTATACTTTTTATTTGATTTAAAAAACTAACAGTGTGTCCAAGAATAAAAAAATTCAAAATGAAAAATAATTATTGGGACAGCGAATCAAATTATATTTGAGTTTTACCAAAACCTCCTTTTTTTCGCCTGCCTCGTTGACGCATGAGAGAATAGGATCGCGTCTATATTTTTTTGATTATGTTATTAAGCGTTCAAAAACTCTATCAATGAAAAAAATTATGAAAAAAATCGATCGACGCGAAAAAAATAACGGCTTTGAAATCCTCGAAAAAAATGGCAATTTTTGAAATTTCGGAAGATTTCGTGCAAGTGTCCGTAGCAGTGTTTGCGTCAAACACACCGATGCGCCCTTTTAAATGTCGCAGGAGCCGTTTTTTTCGGAGTCAAATTGCACTTTTTCCTGTTTTATTTCGAAATAACATTATTTTTTTCATTTTTTTCTTTTTTTCCAAATCGAATGATAATAATTTTTTTCTGAGTAGAAAAAAAGAAAAAAATAAGCTGAAAAAAATCCTTTTGACCTTTTTTTCTAGGTAGTTTTTTTTGATATTTCATCAAAACTTCTTATGAGGATTGTACAAAAGATTCATACCAAAAACATGAGGCTCAGTTCGGACAACCTCTCAGAACAGAAAAACCGATTTAAAAAAACGGTTCAGAAACGCGCAAAAAAACATTTAAAAAGAAAGCGTGCGGCAGCGGGTAAACCGTGAGATTTTTGCCTCCAGTTGTACGCCGCGCGCGCTCGTTTTTTGGCCATAACTTTTTTCTTAGTGAACCTTTTTTCAAAAACTAAACGGATTATGAAAATGGACAGTCTCCCCTATCGAACAATGTGAAAAACATATTTTTTGAATCATTCTGAAGAAATGGCTTGCGGACCCTAGTTTTATCCACACCTTATGCATTTATGGTTACAAAAGAATTTGAAAACAGACCCAGCTTTAATATTCAATAGAACTTAGCAGAGAGGTACATTCAGGCCTCCTTTATATCCAGAGGTTTCGGGGCTTTTGCCTTTGGGCCGATTTATGGAGCTTCAGACTAACAAGCCAGAAATGATTTGCAGTACAAGAGTTCTTCTAGTTTTTAGATAAAAATGTGCTTTTTTTCCGAGTGAAATTCTTTTTTTTAAACTCAAAAAGGCGTTTATAGGATTTTAAACTTGCTAGTTTCTAGAAATTTTCAAATATAATTTTTTTGAACGATCTGCGGAAGTTTTTTTTACTTTGAAGTTTCCTCGAAATTTTTAATGTTTTCAGTTAAAAAAGAGCCTTTTCAGCATGGGTAATGTTCAACTCGGAGATTGTGGGCGGAGCCTCGGCGGTTCTGGCGGCGCTGCAGGTGCTCGGCGTCTGTTTCGCCTGTTGCCTGTCCAAGAGCATCCTCAAAGACTTCCACGATTTCTACTACTGAATGCCTTCTTTAGTTGTTTTTTTTCTAGTCTTTTTCTCTTTGTGCCAGTTTAGGTTCAACTGGCAATCAGAATTTTTTAACTATTTTTCTTGCTTCCAACTGAGCCCGCACCAAAAACTTTCTTTCATGTGCCAATCTCCCGTTATCCGTTTTTATATCGCAAAAGATTTATTTTTGTATCCGTTTTATTTTTTTTTTCCAAAATAAGAATAAAATGAGTAGATTTGAAGACCCTGTATGTCATGGAAAGTGTTGCAAAATGGCAATGAGTGGAGAGAATGAGCAATGGAATCGAAAGAAGAATACCTTGGGTTCGAGACTGAAAAGAGGATCTCCGTATACAGTAAGACTAAAGGAATACCTTGTAAACGAGCACAGAAACATAAACAGAAAAAAAAAGAAGCAACAGAGATGTACAGAGGTTGGAAGAGAAAAAAACGTAAGCGAAGCCAATAATACACGCACAATTCGAATGCTAATCGAGGTATAACCCAAAGAGATGAACAAATAATCAAATCGAATACTTTTCCGAAATTCAAGATTTTTTTTTTCAATTTAAAGGCGTTGGAAATTTTGAGAGAATCTTGATAGAAAAAGCTTTTGGCAAGAGTTCAAAATTTGAGAATTGGAAATGTTTGTCGGAACCTGAGACCATTTCAAAACACTGATGAGTTTTTTTTTATACAAATTTGTTTGAAAGAGCGGCGAAAAGTGATTTTTTTTAAAATTTTGATTAGCATTTTCAGTTTTACAACTTGAAAAACTTCCAACTTTCTTAATGATTGTTTTTTTGCATTCTGCCCTTTCTTCCTGCGCGTTTTTCGGACTTCAATCTTCAGGTCCAAACAACAAACAAAAAAAGTCGCAGAATCTTGGAAAAATCTTGGACGGTTCTGGCAACGGAGATAAAACTGGCGGGCCGCCGCAGAGTGAGAAGAAGCAATGGATCGGACCCAAGGGAATCAAAGTCTGACACATACTTGGCCGCTCACTTCTTCCCGTCTGCTCCAAAACACGGGCTCAGTCCAAAAATAAAAGGAAACGCCAGTCGCTCAAAACGGAGGGATTACCAGGATGGGTTGTCGCCTCAATAATCTCCGGAAATTTTTTCAAAAAGACTCGAAATCTTATGTTTTCAATTTCTTCACTTATACTTTTCTTGAAAATTCACTTTTCGCCGCACTTTCCCACTCAAATCAACAATTGGGAACCTAAATTTCAAACCATCAGTACTAATTGATTTTTGTGAGCGGACTCATACACAAGAAAGGAAAGATTATGCAAAGGAAAATTCTAAAATGTCGGAAAGTTATTAATGCGAAGAGAGAAGGTTAGAAGAAAGGCTGGAGGTTAGGAGGCCGGCGGAACGGGCTCGGGTCGACTTGTGAGGGCTAGCCGAGCATAGGCGCGCTGGTAGCTGCTCACCGTCTTCGAGCTGCACACCCAGATCGCGCAAGTTATCCCGACGATCAGTTGTGAAAGGTATCTGAAGAGATACAATCAATGAAGCGATTGAATAATTTCGCAATGATTTTCGTGTTTTTTAACGATATTTCGATTCATTCGATTTCGCCTAGGGAGTGCCGTAAATTGATCTGGACACTTTTTGTGAGATGATTCAAACAAAAAAAAAAAATAATGAGCAATCCACTTTGAAGCAAGCTTTGTCTTCGAAATTCTCCCTGATAACTAGTTCAAGGTTGGATATATTTCCAAAATTTCCCAACAATTTTGACTTTGGAATCGTTATAATGATCAAAGCGAGGTTCACTTCGCCATAATTCTTGTAATGATGAACAAAGAAGACTAACTTCAAGAGATAAATCGTGACGTCAAGCTCACTGGTTTCTCCATGGAGCGGACAATCCTCCGTGGGTCGTGTGAAGCCGAAAACGTCACGATCCGGCCGAATACACCGGAGATGGAGCCATTCTGAAACAACGATTACACATTTTCTTCTCGAATACTGGCTTTTTTTTCGCGCGCAAAATGCTAGGGTAGGATCCAGCTGATGTATGATTTCGTTTTCTGTTACCTTCCAGCCAGCCAGGCACGCTCATCGACTGGTAGCAGAGAATGGCGGCGTTGATAGCCGTCGGCAAAACGTACATCACAGCGAACGCCGATATTCTGCATGATTACCGAAAATGGGAGATCAAGAAGGAGAAAGACGGACCTGAACATGAGTTTCTCGAGCTTGCTAATGTTCCTTTCGACGTCGGCCTGTTGCAGTTTGATGTAGCTTCGGATGCGTAACATTGACCAGATACCGCACACCAAAAGTATGACTCCGATGGCTGAGAGGAAAAAACTACTGATAGCGGAAAAATATTTGAAGCTCACCTAAACACGTGGTCATCGGCACAAACAAAAAGTAGAACAAGGCGGCCGGTTGGAGGTTCCCAACGGAACAAACTCCTATAAAAAAGACGATAAATAATTTGGAAGTAATTTTTTTTGTCCAACTTTTTTGTGTAAAATCAGATCATCTTTTTATGATTACTCGACGAAAAATGCGGTAAAAAAAACCGTAATGGATATTCAAATTTCTTTGCTGGGGTGTTTAAAGGAGAGTAGGGGCTTCACATGAAGGTGCCTCGATGCGCGAATCGTTTTTTCAACGTAACTTCAAGTCCTGCCAGATTTTTGTGACATAAAACAAAAAAGGTCAATAATTCAAACATCTCACAAACAGTGAGGATTCTGGCTATGAAAATGTTGGCTTTTACAATTTTCAAAAGTTCCAAAACTTGCGAGACAGTTTCCCTTTAAAAGCAAGAAGTACGTGAAAAGATTTTTTGTTGAAAACCTGTATGTCTTTCTTTTATTTTCAAATTTATTTCTATTTCCAAGCCTTTCAGCAAGAATCTTACCGGTAAAAACATCTCCATCGATGGAATTGGTAACTAAGACGGCAACAGAAAGAACCGCGGGAACTCCCCAGGACAAGGCGTGGAAATAGGGCGACAAAGCCGCGATCGACTCGGCTCCCCACTTGAGGTTCGCAGCCAGAAACCATGCCAGACAGAGGACGAGCCACCTGGAAATTTCGGGTTGGAATCTGAATCTGTGGTGATTTTCCGAGTACCAGGCACTGCTGGCCATGAAGAAGTAATAGTGTCCGACGGCCAGGGCGCTGCAGCCGACGTTTTCGCCGCCTTGGGTCACCAGTTCTGAGGGCGTCGATCCGTGGGCGCCACAGGCGAATCTGTCTTCTCCAACGACTCCTGCAAAGTTTCTTCTGGTTGCAACATTGATGAGGTTGACTACGACGAATAGAGTTTTCTATGGTCTAGAATGTGAAAATTTCGATTTAATTGATGAGACGAATGAGAAGTCAGATAAAAAAATAGGCAAGTCTGAGTTGATTATTTCGAAAAATATATAAAAATCAAAGACTTTCGAAAATGCTTTTAAAAGCTCTCGTTCACAAGTCAGTAATCATATAGAGCTTCATTCCCGAGTTCGACTTCAGTTGAGTTATTTTCGGTCATAGAGAAAGCTTCTAAGATTTAGTTGTAAGCTCTACCGTCGATTCAATGCCTCGTCCAAAAAGTTCTTGTGCCGAAAAATGAAAGATTCTGATTTGATTTTTCTTGTCGACTCTGCAGGAAAGACCCACCAATCATGTAGACGACGGAGATGGCGAGATAGCAAAAAGCCATGTAGAGAATGGGTCTGACAGGGTAGGCGAAGCGCTGCAAGTCGACGACGAACGTCAGCAAGGTGAAAAGTGAGCAGACGCAGCAGGCGACCGACCAGGCTCCCGTCCAGAATCTGATCAGTCTGCGGACGCGTGCGTCGAAGAACATCGGCACCTGAAAGCCGTCGTTGAGAAGGGCTTCGAGACAGTCGCCCACGTGATTGTCGGCGTCGCAGGGCAGACTGCAGTCGGCCAGACGACCGCTGAGGAGCGGCAACGAGAAGTGAGATCCCGAGGTGGCGCGCATCGTCAGCGGACATTCCAGCGACGAGTGCGGCTGCGACAGTCCGTAGCTCGAGAATGGCCCACTTCCACCGCGACTGAAAATTCGCTCATATACTCAAAAATATTACGAAAGAAAGATTCTGTTGAAGACAGAGTCATTATGAAATTTGAAGTTTTATTTTGAAATTTCTCCTCAAAAAACATAGTTTCTGAGTACAATCCATGAATAAGTCCAAAAAAAAAATCTGTACTTTTTCGACTTTTATTGTACATTCATTATCGTAGAAAACTTGCGGAACAGTCTAAAAATCGAAATTTCCTGGTCTTGTTTGAATTGAGTCAAGCATTTCAGTGTCCGCTTAAGAAATTTATTTATTATGGAAAAAATCTAATATTGATTTTTTTCTAAGAACTGAGTTCAAGATTACGAAACTTCTCACGATCACAAAAAAATTTTCCAAAAAAAATTTCATTGGTCTTCAACTTTTTTTCCAAATATAAAGAAAGGCTGCGCGCTGAGAGTTCAGGTCCAAAGCCAAAAAATTAAGTAGCTCAAGAAATTTTTTTTTTGAATTTAAAGCCCTACGGATTGCGGAATTATAAAAAAATCAAAGTGTTCAAAACTTGAAAAAAAAAATGATTTTCAAGTCGTTGATTATGTCTTTACTGCCTTTTTCCTTACCAAAATTCGATTTGCACAAACTTTTTTTATTTTATTTCTTTTTTAGCCTCTTCTCTATGAAGATTCCCGTGTAAACGATCGAAATAATACAAATCCACACTTTCGAAATATTCGAACAAAAATGGAAAATGAAAATCGTCTCGCATCACTTGAGGATGAGTCATCATCCCCTAGCGAATGGGCTCATTTTGCAAAACTGGCACCAATCCAATTGTCGTTTTTCGCGCATTCCTCGCCTAATTGCATTTGTTGGGCCATCTCAGTGGTCAAATTTCAGTCCGCCTATTTTCTGCCCGCTAGGAATCAACGAATAGATTTGAAGGATACCCAGGAGAGGGAGTACTGTCGGACTTGTTGCGGCCGACGCAGAGATCATCGACGGGGAACTTGTTGCAGTCGAGCTGATCCGGCCATTTGAACCCGAACTTCTTCATCAGACTCTCGCAGCCATTTTTCGCCGAAAGACAAAGTTCTCGGCATGGTTGGATCGGCTTTTCCAGCACTGTGCACACTGGCGCGTACCTTAAAAACAATCGCGTCTATTTGAAACGATATCGGATTGATTGAAAATTTTCAATTTTGGAAACTTGTGGGTATTTCGAAGTTTTTGAAGCGTTGATTTTCTGGTGGTATGAAAAAAAAGACAGCGAATTTTTGAGCGGCGACTTTTTCGATTTTTCCATATTGCCACGGAACTTTCCGACGGCCACCTTTCCGACGTATCCCTTTCCGAATTTTTTTCCTTATATTTTTTCATTTATAAAGCTTCTAACAACATTTTTGTCTATTTCTTTGTGTTTAAATCATGAAACAACTACCTACTTTATATAGAAGGTTCAAAAAGAGTTTATCGAGAAAAAACGTCGGAAAAGGATTCGTCGGGAAGTTCCCTAACGAAAAATTTCACATACGCAAAATATGAATCATATGAATTTTGAATTGATTTTGAAATTTTTTAATTGTTTTTTCTTACGATTAGCCAAGAACTTTTCTGAAGGGGCAAAGAAATTTCTGGAAAATTGTTCTCCTCCAGATCAAATTCGTTTTTTTCGGTCGATTTCGGTCAGGAACATATTTTTTCCGTTTTCTATCTTAAATCAGCCTTCTCGTTAATACAGTGAAAAAAAAAAGTAAATAACAGATTTCAATAATCATTTTCAACTAAAGTTCACTACCTTTCCTTCAACTGATTTTGACCTCAAGCTAGTCAGTAAATCTCTTGAGAGATCAAAAACGAAAAAAAGAGCAAAAATCGCCGTCTATACCGACAAACTTGCCGAAAAACTGTCAAGTGGTGGCAGTCATCAAGGATTAAATAAATATCCCAGAAATAAACCAAACAATAAATAAAGATCATAATTTGCTAGATTACTTTCCACCAAACTCACACTGTACACAGGAACAAGCGGATGTCTTCAGAGCATTTAACCTAAAAAGACAATTTTCAAAGTCAGGGAGCAAGTTCAGTGGGTAACCTTTATGAGGGGGTTAAACTGTGTGATGGCGGGAAAAGCGTCGCTCTGAGTCTGATGACCCAGGAGATTGGGGAAGACGGTGGAGTTGTACTCGAGGTTCTTGCACATTGGAATCGTGATCGGCTCACATTTTCGGTTTTGAGAGAGGGCGCCAGACGACAGCGACGTCGAAAGACGCGACTGAATTTTCCTTTCCACTCTTTGATATTGAGATAACGAGGATTAGGTACACGCTAAAAACCGAAAAAGGATTTCGAAATACCTTTTTAAAACAATATACCTTTTAAAAAGTTTTAAATCAAGCGCTAAAGATTAATTTAGTCCTCAACAATACTTCCAATTATTTTTTTCCGTCAGGCCAAAAATATCTTATTTTCGAGTAAGTTGAAAATTTTAACAAACTAAAAAAAATTGGAGCGCTCAGGAAGTTGAAAAAAACTTAATCAAAGATAAAATGGTTTAAATGCGTATTTCCTAATTGAAAAAGTTAAAAAAATACATATTTCACTCCTCGGCTATTCTATAAGTCCGACTGAAACTTGAACAAAAAGAGATTTTATTAAAATTAATAAAAAAGTGATCCCTAATCCTCTTTGAAGCCAAAAAATTACCTGCTGTCCAAATGAGCCACTCAAAAAAAGCAAAACACAGAAAATTCGTTCGAAGAAGCCCATCCCTCAAAAACCGGCTGAGCAGAGTGAAAAATTAAAGAAAAACTGGACGTTCGTGAAAAGCCCTTATGTCATAGGCTCGTTGGCTCCTGCAAATGAACAAAAATTTCAATGTGAAATGGTGGTTCAACAATTCACATACACGCGCGTCTTTGATAAAGAACTGTGAAAATGGTGCCGGCTCGTGAATCAGTGTGAAATGAAATGATTACAGGAAAAACAGTGAATCGATAAGGCTGAGCGATTACGAAGTGGTAGACTAAAAATAACATCAAAATGGGCAATTTCGAAGATTTTGAAACGAAAAAAGCTTGTATCTAGAAGCCAAAGTCATACAAAACCATCAATTAAAATTTCTTTACAAATTTTTTGAGAAAAAAAAACTCAATGATGAGGACAGGATAAGAAGTTGCTGGATAGCAAAAGGAAAACAGAAAATAAAAAGAAATCTTTCTATGAAAAACGTACACCAATCAATTGAAGGGCTCATAACTATCTCAAAATGATCACTTCTCTTTTTTTTTCGAAAACCGCCGCATAAAAAAGTAATTATTTATCTTGAAAGTTCGAAATAACCTTTTTAAGTTTAAAAGACTCTATTTTCAGGTCCTGTGACATAAACTTTTCGAATATTTCTTCTTGAAAACTGAAACTAACGAGCTCTTTAATGTGAGTAATCGCGATGAGCCATTAAATCAAGAAAACGAGGTTCAAAAAGCAACAACGAGAAAAAAAAGGCATAAAATTGTCATAAATCAAAAGACAAGGGCAATAACGACGTGGCAAAACAATCGTTTGCAACACGCATGAGAGCCGCAAATAAATCGCAGAACGAGGCGCGCGTCGTTTATTCGGCGATAAATCAGTAGAGCTGTGGGAGGCGGCGGCGAGGTCGTTAGAGGGCGGCCATTGTTTCCAGAAACTCGGAGCCTTTAAGAGGCTTTCGACGGTGCGAAACGATTGATACGTTCGTCTCTATTATCGAATCGTTCCTAATCGATTTTTAAGCTGCTCGGTGCGTCGCAGCGCGGGAGATGGATGGCGTCCTGAGGTTTTTCTTCCGATCCTCCAATGTTCCCTGGTGGCTCTCTTTCAGCCGCTGGTATCCGTCGGCTCATTCGAACGCTTTTTTATCTCTTTCATTCAGCACGTGTTGCTTTTTGGATATAAAAAAGGGTGCGCGAATTCAGAAAAACTCAGGGAAAATCTTTTCTTTCTATACACCTGCAAAATGTAGGAAGCTCATTTCAAAATTTAGCTTCGTTTCACAAAAAAAATGACGAAACTATTAAATTTTTAGGAGAAACGTAAAAAGAAAAATCATTCAAAAGTGCGTTCAACATGAACTTTTCAAAAAAAGGTTTGGACTTTTTTGACTGCTTTCACCTTCTTTCTAGTAAGAATTCAGACCATCCGAACAGTTTGCGCCTTTTCATCACCCTAAGATTCCAAAAGCTTTAGATGAGAAACTGACTTTTGATACGAATTCTATCAAAAGGATAATTTTGAATTTTTCGACAGAAAAAAGAAAACCCTTTTAACAAAGACATCGCCGCTTTCTAACCAACTAATTTGAGATTATGAAATCAAGAAGAAATAAAGATCTGGGCAAATGGGAACATTTCTCACAACCGAAAAAAGTGGCCATCGAAGGGGCAATAATTCAAAACGAGATTATTAACGATGCAAGGTGCCGAGTCGGCAGAGCCTGCTGCAGCGAGGGTTTGTGTTGCAGATCAGGGTCATTCTTTCTGCCGCTGCCTACGCCTCGTCCTCCCAAAATGATCGAGTGGGCAACGGCACGGAAGCCTCTCTAGCCCCAAAACGTTCTTCGCCGCACTGGCTGAACCTCCTGCCACTAATTTGCATGTATATCTTGCGTTGCATTCGATAATTGACGCTGGGTTTCAAAGGATATTTCCCAAAACGTATATTACTCGAGGCTGAGAAGGTTCCATGAATAAATAAAAGGAATTCGCGTACGATGAATGAGCTATGTAAGATGGAAAAACGCCTAAATAACCTATAATTTAAAATATTACATAGAAGGACATTCCACGCGCAGCCATGGGAAAAAGTCTTCAACATATTCAAACCAATGAGCTCTTTTTAGTGTCACTTTTGAAGATCAAAATTTGAAAAATTGGGATCATTAAAAAATTCGTAAACAAGGAATTTAAAAAAAGTAAGATATTGTAAACTCTGAAGAATTGGGTGTAAATTTTCGCCCGGAAAGTTGTTGCAAGTCATCCCCAAGGGAAAAAAGCAGCAGCATGAATCGAGAACAAGATTAGAGCGACAAAAAGTTTTGTCCTCTCGGGCGCAGATAAAAATCTATCGAAAAACTTCTGAAATTTTGAGAGAGGGAGAGCGAGAAGGAGAAAACGAGGAAGAGAGAACTCTATTATCAATGTGCTTTTGAAAGAAAAATGACAAAATGAAGATGAGCAAACGAAGAAAGAGCGAAAGTGAATTTACAAACATTAAGAGGCATAATTTTCGAGAGGTTGATTAGAAATAACTTTTAGAGGCTACTGAATGGTTTCAAAGCTCTCTATGACTATACGATTTATTAATAACCTCTAAGAGTTACTTATTTTCGCTAAAACATTTTATATACGCCACAGAAGTTTCTGAAAGTCACAAAAAAGATTTTAAAGAAATATTTTGAATTCGCGGCAGAGCGGCGAGAGTGTGGTTTTTTCGGCAAGAGTGTCCACAGTCGAAACGCGTTCACGATTTACGCGCAAATAAATTTTTTGAAAAGTTTGTGATCAAACTTTTGAACTCTTTTATTAACTATTTAGTTTTTGGCTCTCAAGTCTGGTTTTTTTATAGAACAACAAAAATGCTTCGGTTAGGGGCGAGTTTCATTCAAGCCACAATCTCACAAAGGTACCTTCTAAAATTTTAAACAGAAATTTTCTATTAAATATTTTCAGAAGACTTTCTTCTTGGCTTTCTGATTGCAGCTCTTCATTCTATTCTTGTAACTGCTGTTTACAAATATGTCCCGACCCCATACATGGACGAGATCTTCCACATCGGTAAGGTTTTCCCAACAATTCGAAAAAATCACATTAAAATTAGAACGAGAATGATAGATTAATTTTTGTTTAATTTTTATACTGTGGAAACGTTTTTAATTGCGGATTCACGGTGGTTTCCCTTATTAGGGGTTAATTGGCGACAGATCGGTTGCGCTAATTAAAAATGCGGCTATCTTTTTATTGTAATGTTAAAGCGGAACATTTCTAAGTAAAATAGGATTCTATTCAAGGGCAGACACGGTCGTACTGCAACGGAAACTTCACTTGGAATCCCTTGATAACGACTCCACCGGCGTTATATTTTTTGGCGGTGCCATTCTGCTACGGCCAGAATGAAAGATACGTCAATTCGCTCCTGATTCTTCTTGCCGTCGCTGGATTCTGTCGTTTTCGTCGCATGTTCAGCCGGGTATAAATCTAAAAGATAAAGTAGAAAATAATTCGAAGGATTTCAGGACTTTGTGCTTTCGACAGCGGTGATTGTGCAGACTTTGCCGGTTTTGCTACACTCTTCTGTCCTTCTTTATACCGACCTTCTATCGCTAACTGCTGTTGTCTGGGGACTCTCTATAAGGTTGGTAGATTCAGTTCTCAAATAGTTTTTTTTTCTCAAAAGTATGAAAATTGAGTTGCTTAACTGTTAGAGAAACTCACTTATCAATCCAATCAGTCGAAAAAATATCTCAAAAGTTGAAGGAATGTGTTTGAACCATGAAGAATATCTTAGGCTTTGAAATTTTAGTATTTTCCCGCTACCAATCATGTTCGAAAGCGTCATTATTCATAGTTTTTTTTTCCTACTTTTTTTAGGAAAGTTTGTTCGAAATTCTGTATTTTTTTTTGTTTTCTGCTTGATTTTAAAAGAGTAAAAAAACGTTATTTTGAAATTTTATAAGCTATTTTCTATAGAGCTTTCCCAACAAGTTTAATGAAAAAAAAGGGATTTATTGGATATTGACTGCAATTGAAATTAAAATTACCTAAAATCTCCATAAAGACAGTCCAAAAAAAGGAAAGAATGAACAACAACTTCCTTTCAGGAGTCCTTCGGTTTCGGCGCTGTGCTTCCTGGTGGCGACACTCACCCGTCAAACGAACATCGTTTGGGCGGCCGTCTACGCGGCATCGCGTCTCTTGGCACGACATCGCAGCGACCGGCCATTCAGGTCCACCTTCTCTTCCCTCCTGTATCTTTGGCCTTTCGAACTGCTTGCCCTCGCTTTTGCCGCCTTTGTCGTGATCAACGACGGAAAATTCGTCCTCGGCGACGCCAAGGCACACGAGCCGAAGCTGCACCTTGCGCAGTTCTTCTACTGCTTGATCTTCTGCGCCGCCCACGGCTGCCTCCAGGCGTTGCCTCTGATCTCTCCTCTTCTGAAGAAGGCGTTGAGACCGTCGCGGCTGGCGATCTCGTTGGTGGTGGCCTTCTGCTTCTACCGCTACTCCTACGACCACCCATATCTTCTGGCCGACAACAGACACTTCACCTTCTACATTTGGCGTCGATTCCTTGCAAACCCACTCATTAGAACATCTTTGGCTCCGATTTGCGTCTTATCTGCGGATTTCATGAACTTGACGACGGCTCACGTCGCTCCGATCCACAGGATTCTCTTCCTGTTTGCCACACTTGCTGTTCTGGTCCCTGCTCATTTGTTCGAAATGCGTTATTATATAGTTCCTTATGCCTTGTGGAGGCTTTCAGTCCGAAGCTGTAACTGCAGAGTTCTCATTCTCCTTGAGGTCCTACTTCATCTTTCAATTTTCTCTGAAGTACTTTATTTGTTCCTCTTTAAGCCATTTGAATGGCCTTCCGAACCGGGCATTTGGCAACGTTTCATGTTTTAATTTATTTCATGGGCGTGATCTCAATTAAGTTATACTGATTTGATCAACTTTCCTTTTAAAACTGACGAACTCGGTGATTTTTTCACTTTTTTTTCCTCTTAAATACGGTTTCTATATTTGCAAACTACAGGTTTGCAGTAATAAATTCTTTACTGATTCAAAAATAGAAAGCAGCAGGTTCAGGCACAGAAAGATCAAATGAGCATGCAAAAATTAGGCACAAAGCGAAGCGATTCGTACAACGTACAAAAAAGTACTAGCACCGATTAATGGAAAAAAAAAACGGCGAGAAAATGGCAAATATTAATAACTGCAATTTGTATCGATAGTATAGCACAAGAATATTGCGTTAAAGCTAATGTCACTGATTGAATTGAAAATCTCGCAAAAAGGAGAAAAATTGACGATATCGCAGAGGAAAGTGATCTTTTTCATATTCCACAAAACTGAATCTCAGAACCTCTGCGCAAGGTCTCAAGAATGAAGGAACGATAAAGCAGAAACAGAAAGTGATTCGGAACCGTCCAAACAAACAACGAATAGAATTTCAAACAAAGTTGAGAAATATGTTTCCGTAAGATCACTCGTCTCAACCGATTATGAATTATTAAAATTATTATTATGACTCGTCGCAGCAGTGTTGGATGTGAATGGCAAGCGATTCGGGGAGGATTTTGGCTAAGTGTTAAGAATTATGAAACTGGCGATACAGATCTAAAAGAACAATTGGTAAATGCTTAGGAACGTGAGTAGTTTGAATTATGCTGAGATAACAGAATGAAAAGAGCAGTGGTGGGGGGAATCAACAAAAAAATGCAAAATTGAAAGGTTGGGGTAGCGCACGTCGACCGTGAGAAAGACAATGAGGAGGTTGATGTCTCACCACAGTCGAGGCCAAGGGGGGCAAAATAAAAAGAAGCGGAAGGGGAAGGGGAATCAGCTGTACTGGGCGACTTGCTCTACAAGAGTGTCGATGGAGGCGAGACTGGCGGCCTTCGAGCCGCGGCACATGTCCAGCTGCTCCTTCTTCATGGTCTCCGGACAATGGATCGGGTGGTAGATGTGCACGAGGCCTGGCTCCGGGCTTCGGATCACTCGCAGCTTTCCATACGCAATAACCTGCAGAATTTCGAAAGTTCATCCAAGTTAGATTCACAAAAGGTCAAACTCCAAATGTGACCTTTGCTCAATTTTCCAGTTCAGATATACCTTCGGGAATTTCAAAAAACTCCCTCGAAGACTTTGAAGTACTAGGAGTTTCACCCACATAGCTGTCCGGGGGATCTTCTAGTTTAGGAGATATAGAGCAAGAAGGAAAACTGTCCTTCCCATTACTAACCTTTTCAAACAAGTCGACGTCTTCTTTGCCCCACCCCTCGATTTTCGTGTTGAAGCCTCCGATCGCCATCAAATCGGCCTGAAGAACAAATGAATTGTTCAGAAGAACAGAATAAAGACGAACTTTATACATGGCGGCGAGTCCATATCCGAAATGCCTGAAGTAGCCGCGCCGACGTCCATAATGGAAGGCGTCGGCGAGAAGTCGGTCGTTCTCCGACCAGCTCTCCGGCGAAAACTCGGAGAACACGATTGGGAAATAGACCTGAAGGCAAGAAATTCATCATTGTTCGAGGAAGATGGAGGTCAAACCTGTGCGTTGAGGATGGTATTGAGACGGATCCGATGTAGTGCATCGCAAGTGAAGAGCATGTCGACGTCGGTGAAGAAGAGCAACGCGTTGTGGGGCAGCATCGCGGCTCCTTGCATCAGCGCGATTCCGCGTGAGAACGCCGCGTCTCCCATTTCGAGCACCTTCACTGGGATCGAACTCGCCCTCAGGAACTCTATCGTCTCCCTATATGAAAGATACGTTGAAGCCACACCAGGATGAACGGATGTTTTGAGTTCTTATATAGAAATCTTTAAAAGGCGCTTCTCGGATCTCAAACCTCCTTCACTGACCATATACGAAAATGATTTTTTCTGCACCTTACCTGTTTCTCGCTTCATCTTCACTCGAGTAGAGCACAATGAGCAAAGAGACATTGTTGTCCTCGCCGTTACTCCGCTGACAGACGTTCTTCAGATGTGTGGCGAATCTGAAACGAGGAAACGTTGGTAAAGTTTCTCTATAATAAGAAACCTTGCAAAAATTTCGGCACGCCCACGCAGTGGCATGATCATGTGAATGGAGGTGTCCTCGACAAGAGAGCTGTTCAAGCGGAGATTCGCCCTGAAGCTGTCGATTGAATGATCTCAAAGGCGCCTCGCCCACCTCATTTTGGCTTCTGGCAAAGTTTTCAGCGGTCCAAAGGTCTGTTGAACGTAAGCATGACGCCGGACGGAAAGCGTCGTTCTGTGAGGCGGTCGGAACTTTTTGAACCTAAAATGAGTTCTTGGGGACAGTGGAATTTTCAAAAATTTACCAAAGGATCATGTCGAGAACGTAGTCGACGCCGAAACGTGGCTCGACTCTCATGTAGCCATACTGCAAGCTCTGGAACTGCAAATTGCGTCCGCGCTGCCGAGCATTCGCATTGAACTCCTCAAAGAGCTAAAAAACGTGAAAATCATGTGAATCTTCAGCCTACTCTTGTGATCGTGGTGCTTATGTCAGCCCGAACGCTGGCATCCGCAGTGTGTCTTGGACAATTGGGCCGATTGGCGCAGAATAAAATCTTGTTATTGTTCATGTACTCCCAGGGCGTCAAGTCGCTGGTTCTGCAAACTCAGACAGTGAGAAGAAACGCGATGAGATTTCTACCGGTTGGGCATCAATCGGACGAGAGTTGGCTTCTTGGAACTGCTGAGCTCCGAGGCCAGAGAAACACGTTTCGAACGTGCCTCTTGCAGCTTAATCTCGCGATTTGTCAGATGAACAGCGCGCATGACGGCCGGATCCTTGATGGGATGAAGCGTGATGGCCGCTTTCAACTCTTCCGTGTCTTTCAGTTCCTGAGAGAAGAAAGGCATGATGTCTCTCCATGATCTCCACACCTTGATGGATCTCTGATTGTTGTGGAACAACTTCTGCATCTCGTAGTTCCAGGTGCAGGCAACGCCGACGTGTTTGCGGATGCAGCGACCGAGTTCGACGTCTTCATGGGAAGTCAGGAGGTGCTGGAGACAAGTTTCCAAGTGAGGGGAGACCTTCCTGAAACAAAACGATGACTTATTTGTTGTTCGGCAGAAAGCACAAGGCAGTTGTTTCATAGCACAGCCTTCGACAGAATATCTAGAAACGACTGAGCCGTCGTCAAAGCAGATGACAAGAACAGCAATGTTAAAATTATTAACTAGTAAAGTAGAGCTTCTAAGATTTCGAAAAAAGTTTTTTTTTTCTGATTTTTGAATCGAAACTTTGGTGCTCTTTCTATTAGAAAGTTGAAAGACAAAGGTAAAACGAAAAGTCAATGCAAACTTTTTGCAAGCTTTCATTTTTACCTAGAAGAGAAAGTTTTTAGTCAGAAAACCCTACATCAGAGGTACTTTTGCCACGGCTCACATGTCTTCACATCTAACCCACAAAGAAACAACAGAGGAGAAGAGACTCTTCAAGACTACCGAAGGAGAAGAAAAAGCTCACAAAAGGGTAGCACGACTCATCACAACACCAGGCCCACCCATGCAGTAGTTGTCGGTGGAGCCGAGAGCCAAGAGTCCGTACTCGGCCGTGTTTCCGAGGCCGGCTTGTCCGATCACGTGGGCTCTGAATTGAGAGAGTCGACGAGACTACTCGGATCTCAATACCTAGAAGAATCGATGGATCTCAAGAACTGGGCGAGTTCTTCGCCACGGATGTACAGGTCGTCATCGCCGCGAAGGAACCAATCGTATTCGTCAGCCTAAAATGGAAAACGGCTGTTTTCTCTGGCTCTAGTTGGGTCTTGCCATGTTCTCGGCTAGCCACTTGACCATCGCGAAACTTTTTTTCTGCGGAGGGTACGTGTCGTCGACGCCTTTCAGCCGAATCAACGGCATTTCTGGATGGATGCTCTCCGTCCCTTCGGCGACGAAGAAGAGAACCTGTAGATCTTCATTTCAGGGATTCCTAGCCCTTTTTTTTTTGAGTTGCCAACACATTTTCCGTCTTTTTTTCTGTTCTCCGGTATAGCCAAAGAGGTTTCCAAAAAATCGGTTATTTTTAATTTCCCTTAAATTTTCTCAAAAAGAAGGACCTAATTAGATTCGTTATAATTTTTATGCAGCAACGCTTGATAAGTGGCTGAAATATTGCTTCTTGCTCAAATTTTTTTTTCGTGGACGTTTCAAATAATATGAACCACTCACTCAAAATAAGCCAAATTTGAGAAAAAATATCTGCTCTTTTCCTTTTCATACACATAGTTCTTATTTCTTTAGAAGAAAAAAACGGATCCAAACCTTTCCAGGAACGTGCTGAGCCCAAGTTTTCCAGACGTTGTAGGCCCGAGTGTCGACGTAACGAGCGGCGGTCATGATCGCGACGAGCATCAGTCCGCGACGTCTTCCGGGAATCGCTTGGGCCCTCTCGAAGACGTTGCCGTTGGAGCTTGGGCCGAGCAGCTCCTCGGCCGAAAGTTGCTCCGCCGTACTCGCGCATTTCGACGGCTCAGGGAAGCTCACAAACGTCCATGTGTACCTGGAAGATGGTTGATGAAAATGAGTTCAATTAATACTGTGAAAATCATGATCTAACCATGAAGGTGGCTTCATTGAAAAATTTTGATGTTTTTCTAAAAAATATCTGAAGAGTTTACAGACGATTTTTTTCATTTGAAAAAAAGTATTACAGCTCACTTTTGAGCTTTCAACTCCCATTCAAAAGCTTTCAACGGCATTATCTGAGTGATATTTCAAAGAAAAAGAGAAAAAGAAGAAAGCCCGAAAGAATAAGGTTTGAAATGGACTTCCCAATGAAAAAACTCTACTAACTTGGCTCTTTCCTCTCAAGTAATTAGAAAAAAACTTTGTTTTTTTGAGTGATCCTAACGGCCCTCAAAAATTGATCTCTCGAAAAGTACTTCGGCAATCTTCACAAGTAGCTTCTCCAACTTTTCTCAAATATTTGCTCGAGAACTTCAAAATACTTCAAAAAGACTCTTAACAAACTCAGGGACACTAAAATAACTACAACTACTCCTGAAAAAAAAGGAACGACACTCACGAAACAGTAAACCCGATTAGGATACCACAAAAGGCGAGAAAAACCGGTCGCGATACGGGCATCCTACGTCCTCTCTGAAATCAAACCGTTTTATGAGCCAAGAGGTACTTTAAGAGAACATTTCTCTCCCAAACAGCCTCTGATTGGCTTGCTCCGCCCAAAATATTGCACAAAAAAAAATTCATGTTCAGCAAAGAGTCATGATTTCTTAAATTTTTTTCAGAAATTTTTTTTCAGATTTTTTTTTTGAATATCGCTTGAAAAACCAACCAGACGCATATCAAGTGGCGTGCTAGCCAAAAAAGCCGCTTCGAATTTGAAATCACCTTTCAAATGTAAAGCTGGTGGTTATATCTGAACAAAAAGATGAGAACTGTTCAAAAAATTTTCAAAGCGTACATTTAAATCAGATATCGTCGAGTTCATGAAGGATCGAAAGAAGAGAGTGCCGCTAAGACTCCTTCGAAACTCGTCGTGGCCCTGGAAATGAAATTAAAATCGTCAAAACACAATAATTACGACGGATCCAATTAATACGGCAATGACATGGTCCAAGAAATTGATTTCGGATCTTTTTTGGGGGACGAAAAACAAAGAAAAGTGCTTTAAAACTTTGAGAAGAAAACAGATATAACATCAAAAGAGAGAAAAAAGTAAGAAAGAAGAGAGCAAAAAATATCTCATCGCAAAAAAGCAAAAAATATCTCAAGGCATCTTTTTTACTGAGGACTTTTCAAATATCTCTCACATTTCCCTATGAGTGAATTAATCAAATTAGTCAGAAAAAAAAACAGCTGATCATAGTTGAAAAGAAGCCAAAACGCTTGAGAATTCCTCGTTAAAAACGTCGTCAAAGCGCAAACACGACCGCGTTTTTTTGGTCTTTTCATTTGTTCTCCGTATTCGCCGGCAGAAGCCCCGAACATACAAAACGAACGACGTCTTCTTCACACGATAAACTGAAGAATCGGAAGAATCCCTTGGAGAAGGCTGGTTGAATGACGCTTCCGTAGAAAAAAAAAAGAACCAACCTTTTAGGCCCTTTTCAGCTCGAGATGCGCAAAACGAGGCTTTTTGTCAAGAAAACTGATTTCAATGGTGTTGAAGTACACCCCTACACATAGGAAAAGAATTCTTGAACCCAATTTTGAATGTTGCAACTTGATTTTTGTTCTTCAAATCATGTTCAGTGAGGCGAAATGCTGAACAAGTAACTTAAACAAAAGGCATTGAGTATTCCTGAAGCGCATAGCAAACACGAAGATTACCATCGAAGAAGTTTCGAATCACGTGAATCACGAGGTTGCAGCGACCGAACTTCAGATTTAAACTTTTTCCATTACACCCTTCAGAAGGAGACTTTCTATGATAATTAACTTTTTTCGAAGTTCTTCTCATCGCGAAAAAGTAGCTATATAGGTATCAATCAAACTATTTCTGTTTACTAATGCCGTGTTCAATTTGAATCCGCGAAATGCAAAATACCCGTTAGAGAAAGGAAAAGATCACTAGATTTCGGAGAGTCAGAGATCATTTTGCATTTCGTGGAATCAAATTGAACACGGCATTAACCTCATTTGCCACTCACAGAAAAATATATACCTATCGTGATGGACAAAATTGAATCGAGCACCCGAATGAAAAGACAGAAGAAAGGAAAGTGAGAACCAATAAAAACATATTAGCTAGCATTGCGATATCCATAAAAGGAAGCGATATCGCGGCAGAAAGGGAAACCTTTCGCTGTGAAAAAACACTTTCTCATTCTCGCCCAGAGCGTTAAAACGAGAATTACATGGAAAAAGTGTGAGATCCAGTGAAAAGAGAAAGGTCAGTCTAAGTATTTTCCTTCCTTTTTCCCGAAGGCTGGTCATACTTCATACAAGACCAGCGCAATGTTTGCTGAAATCGTTCAAAACGAAGAATTAAAACGAAAAAAGTGCAAAGAAAAACCCGCGCGATTCAGATAACAATAACATTGGCAAACATTAAGAAAACATAGAAAAAAAAACTAATAATATGCGAAGAATGGTAGTGTGATTTGCGTAAAAAAAGCCGCGAGTTCCGATGAGGAAATAGATGGAATTTTGCGAGTGAAGTTATAAAGAAGTGATATAATAAAAAAAGCATAAAATAAATGAAAAAAAGTGAAATAGATAATATTTTCAAGGCGCAAAACGAAGCAAGTAATTATATCGTTTCAGAGACTCTCAGATACTTTTTTTCGATTCTAGAACCTTTCCTTTTTTTCAAATACCTTCTGAACTTCAACTTCATATTTTCTTTACATATATCAGTTCCTTAAAACAGCTTGAAGCTGAAAACAGGAGAATGCTTCATCCAAAAAGGTCAAAAAGTTGAGAAAACCTCACATGAACGTTTTTGGCATTGACCTAGTCGCCTATAAAAACATTCCGCGCGAAAAAAGGTTGGAAAAAGACGTCGCTTTTGGCCGGTTGCCACTTGAAAACGGTCGAAAAAACGTCAGTTCATTGTCGTCTTCAAATTGGATTCGCGCACATTCCACAACCACATTTTTTGATTGGCTTGACAGATCATGAGAGTAAGTTTTTGAAATATTCGAAGTAGAAATTTTAAGCTAAAGATCGGAAAAAAAGAAATGTGAGAAAATATGTGATGTTAATTTCCATTTTTTTTTTCTCCAGATGGGAAGCATATAATTTCCAATGAAGACAGCATTTTAATGTGAATAATTTTCAATCAAAATAGTTGAGAAAAAGAGGAAGAGTAAAGGTCAAAGAAAGAACAGAAGAATTGGGTCATAAACAGTGAATGAAACGAGAAAATGAAAAAGTGATGGGTCTCGAAACAGTGGCAAGAGACACAACAAAGCGAAGCAATATTGCACCTCGGAACCTGATTTTTAGTTATGTTTTTGAATCAGAGTTAAGAAAAATAATATTTGAAGAGCTGAGTATAAGAGACGTGTTCAAAAAAGATGAAAGAAAGAAAAAAAAAAGAAAGCATGGTGAACACTTGACTGCCGCAAAGCAGAGAAAGCTGGAACAAAAAATATCTGGTCTCTTCAGAGTGGTTTTGGATAAAAATTACCTTCATTTGAAAAGTTAGAAAACTGTGATTTTGACAAAACTAAAAACTTATCGAGGGAAGACATTCGAATTTATCATTTAAATGAGTTTGCTATAAAATTTATTGAAAACTTGAGAACAACCAAAAAGTTTTTTCAAGACGATTCTTTCTTCGATTTTCACCCTCTCACTCAAAGTTCCAACAAAATAAAAGTCCGAAACTACATTTGAAGAGTGAAATGGAACAGAATTCTTTGAGACCAGATGATACTAACGGGGCTGTGGAAGACACACGGACTCGATTAATATCCATCAAGGGTGGCACGAGCCCCGAATGACTCAGAAACGCCATTCTGCGGCGGAAAATCGGCGTGACAAGGAAAAAGCCGTCAGGTGTGCGGCAGACGTCTCGAGAGAGCCGCCGCGGATGGTCGTCAAACTGAGGTCCGCAAGCATGAAAGTTTACGGTCCGTGGATAGATTTACTGCCTTATTCCGTACAAGATGGTCATCTAAAATAAATTAGATAAAAAAGCAAGGTGCAGGTGTTCAACTTTACTACCAATAAAATTATGGCATTACTTTACTAAAATTTTTCGATGAAATCAGAAGGAATTCGTTCGCTGTGCTAGTTCAAACCTCTCGTAGTAAATTTACAATCTCTAACCTCCCCACTTTTTTGCTTTCGCTGATATTTCTCACAAAGTATATTCACTTATTTACTAAAAAAGTAATTAAAATATCTGCTAGTAACGCTGATTCAGGAAAAAAACGGAAGTTATAAATGATGACCGCGTCCTGGTCTCCACGTAAACAATCATCGTTTGTAAACAAACAAAACAATGGAGAGTGAGAAGCTCGGAAACGATACGCTTATCCAGTTGGAGTCGTGAAACCCTTCTCAACGAATTCAATGAGAATAGAAACCAAAAACAGAAAATTGTTTCAAAACTAACTTTGAGTCATTTTTAGAAACACTGTTTGGATTTTATATATCAAACTGAGTTTTATTTTCTCTCTCAATCAATATGAAAAAGTTGTTAACGCCTCCAGATTAAAAAAAAACAGAACATCATAAAGTTCTCGAAGAAGAATCATATCCTTTTAGAAGAAATGAAGGATGTCCCAAAAAAGAATTAATACGAACAATTGAGGAAAGAAAAAGCATTAAATCACTCGGCGAACCAAAAGGAAAACTGAGGGCCGACACGCATGGTGTGAAGAAAAATGTAACGAAAAACGGCGTAGGTCTACGGAGGCGCCATAGGGCAGATAAGATCAACTTTTTTTTGGGGTTAGCGGTATCATCCTTCGAGGTCAGAGTGGCATACCTACGCCTCCGAAGGTTCAGACCTAAGCCCATAGAGGAAAAAAAAAGCGCGATTCCCAATCAAATATAACAGAATCCATTTCCTCCGCATCTTTGGACAAAAAAGGATCGGTAGGGTAGCCGACGTAATTCTTTCGCCGTGGAACACGTATCTCCCAACGAATTCGACCTTCTGCGGCATGTTAGACTAGCAGTGAGTAGACTTGAGACTGAGAACGACGACTAATTCTAGGAACACCATAAATCGTCTCAATTATCATCTTGATTCGAAAAAAAAAACGGGATTATGCTTAATAGTAGAGCTCGCAAGAGAACAATATTAGTTGACTGTTTATCAGTCTAATTGGAAATTAGAAGAAAAAAGAATTAATAAGCAAAGATTAGTTTTATAAGCTAATTTAGCCTCCACTTTCCAGCGGTACCCATACACACGAGCACAACTTGAAAACCACGAGAACGAAAAAAAGCAGTATTTTCTGAAGAAAGAAGGTCTGGTCGGAAAAATGTGGCGGAATTCGGTGGACTGTTTGAACTCGCCGCTCACCATGTGCAATTCAGCAGTTCGTCGTGAAAAACGAAGAGAGAAACGGAGGGCCAACGCTCCAAATAGCAAAACCAACATCGGAGTGGTGGGGGCAACCGAGAAGAAGAAAAAAAACGCGTGTTCTGCGCATCTGCAGCTCGCTTAAACAGACCATCCGAGCTCGTTTAGCGACGCCCTCCCACTTTGCACTTCTACAGAAAATGCCGTACCACCACATGTTCGGAAATAAAACGAACTCAAACCTAAACGAGCCGTTAATATCTGCATTAAAATTTTATATCGTCTATGAAAGGTCCAAAAAATCTGCAAGCGTATTTCTCCTAACGATCCATAAAATTTTGAGAACTAAAACTCAAGATTTTTTTGGTCGAAAATTTTCAAATTAACTTTTTATTCTAAACTGTGTACAAAATTTTGAAAAAAAATGTTTTTCTGTACCTTTCAAGATTAGATGCTTATTTTGCAAACTTTTTGACTGGAAAGTTGCATTGAAAATTGAGCTCCTATAATTTATAGCGCTTGAGTATTTAACCTTCAAAGTGCATATTGAGTATGGCTTCGGCTGCTTGGATTATCTTTTAATTACATTATATATCTCATACAAATAAAAATTTAGTTGTTCATTGAATTGGAGCGCCGACGCCGCTCAAGCGGTATAAAGTCGTAAGAATATATCTTGTTTATTGAAAAAGAGACATTTCCGTATACAAGATTTAAAAAAATTGAAATAAAATACTTCTTATTTATTTTATCAGCTTCCTACTTTTCATCCTGAAGGTAATTGGTGGAAATTTTTGACTGAAAAGTCATTTCGAGGACAAAAAAAGCCTACTGAACAAAGAATGTGAAGCATGCAAACAGCCGTAACCATTAAACAGCCGACAAAAAGATGGTCAGCGGAAAAGAGATATGGGACAATTGGCGGCGCGGTTAGCCGAAGGTGTTGAAGGACAGGAGGAAGCGAGGTATAACAACAAAAGGAGGAAGATGACGCCGTCGTGCAACCGTAATAAAAAGCGCCGTGACCTGCGCAAAAACGTTCCCGAGTGCGACGAACGCTTGGAAATGGACAAAGGGCAGTCTGTGGACGACGTGGTACGAGTTGCCAAAATGGCGAAGCCGCCTGAGCAATTTAATGGGTCTGAGAAGCGTCGCAAGGTTGCGCCATCGAACTGGCCTTCCAAAGTTTAGGGTTTGAAGAAACTAAGACAATTAAAGAGGCGATGCGAAAAGAAACTGAAAAATCAAGGCAATTACGCGTTACAAATTCTAAAAAAGCGTTTGATGTTATCATCATTCTCAAACGCGTTTGATCTATTTTTAACCATTGTAAGAGTTAAACCAGAAAAACATTTCTACTATCAGACTGAACTCAAATCAAGAATCAAGCGCAGATTTAGTTCTTAAGTGACGTTCCAATGTGTTCTCGTGAAAGCTTTGAGAAAGCGGTTTCAAAACTCGTTTTAATCGCAAAAGAACCCTAATTCATCATCAGTAACACGAACGCAGTGATTGATATAGCAATATAAATATCAGTTGAGTCTGAAAAAAACAGAAGAAGCCGTTGTTAAAAGTCCACCCTAAGCCGTATGAATTTAATAAAAATTTTAATACGGTAACCAAAGTTAAAAGCAATATAACTTCAAAATTTGAGTAACTTAAGAAAGAAACATAAATAGCTGGAAAAACGGAAGAACATTAAAACATAAATGAAAGCCGCCATATTTGAAAAGTTTGTTGCAAGAATGCGAATAAAGTTGGCGGGATAAACTTTGCGCGTATAATACTGTGCCTTCAGTGCGGCTTACATCCTGTGTGTCAGCATGACAAAGTCAGCAGGATTTACGCTAAGGTCAAAGCACTTTCTTTAATTTCCCTTTCGATTGTTTACTTTATTTGTTTATCGACGTATCACTCTGCTTATATAATGGTTTTTAGTGAACGCATTATCATGTAGACGCGATGGTTTTGTTGAAAAATGAAGAGGCAGTTACAATGGACCATGAGCGCGCTGGAGAGAAGTGCGGTTTTTCATCTGAGAATTATGTTCTGGGACGGTATGTAAAATTAATTTTTGCCTCTTAATGTAAAAGTCGTTTACAGTTTGATCGGCGAAGGATCATTCGCAAAGGTTTACAAGGCTACTTCTAGTGAAAGAAATGAGGTGATTGCTGTGAAAGTTCTTAGACCAACGAGCACTTCTGCACCGGAAAGCGACGTTAATAATCTGAGTGAGTTTTATTTTGGATAAAAAATTATATTCCAAATCCAGAAAACGATCAAATTGCTTATATCTGTTAATATTTTCAATATAATAAGTATTTAACTGCAAAAAAACTAAGTTGTCAAGCAAAATATAAAATTGAAGTTATGCAGTTGTTCAGGAAAATTGTGTCACGAGCGCATAGTCAACTACTTTTCTGTTGTGGAAAAACCGAATGGGCTTCGTGAAACACACGTTTTGATGGAATATATGCCGGACGACTTGGCCAAGTTTATCAAACGGGAAGGGTCTTTGGGCCCAAAATTAACTATATCTTATACGGTTCAAGTATGTTTATCATCGAAAAACCGTTTGACCTGATTCTTATTTTTGTAGATAGCCGAAGGACTTGAATTTTTACATTCACAGAGCATAATCCACCATGATATCAAGCCTTCAAACATCCTTCTACGAGTCGACGCTGTGAAGATCGCTGACTTTGGGTCGAGCGTTTTCGGGAACGAGCGGAGAAAACGCGGAAAACACGCGACGACGCCGATGTATTCTGCTCCAGAAGTCAGCCGCGGCACCGTGAATGACGTCCGCTCGGACATCTGGAGTCTCGGCGTCGTTCTGGTGGAGATGTCTCAGGGCATCTATCCGTGGGACGTCAAGGACAAGCCGGTCGCTCTTATTCCCCACATCTTGGAACAGGAACCGCCCAGTATGGATGTTAGTTACTTCTCTATTTTTCATTTCAAGTGGTAACATTTTCAGAAAATGTCCGAAGATCTGATTTCGTTAGCAAATAAAATGATTTGTCGGGTGGATCAACGAGTAACTGCTTCTCAAGTCTTATCTCATCCTCACTTAAGAACTTTGTGATCTTTCTTCGGTGTTCAACTCATTCCATGATAATTAATAAAAAAAGTTTTATTTATTTGTTTACGTTCGAAAAAAAGGTTATCGAATCCTTTAATATTTTTTTTTCTTCATCTCAATAGTTATGGAATAGACTTCGTCTTTAATTATAAGTTCATGTGAGATAGATCGAAACGTATAGACTTTGCTTCCCGAAAACTTCCAAATTCGTCTGCAAAAATGTATTTGGACCTTAACGCGGCCGCAATTCTTTAATTCGTTCCACCAAGATTCCAAAATTGGGGTGAATAAATTATGCCTGCAACTCAGAAGTCGCGATGGAGATGTTGAGTGCCTTGAGAGATACTATCAACACTGTTTCTACTGAACTCAGCACTGGGTAATCTTCTAATTGAATTTGATAAACTTGTCGTTATGTTAGGGTCGAAAAACTCCGGATGAACGTTGCTTCAAACGTTTTGGCACAGCAAACGTGAGTTGTTATTCGAGATTGGAACATCAAAAAGAAATTTCCGGCGTCAAAGTCTCTAGTTTGTAAAATTCCATATTTTCTCAAAAAAAAAAAAATCCAACGGAAAATCGTTGAATTGTAGATATTTTCAGAAATATTTTGATGAACTGAGAAACGTATGAGTTTTTTCATGTAGCACTAGTGCTGCCAGGTGGGGAACCCCTATAAATTTACATAATCCTTTGCGTCATTCTAAAACAAAACTGAGCGACGTCAGTTGAGCTCTGTCTTTGCTACTACTCTATCGTTTCAAATGATACTTTCTTGGGATTCTCCTGAACGGTTTTTCTGAAGAGTAATTCGTCATCAGTTTTTTTTCAGCGTGGCTTCTGATACAATTAATGAAATTGTGAACACGAAAGCGGGTAGCGATTTATTGTTAAGGTTTGCACTTCTGTTCATCCTCAAGTATTTTTAAGCCACGCAGGTTCCAAACTAAGCTTGAGGAAATCAAAGCGAATGGCGAGGAGAGCGCGAGACTAGCGAATCTGTGCAGTACTCGCATGGGAAGATCACAACAGGTCAACTGAAGGTCCACTGGAATGAACTGGACAATGTCTTCAGATGTGCAAGGAGCGTTCGGACGCAGTTATGACGATTGATGAGTTCGTTCGGAATCCGGCGGACTTTGAGAAGAAAATTAGGGAAATCAATAACCAGGCAAGCCTTTTGGTATATAATAACATCCGTGGAAGTTTCTATTTAGCTGACCAAACTCACTCGGTTCTGCAATCAGACGGAGCAGGCGATGACTCATCTGGAGGCTCTCAGCGAAATTGTCAGGGCCGAGGAAGAAGTCGACCTCATCAGACAGCAATCGCGTACCGCTGCTACCATCGTTCAGATCGAGTCGCCAAATGTTCTCAGCGGTTAGTTGACACTTTTCTTGCCACTACTTTTAAATGATGAATTTTGAGGAGAAATTCGATCTCGACCAGGCGATGAAGCTCGAGCTCACCAGGAAGAACTCATGCTCGAAGAGTTCCTCAGCGCCGAGAAATTGGAAGTACCCTAACTTCGTTTTTTTGCCTTTCTATAATTTTTCTTACCACGAATCTAGTCTTTAAAAAAAGAAAATGTATATTTATTCCCATCATTATGTCTAAACAGAGCTTATCTAATTTTCAGGAGCGTATCCCATTTATTGTCTGTAACCCATTGAATCGGAATTTTTCAGAGTGCAATTTCATACTTTATCTCCCAGATATCATTCATACAGAGAAACCATATGGTTGTAAAACGAATCTCAATAAACCTTCAAAAAACATTAAATTTAATGTTGCACGTAAAATGCGCCACGCTATAGTTGTTTGGCGCGAATTAGGAGATCAGCTGTTCGGCTCGAAGAGGAGGGAAATTACAGTTCTTTTGGCGTCGGCGTCGGTTTTTCTTGCCCTTTCGGGTCATGTGTTTTTTCTAGAACTAAAAGTGAGTAGTTTTATACTCATTTTTTGAATTTCCCTATGAACATGACCACGAACTAGAGAGTTTTTCCGCTTCTTTAACTTCGGACTTTTTTTTTCAAATTTCTTCAAGGTTTTGGATTTTCAGAAAATCCCTAGTCGAATGTCATCGTGCTGTTCGTTTTGAATTAATGGATAATTTGCGACTGGGAGAACACATTCCATCGACATCTAGTTCTAGAAGCCTTTTCCACCATCAAACAAGCTCTCCTCTCCCAAGTAAGTTTTTTTTCCCTTGATTCAGGTCAATATTTCGGCTTAAAACGGTTTAAGCTGAAGGTAAAAGTAAAATTTTTTGAATAACTCGAATTTTTCTTCACATCTGTTAAAAACGGATAGAGGCTTTGTTATAAAAAAGGTAATTTTCGCCCATTAAAAAAGAAGAAAAGGGGTTACTTTGATGGAAATGATTTTCCTATTGGCGATATGAGAAGAAAGAGAAAGAATTAAAGAAAATTGAATCTTTTTGTGTAATAATTGCCAACGAAAAAGCTTTTTTCCAGTCCTGGGCCACGGCGTCGCTGTAGATGGTATCGGGTCACCAACTGACCAGGCGTACACTCCTCCTGGGATACTAACCAAGTTGGATACCATCAAAAAGAGTTCGCCCTAGTTAGTTTCCTTTTTTACTTGTAAACCCGACAAAGAGCCATTCTTGAAGAAAATCGAGACAAATAACGATCTATTTCTCTTTATGTGGTTGAGCAAGCTATCAAGTTTTTTTTTTCAGCGTCAAACTAGAGACGATGTCGTGTTCGAGTTGCGGGAAGAAAGTGACCTGCTTTTGCAAAAAGTGTACATTAGAGAAATGTATGGTTTTTCTCTTGTTTAAATAATCTTGGACATTTTAGTAAGATTCTATTCGCGAAAAGAGAATATTTACAATAAAACAAGCGAGAAAAAACGATTGGAACGGAGCATCGAAGAGATTTTGAAAGATGAGGTTGATTTAAAACTTTGCAGATATGATGTTAAGTGATAATTTTCAGGCGGCTGTAAGCGCAGAACAAAACAAAACTCACGAGAGAATCGCGCGTTTGAAAAAAGAATTGCAAAATGTTCGCCACAGGGTAGAACTCAAAAAAGAAAAACTTCGAGGATTGGAAAAGGTGGCCCCGATTCCCCGCTTTGAGGTTTGTATAATAACTACAAAGGTAATCAAACGTCAAATTTTTAGGAGCTGTTCAAAAAACAGGAGGCCAATCGCGCAAATATTTTGGAAAGAATAGAGAGAAAGGAGGAAATGCGTAAATTGATCGAAACAAAGGTTTGAATATTTATCAGTTTTTTCTCAAGATATTTTGGTTCTGAAGGTCGCTGATTTGCGTCGAGATTTGTGCACGAAGGCGTGCGTAATATTCTCCATCCAAGAAGTTGACGTCGAGACGGTGGAACAGCAGAGGCAGCCCAACTCCAAGGACCCTCGAGGAAATAGGTTTGTTTTTTCCTAAACTAGGTATAGAAAAGTTCAAAAATATTGGTCTTCCAGTACTTTCGTGTAATAGTTTAATCACTGCGTCTCGTGTTTTAAAAAAATGCTTGGCTGAATTTTCCGAAGCGCGATCCCTCACAAGCTCAAAATTTTTCTATGCGTTTTTTAACAGGTAGAAAATTAAGAAAGTATGGCATGTAATGAGCGATTTGAAATTCTTTTTCATTATACTATAGGTGAAAAATTATTAGAATAATCAAAAAAAGGCAGGTTGGTAGCCTTGATGATGGAAAGTAGAATTTTTAAAATGAAGTTAAAATAAGATAAGACTCGCTAACTGTGAACACCCTAGTTATTGTTAATTCGCTGCTATATTTTGTAACGGGTATTTTGAAAATCGAAAAAGTGCGAAATGAGATTCAGAAGTAGTTTCAAGCTAGCAGCGATCGGTGTAAATTATTTCCATCAATGTCGTATTTTCTAGAAACTGGACAGTCATCGACAAAAACGTGATGACCGGTCGTCGTTACTTGGTAATGCCTTTCAAATTTAAAACAATCATCATTTTTCCTGAATAGGTTCGGTCAGCCTACGTAAACGAGAAGATGCGTATGAAGCTGGCCGAGGCGCTCAGTTCGGGAGCTTTTTTGTCGCTGCCCACGGATCTACACCCGCCTTTCGCCGCCATCATGCACACTGCTCAGCTCGTCCAGCTCTTCATCTACATTCTCAACTTGTCTTTGCCTTTTGAAGTCAGTTTGCTCACGAATCTGAGACACGAAAAGCTCTGAGAGCTCATTTTGATAACTACGCAAAATTTGTGTAAGACTAATTCAGACTAACGTACATGCAATTGCAGACGAAAAATGAAATAAAATATCTCAGATTTTTCCAAAATTTGTGCTGGAGCTTAAAAGTACGAAGTGTGCTTGGCTGAATTTTTGTCTTGCTTCATTTATTTTGAGGTTATCCTGAAGTTTGTTGTTATACCAAGAAAGTAAAAATTTTCCATTTTTGGATTTTCCTGTTTTTTTTTTTGGAACACTGCAATGTTTTCAAAAAAAAATGTCCTTTTTTGTATAATATAACAATTGAGGATATTTTTATCAGAATTTTTCAGCCTTTGATCAATCTTTTCCTTGGATCAATGAATATTTTTCAGATGTCTCATCGAGATTTTTCTCTTCGCGAAAGATGGTCCAAAGAAATTCTGGAACAAGAATGGTTGGAAGAAGTTGAAAAGCTGTAAATTTTAATCGGTTTGCAGGCAAACGTTATGTGAGGCGGTGATTTGGCTCTGTCGCCTCGTTGGAATGGACGAAACGCCGTTGAATCCGTCGGAACCACTTTCCAATCTCATTTTGTTCGCAAACTATGTGGTCCAAGACCGAGAGAATATAACTAAAATTGAGGTCTCTTTTCTGAAAGATTTTTCGAAATCAATTTTCAGACTTATCCGTTATCGCACGTGGCCAGCTTCCAGGGACTTTCATTGCAGCGTCAGGATTCCGAAGTTAAAGATGAAGTCAGTTAGGAATTCTCAGATTGAATCAATTTCTTGAATTTTAGGAAGACGAGTCGTGGATCGTTGTAAATTGAAGACAGAATTGTAAAATGCATTTCTTTTGTTTTATGTGAATTTTGTGAATTTGTACATAATAAGCAATAAAATAAATGATACCTAAGCGCTTTATGTACTGATAAATCTGATTGGAGCAATTTCGCACCCGTCCAGTAGGCGAATATGATTAACAATTGACAGGAAGAAAGGCAGGATAAATATAATGTGAACTCTATCGAAGTTTTCTTTTTTGAGCAACATCGCGATAGGGGAAAGCTGAATGAAAGTGTAGGATCAAGGTTTGAGTGATCGCTCGGCGTCCAAACGCTTTTTGACATCGTTGAAGTGATGTCGGTTGGTGACGGCGTCGAGGAGGGCGATTCTGCCGAGGACTCGGTTGACGGCGAAAGTCGGCAGCATTCCCTTGAGGTCGACCAGCATCACGACGTTCGTCAAAGTGTGACCGGGTTTCTTCGGATGTGGCTGGAAACAGACGCCGGCGAGGTGCAGATGCGCCCTGCAAGGAACGGCTGTTGTGGGAGTGAAATTCAGATTCGTACGCAACAAAATGCGGAAAAAAAAGAAAAAAAAAGAAAATCGACCAAAACACCCCTTGGTGTACCAGAAAAAAAAATCCTGGAAGTCTCAACCTGCACAGCTTCATAGTTTTCAGGACAGCCTACTTTTATAGGCTTTGAGGGTTTTCTTTGAGTTCGAGGCATCTTTCCTCAAAAACGAGGAAGTTTTGCAGGTTGAGACTCTCCGAATATTTTTCTGGTGAATAAGGGTCGTTTTGGCCAACTTCCAGGAAATTCCTGACCGTAAAGTAGAATCGCCTTCCTTGTAAGCTTTTCGAGGAAAATTTCAAAATTAAGTATAACTCTAAAAATATTCTCAAAAATATAATGACCTTTTTTCCTTTTTAATTACTGGCCGATCATTTTATCGGTCTTCGGTCTCTTCTTTTTCATAGCTTTTTCTATCTTCCTCTTCCAAAACGATTTCAGGTCTGCATAGTCCCATAAATGTACATACAACGCTGTCAAAAATCACTAACCGAACTCTTCCATCCACGGATTCGAGTCCGGGAACCTCGACATCTACGCTCCGCGAAACGAGCATGTGGCCGTTTTCAGTCTTCCGACGGAGCCGCGCCGAAACGAAATCGCGTCCGCTTGCGATCAAAACATTGTTGCTTCCGTACTAAACCATAAATTATTTTAAAATGCCACTCGGAAAGAAAAACTGACGGCCACGATGTCAAAGTTCTCCGTGGGAGCCGCGACGACCTGAGCGTATTTGATTTTGTCGTTCCACACCGGCAAATCCGGCATCTGGTGCCACGTTTCGTTCATCACGTCTTCGGGCGTCAGAGGTAATTCCGTCTTCAATATTTGATGGCATTTTCAATCAGAACCGCAACGAAAAAGATAGATTTTCTTATTCTGGCAAGTGTGGTAATTTTACTCGGGCTAGGTGAAGGTTCTGGGACTCGCAACTTGCACAACTTTTTTTAGAAATGGAATCTTCAAAGCTTTATTTTATTCAAAAATATCCAGCGAAGTGAGCATCGCGGAGTTCATTCATTAGAAAAAACTTGCAGTTTTACTTTCAGGATATTTGTCAACTATAGCGATTCCAAGCAAAATAATCACTTTTTAAATTTATTAAAACGAGACATACCCTGACGGTGATCATCTTCCCCAATGGCGTATTTTTCGAGTAGGCAACGTCTCCTTCGCTGTTTTCGTAGTCCATGTACCAACCACGCCGCGCATGGTAGTCTGGGTCATTGAAAAGGGCTTCGAATTCGCGGAACGCTGCGACAACGATTTCTAAAGCGTCCCCGTACTGAAAATGATAAAAAAGACATGAGAAGTTATTTCATTGAGGCAACATTTAACTTTTTTTCTGAGGTGATGAACGACACTAATGCCTTCAAAATTATTACGGCTTTTATAGCGTTTTCAACTGAGAAACGGTGCATATTTCGAAATGAAAAAAAAAAGTTGGGGGCAACCAAAGTTTCTCCGCAACAGCTGATTCATTTTTTTTTGCGTTTTAGAACAAGTTCCATTTTTTTCTTGATGATCGGCCATAAGAAAAACAAGAAATTCTAATGGATATATATATTTAATCAACGAAAAAAACAATCAATTAATACATACTTTTTGGTATTCGGGTGATAATGTATCCGTTACGCCGTGAAGAGTGATACTTGTCATACCCGCTAATGCTGAAACGCAGTTACAAATTAAAAAATTCTTATATAAAAATTTTCAATCGTCATAAATTATGATTTGATAAAATGTCAAACGCATATTTGTAGCCTTCTTAGTAAGCTAGTTGTTTGTTTCTTTTTCATGATCAAGGCTACAAGAATTGATCCACAAACCATAATAGATGATCAAAAAACAAAGTTTTCATGTGATAAAACTTTAAAAACTGATAAGATAAATTTTCTGCGTTGGAGCAAACTTGTTATGATTACTCGTTGCGCCACGGTGGACGCACAGACCCATGTTACAGAACGACAAAATAGGGATTTCAAACCTCCATTTTGGAACACATCTAGAACGATGAAGACAAGAGGCAGGAAGTACTTCATGGAAGTCTGCGTGAAAGAATGAGCTTCAGTCTAGCTATATAACACGAGGGACGCGGAGAGCAAAAAAAGAGCACAAATGCCCAGCAAATGACATCATCGAGCGAACAGCTGGGCAATGCCCTCGCTATCAGATAAATCCAAAGGATCGAGACGAGAGAGAACGTTCGCAAAGTGTGATCCACAATTCAAGGTGTTTTCATGTCGAATGAAGCATTTCGAAATTGTTTGAAAGTATTGAGTGATGTCAGAAAAGTTTTCTCTGACTAAAAACAACAAAAAAATATATTGAAATGAGAAATGAGAAATATTTTCATGAAGGTCTCGATTTCGGGCAAAAAGCAGGTGAATCAGCCAACAACATAGACAAGATGTATCTATAAATTGCTGGCTAAAACTGAAAACCCAGGTTTGGTAGAGGAATGATGATCCCTCTCCTGCTGCTATTTCTGCTACACGGTTCAGCTGCTTTCTTCTTCGAGTACCTCCAAAATGTTCATAGTTGGCAGGGTGAGGCAACTGTTGTATTGGGGATCTCATAAAAAAGTTTCAGTGACGCCCATTTGTCAGGAAGGAGAGCGTTTTCCTGGCGAGACCTGCGAAACTTTTTTGCAGTGCCGTCATGGACAGATCCGCGAACACAAGTTCGACATCTCATGCATTATGAGAGATACTTTGGACTTTTCTTCTTTTTTTTTCAGATGCCCAAACGGTCTCGGCTACTCGGAAAGACTTCGTGAATGCTCAAGGGAAATTCCTTGTCAAAATCGTGTTTGCCGTAATTCAGAGGTTTTAAAAATCTAACAGTTTTCACATTGAGCGAAATCGTTCAGAAAACCGTCGCATTAGACAAAAATGGAAAAGTCGTCTGCGATTTCTATTTTTCATGCGAAAAGAACGATTGGCGTCACTACAGATGTCCACAGGGAACAGTCTTCGGTATAGTCAATTCGCGAAAGTTCCTACGGTTTTTTGAAAGAGCAGATGTTAACCTTAGTTTGAGTGTGTTCTTCAAAATTTTGAATGCGGCTTTCACAAGTTTTGCGCTTTCCTCAGCAGGTGGCTGTAAAAAAACAGGCAACAGTTCTTCGGAACTCTGATTTAAAAGAGGATAAACCGATTTCTTTATTTTAAGTAATTTTTATTCTTCGGCTTTGACCAAACTCGAAATAGCTCCTAAATAAACCATCAATAAATAATTGAAAAAAAAATTTTCAGATCCAAAGGCGAAAGAATGTCTTCTCGGCAGATGCAAAGATGAAAGAGAGGACGGCTATGGAGTTCCGCCGGAAGAGCCACCTGTGCCTTTTGGAGTTCCAAGAACTGATGACCTTGGAATTGAGCTCGCGGTTCGTTGGGCAATCTCTTTGAATGAGTATAGATTTCAACCAATCCAAAGGCTTCAAAAAGTTGAACTGTAACTTCAAGGAATACATTGCTCGGAGTTGCGACGGCAAAACTCTCATCGCCGACCGACACGACTGCCGACGCTTCTGGCGTTGCTCCTCTAGCGGCTTCTTCGTTTCCGGAGTTAGTTCGGCTCCGAAACATGACTGCCAAAGATGATAAAGACGGATTTTTTTTCCAGATTTGTGTGGAAGGAACTGTCTACAGTCATCGGAAGAGACGATGCGTCAGAGGGTTCGTTCAACTATCACTTCTTAACTGTATTGAGTATTGCAGAAACCAATGCGAAAACGACCAAGTTTGTCCTGCCGGCGAGTTTTTGCCTTCGGACGTTTGCGGAGAATACAAGTATTCTGATAATTGTTTGTTAGACTGGAAATTGTACCTCCAGGTTCTGCTACAAGAACGAATGGACGTCTGGATTCTGCGACCACAACATGAGTTTCATGAACGGAACCTGCGGCCCTCAATATTGCAAGAAGTATTCTGCTGGTCAGATGTTCAACTCAAAAGTTAACTAAATGAAAAAAAAGATCTCAACTACGCCTCGCGAGTCGATTGCCGTCACGGCGACGTGAAGCCAAGCTTTTCCGACTGGGTGACGTACCAATTCTGCTACTACGGCAAGTGGCAGCAGCGGGAGTGTCCCGCAAATCATTTCTTCGATAGAGAGGTAGTCATTGAAGTATTAGTATACAAAAATCGTTCATTTTGTCACTGGCTTCCGTTTAAAAAGAGTTTCATCCGATTTGGACCACGGAGAAAAAAGTTGAATTTTTCTTCGTATTCCGGCTCAAAAGGGGCGGAGCTTGAAAAAACCTTGTTTAAAAGTTTTGTATACTTTGTATAGTCTGTGTGCCACGACCTGAAATTTCACGAAACGACATTCCGCTGTTCCGCTGCGTGCGTTCGCGAAGCGTCTTTCGAATCTAGGTGATGCTTTCAATTGATTGTCATTGCTGTGGGAGCACATGAAAGTAGACTACTTTGATAGAAGAAAAAAAAAATTTAAAACACGACGAAGGTTCGCAAAGGCGCGTAGCGGCACAGCGGAATGTCGTTCGGTGAAATTTCAAGTCGTGGCACACAGACTATAGCCATTAATACATTAAATCGAAAAGCGAGAAAACTTTTGTTTCTTGAATAACTATTTGAGAAAAAAGGTCAAGGCATAGCGAAATCGAAAAAAATGGTTGAAAAAAAAGTGTGGTAACTTTTTCCACGTTTTCGAATTTTTCTTTCCTAAGAAATTCTTCTCATCAGCTCAAATTTACAAAATTAGGCGTGGAAAAAAAAATTTTAAAGCTCACCTGGAAAGTCATTTTAGCCTTTCTACTGGATTTCCTATAAATTTTCTCTTTCGGACTAGGATTCGATTCCACATAGTGGCTTTCTGCGCAAACATATAGTTGGGGAGATATGAAATCGCGAATTACTGGTTGCAGATGTAAATAGATTTCAGCTTCATCGAAACCTTGATGAGAATATTCATAATGAATTCCAAATTTTGTCGCAGATACTACGGTGTGTCAGAGCTCCTTCCAGCCCGCCGACCCTTCCGCCGCCTCCGACTTGCTACAATGGAGAGTTCCGACCGATTCCCAACGATCCTAATCAATATGAAGTGAGGAAGAAAGTTGGAAATTCAAAGAATCCGTTCCTTCTCTCAGGAGTGCCAGAACAACGAATGGAGACGTCGCTATTGTCCTTACGGTTTAACGTTCCGCAACGGATATTGCGTTGAAGATCAACAGCTGCCGACGACTTGTGTGGTGATTTTGGAAAGAAAGCACGAGATTAAAAGTTTCTCTGGCCAGGAAAGAGAAGGACAAGCCAACTACCGCACCGTTCCCCATGACTGCAACTCCTTCTACCAATGCGCTCAAGGCTCGATTTTCCTTCCCCTTTTCAAAAAGTTCAATTTTTGAAGGTCGTTGGATGAAGAGGCCATGCGCTGCGGGAACCGTCTGGAACGAGAGAATCTCGGTCTGCGACCACGCCAGAAACGTTCCGAGGTGCAACTACGACGCTCTCATCAAACTGTAGCAACTTTTCCCGTTCCCGATTCTCTATTCATGAATTTGTCAGAATACCAACACAATAGTTTGACTGAAATTCAGACAAAAGGATTGCACAAAGAAAAGTTGAGAAGGAGCCTCTATAAAACATTTCGAGAACAGAACATTCGTGAAAATGCATTCGAATGCCGTTCTAACCGTTGTGATCTGGACGATTTTGACTTCTGATTCTCTACAGTATTATCCGAATGTAGGTTCATGATGCGCTCAGGCTTCTAACTATTTGTTCTGTCGGGAAACGGTTTTGTTTGTTCGGTTTTACTGAAAACTCCACACCAGAAGCGCGTGATTGGCAACTTTAAAACTTCTCGGACCTTGGTAACGCGAACGGTTGGGGCATTTCTAGTGACTACTTTAGTAGTCTCAGCACTCTTAAGTGATCCCTAGAATCGCCCAGAAACGTCCAGAGCACGTCCGTTTCGCGTTACCAATGTCCGAGTTCAAAAAGTTTAGAAAAGGTATGCAAACTTTTTTGTAATGATTTCAGCAATGCGGAGCGACTAGCTGCCAAAACGGACAAGTGGCGGCCGTTCCTTCCCTTCCGCAGATCTACTTGGTGATTTTTCTCTTCTTTTTATATGAATCATCATCTAAACTCGGGAATACGGAACAGTCTATCCTTCCCGACTTGAAAGACGAGATGGGTAGATTGGAATGGGTGAAGCGTTGCGTGTGCTTTAGGGGAAGACCTCGAGCTCCAAGGAGAGCCACCTTTTTTCTCCGGTTTTTGACCGTTCTGGTAAAAAATGAATGCTTTTTCAGCTGTACCGCTTGTGTCTTGTCTTTCAAATATGGATTAGGTTGAATTAATAAAAATTTCCAGTCTCTTTGCTATAGCTGATTCACGGCTAGCTTATGACACACACACGCCCTTAAGGGGGCGTCGCCTGTCTGCGCTCTCCATGAGCCAGACCATATCTAGTGCATTTTCGTGGCAGGACCCTTTTCGCGCCAGCCGTGAATCAGCTTTACTTATGTTTTGCCGTAGGTGCTCTAAATATTTTTCAATTTGCTGTATAATATTTCTCTTCTATAGACGTGAAAAAATAGTATTTTCTGATTGAAAAAAGAAAATTTTAGAAGATTAGCCACAAAAGACGTCCGAACCTTTTTTTTCGCACACTGAATACTATCATCAATTATTGTCTCAAACCTGAATGTACTATACAAAAATGAAAACTTTTGGATTGAAGAGATGCGACGGGTACCGTTTCGTCGTTTGCCAATGTCCGTCGCAGCAAACTTTCATCGATGGCCTTTGCTCAGCCGGCAGATGCGTCGTTCGTTTAGAAAACATTCTCAATTTCCGATAAAATATTCCTAGGAGAAGGACGGCGCCGCGAACTACAAACCCGTGCCAGGAGATCCGTACAGCTTCTACCAATGCGCTCAAGGTCGATTTCTTTGAGGATGGCTTTTCAGTGATGATTCTAGGCCGTTGGGTGGAGATCCATTGCAAGGACGGCACCGTTTGGAATCAATCGATCGTTTCTTGCGATTTTCCTGGGAACGTCACTCCAGCTCCTTTTTGAAAACGAAAAAAGGGAAAAAATAAATTTTATAATGTTGAAAAAAACTGTTTTCATGTTATTCTTCTCAAAAACTGCCTTGCTTTGTCATGGACGGTGGGTCGTAGTGGGATTGTTCTCCTTGGGGGCGATTTTCTTGATGAGAGCAACCGAATGTTTGAGAAGGGGTGTTCTTCTCTTTCTTCGTCAGGGAAATCATCTTCTTCTTTTTCTTCTTCTTCTTCTTCTTGTTCTGACGAACTCGAAGGTGCCGCATCGGTACTTGTCTGGAAAGCAGAAATAATGTCAGAGTTCAAAAAAGAATTGAATAGATTAACTGCTTCAAACCTTATCCATTTCTCGCAAACGATCCTCGATGATTTGCGTGAATCCTTGGGTTTCTTCATCCACAAGAAGGGATTTGCCATACCTTACGCGATGGAACGTGTCGAGGGCCTTGATAAGCAAAAAAGAGTTATTTTCCAACAAAAGACAGAATAAAAAGAGCAAATGACTCACCTCGTCGCAGGACGATTCAGTCTGTCGGATGCAGACTTCTCGAGCTTTGTGAAAAGCGTTCCTGGCTTCGGGCGTCATTTCAGAGCGGGGCTCCGTCTTGCGGACCTCGGCCGAGTTTTTCTTGGGCTTCTGATCGCCTCGCATCGACTCAGCCAGACTGACACCGGCTCGCGACTGTCCGTCCAACTGAAAAATTTTCCAAAGCTTATCTTTTTTTTTAAAGTTTAGAAATGATAACTAAAGTCACTAATAAAACAACCTGAAAAATTGATATTTTGCAGTTCTAACAAGGGAGGTTTAAAATTTAAATTTTCTGAGCTAGGCGTGCCCTACCAAAACCATGATGGTAGGGAAAAGGCGTCAACTTTTTTTTTCAGTTGAAATCACGATGCTTCCAAGTAAAAAACTTCATTAAGACAACAAAAAAAGAATCCCCGCAAATTGAGGTTTTCGGTAACGCTGTATAGCTCAATGTTAAAATTAATTTTCAGCAAACTCCTATTTAACCTTAAATAATCAATCAACTCTTACCTGCAAGTTGAGCGGTCTTCCGGTCAGCGAAATAGGGATCTGAAATCCAGCCAAAGTATGTCTGTCGGTGTCCGCCTTGACCGCAGAGCTCATCAGGTCCGCAGCTACGCGAATCGGATCCAACTGAATGCTCCATGATTTCAAAACAATGCAAATTAACGCACAGCTTCGAAGTCGGGTACTCGGAACTTGGACTGAATGTTCTGGGCGGTGTCACTGTAATGGAAGATTCCTTTTGGAATCGGTGTAGGTTCTGAAGAATTAGTCATGTTAGGAGACTTCAGTTTGCCTTCTAACCCTCAATGTAACTGGGAATGTCTTCCAAAGAATCGCGGCGCTGAGCTCTGAGGTTCCTCGGGGCCACTGAAAATCAATTGCGACTGAGAATTAACGGAAAGACGTACCAAAAAGCAGAAGAACAAGTTTAAGAAGCGTGCCAATCTGGCGCCTAAGCATTTACAGCATAAAAAGCCCGCATAAGTGTCCGAAGATACGGTAGTTAATGAAGAGGTCGTCACGGGCCTGCAACAAATTTCCTTTGCCATTCAAATTCGAGAACGAAGAGAAGGCGGAGCTTTCGCTTCGTGACGTCACTGATCGGTGGAAGTTCAAAGCCGGACGGCTAGAGGAAAAGAAGGGGCGGGGTCAAGCAATCAACAGCGGCGACTGAGGCTTGAGATCATAGAGATTCGTCGGGGAAGCAAAAAAAGATCAATTGATGGACTTTTTGACCATTGTTTCGAGGGAAGCGGACTGAATGAGATATTAATTTTTTTTGCTTCGACTGGCTGCATGTAGAATGTCTCGAAGCGATGCGGTTGAAATCATGTCAGAGTAATTGAAGGCTTGGTCAGATGTTTTCCGGTTTGTAGGACATTTTTAGTCATATGGTCAATTTATGAAAGCTATAAATCTGAGATTGGCTTAAAAAAAAAGAAAAGAGCATGAAAATAAGATTTTTCAAAAGGAAATTCAAAGAATTTTCAACAAAAAGCTGTAAAATATGAAAACGATTATCAATCGAGAATAAAGAGAGAAAATTGTTCGAAAACAAAAAATATTATGAATATGAAACTCCGAAGAACGGTAGAAATGGTGCGAATCGATAAAACAAAAGAAAGAACGACGGAGAAGAAGCTGCGTGGGAAAAGCGAGATTTCGGCTGACCTATATCCTTTCCCCTGTTATCATTCCAAATGATAGTCTACGTTTATACATCGTAAAAGTTGATTGGAACTAATTAAAGCGAGATTTGAAGTACCGTGACTTTTCTTTATTGAAAAAAAAAGCATTCTTCCGAACAAGAGTTGGATCTTCTTTTTAAACAAGTCTTAGCATCTCCATATTTTTTCAAGAAATGTTCCAAAAGTTTCCAATATTAGTACAGAAAAATGGCTCGAAAAATAAAATAAGAAATTTCTGATTATAAGCAGACAACAGATAAACTTTTGGACTTTCTGGATTTCCTACAACGTAGCGCGTGAGGAGAAGCTTTCTCCTCGAAGATAAGATAGTGATCCCCCCACGGCGGAAGTCAGACCATTCAAGTTCGAAGTTGGACGACCAAATCAAATCGAATTCCATCAATGATACGGTCGCCAATGCAAAAAAGTTCAACGCCAAAAGTTTACGAGGCCATTTATTTTCTTTCCTTTTTGTTCCCTTCAATCGTCCTTCTTAGTCTTAATTAAGAGACGAAGTCGATTCATCGATGGCTTGAGAAAAAAAATGTCGCAAAAAAAAACTGACACGCTCTACAGAATTTTCTTTCGCGCAATGTCCATGGTCTGTTTAAATCTGTGCCTGGGTGTTTTAATGAACACAGAATAACGGGCGCGTAATAAGTCGATGTATTAAATTCATTATAATTTGGAAAAACGGACGGAAAAAAGGCTCATAAAAGTTCATAGCAAATTTCCATCTCAAAGTAGCATTCTCACACTTCTCAGGATATCTTCCCAAACTCTTTCAAATATACTCACTTTTATAAGGCAAGCAATATCATAAGAAAAATAAAATCATGTTTGGTCGAGAAAAATAAGAATGTGACAGAAACATTTTTAATGAAATAATAGAATCTCTAATATTTAAAGAACGCGAAAATGGCAATGATATTAAGTGTGGGCCGAAAAGTAATGCACCAAAAGAAATACATCATCAGTTACCCAAACAAAGATGGTGAGTCATAAATACAAATATAGAGCAACAATATTACAGATATTCAGAAAGATACAGGAAAAAGGTTGTTTGAAAAAGACAAAAAAAAACGCAGTTTTGGAGAGAAAGCTTCAAATTGAAAGCATTGAAGAGGAGACGAACTCAGTTCGATCGAAGACGGTAACAGTACCTCTATTAGTAGTGAATCTGTTACTGTCGCTTTGCACAAAATGAAAAATGAAAAGTGAAATTCATGAACTAAAAAAGAAAAAAAAAACGTCCTAAAATATTGAATGGTTATGAGATGTCGTGTTCGATTTGGCGTTGAGCACTGCTGACGACGGCGCGCTGCTTGGGCGTCCCTTGCTCGCCGAGTTGGGCCGCGAAAAGCCTCTGCTTGTCTCTGAAGCCCAAGCTCGCTCCGTCAGAACTCGGCACCTGCGACTGCTGTCGTTCCTGGGAAATACGAAGATGAGAACCAATGATGGAACTTATTTGCTCGAATACTTTCTGACCGTTCCTCATGAGAAAAGTTCCTCAGTTATTAAATATAAAAATCCAATTCAGCAAGTTTTCATTAATATTTCAGACATTAAAGAGCACAGAGAATTTAAATTCTCAGTCTATTTAGAAATTCAAAAACGGGTTAACAGATAGAGTCTTCTGCTGTTCTTTTTTGCGAATTTCCAACGAAACTTTTCAGATTTTTTTTTTGCGACCTTGAAGGAAATTTTCACCTTTTTTCACCGTACAAACCCGACAACTTGAATATTATGCAAAAATAGTTTTTTTATTCCGAAAAAATTCCCGAGACCTTCCCTATTCATATTAAAAGAGAAAAGTATTGCATAAAAATTCAGCTTACCATAAATTAAAAAAAAATTCACGGCGATCAAAAATTTATCCAAAGTAATCTAATTCTTTCTTGATTTGAAAAAATTACTCACCTGAATTTCATTCAACCTTCTTTGACGGGGATCTCGGTAAATTTCATGCGCTCCGACAATCTGAAATCCATGATTGAATTGCATTTGTTTTGGGTTTATCTGATACCCCAGGCGAGTCAATGAGCTGAACGTCGTCTCTTTTGCCATTTATGTTCAGAAAGTCGCTGTCAATGTAGTGTATCTTGTGGGCGTCCGCCGAGTTTGGAGAGACGTTTTCCCTGGACAAAAAGGGTTTTCAGTTTGATCCGAAAACGTGGAAACCTGGTGGCAGATCCGTTGACGGTTTGGTAGGAGCTGCTGACGTCATCGATGAGAGTTTCGGTGCGGACTCGGCTGCCGAGTGACGTCGACGCGGAAGAAGAGGAGGCCGGGACGGGCAGAGGTCTGTGGTGGATCACCACCGGCTTGTGTGTGACCGCTGAAATAGTTTGTTTTTTATCAGCTCTCGAAAGTGAGTCGGAAATAGGGAGTCAAAAGCTTGTACGTCAAAATGGCCTCATATCTGAGATGAAGCCTGCACGTGCTCGGGTTAGGCTTCAAAAAAAGAGTTTTTCGGTGAGAATATTTTTTTTCGAAACCTTTCAAGACACCATCTTCCTAGTACAGGCTACAGACAGAATTTTGAATCGACTAGAAAATAACCTTCCGAACTCAGACCGCGCCTCGTGCGACTCTGCTCGGCGGCCACGTTCAGAAGCTCTCGGTAGCGCCTGGTTTCCTCCTCGGTCATGTTGATTCCTTTCATATCCAGACGGTCCAATTCGTCGTTCACCGCTTCGTAACTCTGCAAAACTCCTGAATTATTGCAATAGAATCCGTGGGAAACCCAACCATCAAGGCGGTGTTGGTCCTTTCGAGTTGCCGCAGATCGGCGTCGACGCCGCGTTCTCTGAAAGCTGCCGCCGACCTCATCGGCTGAGGATGAAGCGGGAGTCCTTTTTCTTGCTGAAGTTGCAGAGCCTAGAACTTTTGAATTGCAAACAGGTTACGATACAAAAGGTGAACCTGTGTGATGGCCGTCGGCACGGCTCCTCTCATGACTCCGGACGAAGTCGTCTGTCGTTCTTCAGTGTATTCTCGGCGCATTCCCAAGTCCATTGGTCGGACCACAGCCGGTTCCTGAGAACGCGAAACTGCATGAATCGAGGAGGAAGAAGTCGGATGCGAGACGTGGGTCGTGCTGTTGGCCACACTCACACGGGGCGGAGAATTGTTAGCTCTAGCTTGTTGTTGAGAGTAGGTCGGAGCGGTTACAGTAGAAGACGGGCGGTTCTGCGAGGAGTAGCCGTACATGCTGGAAGGTCGGCTCTGGTAGGGCGAAGAAGAGTTGAGAGGCTGTGGAAGGGAGGCCGAGTAGCTCGAGTAATCAGCCTGGTGGCTGTAGTGCTGGTACTTGTCCTCTCGAGGTGACGACTGCGCCGCCGGCGGTGAGTCAAACGCCATACTCTGCAAGGAACACGCCAATCGTTAGAGAATTAACACGCGTTAGTTGATATTAAATCAATGGGGATGAAAACTGAATTGAAAAGCAGTATAAAGTGAGAATTTGGAACTTTCCCTGACAAAAATAATAGAGTAGTCTAGAGGTTCCTTGTTGGGTTTCAGTCACTTGAGGAAATGCCATAACTATTTTGAAGTTAAAAAGGATGACTGTCAATTGCTTAAAGATTTAAAAGAAATTATTCACTAACCGCTCTATAAATGTCCTGATTGCTCTCCCTGGCCGAGTTGCTGGAGTAGCCATGCAATGGATTTGGCGACCGAGGAGGGGCGAAAAGATTGCTGGCACTAGACGGACGGTACAGAGGGCCGCCGAAGCCGTTGGTAGAAATGGCCGACGGCGACTGAGCTCCTCGTCTGAGGGCCGAAGGAGACACGGCTCCAGGTCGACCTGAGGAAAGCGAAATGTGAGCAAGACCCTTGGGGAAGGACTTTTACTTGGCTGGATGACGGTCGGACGGCTCGAGTGACGATAATGCGCCGGAAGCTTGTCAAAGTTGGAGGGCGCGCCGTTGGTAGCCGACCGCTGGGAATATGAAGCGTTTGACTGAAAATTTTGGAAATTACTATATTTGAAGTTTTAGCTTCTCGAAACAAATAAAAAAAAAATTCTCTCTCCTTATTATGAGGAGCAACATGAACTTCTACTCGTAATTCTGATAAAATTAATTTTAATGACTCGTTTGAAAATAGGTAAAAATTTCGACGCACATCGTTCTGATGAAGATCGGATGCAGAGTTGGAGCGGAAGTGGCGATGAACGAGATTCTGTGGCTGCTGGAGAGGCTCGACGACGGCAGAGGGAGTCATTGTCTGATGCATCTGATGGTGCTGCGCGTGCTGTTGGTAGTGCTGCGCAGGAATCGACGGCACGCTTCGGACGGACGGCGCAGTCGGCTGTCCTGACGACCGCGTGGATCCTGAAACAGTCCAGATTTTCCTTCAAACTCGGAGCCATCTCTGACCTGCTTGCTGTTGCTGATACCGTTGCTGATAAGTAGGTGGAGCTTCTACTGTCTGCTGACTTCCGCCGTGACTCGAGGAGAAGTTGGAATAGGACGGAGGAGCGTGAGTCGAAGACATGGCGGGAGAAGGAGGGATGTATTGAGGTGGTCCTGCTCCAGATGTTGACGGCGTCTGTGAAAATCAATTTCAAAACATTCTAAAAAACGAGAAAAAGGTTCGAAGAACTAAGTTATTTCAAAAATTCACCGTAGGAGTACCATTGAGCCACGCTCCGATCCCATTCCGATGGGCGGCGCCTTTTCGAACTTCGAAGCTGACTTCCGGCCCACTATTCGTCATCAGTTTGGCGGCACTAGAAGAGATAAACTATTGTATTTTGAGGTACGATATTGAGATGAAAATTGGAGGAAGACGAACTCTTCCTGGCTGATTCCAAGGAGAGAATGACCGTTGACTGAGAGAAGTTGGTCTCCGGTGCACAGTCTTCCGTCGACCGCCGCTGGCGTTCCTTCCACCACTTTTTTCACATAAATGCCCATTTTGCGATCACCGATTCCCTACAAAATTGAATGAGTAACATGGAAACATCATAGACAGGAAATTATTGATTACTGTCAGTCTTGATTGACTTATCAGGATCAATTTTTGAAAAAAGAAGCCTTTTGAGCAAAAGAGACATTCTAATACTGTTCGAAGTAAACTAAAAACTATATAATTTCAAGTTTTGAAAGTTTTTTTTTAATAAAAAGTATGAGCAAACGACTGCGCCTCCGTTTAAAGCCATCAATACAACAATCATAGGTTTCAAAAAAAGTTTCTCGCGAAAAAAAAAGAACCTTGGCATCATGAATCAGGTAGACTCCCACAATCACCATTTGCGATCGAAAAAGCTCTTTGAAGCGAATAAAAGAGGAGATCGAAGATGGTGATCAATGAAGGGAAAAGAGGGGGTTTCTATGGCCTGGAGTTGTTTTTCACGCCTTCCGTCAGCTTGTTGACGGCATAAGGTTTTAAGAACTGCGCGAAGTGGCGGCGGATGGAGGGAAACTCGCTCGAAATCGCGTAAATGCTGCTAATTACCCTCGTGGAGAGTTTTCACAAGGTTGCATTTATTTAAGGAGTGTGAGAAATGGAATAATTTAGCCAAGATGAAAAGTGGAAAATTTCAAAGAAAATGATGGAATGTCGCCCATCTATTTCAAGATTGATAGACAGGTAGCTTCACAACTAATTTCACTTTGTTTTTGATTTTAGCTGGATACTGTAGTTCAAATATCCTTGCTGGAGCACTTGTTCCAAGTTCCGCATTCCAACGAGGGTTTTCGAACAGATTTACATATTTTCAAATTCCAATCAAATCTTGTAACACTTTATCTCTTTTATATGTTCGCCTCATTCTTGAATTATGCTTTTTCCATATAATAACTTAGGGTATTCAACCGAAATGCAGATATCTGCTTTCAATTTCTTTTTTTACGGAGTAAACCTATACCTTTTTCACCTACTCGAAAAACTAAAACCTGTGCCGCGACGATACTCAATCCGATTCCACCATTTCCACGCTTCAAGTGCACTCGAATAATGTCATCGCCGTTGCTACCGAAGCTGTCGCCCTGGGGAAAGAAATCCATGAAAAAAGATATCATTATAATTTCATTATTCTTAATCAAATGACATCACTTTCAAGAGAACCCTTGTTTTTCTCCTTCTCTTTTTCTTAAAAATTAGAATTTCCTGATAAGTTTTTGATACTTTTGATCCGGATGAATCAGTAAAAACTCACAAATTGCGTGGTTGGAATGCTGGTGAGTGTCGTTTGGGAGGCACTTCTCGTGATTGGCGGCGGCGGTTGGAAATTCGCGCCATTTTGCGAGGTCGACATGTTCATGTGTTCGTTAGCAACAGAAGTCGCACGAATCTGCTGAAATGACGATTCTATGAGACGAATTTTAAAATACGGACGGCCAGGTCGAGTTTTACTTGCAGTAAAAAGGTCATCAAAAAAAAAGAAAAAGGGAAAAAGAACCGAAAAATTTATTTTGGAGAATCAGTCCCTAAAAAATGATATCAAGTTGAGTCTTAGAAATTTATTTCATAATCTAAAATATTTGATTCTGGAAGTAAATAAAGAAGTTCATTGCATAAATGTCATCTTTGTTGATAATCTAACTCAAGAAAAAAATTTTGCAGCTTTCTCCTAACTTTAGAGAACTTTAAAAAAACTCAGAATAAAAATCGGAGAAAGCATTATAATAAAAAAAGGCAAAAAGGGCCAGTACTATTTTTCAAATGATGGTAAACACTCGTTATACACTTCACCGTCTAGTTACCAAACCACTTGAAAAAGTCAACAATTTGTGAAAAATTATTTGATTTTTCGATTTTTTTATTCATACTTTCTTGTCAAGGTGCAAGTTTGACTTTCTACCAGTTATTTCGGAGAAATCATAAAGGATAACTACTTTTAGTGACTTATTCAAAAGTTCGTAGTAAATATGTGAACTAATAAAAGTGTTTGAAAAAAAACTTGATTTGATTGAAGTTCAAAATAAACAATGATTTACGTGAAAATGCAAATTTGAAATTCTTGAAGCATCGATAGCCTACCTGTACCGATTTGATAAGAGCAAACAGAAAATCGATATAAAGGTGTGGTTTTTCAAGGTGGTGAAAGATAGATAACACAGGGAACGATACTTTAAGCTTTTTGGAAAACTAATTCAGCCCATGCAAAAGTTGAAAAAAATGATAAAACACGAACCTCATTGCTGTCAAGAAGGGACACACTGTGGCAAACGCGGCGATCCTCCAGCTTCATCAGATATTGAGTCAGGCCTTCGGGGACATCCGTCAGAAGTTCTGAACTTCTTTTAAAATTTTAGAAAAACAATAAACATGAATGAAAATGCACCTATAGTCTCTTCGTCTTGAAAAAGTCGTGGAATGACTCAAAGTAAACAATTGGAAATTATTTCGAAAACTTATTTTCAGTGTATTTTCAGATGATAGTTTTTCAAAATTCAAACTTTCATCGCGGAATCCTCTCTGAATGACCTCTTTGATTTATTTTTCCTTTTTAAATGGTTCTCAATGTCATTTCTAAATCTTGAACGAGATTTTACAGGTCCCTAGAGTCTGCATAGTTTTAAAGTGAGATTTTTACGATTTTTCGAAAAATGCAATTATAAAAACAGTTTTTTTGAATTCTCACCCGCCGTGTATCCGTCCTGTGGTATCAGGAATGGCAAATTGAGCTCGTCCGGTTCTTCCAGAGTGATTTTCTGACCGTCCTGAAATCATCGAAAATTCAACACTTCTTTAAAAGAACGAACCTCTTTGGTAAGAAGATCAGCCTGCTTTTCAGCCAGCCGAACGATCCGGTTGATGACGTCACTATCCACTGGGATTTCTCCATCCTCATGCTCAAAAGCCGACAAAAACCTTCTGATCTAAAATAGGATCTCGTTTTTTTTTTCTTCAATATACTCTATAAGATAACCTGCATACTGTTCAACTTGTAGCAGGTGGCGCCGAGCGCAGCGACGTCGTTTTTCTGCGCGGCGAGGAGATTCGCCGCCTGTCGGCTTCTGTCCAGATGACACTCGGCTGCCAGTTCTACGCCCATACCTTCGGCCCATCTTAAACATTCGATCGGTTTTTACAATTCATCCAAACTTTATTTTGGGGCAAAAAAATCACTTCAAAAAAACCTTTTTTTAATTTTCAGTTCAATAAAACGGCTTTTGTATGTTCATAAGCCTTTTTCGGATACTTAGAATCGTTTCGATATACGAAAAAAAAGCTCTTAGCCTCGAGAGCTTTAGGAAAACTGAGTATGATCCTTTTAAAAAACGAAAAATGATCTTTAAAAAAATTATGTGTGAAATATTTTTACGTGATTCTCTCCTAAAATAATCTTTGTTGTAAAAATTTCTTTTGGATCGAACAATTTAGAAAACTCTGATTCAACTAATATTTTTGTCATTTGAGAATTGAAAAATATTATGAAAGATCATTTTCAACGAACTCCAAATGCTCTGTGAGGCTCAAAATTCAAAGATTTAAAAAGAACCGTTCCACATTATGCGGATTGAAAATCTGACGACCAAACTGTCATTTTTCCAAAATAGCTTCCAGGAAAACTTTTTCAGTTCTACCCTCCTACTTCATGTCTAATGTCTTTTTAGATTTTCACAAAAAAAAAAGCGCCGCGCGGAAACCTGTGGACAGAGGCAAGACGAGCCTGAAGACTCTTGCCAAGCCGAGTCGTCAGGGGCACTGGCGAAACTCCGACGCCGACCAGATGGTTGAAGATGAAGGCGTTGACGGTGTGGAGCATGTGACCGCTGATCTGGATGGTCAGGGCGGCGTTGAGCCTCGAGGTGCGAGCTGCGCGGAGGGTGCTGTCGAGCAGAGAGATCAGCTCGGCTGCAATACAAAAGCCATTGAGAAAAAGACGAGACAACGATTCTAACCACTGCCGTCCTGGTCCGAGATCCGCGTGTCCAGCATAGGTCGACTGCAAGGTCGCAAGGCCCCCAGAAGAACTGTGCAGAGCCTCCGAAACACTCTTTCCACCTCGACGCTCAGTTTCCCAGCTCTCGGCCTCAAGTCTGGATCTCGGTCCACCAAGTAGCTCAGTTCCGAAGCGTTTGCCATCCAGAAGAGCAGCTCGTCGCGGGATGAGCAGTTCTGAAGTTTCAAATACAATTCGGTATGTGACAAAAAGTTCAAAATATTAAAAACTTTTACAAACAGAAGAAAATTAGAAAAAAGAAGCCTGTAAAAGCCAGGTATGGTAATAATTGCTTCACAAACGAAAGGCCTAAAATTAAAATTTTCAGAAATTTCAATTCGAGAAAAAGCCCGAATTTTAAGGAATTAACGGAGTCTTGAACCTATTCGATCTATATTATCCGAAATATAAAACTGAATTCGTTAGAATATTTCCTCGCTTCATCAAAAAAAAAAGATCACCGTTGCGATTTGTTTCAAATTGGCCTCTATCCGAGCGAAAAACTGGACCAAATAGGCCTTCGTGTGCGATTGGAAGAAGCGCAAAGCCAGGTAGAGGGCGTAAGCCGGAGCGAGTCGGAACGTGCCGCAGTCGGCCCAGCCTCGCGACATCACCTGTGCAATCGAGGAATTGAGAAGAAACCAAGGTTCAACCATTACCTCGCCCAGGAAATCCCAGACTTTGTAATCGCCAATCTGCAGGCTGATCGCTAGCCGGACTGGCGTAGAGGTTGTTGGCAAGTTGGAGTAGGCCAAAGGCTGGTGGAAGGCTGGAAGAAAAATGTCGGGGATTGAGATCTTTTCGAAAGAAATTTACCAGAATGAGCATTGACTTGTTCGCTGGGGTGTCGAGAAGATGAAACTGACGATCCGGACAAACTGAAACAGAGAAGTATTTTCAATGAGAATAATTTTTTCTTTACTTGTTTCACATATAAACTTTCTATAAACGCGCATGTATATCATTTACACGTCGTTTTAAAAATCCCATCAAAACTTTATTTCGATCATTTTTCACAAACTTCATATAAAGTCGAATTAGGATTGAAAACTTGTGAAATAATTTCTTTTTTTTAAAAATGCTCTTAAACTCTTGAAAGAGGTGGGAAAAAGATTTTAGGTATTTCTCTAACCCGACTTTCAACCTCTTAAGGAAGCCTCACAGATTTCTCAACTGCGAAGAGGAAATGGAGCGCGGCATAGGCTCGGGGAACTGCTCGACGATATCGCGAGAAAATGTGACGCGTCGCGGACGCGGTGTCGGCGGCTCGCTCGGAGCCCTAGAGTAGACTCTTAGAGACCGACGACTGTCGTCGTAACGACGTCTACTGCGGTCGTCCTCGTGATAGAAAAGATTGCCAGTAGTTGTGACGTTCGCTTCAGATGATGGTTTTGGATCAACACCAAAAGTCGTTTCAGTTTGAAGTCGCGATTCCGAATTGAAGCGCCGCATTACAGCTTCTTGTGGCTAGAAACGCCGAAGTCTAGTATTTCCTATAGAATAAGGAACGAGTGAAGACGAATTGAGTCAGTAAAAAAATTTTGAAGATTTCTTCAGAAGAGACCGATCGATTTAAAAAAAAAAAAAAGTGAATCAAAGAAGAAAACCATGAAAAGATTTGCCTAAAAAGTAACGAATATGGGAAATTGCAAAAAAAGATCAGCTGTCCTTGGAAATGTTGAATCAACTCCAAATAACAATCTTTTTTTCGATGCTTTGAAGAATTTCTAGATAGAAAAAAAAAATGAAATCTATGAAGAAAAAGACGAAAGGGGAAAATTAGCAGAGAGAACTGCTGTCAATGAGAAAAAAACGAAGTGAAATCTCTGTTTGCTTAGTATTTTCTCACATTTCGCGACCTTTTTGTTTTTAGCAAGTTCATTAGAAAAATTTTGCATCAACGCTGAAAATAAGTCCTTTGGGGAAAATCAGACATAATAATTGAGAAAACGCTTCGCAAAATTTTCATAGCCAAGTTAATGAGAATAAAAACGAAGCAGAGCAAAAACGGAAACCGCAGTTGATAATCGATAGAACCAGAGCAGCGATAGGTGAATCACCTTTTCCTTATCAAAAAAGGGACCTGCCCAGAAAAGCGCGAAAAACCATCATATTGAAGCCTAATTCCACTGCCACCGACTAATCACTATCGTTATCGAAAATTCCTTCAATTCTAGAACAGCCAAAAATAAATGCTTGGATCACAATCCATTTTTTGATGGAAATGCACTTTTCAAAACTGAAAAAAAACCAAGACAAGAAAAACAACCGAGAACGGACACTCTTCGCGGTCATAAAAGACTATGCAAATTTATGAAGAAGATAACCGTCGGAACAACCTAGTGATAGTAGTTGCTCATAGCAACCTCACGTGCCCGAAAACAAGACTGGTCAAAGGAGAGATCTTTTTTATTTTTTGTCAGTGGCGAGTTTAAAAATGTTCATTTTTTATTTGAAAACATTCCTGACCTCCAATAAAACGTTTCTACGAACTAATTTAATTTTGAAGAGAATTTTTGTAGATTATATAAGAGAAGTATTTCACCAACATAATAAGCTCACATTAATAAGAACAACAGATTACTCTTCCACAAGGTGGAAAGAATAATAAAGATAACAACCGGTTTAATGAGAAGTTCTGAGTTTAGCTTCATTTTCTTCGTAATTTGCTTTCTTCTAATGAGCCAATAGAGGTATTTTAAAACAAATTACTTTCTAAGAGATCTTTTTATACTTTGAATCATGTTCAGATTAAAAATTTTCGGTTGAATGAGGCATGAAATGGAGCTGCGCGAAAAAGACGTCAAAGCACGACGCATGGGAAAGGAATGCTATCGGATGGGGAACGTCTTCCTACAAAATCGTAAGGTTCTGCCTGTTTGCCGACACAACATTTACAGTCGGGGAAAATGGAACGTCGCATACGATTACGTGGCTCGCGTCGGCACTTGGATGGCATTAAAACCCCCCTTCTCTGGAGCTGCTCGCCTGTTTGCTTCTCTCTTCTACTTCATATTCTTCTTTCACACCTCTCTACTTTCCAAACAGTATTACAACAACTATCTTAATCTCAACAGACTAGAATTTGCATTTTGGAGCTTAATTCTGTTACAGATCATTAATAGCATCAGATTGCACCAGGAAAATAAGCGAAAGCCTTTTGTGGATTTCATTAAAACTTTCAATTAAATTTTAAAAAAGGATGATTTTTTTTCATGTTTTCTGATAAAAATCTGATTTTTGGCATAAAAAAGTTTTATCCAAGTCAAAAGAATTCTAAAAATAAATTTTTGATGGGATTTTTTTTTAACTATTTATTTTAAATAAATGCTATGAAATATTAGAAAAGTTGAGTCTCTAAGAAAAGATACTGATTCTTACCTCGCCTCATAAGGGTACCGAGGAATTTGAAGAGCTCCATAATCACTTGGCATCCGGATATTCGAGGAGCGGGATTCGTTCTGAAAATACGAATGTTCATTTTCTGAAGAGTCGAGCTAGAAGTAAGAAGGAGCAATTCATTTTCTTTTAAAGAAAGGAGATTCTCAGGGCTAAATCCAAAAGATCTACAGCCAGAAAGTGGGCGAGGAAATAAACATTTATTTTTGGTAATTTTTAAGTATTCTTAATTTTTTTCAAGCAGCTCTCATGCCCCAGAAAAATGGCTTTCTGCTCAGAGCTTTCTGCTCAGCTCGGCTTTCTGCTCACTTCACTAAATTCCCTTTAAAATCTCCGGTATCAGGTACTATTTTTCAAGACTATAATCCGCTTGAAGTATAGAGAAAAAAACTTTGCATGCCCTTTTTCTCGTTTGGAAAAACTTTCAGATCGTAACGATTTATGATAGTTGAAAATAAAATCTGGGAAAAGGGGAGATAAAAGTGAAAAATTTTTTATCAATAGTGTGCGTCTGATAGGGGATAAAAAGTTATTTTCTTTGAAAAAAATCCAAATATTAAATTTTTCCTTTTAAAAATACGATTAGTTCCTTTTTGGTTTTTTCTTCACAACCAATAACATGAAAAAAAGGTTTTTTTATGCATTCACTTAACTTTTTTTAAAGAGGCGAGTTAGCGAAAAAAATATTAGGAATAATTAAAGAACCTTCCTCATTCTTCGAACATCCCCACGACTGTGATAAAACACGAAAAGATAGGTTAAAGAGATATGGGCAGTTTAAAAGGGGTTTTGAAAAAATGTGACATTTTGGAAAGCTCTTTACCCCTATGTCTTTTTAAATTTAAAAATCCTACAGAACAGAGAAAAAAAACCTCTATTTTCGCTTTAAGTTATGAAGAAAGGGCTGATTTTCATGTTACTAGAATGAAGAGAGAAACACAAACTTGGAAGACCAAGCGTTCAAAAAACAGCCTCAGGGTGAAAACGACGGCAAATTATGCAAAAGACTCACCACAGCTGACATGTTCTTCGGATCCGACGGCGCAGCTCCATTCTGAGCTTGAGGACCTCCGCAGGCGAACTTGAAGACGTTGTCGGCGCCGATTCGGAGGACGTCGCCGTCGTGCAGAATCTCCGTTTGCATCAACCTCTGCTTGTTGACCTGTAATCGGAGAAGTCTGCAATTTTATTCACAAAAACATTTTCAGAGAAAGTGCGTTTCAAAAAAAAAAACATATTCGAAGAAAGTCAGAATGACCGAAAATGGTCAACTTAGACACGTCCAAAACCCCCAATCAAACAATTAAAGGTTATAAAAAAAGGAAACAACAATTTTGTACGAATTTCGCGAGGTTCGAAACATTTTTTAGAAAAATTTACTAGTACGAAAGTTTGCGTTCCAAGACTGAAAAAAATATTTCGTTTATGATTTTTCTTTAAATAAATCATCAAAAACCCAAAGGGCTTCAATAACATTTTGAAAATATTCCAATTGATCATTTTTTTTCTAGAATTCTAAAATATAGCTGAGAAAAAAAGACAACAAGCCACGAAAATGACTTCACCCAAGGAAATATCTCAAGCGAAAAGAATATAAACTGGACGGAGGGCAGAAATTAAAATAACTCGCAAAAAACGCAATTATATGCGCCGAATCTTGGAGCGGATTCCAACGTCCCTTGCTTCAAAATGAATACATATAGAGAGGCGCAGGGGGAACCGTTCGACGGAGATTTTTCGAACGCTCGCATCGCTAATCGCGCAAGCCGTCGACCGAAATCACCGCTTCCATCGCTTTCGGAGAAAATTCCTTCTTTTTTTCTTCTTTTTTTTTCCAGCTGTTCGCACGTTAATTGATTCTTCATCGTCATATAATACATTCAAGTGCGGCTTCAAGAGCACCAATTAGAAATATATTCTACTAGAGAGGTCACTTCATCGGTAACTTTAGACATTCATCAAAATTGACCAAAATACTATTCAATGTAATTGGAGGAAAATAAAAGTACTAACCCTCAGCTCAGTGCCAAAAATGACACTTTACAAATTCGTTACTTATCACAGCGAAATACATTGGCGCAAAATTTGACTACCACGATATTAAACTAACTAATTGAATTCTTTTTGATGAACTTCAAGGGAAAAGTAATAGGTAAATTTACGTCCCTGATCACACCTTAGAAGTTCACATGTTCATTTCCCATTTAGAAAGTGATTTAGACAAAAACATGACGTCAATAGCTGGTTATCTGCGAGAAAAAGCCATCTTAACAAATGGAAGTGTGTAAAATAAACCTCAAAAATGAACAAAAAGAAAAAAGGAAAAATGGGTTTCGTACAAGGTGAGTCCAAAAAGAAGACAGTCAACCAACAAGAAAACAAACAGTGAGAAAACGGACATGGTCAGAACGTGGAGGAAAAGCGGCGGTCGGCCCGATTGACCCGCTCCAAAGACGTCCAACATCCATCCATTATTCACCGTCAACCCTTTTCTTATGATAAAAATTGCTTCAGAGAAATTTCCCGCAAAATACAATGAAAACCTATGATTTTTTTACGATACCTTCCGATTCCATTCTGAGATTTTCATAACTTGAATGATTTTTTTTTCTTTTCCAAAGAAATAGATATGTGTAAGTATTGTTGAAAGAAAGCAAAGAAATTCTTAAGCTGGGGTGATTTCTCAGCATTTTTCTGATCCACTGCTAATAAATAAGTTATCTCAGTAAAATTTTATAAACTTATTCTGAAGATTTCGAGTTTCTCCAAAGAGGAAAAAAAAATTGAAAAAGAGTGAGAAAGAAAAGAATAAAAATCGTGCGGGCAACTAATGGTTTTTTTTTGATTTTTGTAACCGTTCTTCCAAAAAACTTTGAAAGCAAGTTTCGGGTCGTCTAATGTGAAAAATTTTTGAACTCAAAACTTGAAAAATTTCAAAAACAGAGAAGAATAACCCGAAGAAGGGATCATAAAACGTCGCACTCGACCAGTGCTCAAAAACAGCGGAGACAAGAGAAGGGTCTACGCGAGAATCTCGGGTTTTCAAGAGGACAAGTTGGAAAACGCGACCAGTTTTCTCCCGAGTACCGCCGCGACCGCCAAATCGCCACCGGATAATCGCAACTTGACGCAAAGTTCAAGGAGCTCCTCAAGTCGCTTTCCTTCGGATTAAAGTTGAAAAAGAAAGGGAAATGGTGAACTTTGATTTTGGAAAAAATGATGACTTGATGTCTTGAATGAACGAAGAAAAGTTTTAAAAAAGATTCACAAACTGAAATTATTTTACACTGTTAGTGATTACGGAACAGAAATCGAGTTATGCTTTATATTTATGAAATTTTATGTTTTTGAAGAAAAAAATAATGAACTTACGAGTATGTTGAAACATTGGCTCAACAGGATAAATTGTATCGAAAAAAACCTTAGCGACTAGAAATAAGATCAATTTTATTCATTTATTAAAAACATAACTGAGCGTTCAAAAATGAATAAATTGATGATTAAAAGACATCCTTTAAATGTTTCTTCAGTTATTTTCACAAACTTATTTAATAACCAATTTTTTTTAGAAAGCAAGAACACTGAGGGATACGAAACGCAACTGACTCAAAAAGTCATGAGAAGACAAAAAAAAGGAAGCTCAAAGTCCAGAGAATCTAGGAAAAAATGAACTAGGAAGAGAAAGAGGGTTGTGTGTTTCAAAAAAAAAAAGAAGAAAATAATTGAAGTGATAATAAGAAAAACACAAAAATCCTTATCAATTTACTCACCTCGAGGTAGGCGTCGGGAGCTGACGGCGTTACCGTAACCACGCCATCCATATATGCGATCGCGGCGTGTCTTCCTCTGATTTCAGGCCCGTCCAACTGGCGAAATGTTTATGAAGGAGAGCTTTTGTTGCATAAACAAACGTAAATGTTTTGGGGGGAATAGTGAGACATTTCCCGGTCGCTTCCGACTTCAGTCAGGCCTTCACGAAGGGTCATGTGATGTTCCGAAAGAGTTCCATCTGTAGGAAAGCTTGCAGAACAGCAGAATATTAGTCAAAACCGTCGTTCAGGAGTGTCAAAGTGGGCGGCGGATGAGAAAGTCTCAGTTGTGAAGCTGAATCAGAAACCGTCGAGTGAATCGAAGACGTCATCGAGCTTCTCATTATCGCAGAAGGCACTCTTCAAATTTAAATATCAATTGAAAAAAATACATCTTCAAATAGAAGTTTCGCAGATTTTCTCGACGCCTTCCAGCTTCTATTATTAAAAAATAGTTTGATAATTATTCTGATTCTGTTAAATATTGGGACACTTCAAGAATAAATCAATAAATCAATAAATCGATAAAAAAACAATAAAACATACTGATAATCGCTGGGCCGGTGCTTGATGGCCAGGTACGACTCGAATCCGTTCTCGCCAGCACGCGCCGCCATCTTGAAAGATCAGGTCAATTAGTAGAGGAGGTGGGGAAGATTGCGGGAGTTGGTCGCGCGAGAAAAAAACTACTCAGAATGAAAGTACCCAATAAGGTCAACATGTATTTTATCATAATTTTTTTGATAAATAAGATGATTTTCCTTCATGATTACCTGAAGCAGAGGACATTCGTCGGGTCCAACAAGACGCCCATCGATTTCTCGAAGATCTGACAGGCTTCTCCCAGGCTCACTATTCGTCGAACACTGAAACAAGTTCAAAAGTTGTGCGAACTGGAATATATTTAAAGATGGTACTTCCAGCTTTTGGCTCTGAAGAACGTTTAAAATTCGAGAATCTTTTTTTTCTATCCTCTAATTTTCAAATTTTCATTTCGAAAACTACAAAATATTTACAAGTCAAACGACTTTAGCGTGAAAACAGAAGAGCCTCTTTTTATATATTCAATGAATTTCAAGTTTTTGAGCACACTGTCCTTTTTGAGAGTTCTATCCATTGAAGTCCTCAAAAACTTAAAAAAAATCGGAACAGAGGGGCCTGAAAAGATCATCCTACTAACCACGTTACTTTCTGCCTTAACTTGACTTCAAATTTTTTTGAAAAGCTCGGAAATTAAACTTTTAAATTAGGAGAGTCGCTAGATCAATAAGAACTGGGGAAAAAAAGCCATTTTAAACAATATTCATCATATTTGCATTCAAAATCAGGGTAAACACTGGAACTATGGAAATAATTCTTCATTCCCTTTTCTTCACTCCTCCCTTACCAAAATTCAGCCTCTACTCCATTTATTTTGAAAACATTTTCAAAAACACCTAGGTTCCCATAGTCAGTTTCTCATTTAAAAAAAGATTAATTGACGATCTCCCCGTATGCTAATTTCATATCTCAAGAAACCTTCCGCCAAAGCCTCCTGCTGGTAATACTCTTCTGGAACATGGAAATTCGATGCCGACGCGTCGAAGTGGTCTCATCGACGCTGTGACTGCGTTCCTTGGCTGGGTTGAACAGATGCTTGAGACGGGATTTCATCGAATCGAGACGCGAAGGAAGTTTCGGCACGGCTTCCGGCAGCGGAACCACCTCTTTCCTCTGTTCGATGGACAGCTCAAACTCGAGCGACTCATTCTCCGAAGAGTCCAGCTCGTCGATCGTCTCGAAAGTGGTGGTCGAGAAAGAGGACTGCCTCGTCCAGGACATGGTCGAGTCAGTTGAAAGTAAGTTGGAGCGAGAGGAAAGTTGGACCGAAGGGAAAGTCGAGGCAGGTCACACGGACGCGCCGTTTTTTGTGGATACCCATGCCAAACGCTGGAACCTCTCTCTGCCACGTCGATATTATCACACTCTTCTCGTTTCGACATTTTAAACCGTACCGCCTTTTCTGACCATCTTGATGTTCGCCATTACGACGTGAAACGAAGTTGCTTCGTTCAACTTTAGCAGTTTTCCTGGGAGAGATCATTGGTGGACCAGTCTAGACAAGCCTGGGAGGTGTGGACTTGACAAGAGTTCGTTCAAAAAAATGATGAAGGATATGTTCAAAGTAGAAGATTTCTTTTCAAAACTCAAAGTTGTTCCCCTCTTTTTTAATCTAATCATTCCCGAAAAGCTTTATTTCCAGGTCAATAAATGAAGAAGGTTCTGACACCGTCCAGATTGGGGACAACTATGCAAAAGGTTTAAAATAACCTCCGCAAAATTAAAAAAGATCTCTGGCTCTCTGAAGTTTAGCTATATTTTTCCATCTTTGACGGCTATTTTGAATTTTTCTTTGAACACGGAATTAGGTTGAAAAACGTCGCTTCTTTGCCATTTCTTTACCCATTTCTTTTTCAATTTTTTCCTTATCTTTCTCCGAATCGAAAAGAAGCATCAAATACTTCGTAAAGTATAAACCTCCACAAGCACAAAATCGTCGACGCGCTTCTCGAGTCCATATTTTTCCAGAGCCTCGACCAAAATCCTATCCGCTCTGTCGTGCATCCCGGCCAAAATCGTGACGTAGGGACGAGCCGGAACGATATCGCCGCCGTAGATTTTCAGGCTTCCACCTGGAATTCAAAGAACTTTGGGAAAAAAGACGAATATAGGCACTTCTGCCCAGTTTGAATAAATGATGATGACGAAACGCTGCGACAATAAAGAGTTTGAATCTTCATGGACGTCTTTTTAATCATAGAATTTTTCCGTTATAAAATTTTCAAGTTTTTTTAAAATTTACCCTTCAATATTCTTTGTAATGCTTTCGTAAAAAAATCCCAACTTTTCATGATTTGGAAAAAAATATCTATGACCATGAGAAGAATTGGTTTTTTTCACGAGCTTTTGAATTATGAATAAAATTTAAAATGTAATCAAGATTCTAGATTTCAACTCAGTTAGCCCTGTGAAAGACTCGAGAAGTATGAGACTATTTTTTAAAAAATAATAAAAAATCGAAAGTAGAACTCTTCGTGGCGGGAATTCCAGACTTTCAGGGCCCACAGTTTTTCGGTTTTTATGGGTTAACTCAAAGTGAATTAATTCTCGCTTTTGAATCTACGTTTGAGTTTCTAGGCCAGCGGAAACAGATCAACTCCCTCCTTCTCAGCTCCATTTCTTACAAGAGAAACTGATTATTTGATTGCCAGACTTTTTCGCTCTTCTAACTTCAAAGCTAACCATAGACCATCTCCTTGAGCTTGGTCTCCAGCTTCTTCTCCCTCCGTTTCCGCATCACGACCTCCGGATTGGAAATGGTCCTCGTGAAGGTGTTGAACGGCACCTGCTTGTAGATGTCGTTGGAGTCTGTCGCCTCCTCGCGACCCGAGTTCACAGTCACTGTAAAACAGAGAATCAGAACTGAAGAAGGCCAAGTCCGACCAATCTCCTTTTGGTGCTTTTTCTTTCCTTCCCGATCTTTCTTCTTGGAAAACCGGCCACCTCGAGCATCGGCTTCTTGGAGTTGTATCGTCTAGAAAATTTTCTTTTTAAAACTCTATTGAAACTTCTTTCGAAATAAAAATAGAGAAGCTAGGCTAGTCAGACGTAGATCAAATTCTGCTTCACACAGGTATGTATTTCAAAGTTCTTTTTGAAGTTTGAAAACTCTAAAATACACCTGTTTAGCCTCTACTTTTTTGGTCAAATTATGAAGCTTTAAAACTTCAACGCATATAAGTGTACTGAGATATTGAAACTAAAAGATGCATCTTGATAACTAAAACTTGCGGAAAATTTTTCCTCTTTAATTTTTTTTTCCCAAAAATTCCGTTACTAATATTAATCGAGGAAAAAAGAGTGACCGAAAGCGGAACGGGCGCGGCCCTGTCGCGTCGGAGCAGGAAGCGTCCTTCGCGGTCGTCGCGATGCCACATCAGCTGCACGAGGAGCGGCTTTTCGTCGCGGTCGAGACGTCGTTCCTCGCCGCTTTCGTGCACCTCCCACAGGGAGTACGTGTCGTTGGACAGCATCTTCAGGTCCGGCAGGAACTTTTCCGACAGCGCCTCCACAACGGCGCTTGTCGTGGCCGTCGACGAAACCCGCACGCATTTGGTGAGTACCCGTTCAGCTCCGTCCTGAAAGCCTCGCATATCACCTTAGAATTACTTTGGGAATGTTTTCACCTCACCCTTATAAGATGAAGTGATTGTTAAAAAGTTTTTTTATCGTTTGACAAACTTTTTTTCATTCAATTAGGCCAGTGAAAAACCTCGGAAGTTTTAGAACCCTGATGCCGTGTTCAGAGTAATTTCCGCGAAAAGCGAAATGGTTTCTGGCTATCCAAAATTCAGATCTCTTTCTATCTCTGGTGGCTATTTTGCCTTTCGCGGAATCTCTTTGAACACGCATTAATACGAAAATTCAAAATGAAGAACTTTGTAAGAAAGAATGAGTAACAATATTCAGCAAAAGAAACGTTTTCAGGACGTCTTTTGATATAAATTTTTTCAAACTCTCATAAGATCACAGAAAATCCAGGACAAAGGTTGAGAACGGATTAGCTGAATCGATTGCAAAAAGACCGTATTAAATAAAAATATTTTTTTACTACGTTTCTTTTTTTCATAAAAAAAGCAGCGAACCATTTATTTTATTCCTACTGAAAAATTATTGAAAAAAATTTAAACTTTAAAAATAAAAAGATCTTATGGGCTCCGATGCCCTTTTTTTCAAGGCTTCTTCAAATAAAGAATCCCCATCAATAAACTCTTATACATAGTTAGATTCACATATTCTTTCACAACAGAAGAGAAATTTCTCTTCTTTCTCACTAAGTTGTATTCAAACACGATCAGAGCCAATGAGGCTGTGAACTGAAGCGTGTTCTGTGTTGGCATGAGATGAGATATCATCAGAAAAGCAACAAAAGCAGCAGCAGGCCGCCCGTTAACGACCATTAATCTGTTCGATCCGAAGACATGCTGAAACAAGGCGGCCGCCACGGGTTCTCTTTTTCTCGCCGCCGTGTCTGTACTTGTCCCGGCCAATATAAACCAACGGCCTTTGCAAACACTACGCGGCGGTCAGCTCGCCCTGTGAGTGAGAAAAACGGCTGGCGAGAGCAACGTCTGGCATAATTAGAGACCGGGTAAAGCTAACAAATCATCTACTAAATGACTTTGGATGGAATAACATTGAAGGAAATTTATTTTTTGAAAAATTTAGTGCGCAGCCGTTTCGGTTCTTAAAATTTGACAGTTCAGAGAGGTTCGCATCGCTTGCGTTTTTTCAAAAAACTATTGAAAAATTTTCCTGCAACTAAACCTGGGCGCTTTTTCGAGAAGTTGAAAAAAAAATACAAAAGACCGAATGAAAAAGAAGGAAACACTGATCATTGGAAGCAGTCTGGTGGAGAGGATAAGGTTAAACAGTGGTCTGATAAAGCAGAATACAGCCCTGATGGAGTAAGTCCAATCTTATTTATTCACCAATGTGGAGTATTTCGATTTCTGGTTTATCTGGTTTAAAATAATCTCGATGGTGATTCTGTTTTTGATAATCATTATGAAGTTATATGCCATGAGATCATTCATCAGAGTACAGTTCAGTTATTCCGAAGACAGCCTACTTCAAAACATAATCTTTTAAAGTTTCATTTCCAAAGTAAAATAGTGCACTATTACAAATTGTCTTGAAATACTCTTCTTATGAGGTTTTTAGTTCATTTTCAAGGTAAAATAATGCATTATTAAAAATCGGCTTGAACTGATCTTTTTTTGAAATTTTTCTACGTTCTCTCCGTTTTCCAAAAGAAGTTTATCGTGTTTTGCAAACGGAAAAGACAAAAAAACACTCATCTCCGTACATTGGATCAACAAGGAAAGCACGAAATGATGAGATTGCAGAGAAAAATCACTCACTTGAAAATAAAAGCGCATGACTCCTTCGATTTCAAGGTCCTAAAAACAGAAAAATAGTCGTTTTGTTTTTTGGAGAACAGACTGACTTCAGTTGGATAGCTCAAATGAAAGAGGTCGAGACGGTTCTCGTTCCATTGCTGGACAAGACAGGCGAGTTGCTGCCGGTCGGACATCATCCCTTACAAAAAATCGCACTTCAAATGCCTAACATTTACGGCAAGGAGCTGTAAAAATGGCAATTTTAGTTCAAAAGTTTCCCGCCGAATGGACGCCGAGTGGACGGCGTTGTTGGTGGAAACGGTGATTCACGGCGCAGACTTCAAAAAAGGGCACAAATGTCGAAAGAACATTCAAAAGATTCAAAAAGAAGGTTTACAACGCTATCAAAGACATGACATGTGGCACCGGGATTTTTCCCCGTCAAAGTGAGGAGTAAGATAAACAAAGAACTCAAAAGTCAAGAAGATTAACAAAAACTGGAATCGAGAAAGTTGCGAACGGAGAATCAAATTGAAAAGTGATAGCAAAAACAGGTTATTTTTACTTCGGTAAGTTCCAAAAAGAAAAATGATAGCATAAGCAAGAGTAGACTGAATAAATATACAAAAAAACTTAGGAATATAGTTAATTTTCTTAACCTAGTATTCACCTCAACACAAAAGTTGGATCAACACAAAAAAGACACAGAAAGAAAGTGATGATAAACTGGGAAAAGTTTCAATAAAAAAGGTGGACAGTTTAAAGATTTAAAAAAAACCTTTTTTTCTTGTGTCAGCCTTTTTCTAACTTTTTTCGTCAAGTTCAAAACCTGAAGAAAAATGAGATTTTTCTAAATAGCATTACGAAACTACAGCTAGAAAAACTAAAAAAAGAAAACTTATTTTGGAAAATAAAAATAAATAATCCTCAAGCTTCATTCAAAGTCCAAGAGAGCACGAAAGACGGACAAAATCAGGGATGGAACTCAAGAGCTCTTTATGCGATTTCGGGTCCTTTGGTGGGTCAAGAAGGAATAATTGGCATCGTGCCGTTTGATTCAATAACCCGTCGCATTCAAGAAACGAGTCTTCAAAGGTGAGAGTTCGAAAGACCTATTCAAGGGGAAAAAATCCACTAAACGCTTCAAATAATTAAATAAAAACACCTGATTCAGAGAGCTTCGAAAAGATAAAAAGTGCAAATATCGAACGAAGACTCCCATAAAATAACGCTGAACACGTTCCAAAAGATTCGTTGGCACTTGCTAGTCGTAAAAACAGGCGGCAAAATCTTCGAGGAGGTTCACAGCATTTCAATATCGTAAATACGGCGGGTGGAACGCTTTGTCAGTGATAAGACGGCTTTTTTACGCACTTGAAAACTGGGCGATAAACAAAAAGAGAAATTCCTGGAAGATAGTGAAATAAAAAAAAAAGGACCTCGATAGAAGAGGCTATAATATGATCAACCATTAAAAATCAAAAGAAAAAAACAAGTTTTCAGTCTCATATGTCTAGTGTTTTGACTGAGTGAAATTCAAGAAAAAAAGTCGTTTTATATAGAAGTTGCAGAAATTTTTTTAACGACCATTTACAGAATTTCTCAACAATTTCAGAAAAAATTTATTTTAGAAAAAGGTGAGAAGAAATACAGAAAAACGGTCATACATCAAAAACGCATGGGCCACAGACACATAGAATAAAAAGCGGTATATACGAGTATTCAATCTTAACGGAACGTTTGAAGGTGAGGAGGAGTGACCTCGACTGGCTAGAGGTGCAGGTATTTCCTTGGCAAGACGCCATACCTGTGCAGAACGGCACGAGAGACGTCAGCCTCTCTACTCTGACGTCAATCACGCCAGCTGATCCGATCGATGGCGCAAACTTTGCACCCTATCCGACCTTCAACAACAGCTATTTGAAAAAAGCTGACTTAACTTCATCTTAAGACAAAAATGGGATGGAAAAGAATGTTTAACAAAGATGAATAAAAAAATATTAAAAAGTTTTAAATTAAACTACATTTGTTAGTGAAAATTCGTTATTTATTAACTAGCATGTTTGTTCATGATATACCTCCGAAAATGAAACAATCATAAGAGATCCAAAATTTTCCAAAAAAAAACTTTTGGTTCGACATAACGTGTTTTTTGATGGTATAAAGAACGGAAAAAAGAGTCCACTGAGAAATTTTTGAGAGATTGGAAACATGTGGACTCGCCGGTGGTCTCTCGTCAACAAGAAGTGTGCGCGGAAACCATCATGCTTAACGCTTCTCGTTTTTTTTTTTTCTAGAGCTCCGGGGAAGACCGTACAGATAATCAACAAAAAAGCCCTTGGAAAAATGGCTTTCCTACGTTTGAATAGTAGACTGGTGGCGATTATAAAAGTCTGCAATTCGCTCGCCGAGGAAACACTTTTGAACTTTTTGCAGTCCAAAAAAAGGAGCCAGATTTCAAAAAAAAAAAAGAACATAATCAGTTGCTAGCAATTCGCCAAATTTTTTTGAGGTTACTGTGCGACAGCATCGTGGTATCTGTGCGGAGAGTGTATTCACTACAGACAATCAAGATGACGCGCGCTTCTTGTTTTTTTGGAAGAAGTTTTATAGATTTTATCATGTTTTTTTAATATTTTTATCATATTTATTTTTTTACAGTAATTCTAACTAACTGCCCCATATAAATAAAAGGTTAAAAAAACTCAATGGATCTCAGACTTGGTAAAAAATTTAAATTCTATTTAAATTTTTAAGAAATTTTTCGGTATAAGAGATTAGGAAACAAAATGTAGGTTCAAAAAAATTACCTTAAATCGATTAGCTTTTTTCTGACAAGGTAATGATGAACAAAGTGAATTAAATCAAGAGTTTATTGAAAAATAAAACTATTTAATTTCTGGAAAGTTTTATTTTCATTTTCACACTTTCCCCGAAAAATCTTATTCCCATTTTTCGATCATTTTTTAACAGCTTTATTACAGCGATTTTCCAATTTGCCAAACGAGTTGTTTCAGGAGCATTTTCATGGATATAGTTGCGGATCGAGACTTGTTTTCCGGGAAGGTGGCTGCACACAAGTCGGTGAGGTATGTGAATAAAAATTTTAAAAGTTTTTGAATGATCTAAACTATTATAATTGAAGAAAAAAACAAATTTTGATATTCAAGTTTGAAGTTTAACTTGTTTTTAATTTCAGTAATTTTTTTCTTGTGAGTTTTTCAAACCAGCGATTTTGAAAGCGTGTTCTGAAATTAAATATGTTATTTTCGTTATTTTCTTGCTTCCCACCTAAGTTCTCCTTGGAAACGAAATCTTCAGTTTTTTTTGAAAACTCAAGAGCTTCTCACCTTTGTTGTCTCTAGCAAAAGTTCTCAGCAAAAAAGTCGGCTTACTCACTCACAAAGTTGTTCTTTGTTGTAAACTTTTTGTAGTAATTGACATAAAGTCATCGAATTCCTTCGAATATACGAATATTTCCCTGATATCCTCCAAGTTCTTGATTTCTCATTTTCGAATTTTGAATAAGAACAACTTTGGTTGAAGATTTTGGTGTTTTCGTTTCTCCTCTTTCTTGTTGTCCACTTCTGCAACTCGACAACAGCGACGTCTTCTGCATCGATTCTCCACAGGGCTATTTTGCCCAATTCCAGCTCTTTTTCTCCTCTTTTTTTGCCCTTTTAACTTCGGACCTTGGTCTTTGATAACCTTTCAGGAGGGAAACTTTCAGAGAAGGAGACATTATTTGCTTTTCAAGTGTATTTGGATGATTTCGCTTAGAAAGGGTAGATGTGTATACTGAAGAGAATATGTAAACCTCAAAAAACTTCTTCCTCCCTCTTTGCGTAAGATAGAAAAGATTTTCATTTAATAAGTTTTCAGTTAGCTAGAAAGCCAATTTTTTCGTTGCCATGACTATCTTAACGTCGTTTTTTTTTGATTTTTTGGAAGCTAGGCTTTTATTTTTTGCGCGAACGTAGGCGTAATTTGATGTTGCAAAGGTTATAATTAAAATTGGAGGAATGATGTCAAGGAAAAAGCATTTTACAATTTCTATCTTTTTTAATAAGTTTCAAGTGATACCAGCGGATCTTGCTTCTGTTATCCCGATTTGAGGAAAAATACTAGTTAAATGGGAACTTTGAACTTTTGTAAAAAAATAATAAATTTTTTTCTGTTATAAAAAAATATCAATTCTTATATTTTCTATAATTTTTTTCTTCAAACGAAAAAAATTAAATAGAAAAATAAGACGCTTTTGCTTTTTTTTTCAGCTGCATATGTAAGCTAAAACGCAAAACTGCATTTTGAAGCGTGTGGAATGACGTCATTGGAGCGTGAAGCACGACTTTCGCGCTCTTTTTAAGCCTCATTTCTTTTGGTTGTCTGATCACGGACGCTCGTTGGAGCATCATATAATTTAATTAACAGGCAAGCTGAAAATAGAACAAAAAAAGGGTAAAGGGGCACAAAATGAAGGCTTTTCAAATGCCTCTGCAAAAGTAGTAAATTTTTTTTGAGAATGGTCCTATGAGTTTCAAAAATTAATGCCTAAGCGAGAGCCTCACATGACTACAAACTCGCAACCATTTCTTTTTCTCATAGTTTCTCAACTTTTTGGAGGTAAACCAACTTTAACACGTGCACCCAGGTGTTCAGACGAACCAGTGTGCTGAACAAACAGCAGATCTGCCGTCTGGAAATGTCCGAACTTGCCGGCGCCGCCTCTCTTCGCGGCTCTTGCCGTTTTCTTCTTTCCTTTCTGCTTCCTGTTTACTCGATTTGCCGCCATAATTAGATTTAGTTATATTAGGCTCAAGGAAACATTTCATTTTTCATTATGTATCTTACTTCCGCTGATTTTTCTTCCTTTGAAACGTTAAGAATGAAATAAAATGGGAGAATTTTTTATTCAAAAGGGCAAGGTGTTGAAAAACATTTGGAAAGGAACTCAGACTCCATTATCACTTTTCTATAACTTCTGATGGTTTATTGTCATTTTTTTCTTCACTTTAAATGTACTATCAGCTGATAAAGATGAAATGATTTGAATTCAAATAATTTTATAACATGACTCGAATTGTCTTATCAGTTTAAAGGTGACGTTGAGCTACGTCTGTTTGAACAGCAAACCAAATAAGAAAAAGAATCGATTTTTTTAAAACTTTATCTGTTTCGAAAAAGATAATTAAATTATGTCAACCTTTTTGCCCTTTTTTAGTTCCCGAGTGGTTTATTTATTTCAGTCAGTTTCACCTCGTTGTTTACGAAATTTCCTTGTTTTTCCTGTCAGCAGCTCAAGTTGCTTATTTACTTTCTGTTGGTTTTTCGACTCACTGTTTTTCTGCAGTATTTCTACTCTGATTCATTGCTTCGTTGAAGATTTCTGTCTTATTAGACGGCTTTTCATAAATTCTAGCTTTTTTTCATTTCTATTTCTCTTCAAAAACTTTCTCCTTTACCCAATATGAAATTTTGAACTTTTTCCCCCAAAAAACATGTTTTCACACCTATCTGTATTGGTTTATGATAATCTCCGTTCATAGCTCGTGCACTTTCACACTTGAATGGTTATGCGTGCTAAAATTAAACTTTCTTTTTTCTTTTTATTTAAAGAGAGCAAGAGAAATAATAAAAAGATTTGTCGAAAGATAAGGTAGTATTTGTCGTGACCATTGAAAGTTGCCAGAAATTAACGTCGCGTAACTTTCCAAGTAGTTTCTATAAATCTTCGCTCTCTGCTTGGTTGGTTGTCTTTTTCATCTCATTTCCTTCCTCTTCTCGGCTTTTTTCATGCTCCATATGCTCGAACGAAGCAAAAAAATTATGAAAATGTAAAAATGTCGGATTAGGAGTTTTATTATTGCAATATTAAGACATCTACTCTATTCGTTCTTCGCTTTTTCAGATGCCAAGCCGTAGTGGATAATTATCGGTAGAAAGCAGAGCGATTTTCACTATCCTTTAGCCAGAGATGGTGTCTTTCTATCGACAGCTCAAATTCCTTCTTTGGAAGTGTTTTCTCGTCAAAAAGCGGCAAAAGGTCCTTGAAAACCTTTTTTTTTGTAAAAAGATGAATTTTCAGTTTTGGTTAGTTACGGAACTTTTCGTTCCATGCATCCTGTTTATTATTATCGCACTTATTAGAACCAAAGATTTCAACGTCACGAACACCCAATGTGAGTCTTGTTTTTTCGTTGCGAGAAATGTGTTTCAATCATAAAAGTATGCACAAATCGTCAGAATTAAAGTTTAGTATGTCTAACAGTAGACAGCAGTACGATCGTGGCTTTCCAAAGGTACAAGACCGAATTTATTACTTTTTTCTGAAAATAGATGTATTTTTGGAGTGAAGCTTGGAAATTTCTGCAAATTTCCTAAATCACTTTTTGACCTGCTGAGTCAAGGATCCTCATAGAATTCTTAATTTTAAAAAAATCAATATTTGAAAATTTTTTTAAGTTTTATTTTAACCCTATTTTTTTGTGCTGATCGCGAACATTTAAACTTCAAAAAAATTTTTGCGGAATGAGCGACAAACAAATAATTTTTTTGGCAATTTTTAGAAAATTTCAAACTTCACTTGAGAGAAAATTCCCTTGTAAGTTTGACATCAGATTTTGACTCTGTTAGAGGTTGATCAATTTGATATAATTTGAAGCTTTGCGGAGGCTATTTAAATAAATTTTAACCTACGTTTCCTCTGTACCAAAGTAACCTATAAACTTGAAAATAAAATGAATTGGATGAAGAGAGTGTTGACCAGGCCACTACGACTCGAAAGGGATGCCGTCGGCAGGTCTCCTTCCTTTCATACACTCGTTCTTCTGCTCGCTCTCCAACCAGTGCAACATTGTGCCGACGAACGACGACGAGCTGGAATTCCTCTTCAATCCCGCTTTCAACGGCACCGCTTTCAACGGCACCGCTTCTCACAACAACGAATCTTTGTCCGTTTTCCGTCATCAGTCCTGGTCAATTTCGGGACTTTCAGGGCAGTCGACTTCTTGTACTACTCCTCCTTGCAACTCCAATACATTGGCGAACATCCGCAGAACTTCCAGCAGACGGTCGAAGCCGTCGCCGACCTCATTCACTTGGTTGCCAACATGAAAATGTCCAAGAATGGCCTTTTCCAAATCAAAGATGTACTGTTTGGGTTTAGTTTCTGGGCATGATTCAATTTAGATGTTCGACTCGACAACTTTGAAGCAACTCCGTCAAAGTATTGTGGAGAACGGAGTTTCCGATGAAACTGTGGGGATGTTTCTTGAGGCCTGGATCCGACTTGGCTCCATCGCAGCCGTCTTGCAAACGGTCTGGCGTTTTCCAAATCATGAAATCCTTTATTTTAGAAAGAGTCGCTTGAAGACAGGAGGCTTCTTTCGCCCTTCTCGACAGCAGACTTCCAATTTTCTGCAACCAGACTCTTTTCAAGGACAGCTTTCTACTTTCCGCCAGAGTATGCTATGGAGCTGATAACAAGAGAGTAGTATTTCTTTTCAGCTATGATTTTGGGCCTGAGAAGATTGGTGAGCTTTGCAAGAACCTTGACGCTTTCTCCATGGACAATATATCGTCCATACTGGTCAAATCATCGTTTGAGAACGGAAAAGTGAGTCCGACTGCTGGTCGCAGTGGGAATGGCTCAATGTGTGACGAGTGACTAATTTTTTGGAGCTGAACCCGGCTGCAAAGCGACTTTTGCATGGGAAATAAAGTTGGCGAGTTGTCAAGTAATTTCTTTGAAGTTCTAACGAGGGAACTTTTGATGAAACTTTGCTGAGGTGTACTTTAGGACTTCTTGGTTTCAAGACAAGGAATAAATTAAGTAAGTTGAACCGCGACTGAGCCATTCCACATGCGATCTGAGCGTCTGAAGCTTTCTCTAATAGATTTTATGAATAACTGAAAATTTGAAGCCGTTCACATTTGGATCAGACCGAGGGAGAATGAAAACGCTGGACATATTGAATAAATTGGAATCTTTGCGAATCTTCTCAATGGATCAACCTATCTTCCGGTTTTACGAAAAGTACGGCAACACCGCTTGGCAAGACTTGAAACTGGCGCTTTTCTGCGGAAAAGATCCCTTTGGTTGACGATTTTTTCAGTTTTGATTTAGATAGTTCTCTTTTAGATCTTCTAACAAAGTCCGCCGGGTCCAGTCAAAACGACAACGACTACGAAACGCCATTTATCAAGTGGGCAAAAGCCATTACACGGTAATTCTCCCTTTTTTTTCTTGTTTTTTTTAATCCTATTTTCGTCTTTATCACAGCTTAAAACGCCGAAGTGGAGAATATTTCTCCAGTCTGAACAGTTCCTGTCATTTTAGCCTTGGAAAACACAGTATTATAAAAAAATATTAATATTTTGTTTTAAGATTTATTGCTCATGTTACGCCTGGCAGCAGTGGATCGACCAACGGCACATGTTTCGAAGTCCCCATGCATCAAGGTACATATGGAAAAAAAAAATAGAAACTGTCGAATTACTCATTGTTGCTAATTTTAATGAAATAATCATAATTGTCCGAAAAAGAAATAAGTTTGCAGAGCTGAACTGTTCGCAGCTGGAAGGAAGTCTTTTACTGAAGTTCCAGCCCATCTTTTCTGGATACATTTTGGTGACTCCTCGAAATCCGGCCACAGAAAGACTTGTTGAAAGGGTTTTGACTTTTCGTGTAATGTCTTCCAATGTTTAATTCACAGCTGAACCGACCCCTGAAGCTAGTTGAATACATCCGAAATTTGCTCTACTACTTTCCCGAACAGGCCGTAAATCTGCAATGGGCCATGCACAATAGCGATCTCTGGCCCGCCAGTCAGGTTATTTTAAGTTTGATCTACGGAAAAATGTTCCTGGAAAATGGTATTTTTTCGATTATTACTAGTCTAGTCTGTTCAGATTTTAAATTTCAATTCATTTATCGATCTCCGCCCCTAATGCCGCGATAAGCAAATCAGAGAGGTAGCACTCCAGATAGGAACTTTGAATGACGTCATGGAGCTTACTAGTCGTGCTAACTTTGAAAGTTGAAATTCCTCATAGGAATCCGCTTACTTTAAATTTGAAGTAACTAAAAATTCAAAATCTGTTGTCTTTTAATTTTTTATGAAAGAAAGGCCTATTCAAAGTTGCCTTTTCAACTCAAATTGAATATCAAAATTTAACGTGTTGCTCTGAAAGTTAAAAACATTTTCTTTGATCTTGTTCTCCATAAGCTAACAAAATTAAACTTTCAAATATATCAAGATCCTATTTTTCAACAGAATGTGCTCGCCTGGTTGGAAGAGACTAAGCCGCCTTTCGGATCAATTGAAATGATCAAGCTTTTCTTGCAACACGCCTTCGGCCCTCCGACTGATCCACAATCTCTCGCCATCCTTTTTGCCGACGTCATCAGCATTGTGAACCGCTTCACTTCGGCAAGAGCTCTCAAACGCTGAAAAATGAGGCTGAATCACATTTTCAGTGCTTTTTGGTGGACCGTTTCCGATTTGTTCCCAACGAGTCCGAGATGGAATCGACGGCCGTCTGTCTGCAGAACCAGAATCAGTACTTCAGTGGCATCGTCTTCGACATGAAGCCAAATGCGACGAAATTCAATGCCTTTGTCTCCTATCAGATCAGACATTACGCTGACTACGTAGACGGTTTGGATTTGAAGCCCTACTTCCAGTAAAATAGGATGTTTGAAAGGAAGGAGCATTTTGTATAGGTTTCTGTTGCGGGTCTACTAAAATTTGGATTCTTTTGAAAAGTTTTCGGTGTTTGATCATTTCTAGTGACCTCTCTAGTATTGTCATTGCTCTCAAAAGATCCCTAGAATTGATCAGAAACGTACGATTTTCGTTACCGAGGTCCGAGAAGAAAATATCCGAGTCCTTTCCGTAAAGCAATTTTTCTGCGAAACTTATTTTTTTCTCATTTATTTCTTCCCAAAAGGTAGTAGTTTTTCGCAAATTTCCCAGCATACCTTTTGGCAGGCAATGAAAAATTCTAAAAATCCGAAAAAAAAAACATTTTTTTAAAATCATCTTGAAGAAGTCGGCTTGGCTCAAAAAGCAATTACAGGAACGAGTTATGTTACTGACAGCCTAGGAAATCCGTTTACTCGTGCAAGACCAATGGAAGACTTGAAATACCTCTTTTTCGGGTTTTCTTTCCTCCAAGGTTGGATTTCTTCACGAAATTGAATTACATCGGTTCATATTCTAGAAGCTATCGACCGAGCCTTGATCGAAGAAAATTCGAAAACGGCGGTTGAGGTCGGCGCCTACGCACAGCAAGAACCGTATCCATGCGCCTTTAAAGACACGTGAGATTCGTTTTTTCATAGTATGATAATCTGGTGGTTAGGTTCAACGTGACGCTGTTCATGCCACTTTTCATGCTCCTCTCGTTTCTGATCCCGTCGTCTTTGCTCGTCAAGAATATTGTCTACGAAAAGGAGCTCCGTATCAAGGTTTGCAGTAGGGATTTTTGATGATTTACGAGAAAATTGTTGTTTTTTTTTGGCCTTGTAAGAAAATGAGCGAGAATTTCAGAGTTACAGAGTAATTTTTTATCCATAGTTCCTACTCTGAAAATAGCCGAGTTGAAGTTATTACCAATGGAGCGTGCGCAAGTCGTTTTTGGTCGGACGCGTCTTTGGTTAGCCGCTTTGCAGCTGTTGCACGTTGAGTATTTCAAAAGCAACCAACTCGCTCAAAGAAATTGAGAATAGCCATAAATTTTAAAATTACCCTTAATTCGCTACAAAAATCTTGAAAAAAGCACCGAAGTTTTCGTACAAAAGCTCCCAATTTACATCCAGAATTCTCTAATCAGTACTTTACTTTTAGGAACAAATGCGTATTATGGGCTTGGGAGAGTCTTTGCACTTGGTGAGTTGGGCGATCGTCGCCTTGGTCCTCAACTTCATCTCCATTCTCATTATCGCTTTCATTCTCAAGGTTTTTAACTAAATATTCGCTTCAATGAGTTATTTTTGTGTTTCAGTACGCGCGGATTTTCAATCATACAGATTTTTCGCTTCTGTTGGCCGTCTTGTTCTTGTTTATGTGCTCTGGAATAGGTGAGTAGTCTCAAAGAAATTTTTTCGTTAAAAATTGAAGAAATATAAATTTGGAGGAGGCTTTTTTTTGATTTATTACAATAAAAAAAGTGTAGCCCTTGATTGTCATTTTTAGTCTTTCTTTTTTAGAAATTTTTTTATTTTTTTTTAACTCGGTTCGAAAAGTAAGTTTGACATTTTTAAAGGCACAATTTTGATTTCATAGTCTGTACATTTTTTTTTATCATTTTTCCAGCCATGTCGCTGTTCTTTTCGACTTTATTCACCAACGCAAACATTTCGACGGCGGCCACTTGTATTTTGTGGTTCATTTTCTATTTCCCGTTTCAACTCAAAAGGGATGGAAACATGTCGTTCTGGATGTCATCCACGGTTCTTTGAAGGAGAAACAACATGAAAAATGGTTGTTTCAGTTGTTGTTACCGCCAACGAGCATGGGCTATGCGTTCAGCATTTTGGCGTCGTACAACGCCGTGGAAAAGGCCACTTGGGCCGCTGTCCCCGAAATGGTTGTCAAAGGTTTGAGGCTCTTCTTGCCAGATACGATCTTGTTTTCAGGAACGGATCTTGGAATGCCGAAATGCATGATTTTCCTAGGCGTCGATACTATCATGTTTTTGATCTTGGCTTGGTATATCAGTAACGTCGCACCAGGTTTCTTTTTTCTCACCTTGTTACACCTTGAAACAGTCTGGCCTGTCTGTTCCCTCCTCTCCCTCGAGAGGTCATAGAAACATACAAAAAAATAACAAGAGGGCGCCGAGAAATTATATATTCTCTTCGATTTAGAACAAAGGATCTCATTTTTAAATTGATGTCAAAATCTCATCATTCGTAAATAAATTCTCAATCGAAAATAGGGAGTCCCAGTCGATAGCTTAATTTTAATGATTATTTGATATGCTACCCCGAAAAGCTCTATTTTCGAAATTGAGGTGAATTATGAGTCCAGGTTTCACACAAAAATTCAAAAATATTGGACGAAAATTGATTTTTTTTTTCAAGTCGAAAAATTCGAAACAGTTTTTTTCAATTTCAAGGAAAATACGGTGTTCGATTGCCACTTTATTTCCCGTTCACGCTTCATTATTGGTACCCGAAATATCTACGCAATAGAGTGGAAATCGACGACGATTATAACTTCGACACCATTCCAGGTGGTTTTCTTAGCCGCTTTTAGTTTTCATTTTCTAAATTTGGGAAAAATTTCAGCTTCAAATTTGTTTTCAGTTTCAAAATTTTTCTGTTTCATGCAAAAAAAAAAAGTCTGAAAACAAAAGGATTTTTTTACGCGAAGCGCTAACTGTCTCACTTACAGCCCTGGACAGATTCGAAACCGAGCCTCAAGGCCTCAAAGTCACAGTAAACATTAATTCCATGGCCAAGGTCTACAGTAACGGAACAAAAGCTGTGAGTACACAGAGAAATTTCTAATGAAAGCTTTTTTTCCATCGATTCAGCTCGACAGTTTGAATCTACGTCTCTATGAGAACCACATTACGGCTTTGTTGGGACACAACGGCGCCGGCAAAACGACAACGATGTCCTTCATTTTTGTCGTGTCCTATCAAATTTAGAACATTTTCTCAGGTCCCTCTTGTGTGGTCTGTACTCCCCCTCCCACGGAACCGCCAAAGTTTACGGCCACGACATTCGGAAAGACCTGACAGGAGTGAGATCGGTCCTTGGAGTGTGTCCTCAACACAACGTCCTCTTCACTCAGTTGGCCTGAGAATGCAGTTTTTCCCTAATTTTGACCTTCAGCTTAACCGTTTCTGAACAGCTCGAGCTTTTCGCAGCTCTCAAAGGTGTTGCTGATAAAGATCTGAAAAAGGTATGGGCTATATTTATTTTTCGAGGCGTCTTTGTCAACTTATATGTGAGAGTTTCTTCTTTCGGTGTCCTGACCAAAACATAACTTTGATACTTTTATATACGTTTAGAACAGATAACTAGGGAACTTTGTACGTTGTAACGTCGCAGATATTTTTCCTAAATCACCATTGAGTCTTCCAGGAAGTCTCCGAAGTGCTGGAAAGTGTCTCATTGTTGGCAAAGGCCAATAAGCTGGCTGGTACTCTTTCTGGTAAGTCGAAGTCGGAAAAAAAGGGAAAAATTGTGAATATGGAGGCGGAATGAAGCGGCGTCTTTGTATCGGTATCGCGTTGATCGGCGGCTCAAAGTTCGTGATTCTGGACGAGCCGACGGCCGGCGTCGACGTCACCGCTCGGAAAGACATTTGGCGACTTCTTCAAAGGAACAAAACTGGCAGGACCATCCTTCTCTCCACTCATCATATGGACGAGGCCGATGTTCTTTCCGATCGAATCGCTATTTTGTCTGAAGGTGAACCAATTGTTATTTACCTTAGTTTCTACTTTTTTGTCTTTTTCGAGCTTTGAGAGCAACAAAGCGTAAAAAAACTTTTCAGGAGAGCTGATTACTCTGGGATCTTCAGTGTATTTGAAACGTCGCTTCGGGGAATACATGACATTGACTATCATCAAAAATGTTGCTCTTTTTACTTTTTCCGATTAAAAAAAAATAATTACAGTCTTCTAAAAATTACGAAGAGGCGGTTGCACAGATTATTTCGGAAGCTCCTTTTGAAATCGCATTCAGCACGGAAAACGACGATGAAATCGTCTTCAAGTTTGTTCGTTTTTTCTTCAAATAAAACTTCCGAACTCAAGAATCCCTATCACAACCGATTCGAAAGAATTGGAAGCGTTTTTCGCGGACTTGGACACGAAATTGTTACTTCTCGACTTTGGCCGGTATGGAATCTCAGCGCCGAGTCTCCAACAGGTGGAAATCATTTTCTAAGGTGCGAATATATATATGGAAGATTTCAGATTCTTCGTTGCGCTGGCCTCCACAAAGAGAGTACATAATCCCCAAAAAGACATCCTGGGAGGCCTTCAAGAAATGGAAAAACAATTTGTGCAGGAAGTTTGTTGAGGAGATGAACAGAGTGGTATGATTGGGTTTGAGGCGAACTCCGGACGTCGAAAATCGAGATTTGATTCCCTCTGCGAGCAATTTGGAAACGATCGCCGGGAACAACGATGTCGGCAGTTCGAGTCGTACTTTGGCCGTCAAAACTAGCGATTCCGAAGATGTGAACTCTATAGAAGGTTGTCCGAGGAGATGACACAAATAATCAAAAATTGAATAGAAATGGAAAAACCGTCGATGATCACTGGATGGCGTCTTTGGTTCCAACACGTCAGGGCCTTGCTTTCCTGCCGATTGCACTATTCTCTTCGCAGCAAGAGGCTCATTCTTTTTGAGGTTTGTGGAGTCCTTGCGACACATGTGTATATTGAAGTTTGTAGCCTTTGTATAATTTTGATCAGGTTTTCGTCGTAAAACCCAAATAAAAATTACTCACAGAGACTATTTCTAGTTTTGAAGATTGGGTCCAGATAATTTCTAAGCGAATTTCAAAGTTTACATCTGAAAAATTAAACTTTTTTTCAGGTACCAACCATGACTTCATATTAACCTTCAGAGAGATAGTTCATAAAAAATTCCAAACCTCACATTGACCCCCCTTGTAAAAATCTTTTTGCGATTTCAGACTTGTCCATGTATATTTTTCAGTTATAATTACAGGTCGTAATCCCGATACTGCTTCTCTTTGCATGTGAACTGTTTGTGAACATGATGCGGACCAAAGCCGGAAACGGGACCATCATCATCGTCCAAGGCGCGATGCCACTCGAAACCTCGTTATACGGCGATTTTGTCGACGCTTATGTCAGGTTTAAAAAAAAGTCGCGCTTGATTTGGAGAACTCTTTATTTTGTCAGTTCTCATGACCGAAGTCTCAATTCGACGGCGACAGAGCTGCTGCACAGTATGCTCGACTCTCCGGGTTTCGGAACTCGATGCGCCTACGATGAACCGGCCTACGTGTGAGTTCGGGGGTGGCTCGCCAAAGAAAAAAAAACTATTTGAAAACTGTTGTGGACCATCGAAACGAGTTTCCCGCTCAGTTTTTGTCTCGTACTGGCCTGCTAGAATGCTAGAAGTGTTACAGACAGAAATGGCTCACCGATTTTTATTACCGAACCGACCAGATTAGCCGTACTTTTAGGCCGCACGGCGATATGTGAGTCGGCATGCCGTAGTTGATCATTCCCTTGCATGTCCGATCCTTTGTCTTTTTCTGCATGACTTTCAAAGTTTTCCTCGGGGAAACTTTTCTTCATGGCTCCGCTCCTACCTCTCAGTCGATCATTTTTTGGTTTCTTGGCTTCAGCAACTTTTTCCCTTTGTCGTTTTTCCTGCTTCATCCGTTTTTAAGTTCAGTTATTTCATTGAGAATGGCTCAACGCGTGCAGCTTAAGCTAAGATTTTTTGAATCTATCACAAAATTCATTTGTGATAACTTTTACGCAAATTTCTGTGTGGTTCGGGAGTTTTTAAACGACCAGCTTATTGAGAAAAACCTTGGTTGTTAATTTTTTTTTAAAGTCATACTCAATTCATTTCAATTTTTTTGACAAGGCTTTGGAACTGATCCAATTCATTTTTCAGTTTCAAAAGCTTTAAATTTATGTTCATGAAAAGTAAATCTGTTGTGCAGTTTCATGCCGTGTTCAATTTGATTCCGCGAAATGCAAAATGATCTCTGACTCTCCAAAATTTAGTGATCTTTTCCTTCCTCTAACGGGTATTTTGCATTTCGCGGAATCAAATTGTTGTTCCCTTTTTCTCGATTTTTTAAAAGACTGTCCCGTGACAAGACTATATTAACTTTTTACCTCTACTAACTATGCTCAAATCTGAAACTTCTCATGAGATTGTAGGCGCTACGCTCGGAGTTGCTATGAAAAGATGGGCGAGTTCAACTACACGAGGTCTCTGGACAAAGTTCCATTCAACGAGGATATCCTGTGCAATTGCACTAACTATGGCTGGGACTGCGCTTTGGTAGCGATTTTCTCCCTTCGATCATCTCCGACGGCGTTTGCAGGAAGACTGGCCGTGGGGCGAAACTCCTTGGCTCATGCTCAACACGACGGACAGAGTTTTCGACCTGAGCGGTCGGAATATCTCTCAATTCCGGATGGTCACTCACCTACAGACCGTCGCCAATGCTACCGCTCCCTACTTGTTTGCATTTCAAGACTTTTTAGTTGATTCCAAACGTCTTGTAGTGTTGGTGGATTCTCTCTGGGACACAAAAACCTGCGGGCTGCCACGAAAGAACAAATCAACGATCAGAAGGAGGGATGGCAGCAGTTTAAGCAAGGTAACTAGGTGTGAAAAAAAGAAATAGAACAAGAAATAGAAAAAACCAGTTGAACTGTTTGCAGTGGCCAGGAATGGAGAATATTTAGAAATAGATTTTCTTTAAAACAAGTACTTTTAAAAGAGGTAAAAAAACCTTTACGATAAAAAAATTTACAAGAGAGAATCAGTTATGAATGTGAAAACGTTCTCTAAATTTTTTTATGCTTTGAAGCTAGTTTTCTGTTCAAGGTTGGAACACGACCAAGTCGACCCTGGGTATCAACACGACGCATCAAGAAGAACCCCGAATCGTGGATCCTTTCGTTGTCAACGTGACTGGCGACGACGTTGTCAATGCCATCCTCGGTCATCTCGACACCAGGGAAAACGTCAAGGTTTCGAGATGTTTTTCGGATAATTATAGCTCAATTTCTCTCTCAAGGTTTGGTTCAACAACAAAGTTTGGCCGTCTCTTCCAATATATTCCAACACTCTCAGCAATGCGATTCTTCGGCTCGGGACTAATGATACGGGTTCGTTTTTGAAGGAACTTTGGGGCTACATTGTGAAAAAAGGCTGGGAATTGAAAAAAAAAAAAAGTGGAACGCAATTTTTTTCGTATGATGATATCAGGAGACCGATCGTCTTATTGTTGGAAGAATATACAGCTAATTTTCAAGAAACCCAAAAACTTTTTTTTAACTAAAAAAACTTGTTCCCGTTGGTATTACAGAAAACTGCTCGTTAAATTAACAGCCTAATAGCCGTTTCACGTGCTTCCAAATGTACCATTTTCAATTTTTTTTTTTTTAATTTTTCTCCTTTTCACAGAAGCCCGACAACTGGGTATTCTGGCGGCGACTCATCCGATGAACCAGACGGCAAAGGAAGCAGTCGAAGAGAACACAAAGTGGAACCTTATTTAGAGAATTTTTCCGAATTGGCATTTCTAGGTACAACATGAAGTTGTTGGTCTTCCGCGTGACGCTTCTCATGTTAGTTTTGGGCATCATTCCAGCCGGCTTCACAGTAAGATTTGGATATTTCTATGACTTTTTCTTCCTCATTGACATTCAAATCCCATGCAAAGTCTATAAATCAAAATAATATCTTCATTTTATTTTACGTCTCTCTCTCAGAAATCACTACGTTCGACGGTCGCAGATTTCGAAAACATGGATTAAATTCAAAGTTCATGAAGATAAACTCAATTCGAGGAAATTTAGCAGAACTATTATAGTAAAAGTTCACTCAATGAAAGTATGGGGAAAAACTCTATTCGTTGTCGGTTCTCATAGTTGTTAGACTACTAATCATTTCAATTCCTTTATGATACCAATTCAAACATTTTGAGGTCTACCTAGTGGAAGACCGAATTTGCGACGCTTTCCATCTGCAGTTGGTCGGCGGCCTCCACAGACGGACTTACTGGGTCACAAGTTTTTTCTTTGATGCGGTTCTCTTCAACTATTCTTCGGACCAATGAACCTCAATCTTCAGCTTTTCTACACTGTGGCGATAGCTATACTGATGGGTGTTTATGCCTTCATGAAAGTGAACGAGTTCACGTACAGTCGCGGAACTTTCGTCAGCTTGGCTCTCGTTTTTTGGCTCTTTGGGTCAGTCTTCGAGACTAATCGGATAAAAGCCGCGTATTCAGGCTTTCGGCGATCCTCTACGCCTATTGCATGCAGCGGTTCTTCACGATTCCCGCGCTCTCTTTTGTTTTGATCGCCATCGGAACTTTCTTCGTCGGCATTGTCTGCACCCTCACTGTCATCGTTCTTGAAGGCATGATTCCGTCGGTGAGTCCAAAAAAAAGTCCAGAAAGCTCAGAAAAAATGAGGTAAAAGTAGGAATTCTAAAAACCTCGTGTAAAAGAGTTTTCAATTTAGTTCATAGAAAGCATACCTCAAAAGCTCCTTATTTTCATACTAATTTTAAAAAAAATGCTCTTCTACTGCGGGAAGAATATTTAATTGGGACTAATATCATTCTAGGATGTCACACTCCTACCGACTTATACTATCTGTTCTTTCGTGTTTCTTCTGCTACCGCAATACAACCTTGGCATGGCCATTTTCCGCAGCGCCAGCGTCTATCAAGTCCGGGAACTCGGCGTCCACTTCCTTCGTAATCTTTTTATCTTCCATCTTCTTGCAAACCTCTGCTCTTTCAGAAGTCATCAACAGAGAAGACCTCGTAGTGGATCTGCCTCTGCCGGCCGACATGGCCTGGGACGTGATGGGTCTGCACAGCGCGGTCCTTCTTCTGCACATCTTCCTGGCCGCGGCTCTTCTCGTCTTCTGCGAGATGGACCAATTCCAATTCATGATGTTTCCACGTCAACTCACGGTCCCGAAAAACTGATGATTCTTTCAGGCGGAATGAGCGCGCCAGGACCCAAAAGCTGCTCGACAAAGACTCGAAGCTGGAAGATGAAGACGTCCACAATGAGCAGCTCCGAGTTGATCAAATTTCTGCGACTGAGGGCGGCCAAGCACTGGTCGTTCGTCGCCTTGCCAAGGTGCGTTGATTAATTATCGTTTTTACTGAAACATTCCCACCTTTTTTCATTGGAAACGCGACTCTTTGAAGTGAAAACTTTTTTATTGAACGAATTCATCGATAAAGTTTGGCATGTTTGAAGGCCTACGGCAAAGAAAACTTGGCTGTGCGTGGAATTTCGTTCGCTGTCGAGCCTGGCGAGTGTTTCGGCCTTCTGGGACTTAACGGCGCCGGAAAGACGACGACTTTCGCGATGTTAACGGCAAAGATGTATCCCGGCCTGGGATCGATCGACGTTAATGGATGCAGGTTGACAACTACGTTTTTTATATTCAATGCTTGGAATTTATTTTTTCATTTGAAAAACTTCTGAACGCTTAATTTTTAGCGTGACGTCCGGCAACTTGGATGGCTTCAAGCAGCTCGGCTACTGTCCGCAATTTGACGCACTCAACTCGAAGCTGACCACCCGCCAGAACTTGACTTTCTATGCTCGAATCCGCGGCATTCCAGAGAAGGAAATTTTCCCAGTTCGTTTTACAAATTTTTTTTGAAAAACGCTGTAATTTCTCTAGATTGTGGATCGCCTCCTGAAATCCTTACATTTGCGACCCTACGCCAAAATCGTGACTTCGCAGCTGAGTGGCGGCAACAGGAGAAAACTCTCAGTGGCGGTTGCACTAATAAGCCAACCTTCTCTGATATTCTTGGTTCGAGAGTTCGTCCAATGACATCATCTGAGGTGTCTTTAGGATGAGCCGTCGGCCGGAATGGATCCTGGCTCCCAGCAGTTTCTTTGGAACGTCATAGAACGTCTTTGCAAAGCGGGCAAAGCCGTGGTGAGTCGGTCGTTGGAAGATTGATTGAATGGCTTCTTTGTCAAAGGTTCTGACGTCGCACTCGATGGAGGAGTGCGAGGCGTTGTGCACGAGGATCGCCATCATGGACAAGGGAAAGATCCGTTGTTTGGGTGGCAAGCAACACTTGAAGAACAAGTTATCATATTTTTGGTGACGTCTAGTCATCTATCAATTCAGATATGGAAAAGGGTACTCGCTTACGCTCAAGCTAACCCACATCTCCGAAGCAAATATCGCCGCCGAGTATATCCACGAGCGGATCATTGGCTCGCGAATAGAGTCTATCCACTGCTCTACGGTTTGTTGACCGCAAAAAAACAAAAATTGGGAAGTCATAAATTTGGAGAAACGCTTACGCAAACCGCAGACTCAAATAGTTTCCAAAGTTATGATTTTTCTACCAATTGTAAGAAGCTTATTCAATACTGCTCTTTGAGGTGTTTATTCACGTCGACCAGGACAAATCGACAATAGCCAATATTTTGAAGATCGTGAATGAGGTGAAAAAATAACGAAGAATCTGACCATCTAGACCAAAACCTTGTTTCAGGCGAAAGAGAAATTTTCGCTAGAGGACTACAATTTGTCGCAGTCGACCCTCGACGAAGTCTTCCAGGGCCTCACCGAACACGAGTGGAATCTCTCAGGCGTGGCAATGCCTGTAGACACCGTCGTCAATGCTACAGGCCCTAATGACGTCAGCACCAAATCAGAATCAGCTTACGTCACCGTTTGAGATTTCTTTCTTCCGTTTTGATATTATGAAGTTTTGTTCAAACTCTTCTTTTTTCTTCTTGTTACGATTGTAGGAAATTATTTCAGAAATCCTCTATGCACAGATCATCTTCTTGTTGAATTGATTACGAGTTTTTCTAGTTGAAAAAAAACAAACGTCAAGTTTCGGGTATTCATTCACACTATTTACCGTTAAGGTGTTGAGTTTTTCATGATAGTCTGAGAATAGTACGGTGCCATTTTGTGATTTATTTTGTTCGGGTTTCAATTCTGTTATTTTTTGATTCTGCCTCGTTTTTTTGTAGTTTTTTTTCTTTACTAAATATTTTATATGTACACTGTTTATCAAAACATGAGAAGAAAGCTGAAGATCCAAGAAAACCGGGAAAAAAGCACGAGATGCGTCGGAGTAAAGTGATAGGATTGGAAAAATTTTGAAAAATTTTGGTCACGCTCAATCATTTCCTAGAGACCTTCTGATGAAAAGGATTTTGAAGAAAATTTACAGGTGAAAATTAGAGATAGTTAAAGGTTTGCGGTGGCAGAAGCTAATCAACCTGGAAGCGAGCGACCAAAACTTCAGAAGGCGTCAGGAAGAACAAAGCGTCGTTGGCCGCGAAGACGCCGATGATAGCGTCTTCGCCGTGGACGTCGCCGTCGACGCGGACGTGCAGAACCTGCTGCTGCGAGATGTGCGTCACTTGCGACGAGGTCTTCCGGTTGAACAGCTCTAAAGAGAAAAAACAATTTTTTATTCAGAATGTTACAGACCGAGCGGTAAATTTTCGTATTAATGAAAAAAACTTTCAATAGAAAAAAATTCACTTTTTCATAATAATTTTTTTCTCTAAAAAAACCAAATTTTTCTTCCAAATTTGGTTCAGAAGGTGTAATTTTTATCTTTAAAATTTTTTTTTCGAAAGGTTAGGAAAAAAAGATTAAAAAAATTGTTGCCTTCTTTCTTTAATAAGAACTTGAAGAAAAAAATCTATTTAAGCGAGTTTTAAGAGTTTTCTTTGACTTTGAGGCGCATTTTCTACAAAAACTAAAGAGTTATGCAGGTGTTCTGGCTAATTTTTAGGAAAATTAAAAATTCCCTTTCTTGTCTGAGAATGAATATAGGATGAAAGAATATTCAAAGAAATTATTTTTCTTGAAAAAATAACACTCTCACCGTTTCCGACGGCTTTCCTCTGCCAATAGAGCAACGCGTGGTTGTTCGCTTCGACGATACATGCGTAGGAACTGTTTGGCGCGGCGCCACACCAAACTCGCATCGTTTTCGAAGCCTGAACCATTTATCTCTTTTCCGAGGCAGGGAGAAGGACGAGGAGACCTGGACATAGCCGAAGGCGTGGAGCGTCGCCTCGTGATACGGCGTCTGGTCGTTGAAGTTCCAGACGACTCCGTCGACGTCGTGACGCAAGCAAATGCGGGCGGGCGCGTTTCCAGAGTGACTCGTGAACAGAATTTGTCGACAAGACGCATCACACTGAGATTGACAAAATTTTGATACCGATTTTTCGGAAATACTAAACATAGAATGATTGGAAACTCTAAAAGTCCTTCAAAGATTAGCTCTTGGTTTTTTAAATCCATCATTTTTTAAAGCATAACCTGATAATTCTGGATATGTATTATAGACCATTCGAAAAATGTCGCTCCGAACTAATATAAAATTGAAAAATGCCTCTTCTGAGGCGCCTATTCTCAATTATACCATGAAATTGTTCAGGAAATTTCAGATGGGCCCAAACTTATGTGGAGAAGATAAAGAGGGTTTTACAGACTTTTTTGCCTAATAAATTTCAAAGAATATCTATTTCAAGGCAAAAATCTCAAAAATCGCTATTTCCAAACCTCCTTGACGACAGCCTGTTTGTCGCCGTCGAACCAGTAGAAGGTGAGCATCAGCTCGGATTCGTCACATTCTTCCATTTGCTCGGCTCCAACCACAAGTTCGTCTTTTTCCATTTCCGCAAAAGCCTGAAAAATCCAGTTAATGAATTTTCTCAAAACCAAAACTATCGAAACAAACCTTTTTGGTGGTTTCTGAGTTCGGCTGTTCAACGTGCTGTTGATCGCCCTCCATCAACACAACCCAATTATCTTTATTCGTTGTACGAAGTCTCAGGAGCAGCCTAGGAAATATTATATTAAGGATGAGCGAAGAAAAAAAAGAACATGAGAAAACTGCAGAAGAAAAATGAAGATCTCATTAGTTGTCCAAAATTAAATTGAGGAATAATCTATTCGCTTATTTTTAATAACTTATCTGCTTCGAAAAGCATTATACAGCAAACGAAAAGAATTTTCAGATTTTCTAGGATATTTCAGTAGAGAAAAATGCCCTATGGGCTTTTATGATTTCTACTTTCTTTTCTGGAAAGTTATTTCAAAACGAAGTTTTTTTTAGAAAATGAAAGATCAGGTTTTTTAAATTATTCACGGCTAACAGGATGCGAAAGGGCAAGCCTGCGCACTTCGCCAATCAGACAATCTTTCTATTTTTATCGTGCCGAGACCCTTCTTGGGAAGAAAATCGTGAATCTGTCTACGAACTGGTTTCCTTGGACGGTGTCGACAAAATCCGTAGGATCGATGGTTCCTCCGAGAGTTCCGTCGAGCAAAACCTCGCCCTTCACTGTCAGAAATATCGAGTGGCTGCTCAACTGCAATTTTTCCCGTGTATGATTTTCTTCTGAACCTTTGCCACCTGAACGCTGACGTCTTCTTTGTTGACGGGGAAATCGAAAGTGAACATAACCGTCAAATCGTCGTCTTTCTGGCTCCAAAATCGCCGTGGGGTCGAAGATTTTGCTAGGAAAATTTTTCTGTTTCTTTCCATTTTCTCCGCAATATTTCTTTATCCAGTTTAGCAGTATAATTTTTGAAACGTCGCTAATTTTCGCTTAAGAACTATCTCTAGACGGTTTTTAGCATAACGGTCAAAGAAGAAAAAAATAGAAGCAAGTTTACAAAATTCTGTCAACTTTGTGAATTAAAAATTATTTCAAAATGTATCCATTGAAGAAACTCGATCAAATAAATTCTCAGCCAGTCTAAAAGAAAACCATGAAAACATACTAGTTTTTGCATCGGATTGGGTAATGATTCCAGAATCATCCGAGGAGATGAACGGCGTTTTCGTTCCGAGAATAACCAGTCGCCCGAAATTATCAAGCGTACAAGCCTAAAAAAGATTTTTCATAAAAGTAGTTGATTTTAAGACAAGAAAAACCTCATAATGTCCTTCTTGAGTGATTTCACGGACGCGTTCAATGGTCACACGGTCAGAGAGAGCGTTTTCTAAAAAGATTCTATGTGAATTGAGAAGGAAAAAGTAGAAAAAAAAAACCTCCAACAGCAATAGTCAGCCAGTAGATTTTGCTGCGGAACAAGTCGGTCTTCTTGTTTTCCTTGGTCCTTTCTTCCACTCGATGGAGGATCACTTGAAGAGATCCCGCTACGTACCGCGCTTCGACCAGACTGATGCCTTTCTCCTCACATGGACGATGCTCTAGAAGCTTCTGGAGCAACAAAAATTACTCAAGATGCTTTGGAGGCTGGATTAACCGTCCAGGAGTCATTGACGAGCTCAATGTGAAAAACAGTAATCAGATCTAGTCCATTGCAGACAACCGCAAAATTGTCGTTTGTGAAAATGATGGAAGGAGGGTAGGCTCCTGCGTTGGGCAGCTCAAACCTCGCGACGTTGGAAAAAGACCAATTCTCCGTCTGAAAATAAATTATAGAACGGCTTTCATTTTCGAAAATTTACTGGTTTGTTGTATATCATCTCCTCGATGAATCCAGTCGATGTGAACCGGTACAGGTGTACGTTTTCTCCTGTCTGGAAGTCGTTAACGAAAAGGAGATTCGACTCTCCAAAGAGTTTCATATGCTGAAGAGAGAACAATTCAGGAGAGCGTTGGACGGTGGCTCCTGCAAAAGAAGGTTCTATTATCAGGAAAACATTTTACCTACATACCTTTGACGGAAAATTTCTTTCCTTCGACCTTAGGGTTATCCATCGTCACTTTGTATCCTTCGAACTTTGGGTCGAGCAAACTTTTGTCGAGATTCAAATCAAGGCGTTCCACAGGATCCGTTGTATCCATTTTATCAGCCTCGCTTGTCATCTATGAGCAAATTTCTGTCTGATTTCATTCACTCAGAGAAGAGAAAATCGGAACGCGAACTTTGAAGAGACCCAGTCTCTATGAAAATTCAGATCTCGCGAGAGACAAACAGAGTATATAATCTACTTGACAAGTCAGTCGAAATTGGTCACTCGAATGGAGTTATTAATCCCTTGAAGACGACCGACTACTCCATTAGACTCCCTCGAAGTTTGAGTTTTTCTTTGATTAGTGGATGAAGCGCTTATGAAAGTAAAAAATTGAAGCTTCAAAAAATGTTCAAAAGAAAAATGAAAGGCGAAATTATTTCAAAAACGGAACTTTCTTCGAAAATAATGGAGAATGACTCTCCAAAAAAAAAAAGAAGGAGAAGCGACCACAGCTCGAGCTCTTCGTAAACAACAACAAAGAACTGCGCCGCAATTACAATATACTTGTGCCCATTTAGCACGCTCCTCCGAGCTTGTGGCGCCACGGGCGATTGCCCCCTATTTGTTACCTTGGACAAAGGAACACGCTAGAAAAAGTCGATTGGGTTTTTCTTAATAAACCTTGAACTAAAAAAAAATCCAATTTTTTTGAGTTCAAGGTTTTGTACCTTTCCATATGACGTATGGATAACTTCAATAATCCAATTCAAAAAAGGGCTTTGGTTTTTTTCTTAATTAAAAATTTTCAAGCCTTCTCATTTTATCTGAAATTAGAATTAGTTTTGTACAAAAATAGTGGTTAATAATATTTGAATTTTTCGGCGAAAATTGAAAAAAAAAAAAGTGAATTTTCGAAAGTTTAATTACTAGATTCCTGAAAATCAGACTTCAAAATTATTCATCTTATAAAAAAATATCTTCTCTAAAAACCGGGAAATACTGAAAGGTTGTTAAAATTTTTTTAACAATTTGAAGAATTCCAAAGTTCTGCCACTATAAAAAAACTGTTTAAAACTATAAAGAAGAGATCGACTTTTTCGAGCATGCCAAAAAAAAAAAGATTAGTCGACCTATTTGAATGATCACTAAAGAAAGAAATAACAAGGCATTGTTTTTGAAAATTTAAACACTCAAGTTACCTCTCTGGAATTTAATCAGAAAAACTCTCAGAATTTTACAATAAAAAGTATTTTTAAAAGGAGCGAAACAATTGAGAGAAGCGAAAAAAATGAAAGATGCAATAAAAAAAAAAGAGGATTCGGGGGAAAAACTTTATGCTCTCGATAAGAGAAAAAGTGGAAAGTTGGCAACGACTTCATTGACCTGGAAGTAACGCCTGTTCGTACTCTTCGCAGAATCTGAAGCATAATATATGAAGGAGAACAGAGTATTTATGACTTTTTGAATCTTTCCGTGTATTCTTCTTTGAAATATTTTCCCCCGTGCTTTTCAAGGAAGTAGCCCAGTATCACACGGTGAACGAACAAATATTGCTGAAATAACTTCGTTTTCTGCGAGGGAAGACATTGAAAACGGTGAACTATAAATAATTCAGCCTGATATATTGGAAAGTTCTGTTGGGGGAGATTCGATAAAAAAGACTAGGCTCCAAAAAAGTCTCATCAGATAAAAAATATGTATGAAATAAGTATAAGGTACAGAAAAAAAAAATTACGATATCATTTTGAATGGTAAATGCCCGCTGAGCGCGAAGTTCCTTCAGAATTTCAAACATCGATAGTGGGATCACACCCTTCACCATTTTCTCTGAAATATTTCCAATAGAAGAATTTTCTAGACCCGCCTTGTCGAAATTCTTTTCTCGTTTTTTGCTAGTTTTGAAGTTTCAAATTTCAACCATTTAATTTTAACAACGATAAAAAACCCCAGTGTTTGAAGCGTCATGAGAGAACTTTAGTTTACCATTTCAACAGTTTTAGTGCCCCTGGCTTTGATTTTATTCCCCTCCGTTGGAGTGAGACGTTTTCACAAGTAGTATGTAAAAAGTCGACGCTGGTGCAACTTTTTGCCCAAACTTGATTTTTTACACTTTTTCACTATTCTAATGCACTAAATCATCAAAAATCATGCTTAACATATCAAAAATCCATAATTTCTGGAAAATGAGTATTTTGGGCTAGCTCACCTTCTGCCCACTTGCCCAGGGCTAACGTTTTCAGGTATATTAACCACTGAAAGACAAAAAATAACGCCCTCCACCCCCTCAGAAGAACGGCGGATTTCATCATGAAAGATCAGAGCCCCACCTTCTTATCATTGGGGGGATCGAACCCCCGACCTTTCGGATGGAAGTCCGACGCTCTTTATGCTAGAAAATGAAGCAAAACTGAAGAAATAGCACCTTCGAGAAGGTTTAGAGTGTGACCAAACTCGTCGAGTTCTTTTTTTTGAGTGTGATGTAAAAAGGTCATCAGCGTTCACTTTCTCCGTGTAGGTGTAACCACTTCCCCTCTCTTCTGTTTCTCCAATTCCTTGTGGTGGTAAAGTGTCTTGCATGTAAATACCTCGGAAGTTCTTGATTTCGAGTACATTTACAAGCTCAAGGAGATCTAGATTGGTTAATGGCTTCAGGTCTTTTCGGAGACCAAAAGTAGTCTTTTAATAAAAAACAAAACTTCAACACTTGTGTTAAACGCTTCTATTTTTCCCTTCTTGACTTTGTTTGATTGTAAAAACCAAAGTAATAAGTAAAACAAAAAAGGCAAAAAACTAGGGCGCACATGGGAGTCGAACTACCGTCCTTCTTGGTGGGGCAACCTGCTACCGACTGAGCCATTGAGGAGCCCTCTTGCCTTAGAGTGAATCTCGTCTATGTACTCAGCGCGGCCTGGCAGAGACGCAGAGGAGACAGCCAGCAGTGAGGGGCGTGAGAGAGCGAAGAGAGAGAGAGAGTGTGTGTGTGCAACGATGTTGTGTTGCTCTTTCTTCCCACATGCGACTGTATTCCCCTTGAATATTTGAATATTTATTTCACTCTGATACATAAAACAAAATGAACTACAAATAAAGATACATAGCTTGAGCAAGAATTATATTAGAGTAAAATTAGGACCGGTTTTAATACGCCCTCACGAGCGAATTTACCGGTATAGAGAATAGGACACGTAGTAGGATTTATGATCACAGTAGACGTAAGGGAATGTTGGAAAGAGTTCTTCGTTGCTTAGCGAGTCGAGAAACTTTCTGAAACGGGTGGTAGACGTGTTAGGGTTGAATCTTGAGCAGAGTCTATTCCAAAGAGGAATGACAGTGCTAAAAAAAACTATTAAATCTGGGACCAGTCTGAATCAAACGAAAAGGATACCGAGGTGAACGACTTCTACTGAAAAACTTTTCTGCGCTAGGAAAGTGGTAAATGCCCAGGACGATTTTTTGAAGGGTTACTAGAGCAATAGAAGTTCTCCTACGGAAAACGTGAGTAGAACCGAGTACATCAAGGCGATGGGAGTATGTGTCAAAGGATTTATTACGTCTCATGAAAACTTGCCTAGTATAATGACGGTAAGGTTTTTCAAGTAGCACGGACAGTTCTGAGTTTATAGGCGGTGAGAAGATTTCAGAGCAATAGTCAAGATAGGGTCTAGCGTACATGTTGAATAGTAAGTTATACTGCTGGATGTTCAAGTGAGCAAAAGCTTTGAGCAGCTGTTTAGATTTGAGAGTGGCAATGTTGACTACATGATTAATGTGAGGGCTGAAACACAAATTTTTATCGATAAGGAGACCAAGGTCTCTGACAACAGTTTCAGATCGAATAGGTGAGCCATTAACATTGTAAACATGTTCAGGATTGTTCCTGCCTAGATGAAGAACAACAGTTTTATTGGCCGCAACTGGGAGGCCCCAAGTTTTAGACCAATCGAGCAATCTATTTATACTGTCTTGGATAGCATCAGGGTTATCGGAAGAAATTTTCAAGTCATCGGCGAACAAATATGAAGTAACGGAAGAGTCGAAGATATCTGGTAGGTCGTTGACAAAAATCAGGAAAAGAAGAGGGCCAGTGACAGTGCCTTGCAAGACTCCTGAGACCACGTTGAAGCTATCATCGGAAGCTAGGCCATCAATTAAAACTCTAGATGTGCGGCCAGAGAGGAAAGTTTTAAACCATTTGACCATGGTAGGATGGAATCCGAAAGTTTCTAGTTTGGCAATAAGAAGGTTGTGTGGGACATAATCAAAAGCTTTCATGAAATCAAAATAAACGACATCGATTGGTAATCCCCTACTAATAGAAAGTTTCCAGTTTGTAACAGAGTCGAGGAGAGCAAGAGTACAACTTCGATTATTGAGGAAGCCAAACTGACGAGGAGAAAATTTGAGTTTGAAGCTAGATTTAATGTGGGTGGCAATTATTCGCTCCATGAGTCTTGCGAGAGGATGAGTGAGACTTATGGGTCTATAATTTTCGGGATCAGACTTTTTGCCTTTTTTATGAATAGGAACAATGTGAGAAAGTTTCCAGGATTGAGGAACAACACAAGAGAAGTATGAATCTGTGAAGAGAATTGACAGCGGAACAGAAAGGGTATCTCTACACTGCTTTAAAACATAGAAATTCATGAGATCAGATGAGAAGCCAGTTTTGGGAGCCAATTTAGAAATGAATTTATGAATGTTGAGAGGAGAAAAGTCGGGGTGAACAGAAAATGGTTTGCCGGTTGGAAAAATACAAGGAATTTCAAAATTTTTTGAGTTGCGGTTAGTCGAAAAAACGTCAAGAAAGGCAGATGACTTATCAATGTTGGATATACAATAAGCGCCTTTGTGCTCTAAATGAGCGTCGGACTTCCATTCGAAAGGTCGGGGATTCGATCCCCCCAATGATAAGAAGGTGGGGCTCTGATCTTTCATGATGAAATCCGCCGTTTTTCTGAGGGGGTGGAGGGCGTTATTTTTTGTCTTTCAGTGGTTAATATATCTGAAAACGTTAGCCCTGGGCAAGTGGGCAGAAGGTGAGCTAGCCCAAAATGCTCATTTTCCAGAAATTATGGATTTTTGATATGTTAAGCATGATTTTTGATGATTTAGTGCATTAGAATAGTGAAAAAGTGTAAAAAATCAAGTTTGGGCAAAAAGTTGCACCAGCGTCGACTTTTTACATACTACTTTCACACGGTATTACGGTAGGATGGCTCACCTAAGATGTACTCTATGGCTACGATGGTCCCAGTCCGGCCGATTCCTGCCGAACAGTGAATCACGATTGGATTTGGTGTGCCGCGTACACAAGACAACAATTCCTTCAAATAAAGCAATTTTTAAATAACTGGATAAATAGATCAAGTTTCCTCTTTTCAAAAACTTTCTCGTCCATTTAAATTGGATTAAAAATTAATTTGTCCTCTTTTTTCTTTCACTCGAACACCTCGAAACCTTGGCAAGTTTCTGTTATTATATTTTGGTAATGTTGGAAACTGACCATAATAGCAAAGCGACATGTAGGAACACCTCGATCCGGCCAATCGAGCCATTGATAGTGACGGACATGAAACAAAAGGTTATAAATTAATTCACATTACTGGGAAATTTCCGATACTTGAATTTATGTACCAAGTTAACCCATCATCTTCTTTCTTTTTTTTTTGCAGCATTTGCCTTTCTGAGAGCCGCGACACGCTTCAGTAATTGTCGCTATTCTATCACCGACTTTCAAAAAGGATCGTGAGTCCAAACTTCAAAAAGTTGTATGCCCAAGAAACTCGAGAAACCGTTTAATTTGAGGCATTCACAAATGCAAATTTCTAGTCACATTTGCAAAAATGTAGTCTCAAAGACTAAAAAAAAAATGCGAAAATAGATGATTTTCAGAAGGAAAACAACTGAACCTCGCGTTCTTTATCTTCTTTTTTCACCAAAAGCGTTGTGAGTTGTATGTTTGCTTCAACTGAGAATATGTTTGGACACTTTTTCTGAAAAAAGTGATGAAAGGTGGTGAGAGTGGCAGCGACTCAACTATGACCCCCAGATTGGTGATGGAGAACGGCCCGAACTGCATCGTCTGGCCCGTCTGCTGCGGCCAGTACTCGGCACATTTGATCTTCCCCTGCAATTTTTCATATATTCCATCGACATCCGAAACTGGAGGAAGAAGTTTTTGAAAGAAAACTGGGTGTCTCATAAATAAGTGACAAACCGTCTCAATGCAGTTGCACAGCATGATGATGTTGTCTGTGTTTTCCTGCAAGATCATCTGCCAGAAGTCAGAAATCGTATTGTCCAATGGACCCTGAAAAGTCAATCGAGGGTGCTTACGTTTTGTTGAATTTCTTCGGAAAGCCAGTTTCCGGTTGGCTATTTTCTTCTGAAGGCGCTGGTAATTTAAAATATTTTTCTTTAAAAGCGAGGTTCGAAACAATAAAGGTTCTTTTCAAACCTTCATTTTTCTCGTTTATTTGGAAAAAAAACTGCTTGATTTTCGATTTTCGTTTGAGGCGTGTAAATGTTGACAGAAAACGTTTTCAATTCACAAAAACTCGATACCTGAGTGCAGATGAATCTCTTCTCATTGACATGGGTTCCGACATAATTGGCGTGGATGTAGTCGTTTGGAAGGTCGAGTTTGACGCGTTTCTGCTCCTGACAGGGAACGTCCTGGTAGCGGTTGCGAGTCGGATTCGCCTGACACGAAGTGGCCACTATATTGATCCTCATCTGCGCCACTACTCGGTACTCGGATCTCAGGGCCGCTACGCCCGTGTTCAGTGTCTGATTCACAAATGCGTGCATCTGAAAGTGGAAATTTCGATAAAAAGATCCTACAACTGGGCGAGGTTCCTTTATACGTTATATAGTCTGTTCAAATTTTGAATGTCAAGTCGTCGCTCAAGCTCAGCCCCTAATGGTGCGATAAACCAATCAGAGAGCGAACCATCCACAAAGTGTTTTTAAAGAACTTCATTGCACTTGACATTTAAAATCTGAACATTACTCCACCATGTCATAGATACCTGTTAGCTGATAACTTACTACCGATTAGCTAACGCAGATTTGGAAGTATCTACCTAGTAGTTATTCTCATCTATGAACACGTTTCAATCAATCTTCAGCAAGTTCGCTGCTGATAACACCCAAGACTACAGACTATCTCGCAGGAGTTCGCAGAAAACTTCTTGCCGGGACATCGTCAAAGTCTCGCAGCTACATCGCTCTTTCATATAAATTTCGGGAAGGAAAACAATTTCTCGCTTCACTTCTGACTTTGATGATGAAAAAAAAAACAAATCAAAACAAAAATTGTTTGAAGAAAACTATTTCCTTTTCTGATGCTATAAAACCCACCATTTCAACATAGCCTTGAAAAGAAAAACTCACAGCTAGCTCTGCTTTCAAATCAAAAATCAAGGCCGTGTCCGGTGGATGTTGTTGTGTATGCGAATGTTGCTTATCTTGAACAGCCTCGATCGTTTGCGCTTCTACAGCCTGAGCGATTCAAATTTTGAAAAAATTCTACTTTGTGTTGTATAAAATTTTCTAGTATAGCGAAAAAACGAACACTTGGACAGTAACTCTTCTTTTTGCGCGCTCTTTTGCTCCCGTCTTCGTCTGAACGTTTCCGACTATTAATAAAAAAATGAGATGGAAAAAAAACCTCCTTTTCGGTATTTATTATCGGTCCTTTTGGACGGCTTCGGTAAAGGATTGCTGGAAAGAGTGTGATTTTCGAGAAACAGGGAGAAAAATCAAGATCGAACAAGGCGCCTAGCAAAGTTGACTTTTGGCTGTCACTTTTATCTCATAAACTGCCTGTGTTTCAAAAAATGTACTGTCTCCAGCCTAATCTTAAAGTGTGGAACATTTTATTGTTTTCAAAAAGTGTTAGCCCGAAAATGATCGGGCAACAAAAAAATTAATCAAAACTAGTGAGAACCTGGTCACGGCCGCCATAGCTTTTATAATCTTGAAGAAAGTTTTCTTCTCTTCTCTGAAAAAAGTTGAGTTTCAGGCCAAAGGAACAAAGGAACAACTGACGGTTGATTCTTCTTGAAGTTCGACGCCATGGCGAAGGCCGGGTGTAGAAATAAACGGTGGCGCACCGCCGTTTCACGTTTTGGACGACACGGCTTTTTTTATTTGACGCTGGGTGAATGCTTCTAACTGACCATCAACCTTGCCTCGAAAACTTTGATGTAATCAATTGAGTAAAATCCTAGCGGTTTTCCCCTAAATCTTTGAAGTTGCTCATAGAATAGTCGGATCACAAAGAAAATCTGAAAAATAATTTTATTTTGTTCGGAAAGTGCATATTCCACTTTATTCCATACGGCCTCAGTTAAGACTATCCATTTGCGTATAGTAAAGCGTAAGAATGCTAATTTTTTTCAAAAATAAAAATGGCTAACTCGCCAGTATTCCAATCTCGGGTTCCCTCATTTAATCAGGTCTTTATTTGATTTATTTATCATAAAAATAAAAAAGAATACTATACTAAAAAAAAATTCCAATTTTTCACGAAAATCAAGCCAGCGATGAACTTAAATGTATTGAAAATGGGTTCAAACAATCTCTACTGTCACGTTTGACTAGATGATATACATCAGACATCAATGTTCTAAGAACACGGAATTTGCAAATCGGAGAGGTTATTTTTTCCAAAACAAAATACTTTTCTTGGGTTTATCATAAACATAAAAAAAAGTTACTGATAGAACAGAAAAACTGGAAACAGTGATCATACTCATTTTACCGTTAGAAAGCCCCAAAAAAGTCTATTACTGTAAGAAATCCCGTGCAAAGTGTTCACTTGAAGTGGTCGCTCTCAATTCGAGACTTCCACCTAGAGCACGGTTTTCGGGTTCCAGCACAAGATCCGGTACGTTCTGAGCTCGTCAAGGCGCAACTGGATGGACCACGCACAGAAGAACGAGGCGAAGGACCATAAGACAAAATCTTCTCCCCGTCTCTTCAGTCGGAAATTTTTCATTCGCTGTGATGTCAGCTTCTCTTCTTATTCCGATCGCCTCAATCAGTTTGATATCAAACCTTTGTTCATTCGCCGTAAAATTTGTGATATAATCACCCTACATAAAATTGTTTGTGGCTCTGATCACTGTCTCGATCGCAATAAGTATTTCACTCAATCCCTGTTACAGAGAAATTCACTTCGACTACGGACAGCTGGTCAGTTTTCTAATGACTACTTTTCTAGGACTATCCCTCTTTGGAACAAATTAACTTCATATTCAGACTTCAACGTCACCCCAGAAACCCTTCGGAACAAATTGAATAATCTTCCGAATCAAGCTTTTTATGAAAATATCCCTTCTCGTGTACTGTAAAAAATTTTTTTTTCCGGGTACCTGTCAACTCGTTGGGGTTGACTCATTCCCGCGTATTGTTATTCTTCTGCCCGTCATATGTTGATCACTTATACTTTTTCTATACTACCTAATGTTTTTTTTATGGCAGTGAATAAACTATTATTATTATTAAAGACCATGCCTTCAACTTTTTCAACTACCTTTTTTTCTAGTTCAGAAAAAAAGCGGTTGTTCACTATAGCTTCAAAATTTCTCGTTCATCGCCCAGTCGATTACATCTATGGCTATAAAAACAAAATATACGACTGATTAATTGATTAGAAGTAAAAACTTTTTTCGCTATTTTTCCGAGAAGTCAACTGACACTTTTAAAAACCACTCGATTTTTTTTTCTAGCCACGGGTGACGGAGCTGATGATTGAAGAATTAACTTGTTCTTTGGACTCACTGAAAACGATTAAAACTCAATTTTTTATTGTAGAGAAATGACCATTCGAAATTTTGGGAAAAAAAAATAGACCAAAGTTTTCTTTCGGCTGTTTTCGTTTCATCAGAATGACATAAAAATTGCACAACATTTTTTGACCCAAAAATAATCCTATGCAAATTCGATAGACAGCCAAACATTGTTTAAAAACGACGACGGCTCCGTTTTTGGATGTTCCGAAAATATGACTTTTTTTTTTTGAAATTTTGCCATCTCGTTCTTAGACTCATCCACGAAATTTTATTTTGTTAGATCTTGCTTTTTCGAGGTCAAAATGAGATTTTTTTTTGTTGATTTTTTTTTTCCAAAAATTCGGATATGGTACGTTCAAAAACTCTTTTTTGAAGTATCGAAGCACCAAAAACCATTTTGGAAGGTCGCTTTTTTTTTTCGAAAATTACGTTTCTGCAAAAATACAAAGTTTTTGAACAGCCTGTTTTAGAATTGGTATAATGAAAGGCGGTTATTGACCAATCAAAAAATTTTTTTTTACTTTTTTTGTTTGTCAAACTTCCAAGTGCGAGAATTTGACAACAAAAAAATTTTTTTGAAATGTTTTTACCCAAAATGTTTCGTTAATTTTTTATTGAACTGAAAGAACTTGCGCAGAACGAAAAGAATGACGTCGTCCTACTCGGAAGCAGATCGAGCCGTCGACCTCCGAAAGTTCCTCTTCGCTAATAAAACTCGCATCGTCATCCTATTTCTTTCGTGAGTTCCACCGAAATGCTTCAAAAAGTCGTGGGGAGTTGAGTGAAAAAAAAAACTTCAGCCTCGTGTGCCTGTCGAACCTGCAAGCCAACACGATCACCTTGAATTTCACAGTCATCTGTATGAATGACGTCATCGAAGAGCAGAAGGCCAACTCGACGGAGCCTCATTGGCTGGAGAACCAGGGCGACATTTCGCTCGCCTTTTCTTCGGTGGCCTTTGGAGCGATCGCTGGAACTCTGCCAATCGTTCCTCTTTTCGACCGTTTCGGAGTACGGTAGGTGTCTCCAAAAATCTAGACTACTGTGGATTTCTGTTTGCAGGTACATATTCACAATCTACGGACTTGTGTCGGCCGTCGGAACTCTGGCGATGCCGTTTTGTGTCTCAATTGGGTTCTACGCAGTTCTTTTTGCTCGAATGTTGCAAGTTAGGATGAAAATTTTATTTGAAATCCAATGTGAAGAAACGTAATTTACGAACTCTAAACCGCATAGGAAACTTCAGGGAGCCGGCTTCAGCGTGCTTTTTTCGGCCATGGGAGCCATCGCCGAGCGCTGGTCCGTTCTCGCGGAACTCAGCACTTATATCGCGATTCTCTCCAGCTCCCTCCAAGTAATCTCGTAGTTAAAGTCAAGTCAGGAAATAGAACATCTAGATGAGCTCGATCGTGACTATGCCGCTTGCTGGAGTTTTGTGCGAATCTTCTCTCGGCTGGCGTGCATTGTACTATTTTCTTGGTACCTTCACTCTCTTGTCGCAGATCGTCTTCTTCTTTTTCTACCAAGACCAGCCAGGCTTGCACAGGTGGTTTTTTTGAAAACTGGAAAAGTTTCTATTGATTTGCCAATGATTCGCTTCCCAGAAACGTGAGCCACAAGGAAGTGAGGAAGATAAGTATTGGAAAAGCGCCAACCACGAAAACCGGAGTTCCGTACAAAGCCATGTGTCAGAACAAAGTCGTTCTTGGAATCTGGCTGTCGGTAAGCCTTTCGTGCTCTTCCTTGGCCTATTCCCGTTTTCAGGCGATAGGAGGAAATCTCGGCTTTATGATGTTGCTCCAGTACGGTCCGACCTACTTGAACAAGGTTAGTTCGGTTTCAAAAGTAGAAATAAATCGACATTGAAGGTCTTGCAACTCGACGTCAGAGAAACTGGGTTCGCTACAGCGCTACCGTTTGTCCTTGCCGCTCTGGTCAAATTCGTTGCAGGACCTGTGTCCGATAACGCCGTTTGCGTTTCTGAACGGGTTAGAGTGATCATGTTCGCGACAGCCTCTCAAGGAGCCCTTGCCGTCGGTTACGTCGTCATGGCATTAGTAAGTCTGCTGAAGAGTTGGATTTCGAAGAGACTTCCATTCAGACGACGAGTCGAGAGGTGGCGCAGATTTCTTACACGGCGTCGATCGTCATGTCGAGCATCAACATCGTCGGCGTGTACAAGTGTGCTCAGATGGTCGCGCGACAGCACGTTCACTTCGTCTTCGCCGTCATTTCCTTCACGGCTTGTTTCAACACGTTGCTGCTGCCTTTGGCCGTGGGATTCGCCTGTCCAGACAATACCAGCGAGCAGGTCTGTTTCAGAACTTCTTTAAAATGATCAAAGTGGGAAGTACTTCTTTTCTTCCCCTTCAACAGCCCTTTTCATATCTTTAAAATTTCTATCCTCCCGATTAACTCAACTCAAACACCTTGCTTAATTAAGAAGTTCCACTGATGAATAACTCAACCAAACTGAATTCACTGGCCGCCGAATAATAGGAGAAAAGCTTGCAGTGGTCACGCTTGCTCATCGGGATTGCTATCATCACGGTTATCACCAATATTCCTTTCCCATTCGTGGCCACAGTGGAACCGGCCGACTTCACGAAAACCAGAGTTTGAAAAGGAAAGAAACATGTCTCGAGTTCAGCCCCTTCCTTTCATTGTTCCAAAAGACAACTCGAAATTCACCATTTGAACCATCAACTAATCCGTTCCCAATACTAACATTATACTAACATTTTCTTGTTGTTTTTTCTGTTGAATGAAAATAATGCTTCATTAGAGCTGCAATAAAAAATACCGGTAAAGAATCATAACAACAAAGAAAAACAACAAAAAAAAGTCCGAAAATTTCAAAAGATACCTAAGAACCCATCACAATGGAATCCTCAAAAGAGTCGTCAAGGGGTTCGTTTTTCGCTGTCTCTTTTCGAGGTTCGTTTTTTGATGGAAAGAAGATTTCTGTTTCAAAAGAGTCCTGAGTAGAGGGTGGAGGAGGCTGAAACTGTTAAAAGTATAAAAAAGAACAGAAGGTCAGATAGTAGATTAAGTTTTACATTAAATCAATAATTATTTAACTTCCTTTGAAACTTTTCTGATATACTCTTCATAAAAGATTGAGAAATTTTGTTCCAAGACCGATCCTATAAATTTCCTCCTTCGTTGGGCCTGACCAACCTTGAAAGGGGCGTTGACTTTGCTGATTGGCGGCAGGACGAGAGGCTCATAGTTGGCAGCGGAAACGACGGACGCCTCCTCCAGAATGGCTACAGGGAATCGGCCAGAGCCTCTCTTCAGGTTGCATTTCGTGCGCGAAGGCTCACCTTTACACGGAAGCGGATGGGAAGGCCGGTCCGATTTCACATGAAAAGTTATTAATGTCACTCGTTAAAATTCTTAGATTTCATGCGATTTATTAATCCGAATCGGTTATGTGTGGTGTTTGACTTTAGAAATTGTTGCCGGTCGATTAGCGCCTCATTTCTACGGAATTAAAATGGATGAAATCAATAAATATAAAGAGCTCCTTAGATAATTATGAAAGAATCTTCATTATTACCTACAATTATGTCAAAACTAAAATCGCATGATCGTAAATATTGTTTTTTTGCGCGGACGCTGATTTTTTGAAAGATCATAAGAAAAAGCTACCGTAAAAACAGTTTTTTTTGCACTGCAAGAAAAAATTTACAACAGTGCGAAAAACAAAGACCTTGAAGCGAAGTGTGTACAAATTTGATCTAAATTGATTCTTGACAGAAAAAAAAACGCGGCAAGCTGGCGCGTTATGGGCTATAGGAAGGATCACTACAACTGCAAAGCGGATAATTTTAAGCCTTCCGACCAAAAACGACTTTGGCTTGATATGTGGAATATTTCTAGGAATAGAAAAAAAACCAGTAGAATAAAAGGAATTTGTCGTTATATAGCCCAGGCTTTCGAATCTAGGCCAGAAGATTTTGAATTTTCCAACTCATTTTTGCTCCTTTTCTTATTTCACAAAATAGGCAAACCGTCTTTGATATCTGATGAATTCCATTATTGGAGTATTCTTCTTTTTTTTTTTTTGCAAAACCTCACTAAAAACATTCTCTACCTCAGCGTAAAATTTTGAAGCGAGTTTGGCTTCAAGAGAAAACGCGACTCCTTCTGATTCTTGAGTCTGAATAATTTTGAGAATCGTTGAACTCTCAGAATCCTAAACCTCTCGCAAAGAAAAAGCGTTGATGTATCTACGACTGTTTTCCATGTCGAATCGGACTTTCCCGGTTACCGAGACTTCCATCCCAGTTTTGAACGTTTTGGCCATTTCTGCCGTGAACCTTTTCTGAAAATTTTAATTAATTAATTGATTTTTTTCTTTGTCAACCGAAATAAGTCGTGTAATGTTGATAGAAGAGGCTGAAGACGTCGATTCTGTCGATTGGCTCAGAGTGCAAATAAACATTCGCTGGTCCAAATTAATTTCGGGCTCGCCAACAATCTTCCCAATCGTTGACACCTTAATTTTCATGTTCCAAAAAATCCTTTCTTTTGAATTTGGTTCTATTTTACATTCTATAGAGTTGAACAGAAACCTTGAAAAATGGGACAACAGATCCCTCAAGATTTCAAAAAACTTCAAAAGAAAAATTCTGAACCTTGTCGAAACAGTAGGCGCCTACTTTCACCCATTCTTCCGCGCTTCGGCACTGGAAAATGATTAACTCTAAAAAAAATTTAATACCTACCAATTCTGATATTTGTACAGGTACCACAAGGTCAGAAACATATTTCTCTGTAGACTCACTAGATTTTCTTTTTATCATTCTGACTGCAATCTGAAAATAAACTTTAAACAGTTGATTGAAGTTTTTCATCAGGTGCAAAACTCATAAAGTCTGGTTGAAAACGAAAATTTAGATTTTTTTTTTCTCAAATCTAATGCTTTTTGGAAAGAATCGATTTTTTTGAATTTTTTGAAAAAAAAAGATCGTGTTCTTTTCTCTTTTCAAACATGCTTAACCTCCAAGGATTCGAGGCAATAACCACATTTTTTTATATTTGATAACAAAAAAAACTAGAAGAAAAAAACTTTTTATTGTGAAACGGCGAAAACCTCTGAAGACCCAAAAAAAAAGATATTAAAAAGGCGAATGATCATATACAAGAAATTAGTACATAAAATTAATTGTAGAAAGCTACAAGCACTGATTAACTGAAGTGATTTCTAAGAAAAACGAATCACAAGAGGCGAAAGACTACGCAACGAAGAGTGCACCAAAACCCTTATTTAGTTAATCTGAAATGTACAAATGGCTGACCAGCGAATGGGGGAAGGAGGCGTGGTAAAGAATCACATGAATGAGTTCTGACACCGAAAATAGACTATAGTGGGGACGATAATTACAAAAAAAATATTAAACGAAGAAAACTGTGCATTTTCAACCTTCATCGTCAGAGCTTTCACTCAAAACCAGACCAAGAGCCGCTTGTCCATTCCGAGACCTGCGAAGATTGAGACTTCCATCGATAAATTTAGTAACTTTTTTTTCTTACCTGGGAGCTGGCTCTGATTCGAAAGACGGCATACTTTGAAAAGCAGGTTCTGCTCTAAAAACAGAACTCCTTTCGATATTTGGCTCTGTTCCCGTCTGAGTACGCGGAGCGTTCATTTCTTCCAAAAGTTTGCCTGAAGAGTCAAATTTTATGAGGTTAAAAAAATCTTTCACGTACTTTCATCAACATCACTGCCACTATCGCTATCAGTAGCGCTCGACTTTTTCGGCTTTTCATCGTCCTTAATGAAAATAAGTAAATAAGAGTTTTGTGAAATGATCAAACCGAACTATCGCTCTCACTGCCGCTGTCGCTACCAGAGCTCGAAGAACTGCTGCTCATTTTTTCTTGATGAGAACTGTAAACGTAGGCTTAGCTGGAAATCTCGAAAGGCGATAACCTGGGATGATCGTTGAGAACAGGCGGCGACTTCGTCTTTGATGTCGCCCGAAGCCTGCCGATACCGTTACGCAGAGCAGCTTCTGTTCCCGCATCCAGATCTCTGAATTCGAGTTTCACAGTGACTATAATCTAACTAGGAATACCTCGTCTTCTTTACGTTCATGGAAGACGTAATCTTCTCGAGTCGTAGAGTTCCTGTGTTTCTATCAAAGAACATGAGACATTCTTTGGGAGTAGCTTCTTTCTTTGACCCTTTGAAAACAGTTAAGTTGTCTCCTTCAGTTGATAAAGCCACCTGTAAGAAAGGAATCCGATTTTCCCACTTCGCAACTTGTTTTTTATTCTTCGAGTCAATGACCAGAGAGTGAAAAATCGATAAAGACCTTACATGAACGTCGCCTGTGCCGCCGTAGGCGATATAACTTTCAGAATCGGCAGCTAAAGAACTTGGCTTGAAGTCATCTGAAACAAAAGTAACGCATGAACACTTTCAAGTTGGAAAAACATCTCAAGGTGTGATATGAAGACGTGGGTTTCCGACGAGAATCATGCGCGAATGAGCTGCCCAGTTCCAAAGTGTAAGTACCCGGCGGAATGTCCTTAGCATCGCCCATCACAGAGTTATTACAACTGGGCTCAAGTGAGAATAATTCGATCAGAAAGCGACAAAAGGAAATCCTCTGGAACGGTTTCTGAAAAGGCTTTGCCCATTGCGTCGTGCACGTTTACTCAACAGAGCGCGCTTTCCTAGGAACGCTGCGACCGCAACTCGGAAAAAAGGAAATACTTTGAATTTGTTTCTTTTTAGATCTTATTAGAGTATCTTGAACATCATCAGCACTCATTAGCTTCCCTTGATCTTTATATCGAGTCAGATATGTTCGAATTCTTATCAAATCAACGAGTTTTTAAAAACTTTTTCATACTAGAACTTCTATATCAATGTAAACGTACGCTTTGCGCCAAGCCTGTTTATTAAACTCGAATATGTTCCAGTATTAATAAAAATTATATAGACGGGTCATCTACAATTCGAACTTTTTCTTGAGATTTCAAATTACGAGCAAGTTTTGATATAGATTTTTTCATTTTAATTTTCTGAACTCCATGCAAACTTTTTTTGTATTCTTTTTTTTGCATTTTTCTTCCTTAGTTTTCCTAATCATTAGGATGCATTTTCGATTTTCTATGTTCTGAATTTCTTGAACTTAACTTCTGCTCTTTTTTTTCGTTTTTTCTTCACTCGCTTCCGACTTCCCTCAATTGAAAAACTTTCAGCATTGTTAATTAAATCTTCTTGTAATTGAAAAATTATAATGGGTGGCATGGATAACGAACTTGTCAAAAAGTTCAACGCAGAGGTAAGCTTTTATTTTTCATATTTCTAATGTTCTTTATTTTTAAGCTCTCTTCAATTTACGAGTCGAAGCCACCTCTGAGTAAAACAAAAATCCAGGACATCACAAAAGCGGCATTGAAAGCGAAAGCTCTTTACAAGCATGTTGTTTTCAGTGTAGAAAAGTTTCTTGCAAAGGTGAGGAAAAATTGTCTTAATTTTACAGTTTGAATATGAAACTCCTTTGGTTTTAGTGCAAGGCGGAGTACAAAATTCCAGTTCTCTATATTATTGATAGCATTATACGCGGCTCAAAACATCAGTTGAAGGTTTCTTTCTTTTTTTTCGTACGCGTAATATTTCAACTTGATTAAGGAAAAAGACGTATATGCTGCTAGATTCTTGAAAAACTTTTCCAAGACGTTGTCAGATCTTTTGGCATGTTCACCTCCTGAACAGGTTCGGCTAGTTATATTTCTTGAGAAATGAAAAGATTAAGATGAGAGTTGTTCGAACTCTGAATCTGTGGACGGCGAACGGGGTGTACAAACCTGAAGAGATGGAAGTTTTCAGAAATCAGTGCAAATCCGAAGGAATCGGTTAGTTCATTATTTTCCGAAAGAAGTTTCCATTTTATTTTCATTTACAGAGATTGATTACGAGGCGGTAGAAAAAGCGGTGAAGGGTAAGAAAGCCGACATGAGAATTTACGGAGGAGTTTATATCAAGAAAGACAAACTTCCACAGTCGGTCAGTTATTTTGATGTGTTACTTTTCAAAAACTAGAAAGATGTGCAGTTTGTAACTTTTAGGGTGTTCATCTGGTACATTAAAGAAGAAATTTCAGAGTGCAAAGTAAAATTATCTTTTTAGGCTGTTTTATAGAGTTTCTTCCTGATTCCTATCTTCTTTGTGATCAAACGTCAATGTTTCTTAATTTTATAGACGGCACCTGCTTCGTTGCCAGCTCCAGGTTCTGACGGACTTCTGGGAGCTGCACCGCCTCAGATCAGCGGGTTCGACTTCCACACTCCGCAGAAGGTCGTGCCGGCTCCTCTGAAAGAACAACCTTCAGATGAGATACCTCCGGGTTTGAAAACTATTTAACTCAACGTTCATGTTTCAATCTTGAAGGGGGAATCAGTGAACGCGAGTTGCTGAGTTTGATAACACAGTCTGGAATCGATCCGAGCGGCATATATTCCAAGGATATGAACCTTTTGAAAAAGGCTCATGCGGTAAGTTTTTCTGGGCTTTTAAGTAAAAAAGAGATTTTTATTTGATCCTCCAAGAATAAAAACTTTAAGAATTAAGATATACTCATTTTCCAAGACGTATTAGGGTTTAGTTGGATTTTTCTTTTTGAATTATTCAAAATACTAAATTTTTTTTGAAGCATTTGGGAAAAATTTAAATTTCCATCAAGCACCGTTTCTATGGAAATGCTGCTGTAATATTATTCAGAATGATTTTATTTTAAGCTTTTTAAAAGCCGGTATTTTTAAAAAAATGAGTTTTATGAAAATGAGCGCCTTTAAAAATCATATCAATTGTTTCTGAAATTTAAGTTTGATATTGAAAAAAAGGAAGAGCTTTTGGTCTTCAGGACTTTTCAGCGGTAAAGCTGATAGTTTAAAAATAAATTCTCCTCTCCATGGTTGTAATTTTTCTTTTGAGATTTCTGACAAATTACTATCAGAGAGTTGGTTGAATCTCGATTTCTTAGGCTGTCGTGCAAAGTCTCAACCATCACATGAGCGAACGGGCTGCACAGGCGGCTCAAGCAAGGGCCATGCGCCCGGCCGATATAAAGGTTCCTTTCGCCTCAAACCGCCTTGAAATTATCGCTTTTCTACCTCAGAACGTGCTGACCTCGCAGTTCGGAGACTACAGTGACGACGAGAATGAGGAAGAACAGCAGAAAGCCGCCGAAAAGAAGGAGGAAGAGGATAAGCCCCCGACTCACGAGGAAATTTATGAGTGCGACCTTTGTTCTTTCTGAAATTTTATTTTGACTAAATAGATGCGTCAGTAGGTTGGCAGACAGTTGGGAAGAATCAACTTTTGGGATTTTTTGACTAGATCATAGGTACTCTTTGAATTGCAAAGTCCTCAAAGATATATTCACAGAGAACAGAAATTGGGAGAACTGGAAAAAACGTTCAAGTACCCATTGTAACTTTTGAAAAAGCGCAATTAAATGATTAGTTAGAGGCTGTAGTGATCCCAAGCCGGTCCAGACTATTTTCCACTTTTTGATTCATCCTCAATCTCGGATTTTTTTTTCAATTGGCGAATTTCCAGGTACGCTTCGCACCTTGTGCAGTTTCCGGACGTTGCCAACGCCTTGCAAGTTATCTTGCACGAGAGGATTACCGAGTTGAGCAAGGTGAGATCAAGGATTTCGTTTTTGGTAGGAAAAAAGCGGTTAAAACAGGATTCTCAAAATTTTTCTGAAAGCACAGGGTTTTTGAACAATCAATTTGGAAAATATTGAGAAAGAAAAGTAAATAAGTGGGTGGGCCGAAAATTTAAGAATTATTTGAGTTCTTTGAGGGATTTCGTAAAGTAGTTTTACAAAAAAGTTAATTCCCTACATCACTTTGCGATTCCAGGACAAGTAGTCAAATCTTTATAGGAAAGTTTGCACCCTGTAGCCAATGAAATTATTTTTGTGGACTTTTTACTTTTCAAAGATGAAATAAGCGGAATAACATGATTTTTTTCTCGTTATTACTGATAAGAGAAAAAATGACTGTGAAACAGATAGCGTCGGAACATCGGGCGGCGATGATGTCGACGGCGTCTCCGATGCCGCCGCCGTCAATGGCGACACTTCCGCCGCCGACACACAACCAACTCCTTCAAGGAGGTCAGATCAACGCCGCTGCTCTCGCTCAAAACGCCTTGGTACGACTTTCCCCCACCTGCGTCTTTTGAATCTACTCTTTTAGCTCGCCAACCTTCCCATGAACCTGAACCTGGCTCAGTTGGCTGCAAACCTTCAAGGAATTAATCCAGGCGCTCAAACTCAGTTGCTCGGCCAGTTGAATGTCAGTCTTTGTTCTAATTTCATGAGATCGAGTTATTTCCTCATGAAGATCTATTTTTTTGAGAGTTCCTCGTCTTTCTGAGACATCATTCGATAATCTCAATTTATGGAATTTTTCAAAAATTCTCAGACAAAAAGAAGTTTCAGCTGGGAGCTTTGCTGCCGGGAAATAACCTGCCCCAGGGGTTTCCTCTACCGACCACCGCTGGCAATAATCCAGCCAACGCGGCTTTCGAACAATTCGCCAAGCAGCAGGTTTTTTTTTAAAGAAACCAAAGGGAAAAAAATAAACAAGTTAATGAAGAGATGTTCATCAACTTTTCTTTTTACCATTATTTCTCTTTCTGCTTTTTTGTACTGATACTCCCAAATCAACCAGGAAACAGTTTTTTTGTACTGTGAAACTGGGAAACGTGAAAAAGTTCTTTATAGATTTCGAAACTTTATCAGTATTATTTTTATGTGGAACATATTTTTTTCAGCAAACCAGTGAAGGTGAATACAAGAAATAGTTATTTTCGTTATTTCTCGAAAAAAGATTTTTTTTTTTTCTTGAAAAAAAGCCCTAATAAAAATAAAAACTATTTTTTCAAATCAAAATCAAATTTTCAGGAAATATTCAAGCAAATAACAGCGGGACAGCTACCACCGATGACCAGCGCACCACCTCCCAATATTCAAGGTTTGAGAGGAAGTTTTTATAGTTGAAATTTGTAACTTTTTTCCGTTTCAGCACTGCAAAATCTGCACCAGCAGCACAGCCAGCCGCCGCCGCCCCACCATCTGATTCCTCAACATCCGCCGCCTCTTCCGATCCAGCCGCAGAGTCGGCAGGCGTTCGAAGACGAGATGGCTGCTGCAGCCCAGAAACAAATGCGAATGATCGAGAGCGAAATGGAGGCCAGCCATTCCAACAGAATCCACGAGGTCCGTCAAATACCCAAATCAAAACAAAGTTCTATCAAAGTAATGGTGGAGAAAAAAGAATTCTTGGAGACTCCGAAGTGGCTCAACTGAAATTGGAAAACTTTATTCCAAGAATGAAAATCTTTTCTTGCCTGAAAAAAGTTTTCAAAAACGGCTCCGGGATTTAGAATTGATAAACAGCAAATTTTTCGATTATTTATAATCTTGATGATTTGAAGTACTGACATCGATATGCAAAAGCTCATAGAAATTACTGAAAGTTTCAATTTGAATTTATAGACCTCTATCTTTCTAAATTACATATATTTATTCAATAAGATCGATAAATTTCTTGAAAAACGTTTCATATATTCTTCTTCTTTTATTGAACCCAAAAAAATCAAAAAAAAAAACAGCTTAGCTGAAAAACCTTTTTGCAGCAGAATGAGTTCAGAAAGTTATCCCTTTTTTTGAATCTCGTTGTTATGCTGCACTGAAAAATCTATCTATTTCTGCTTCATCTCAGGACTATCCATTAAAAAAACGAATATGTAGAATAAAATTTTTATTTGAGGACGATCGAGGTAGGAGAGACCGCAAGAGAAGCCGGTCCCGCGATAGGAATGATAGAGATCGTGGAAGGTTTTTTTTTGACTTTGAGAAGGAAAAATGTAATGAAAAGTTGCAGAAACAGAGACAGTCGTGAAAGCAAAAGTGACCGCGAACGCCGCAAAATGGGACTGCCAACTTTGGTTCCGGGAAAAACTTTCAGTAATCTCACACTTTTATCCGTGAGATCTCAAAAATTGTTTTTCAGTCGCCTCGAGGACTCTTTGGTTTGGAAGATTACCGTCAAACTGCTCGGAATCTGATATTCGGGTTTGTTTCAACCAAAAAAGGAGCACTTGAAATGAAAATGCTCTGAAAGGGGTTTCTATAGATTTGTTCAAAAAAAGCAACTGGAAGATAAAAATTTCTAGTAGAGGTTTGGCCGATGAAAGATCTATCATCATGACAGAGTTTTAAAAAAAGATATTTATCCGCCCTTTAAAACATAAGGAGTTCCTCTCCCATTTTTTTGATAGTTTTAGAATATTTTTTTCGTTTTTTTCCATGGGCTTCTTATGAGAAATAAATTTCTTTCGAAAAAGGATAGATTGGAGAAAACAATGGAAATTTCGAAATGTTTTGAAAAATAAAAATAAATTTTGAACTTGTTTTTGTGACCTTTATAAAAAAAAATGACCACTTTTTCAAGAATCATTATTCAAATTTTGCTAATTTTTCTTCCAAATCGAGCAGTTCCATTTCGGAGAATTTTCAGAGCGCGGTGGAGCCAGCCGGAGACCCGGCCCAAATCCGGATGATCAGTACCAAAGCGTGCGCCTACGTGACGATGGAAACCCGCAGAGCCGCCTACGACGTCGTCAACAAGCTTTCTCGCGATCTGCAGGTCCAGAGGAAACGCGTCAAGGTTCGGCTTTGGAACCTTTGTTGGACAATATTTTCATTCTTTCAAATCTTTTAGTAGCTTCTTAATTTGATTTTTGGTAGTTTTTTTTTCTTCTTCCTGCATCTTTGTACCTCTTGGGCGGTGTTGGCGCCCTAAGTTGATTACCCGATGTTCTATCCTGATATCAGCGATAGTCAGTGGACTGGCTCTAGTGACGAATCCTTCCTTTTGTCCGAACAGGAAGCCTTTTTTCACTACTACAATTTCTGAAACTCCTTGGTTGGGTGGCGGCGGAGAACGAACTTGTGACCCTGTCGACCGTAGAAACGCACACAAACTGTTTCGGTACGGCGCGCCGTTATTAATTTTCCGTAGTGAATGAGAAAAATTATGGATTATCAAATTTGAAGGCGCATGAGTAGGGAAAATGCGCAGATTTTTTAAGAAAAGCTATATATACCAAGTTTTGATTTATTTTATGTTTTTCAGTTAGGAGAAACAGTGATTTTTCCTCTGATCAAATGTCCTGATCTTCAGATAAGCTGGGCGATGGGTCCTGGCACGAAAGAAGAGTACGCCGAGTGGTGGGACGAGGAAAAAGGAGTGACCAGCATTCCGTGGGACAAGTTCCCCGCGGAAATGGAGAAAGTCTGCGAAGGCGCCATCCTGGATCTGGAGTCCTTGCCGCCGAACAAAAAAGGTTTTTTTTCTCTCAATTTCACAAAAATCAGAAGAAAGGTTCTGCCTTTTATTATTTAATTTTAGGATGAATTTCAAAAAAAGCAAACGAGTTCAGAAAAAAATGTTTCTTATATTTATTCTTTTTTTGTTTCATCTCTCAACTTTCCAAATTGTTATGTGACTATTCAAATCGCATTTTTTTTGAGAACAATTTTTTTTCATTGTGAAAAAAATATTTAATTAAAAAAATTATTCTGATGTTTGCTATTTGTCACTTCTTTCATAAAATTCAAAAAAATGAATATTTTGAGGTCTTTTTCGCTCAAACGGGCGGCGTGGCACCAACGGCTCCGCCTTTGCCGCAAACTTCTGATTCGGCTGATACTAATAGGTTTTTCTCACTTTTGTCCTACAAATTTTTGATATGCCGTTCTAACACGGGCGACGTTGTGCCTCAAACTTTCAAAGAAAAAATAATCAAAAAATTGTTTAGCTCAAGTCTTTCTACCTCCGCCGCCAAACTACCACCCGGTTTGCCGCCTGGTTATAATTTCGCTGGAGGTTTAGAAAAAAAATATCATCCGCTCCCTTCTAAAAAGTATTTTTCAGTTGCTGGACTGCCGCCGATGCTTCCGAGTGGTTTTCCGATCGGAATCCCTCCGCCAAAAGCTGGCCAGATGGTTAGTTTTCAGAGAATTTGAATTTTAATCAAAGAAAATTGTGAACCTAGCTCATTCTTTCCATGAAGCTGGGCTTGATGGTGAAGTTTGAGATTTTAACTTTTTGCATTTTAAAAGTTCAATGAGAGCTTATTTTTGAAATCACTACTTTATTGCTTTTTCTCAAAAAGGTTTTTTTAACAGTCTCTCAATATTTTTTTGTTTTGAAAAAAAGATTTTTTTCCTTATCACAGAACTTGCACGGTTTTGCAATTACTTTCCGGTTTTTGTAACTGAGAAAGGATTCAATGAAAATTCAACACCTTTTTCAACTTTTTATATCTTTTTTTTCCGAATATCCGACACCTCACAGTCTTTCTGGCCAGTTTACAGTTTCTGATTTTTAGGTCATGCCTCCAAATCTTCCTCCTGGCTTCCAAGTGCCGCCTCACATGCTTCGAGGAATGCCTCCTGGTCTTCCGCCGCCAGGAGCTCCACCAGGAGTTCCACCGCCTCCCGGCATCAACGGCTTGGCCGCACTCCGACCTCCTGGTCCGCCTCCGCCTTTGGGAGCTCCGCCATCGAACTTTCCACGTCCGCCTGGTCCGCCAGGAGTTCCTCCACCAGCTCCCGATCAGTTTGGAAGACCGCCGAGAGGTCCTCCCGGAACTGAGGGCTCCCTTTTCCCACCCGGCGTGCCGCCTCCACCTCACTCTTTCGGTCGACCGCCTAGAGGATTTTCCGACCAGAACAGTCCCAACTTCCATAATCGCGGTGGTTTCGGTGGTGGTCCATCTTTCAGAGGTCTACTTTACACTTGAAGAAAAAATTTTCATTCAATTTCCTTTGCCTAGAACGTTCGAACTTGGAAAGTAGAAAATTAGAAAGTTCAGTGAAATTAAAAAACTGAGTTATAAAAATCCACCTAAGCGTTCTTCGTAACTTTGCACGTTTTAATTTTTGACTTTTGAAAATCGCTCAAACAAATATCATTTATTCCAGGAAGAGGTGACTTCCATGGCGGCCGCGGTGGATCTGACAGAAAATCTTTCGATCGCGACCGTTCTGAAGGTCGTTTTGGGGGTGGTGACGCTGGACGAGCTCGACCATTTTGGGACAAGTGCGTTTTACTCGTGACTATTTTTCTTTTAAAAAAACCCAGAAGATCAGAAGCTTTAAAAATTGAAGTGGTTTTTTTTGGTTTTGCTAGTGAAGTTTTTAGAAAGAAAAGAATTTTCAAAACTAATTTTTCGCCTCATACGACTAACCTTTTAAGATCACAAGAGAGAAAATTTTGGCTTTTTTTGTTCCGAATATTTTAACGGTTCAAATCCGAAATTCGCATGTTATTATAAATATTTTATTGAATACAGAGACAACGAAGCTCCTCGTTTCGATGAAGGACCTAGACGAAGGTTCCCGAATCGCTGGGAGGAAGGCGGCGAAGAAAGGAGAGGTGATCGTCCAGATCGGCACTCAGACAGGGACCGACGTGACGACAACAACTACGACAGAGAGCGCGGAAGACGTGAAGATCGGTAGGCTCCTAGCTCAAAAAAAACCACCCGAAAACGACGGATTCAGAAGCCGCAACGAAGATCGACGTGACTTCGGTCGCAGGTCCAACTTTGAGGAGAGAAAATCGTCCCGCGACTTTAACATTACACGTAGATCGGTTTGTCGCGCCGAATCCTTCCTCAGACCTCAGTCTGCTCTTTTTCAGCCTCCAGGACCGGAAAGTGAAGAACTTGCTCCTCCAGGTGTCGACAACTTTGTCCCACCAAAATATCTTTCCGTCGGTATGCTTTTGAAAGAGATTTGAAAATATTTCTTTGAAATTGGTTAGAACGTGTAAACATAGTAGTTGTGGATTATTGAAATGATAATTTGAGAAGAAAATATACTAATAGACTTTCATAGAAACGTTTCAAAATCATTATTTTATTGCATGTTAGTATCATTTTCCTCTGTATAACTTTGAAAGGGAAATCCTCTCAGCCAGAATTTTCCGTTTCAACCGAGACTCCAAAAAGGTGCGTGAAATTCCCGAACAACCCCAGAAAATATTTACGAAAATTTTGAAAAGGTGAAATGTATTATTTATGGATTTTGTTTCGAAAAATCAAGAGTTTATGGAATTACCAAGGAATGTTATTTCATTTCGGGGTTGGGAATTTTCTGAAACTTGGGCAGTTTGGCCTTTCTCAAGAACTAGGAGGTGTGCAGGCTGAGAGTCTCATGATATTCATCCTGGTACATCGAGGAGTGTTCTGGCCAATCCAATTTCAGGAATTTCGCAATCATCATGTAAAATGCCCTTCCTTGTGAGAACCGTGTCGAAAAATCTTCAATTCACGGGCTTTAGATGAGCAAATGGTGTCCTCGACGACGGCCGACAACGACAACGGCGTCTCCAACGGTCAGAACGAGGTAGTTCCCGCGAACCCGACCGTCGCTTCGACTTCGGCTCCTTCTCCTCCTCATCCGCCTCCTCAGGTGGGTATATGATGAAATTACCGCGTGAAATCAGCCGTGAAAAGTTAGCCAAAGGGGAAACTGTCTGACGAAAAGCGGTAAAAATCTTACCGCAGTTGGCAAAAAACACATTTCATGTCATTTAACCAAAATTTTGAGTACGGGCAATATCATTTCAAAAGTTAAAAAATGAATTATAGTCTGTTCAGAATTTCAAGTCCTAGCTGAAGCTCCGCCCCCTTTTGGCGCGGCAAACCAATCAGAGAGCGAGCCATCCACGGCGTTTTCGAATGACACCATTCTACTCAAAATTCAAAATCTGAACGGACTTTAACTCGGACCTTGTTAATGTGAATTGGACGTGTCGGGGCATTTCTAATGCCGTGTTCAAAGTAATTTCCGTGAAATGCAAAATTATCACTGACTCTCCGAAATTTAGTTATATTTTTCTTTCTCTGACGGCCGTTTTGCATTTCGCGAAATTGCTTTGAACACGGCATAATGATCAGAACTCTTTAGTGATCCCCAGAATTGCTCAGAAACGTCCGGTTTTCGTCATCAAGGACTGAGAACGTCAAAATAGTTTACACATTTTCCGTGGAGCACTCATTTGAACCATATTTTGCCAACTACGAAAAAATCTACGCAGCTTCTTATTCTATGCTCTTTCAAAACGGCATTTTTATCTCGAGGCCCGGTTTTTGCTGGCTTGATTTTCTCTTAAATAACTATTTATTCACTGCCAATTGTAACAATAAAGGGATTTGAAATAAAACGCGCAAATAAGAAATAGGAACAAAAATAACCATACAAGGTATGAAAACCTCTCTTACAAGATCGAGGACTTAATTCAATTTTTCATCGCTTACAAGGACGCAGATTTAATTTCAAATATTCCAGACGGAAGCTCCTGACCTCACGAACAAGCCTGTCGGGGAAATGCAATATCTGGAAGTACCTATGGACGTCGAGTAATTCTTTGAAATAATGATTCATGAATTATGCCTGGTAAGACTTTTATCACTTTTTTTTTTTCGAAATTTCCGTTATTCCCCTTAACACAACGAGGGATTACCTCATACTTTCGCTTTGAATCGATGATTGAAAAATTCAAGAGTTCTTCTAAATTATTTATGAGTGATAAGAAAGAAAATGTATATTTTTTTTTTGTTGTCGACTTCATCTAACATTGATCTGTTTCCCGCTTTTTTTTTAGTGAATCCGAGCAATACCGCGTTTCATCAAAATTAACTCCTTCAACCGTTCTCGACGCTTGTTCCAACGTTGTTTGCTGGTCACTGTTTTTCTTTGTTTTTTTAAATCTCTTTTTCTGATTTCAATATGCTAAATTTCGAGAATTGGTCTCTTAAACGTTCCTGTTTCTTCTTTTTTCTATATTCCCACAAATGTGGCGCTGTTTTTTAAACCTTAGTTTCAAACGTTAATAAATTTTTTAGAAGTCACTTTTTTTCTAATCGTAAGAAAAAAGCCATTAAACTCTAATCACTGCAGGAAATGATGTGAATTAGCCTTTTTTACGACTTCCGGCCAATTATTTTTGCAGCAGACTTGGCCCAAACAGCTCCGTTTATCAAATTAACCGTGGAAAGGGAATTTTGGCTTCTTACAGCTCGGTTTTTTGAGAAAAAAAAAAGTTTACTCTCATGCTTTACTTATGACTTTGGAATCCAGACAAAAAAACCCTGACAATCTTTTTCTCTTAAAAAAAGTGTTTTTTTCGAAAAAAATAGAAAAATCAGCCATTACTCAAAAAAAGTTTCATTTTATTCTAAATCTTTTTCAAGTTTTTTTCAATTTTGTAAATTAATCGGAGAAGCGCATCAAACGAACGAACGAAATCTTGTCGCAGAAGAATTTTAAAGGGTTTGTAGTCGACTATAACGGTTTGTAATCCTCTTCTTATCTTACTCAATATTTTTTTCTTTTTTTAAATCTCATCTTCTTCAAATCTTGTCCAGTGGCGGTATAAACATCACTGAAAAGTGTATTTCGTTCCCTCGAAAACAGGGCAGACAGACTGTCTGAAGAAGGCCGTCTGACATGAAGAAAAAGAACAATTGTTTGTCTTTGATACGAAGGTTTCAGCGAAAAGAAAGCAATTAAACTTCACAAAGCGTAGGCGAAAGATAAGCACATCATCACCCGAGGGTCAAAGTGCCCAGGAAAGGCTTCCTTGTATACAGTTTCGTTGAAAATTGATATTCAAAAAAGTAATTTCTTGGACTCTCTTCTGCGATCTGAACAATTTCATAGTGATAGTATATTCTGTGTGGGGTTTTGAATGCCCTGTAACAATACTTAAAATGGCTTAGCTTCGAGACATACGCAAAATTTTCTCATGCTCCCTTGAGTACTCCGGCAAGAACTTTTTGGTGGAATGATCACTCGCGTGTCGGAGAACCGTTCTGAAAGTTCTCTGTAGGGAATTATTTGCTCGTTCAATAGAACTTTTTTCAGAATAATCTCGATGAACCTGAAATTTCATCACTGAAACACCCTACAAGAACTAATTGATATATTTAGAAATTGGTCTTATTAGCGACAAAAAAGAACCGAAAAATCACAGGCCTTTTGCTTTTTTTCTAGGGAAATTCTTCGATTCTATGAATAATTTTTTGATGTCTTTTTTAGAGTTTCCATTACCTCAAAGCTTCTGAAACCATTTTCCCTTTCATAAATCTTCAAAAGATCTTCTGAACTTTACCCAAGTTGACTAACCGACACCCAACCAACCGAGATTCCAAACAGCGACGCCCGCGTTGATTAATTTCTTCTTTCTCATCAAAAAATTGAAAAAAAAAACTGTTTAACGCTTCAAACAAGTTCTCTCATTTTTCTTTTCTAGACTAACGGCTACCATAGTCTATTGTCAATAAAACGACCAAAGTCAATTTGAAGATACAAAAGAACAACCAGCTTTGGTTATATAAAGGTGATGACGATTGAAAATCGAGTTCAAAGTGTCTATTTTCGATATTTCGTCATTATTTACCATAAACCAAAATGGGAACTTTTCAACGAATAGTGTATTGTTGAGTCGCAGAAAGAAGATAAAGAAAGAGCTTAAAAAGTCACGAAAACATTAAAGGTGGTTGACCGTTGAAACAAGCCTTCCAGTGACCATTTCAGAGGTTTTTGATCCTCAAATTGGTCAGTAGAGAGACCTTTCGATAAATTTCGATGAAGCCACGAGATTCGGGGAGTTTCGAAGAATTAAAGAAATTGGATTTTTTTTTTCTTAACTTGAGGCTTCTTTTTGTTCTTTTCTGTTTTTAATTTTTGGAAAAACCATTCAGCTTTGGTGAGACTCAGTATGTTGACCTCTCCATTTCGCATGAAAAAGAATTTAGAAAGTTACATTTCCTGGAACAAAAATCGAAAAATGTGTTCGACTTGGGTCATTCTGTCGACGACGACACCACTGACGTCCACAAATCGCAACCGGTTTCGCCGTTTGGATTCTTTGACTTTTTCCGTATTTTTCTGATCTCTAAATGGGCTTTGGACGTCGAAAGACTGAAGAAGCTCGTAAGCACTAATGGTCGTCCGAGAAACATTTTTTTTTCGAAAGATGTATTGTATTCACTTCCCTTTCCGAAAAGATAAAAGCTAGACTAATACTTAGAAAGTGAGGACTATTAATTAGGGGAAGAACGGTTATAATTTTGATGAAATATTTATATTTTTATATATTTTTTTTAGAAATATTTTTTTGAAATATTTACTCGGTAAATGAAATTGATTCGGCTTTGACGATTCATTTTGAAAGAAACAGGGGCTCAAATAAATGGAAGTTAACTTTTTGTCAGTTTATGATTGACCTCTTTTTTTGTATTTTTGCATTACTGAGGCCTTAGTCAGCACGTTGACTTTTCTCAAAACCCACTCTCTTTTCAAATTTCAAAAGAGATTTGAATTTTTGGCCATTCGGAGAGCTCCGAATTGACGCCTTCTCGCCTACACTCGGCAAACAATTCACCACAATTTTGTTATCGGGAGCCGATAAGAAAAACGGTTTAAAATTTGAAGATTACAACTCTGATGATGCGAAATGACGACGAGGATTCCTTTCGTCCTGCTCATCATCATCATCATAATCATCTTCATCATCGTCTTGATGGATGCGTCATTATCAATCGCCTGGAAAGCGATAACTTTTGCAGGAAAATTTATATTTTTAATTTTCCGTTTGTAATATTAGTTCAGCAAAAAATATTTGAGCTTACTAGTGGAAGGACTCACCTCAATTCTAATGGATACTTTAAAATTTTCAAAAAAAAAAAACTAAGTTACGTGTGGCCTTCATCCGAACCATCAAAGAGTGTTTGAGCTAATTTTCAGGATTTTCAAACATCACGCTGAAAAATCAATCTTGTCAGGGGTTAAAATAAATTTGAAGATTAGTTTATTCGAAACTAAAAGTTGTGCAGGTGTGTTCTATCGATACCTCCAAAAATTTTTGCTAACTTTCAGAAAATTCTGGACCTTCGAGAAAAAGGAGCCTGTCTCAGAAGATACATAAACTTATTTTCAAGTGACCTTACAAGATAGAAAAAAACGGAATAACTTTTTGCCCCTCACAAATGTCACAACTATCTCGCCTGTTACGAAAAAAGGCGCAGAACGAAGCTTTTGCGTTATATTTAATCGCTGCGCGACCGCGACGCATTGAGCCATTCCACATGCGGACAATTTATATCTCATCACCTTCCTCTCCAAAAATCAGTCATTTTTCGCAAAAACTATGATTTTTTTCGCCTTTTTTAAACGCAATTCTCAAAATTGTTTGCAATCGACAAATTTCTTATCGTTATTGCCTTTTTGAGTTTGAAAAACGTCGTCGGGAAGGTCGCGAAAATATTTGAAGACCAAGTCCATAAAATGGTCGATAACCATTCCAAAAAAAGACAAGAAACTCCTATTTTTTTTTCTTTAAAAGGGAAAATGCGTTCACAACTGTTTGTTCTCACATCGAGGAGCTTCTTCGGTTTCACGACGTCTTCGCGCCTCCGCGATGGCGTCATTTTTGAGAGCCTTCTTCCGGTTTCTCATCACTCTGGGGTCCGACCAAAAGGAACTTTCTTCGAGGATTTTTCGCATTTGAATGGGCAAAACATGGTTCAAAATTTATCGATTTGCGAAAATATGCGACATTCTTTTTTAAAAAGGGCTTGATATTGAATTTTTTGATTTAATTTAGCTACTAGACTGAAGAACTTTTTTGTAACAATTTTTAAAACAGAAAATACTTCCAGGTAGCTAGAGCGCTCTTTATGAAAATACAATGATTTTCTTCGCTTGAAGCCCTTTTTTTAATCCATTCATGTTTTCTAAACTGATTCTTCTGGAGGGATCCAGCTGAAAATGTGGCATCTTCAAATTAAGCTCCATTTTAGGAAAATAATTGAATCAAATACAAAAGAAAAAAAAAATTTTTCAAAAATATTCCCAACATTTTCTATGCAAAAAAAGGCTGTTTTTTTCTTCTTTTTCTTACCGGAAAACGTGACGGAGGCATCAAGAGCGCTGTCGTCAATGCGGACGCCAGTCTGATTATCGCAGAGCCCATAAAAACCGCCGCAGCTCCGGGTCGAAGTCATCCAAACCGAACAGTTCTTTGTCTTCTACCCTTTCTAATCATTCCAAAAACGTCGATTTGGGTATTTTTGTCATACAAACAATATAAAAAAAGAAACTAACCTTTCGAAACCTTCCTTACTGTTGCTCTGAACCTCAGTTTACAGTAAAAAAAATTTTCAAAAATTTTTCAATACGCTTCTTTCAGATTTTCTCAGTTTTTTTCTTTTCAAGCATTCCCACCCTCCCACTACTTCTCTGTTGTGCTCTTCAAACGTTTATTTAGTTATATTGTCATCTTCGAATTACAAAAAAAAAGGCGTGTGCAGCCAATCATAGACTGACACTAGAGCAAACTTTGGGAACGTGAGAAAGGGGGAAAAAAAATGCAACAGTATATATTCCTATTTAAAGACTTGAAATCAAAGTTAAGTATCAAGCTAACTATTGTTCATGGCTGAATGCTCATGGTTTTAAATTATTTCACTTTGATGTTTATCTCGCGGGGTTTTTGAAGATACAGAAGTATCGCATAGATGAATTGAAGCTAAAAACAGCTCTTCTCATCAAAACTTTTTATAAAATTTCTCTTCTCTCCTTCACCTACAAGATTTTTTGAAGAATAACGATATTTTCTGAAAAATCATTTTTGTCTACAACTTTCCCAAGCTTGGCCTCGTCCGCTTTTATGGATACTGGATACTGTAGTTTAGATTGGAAAGTGTCAAACTGATAAACATGCCTTCTTTATCGTGTCTCCGTTGTTTGTGGTTCTTCGTGCATGTCTTGTGTTTGGACGGAGGTACAGAACTAGGCGTACGTGGTCGCGTCGCGGTTTCCATCATCTTGCGTATTCTTGAATGTCCTCTTTTTGTGAAATACTTTACCGTAACTTCTGGAAAATTTTATCGAGGTTAGTTGAATGAGGTTTTACAACGGACGCTGAGTCAGAGCCCAACAAACGCGCTCCCATAAATCGTCCTCGTTCCGGCCGTTTATACGTTTCTTTTCGAAATATTGCGTCGTGCTGATTTGAGTTCAATCTCTCATTTCTTGGCATTTAGGGCTGCTCAAATGAAACGTGACCTTTCCATGTCAGTTTTTGTTTCCTTTGCCTAACTCGTTATCTCTAAGTTTTCATTGTAAAAAGTTTTTCAGTGATAGTGCAAAGTAGTCAAACCTTTTTTACAACTTCAAATTCGAAAAATTTTTCGTAAGTTGAAAAACATCCCGTTTAAAAGAACTTTTTTGCAATTTATTATTTCCACCTAAAGGACACACAGCGATAACTACACTAGAAATTAAAAACAAACCTTTTCTGTCAAAGAGTTTATGGCTAATCAATGATTCAGTGCATTTACGCCTGAAGGAAGGGCGATAAGGCTTCTTTGTCCCTACAATCAGCCATTATCTGCCTTTGCAGACGGAATAACCTTTCTAAAAGGCTAGGAGCAGTTGCTAATGGATCTGCAAGATTAGTTTGACTTGAAAAATTAACTGGACCGGTCCTTTCAACACCTTCGAAACCGGAAAAAAAACCTGTTTTGTCAGGCCTTATCAGTTACTGGACAGTCGTTATCATACGCCTAGTATCCGCTCATTTTTCAAATTCCACTTTTGACAAAACACTTCCGGCAGGCTTCAAATTTGAAAAAAATCCTGATTAGGTTAATTACATTATTCCAATCGACAAAATGTATGGGTTTGGACAGGAATTGAAAAGTACTTTCAAAACAAAAACTTGATAAAAACCCAGCTAATAAAAATTTACAGAAAAAGTTATACGAAAAAAAGGCTTTTGAAAAACTTTCGGTTCCCATCAATATCTTCGCTTTTAAAAAATCAAGCTCGGTAGATTGTCAGCTCAACCTATTCACACTTACAACTTGAATCTCAGTTTTATATTTTTATTTCACAAGTACCCAGATTAAGAAAAACAGAGGAATAAAAATCTCAAGCTAAAGCTGAAACGGAATTTGATCTCTTTTAAAAATCTGTGTTAACACTGCAAAAAAACATCAGTTTTTATGGAAGTTTGCTTCTTTTAAGAGGCCTGCTTCATTTTAATCTTAAGAAATGCCTTCACGAAAATTTCATGGCGCCATGATTCTGTCCTATTCCTCATGTTAGCCATTGCCATTCATGCGGACTTTATCAGAAAATGCCACGATAATACTACGAGAAACGCCTATTTTATCAAAGTTTATGGTGGTGTTTTTGCGCGGCACCAAACTGGCTCCGCCTCCTTTGGACACGCCTATGCGCCGGCGGCTTTTCCGCCGATTCATAAACGGCCGCCGGTTGGGACGCTAGTTTCGCACCCGCTTTTTGGCCACATTGATAAGATTCGTTTCGAAATGTTTCACCCTTTTTAGGCCAGACATTCTTTTCTACCTGCAATCCGAGAGCAAATATTTTGCACTGATTTGATCTGAAACCTCTCATCATTCATCACTTTTTGCATGAAATGCTGCAGAAAATGACTCGTATTACGTCATTTGAAAGCTACATTTCAAAATTTCATGAATAAAATTCTTCTACTACTTCTTTTTCACACGCTTTTCATATTCCACCAACCAAATCTAAAGCTGTCCTTTCTAGAAGTTTTCCTCCATTCTTACCATAGTTGATTAACCTCTGAGCAACAAATTGAAATCTCCGTTGACTTTCGAGTAAACAGTTCTCAAAATTTTTTCAAAATACCCACTGCTTTTTTATTATTAATAATAATGATTGAATGTTTTTTTTCTAACAATCCATTCTCTTCAAAAGTTCTCACAAGCGTAGTATGATCTCAAATGTATTCTTTGGCTTACGACATTAGTAATTCATTTATTCACAGGACTTTCATGACTTTTTTTTACTTTTCAAAAAGTTATACTTTTTACCATTTCTATATGCAGTTTCGGGCTTTTCTTGTCGTCTTCTCTCACATGACTCTCCATGCTACCGTAGCTCATTTTATCAGTTTCAGGTACCCCAAAAGTCGAACCTCCGCAATAATGAGCGGAAACTCGTCTACTCCACTATTGCTCACGATTACTGTAGCTCTAGCAGCACTGGCCGCCGTGTCTGCGGACTGCGGTTGCGGACCTCAGTGTGTCAACTACGCAGACGCTTCTCGCTGCACTCGCTGCTGTACGGCCACCGTAAAACGTTCCTTGTTCCTTCCGAAGGAAAAGCCACGACGCCATCACTTCTTACTGCCTCCTGACGACAGCGGCGCCATCAAGACCCCGATGTGGCTGCAGAACTTTTCCGCAAGTCGACCCAAGTCTCACCGAACTCATCGCCATCGACATGCAAGAAAACGCCGCGTGTCTCGCAGTCTTCAGCCCTTGTTGCTCACCAATATTCTGAAGCTGTTAGACGATCACTAACAATTTTATCTTCAGACTACCCTTTTTCCCGTTGAACTTCGTAGATTTTAGTCAGTCTGTTGCACTCCATAAATCATGTTATCCACAAAACTATTCGTTATTCATTCCTGTCAGCTTTATAGGGCACGATTTCAGCATTTTTCTCTGTGTTTCTCTGTTTTGCGGGTTACTTTCACCACTGATGATCATCTTTTCCATGGCGCAATATCTTCATTCCTCTCTCTTTCCTACTGTAGCCAACATTTGGTCGCTTTTCGCAATGTTTTATCTTTTCATGCATAATCGGAGTCTGCTTTCTTTTTATTTATTTTCATTTCGTCTGAAAATGAACGGTTCGACATGTTACCACAAAGATGTCATAGCTGAATCATGAACTGGAGTCAGAAAGAGCAAGTACACGTTCTTGAAAAGTAAAGAATCAGAGAAAGTTAGTAAAAGTAAGTCATGGTAAAGTATGAAATTTAATGAGCGAATGCTGAGAACTCCCGAACTAAAGCCGCAAGTCAGTCAATGAAACAACTCAAGTTATAATTTTTCACCTTACATATCCTGATCGATTTCCTTAGGTGATGCCCGATTCGCGGAGCGAAAACCAAAGGAATCAATTTACCGTTGATTCCGCAACCGAAAAACTGAAAAATTAAAAGGTCAAAATCGACTTTTATAAGAAATTTATTATTGTGCAAAAGTGAAAAAAAAAATCATGATGAGAAGTACAAAAAAGATGCCCAAAAAAGTTTTTTCGCGTGTAATTAGATTGAACTAACTGTGAGCTGTGAGGTGCTAGAACATTCTTAATATTTTTAGTTTTATCACGTGATAAGGTTAATGTTTTTGTAAATTACTTCCAGAAATTTCTTATTTCCCAATCAAGTTATGCTGAAACTGTCATAGAAACGTAAAGCCTTTGTGAAATTTCCATTGTTTTTACAACTTTAAAAAAATTTTTTGAACCGAAACTATGGTAAGACTTCTTTTTCGTGGCATAAGTAGTGAGTTTCCAAGAATTCAAATGTAAAAGTTTCTCTTCATCCTGATCCAATATTCCAAACCTCTCAAAACATGCCGTTCTCAAAACCAACTGACCAAAAAAATAGCGTACTGTACAGCGCGAAGAATGTTGATGGCCAAGCTGGAGGTCGATTCCAAGCTCAGAAGACTTTCATCGAATCTTCCGCCATTGACGAAGTATTCTCGTCGTCTTCGACGTTCCGATTCCGATTCTTCGGCTTCTGTCTTCAAAAAGGCTTTTGGAGAACCTTTCTAGAATAAAATTAGTTTTTATGTCGGTTGGGGAGATTCCGAGATGAGCTCAAAGTTGCAATCCAATCAATCCTTTGAGTTTGAGGCGTCCGTTTTCGGCAACAAGGAAGCTTTGCAAACTGAGACTTTCAAAACGTTCTCAACCTCAAAAAAAAACTACATCCGGTAGAGGAAAAAAATATTTTAAGGGAAAAAAAACGATCTTCAATAAAACTTTGAAAAAGAGGTTTTCCAAAGTAATTTTCTAAACAGAGTAGCTCTCACTGAGTCCTCTCTCGAGACCAATGAAGAAGCTTCCTTCAAAGTATTCATCGTCAATGCCACGCGCAACATCACAAAAGAACTACGGATCCAGCACAAAGCGCCCTGAAAGCAGAATATTTTACAGTGAATCTTAATGCCGATACGTCGATGATCAACAAGGAGGCGTAGGCGATGTGAACTAAATCGACGGTGAGAATAGCGACGGCAAACATGAACGTCGAGAAAATGAAGGAGCCGACCAGCAAAACCATCAGAGACTTCACCTCCACTGAGCCGCATAGTTCAGTCGGTTTTTTTGCGAAACGTACGGCCTAATTTGAATAATTTCAAAAACGTTCACCAGTTTTTTTTTTAGGAATTGAGAACTAACTAACAACGTGACCTTTGTTCGAGTTCAGAAAAGTAGTTTGGTCGCAATTTTTTTTTCGTCAGCAGATTCTCGTTTTTCAAGGAGGAACTTCCAAGTTTTTTTCTGATTTTTTCTATCTTAACTTAAAAGCCGTTTTCTTAATTATTCAGCCTTTCAAAAATCTTTGAAAACATACATAAAGCTTGAGTTATTACCAGCACAATTTCAAAATGAGCGGATCTTACAAAAAAATGAATAAATAAACCTGGACGTCTGTAACCCGTGTATTTTTCAACAGAATGAAAATTTGAAGAATATAGTCTGTTCAGATTCTAAATGTCGAACTCCGCCCCTGCTCGCACATTCTCTTTTCGCGTCGATGTTTTATCGCGCGGGATGGAATAAGCTACTTGACATTCAAAATCTGAACAGACTATATGGACCACAAAAGAAGGTCTTTGTGTTCGTAAACATTAGAAATGGTCAAGATCCGTTCAAACTCCTTGGACTAACTGCGTCAAGCGATCACGAGTTCGATATCGCATGAAGCATATTTTATCAAATTTGATTAGGATTACCTCTGGCAGTGCACGTAAGAGGGACCGCTTAACATTTCAAATAAATTTAAAGTTCCGCTTAATTGATGTTAGTCTCAATCAAACAGTCTCTATTTCCATTAGAACAAGTGACGTCTCCTCTACTAAACCTACTCGAGCGGTCAAAAAACCAATCAAAACCGCTATTTGATCAACTTTAAAAATATTGAAAACTAAGATTGAAAAATTCAAATGCAATATCAATCACCTTTTTTTTTTCAAATACGCCTCTGGGTACGAATATTCTCCAACAGTTTTGTTCTACCGCAATTGGAAACGACTTTTCTTTTAACTATATATTTTTTCCATAATTATACCTTATCAAAACTCAAATTAGCATTGGCCACAGTCGAGAGAATCATGCCGGCCATGAGAAACCACAATGTGAACAAAACGGAATCCGATGGTACTTTTGTTTCCCTATCGTAATCATTCCGAATCATCTCCCTGCAACAGATTCACAAGTTTTATGAATCAAGTTCTGGGCTCGAACCTTTTTGAATCTGAGTAAACGTTGACAATGACGAAAAGAATAACTATAGACCGCTCTACGATAAATCCTCTGAAGCCAAAGTAAAAAAAATTGTCAACTAAATGTTAGAGAAATTCCTTCATTTCTTGATGAAAAATTTTTTCTTTTAGATTTCAAAATTCGAAAAAAGCTCGTAATGTTTTCAATCATTTTGTTTGATAAATGCGCAACCTGTACATATCTATTTTATATATTTTCTCGCGTTTATCGTATTCGGACTTTCCTTCTTCGACGCAGCAAAAGCTTGACATTGGACTCAAAACTAGAAGTTGAAATAAAATTGCGAGAGCAACTGTTAAGAAAAAGAAAACCTGAACGATAAAAAAATAATAAAAAGGGCTGAGCGCCTTACCAAATATTTTTCTACCTCTAAAAATTCGTAGATAATCTGGTTCCCACGTAATTGATTTGAGACGTAGCTCTTCATACTATCAACACTCCTGAATTAATTTATTTCTTTGTAAAACGTATTCATTCTTTTACTTACATATTTGACATAAGATAACTCAATTTTTCGGTTATCAGGTTCGGTTGATTGAAAGACGAAGCGGCACCGCTGACTTGAATTTAAAAGTTAATTCGAAAATTCCCCCACGAACCAAACACGTGTTCCGCTCCCAGATGATCTCCAATAGTCAAAGCAAACGGACAGTACAAAGAAGAACGTGACTTGAGTGACAGTTCAAGTACTGATGTCTGTAGCCGTGTTAATGGAAAAGAAACATCCCAGAGAGAAATAATCAACAAGAAGGATAGACCAGCAACGACGAAAGAAAAATCCAACCAAATTACATTGACTCCCTCCTCCATAACTTAATAATCACGTTACCTCCAAAGGCCTGTAGAGATTCAACAGATAAACCAGAAGTTGCAAACTTTTCTTTCATTTCGAATGTTCAATACATTTAATGTAACAATATTTATTTGCAATAACAAGAAATCGACAAAACTTAACGCTTTCCACCAACACGAGGGGCGGGAGCTTTAACTGTCTTAGCAGCCTTCTGTGCTTGTTTTGGCTGCGATGCTTTCTTTTCCTGAAATGTTTAATAAGGAAATCGTTCAAGGCATATTTTTTCCATCCAAACAAAAAACTTGAAATGAATCAAAATTAAACCTTGGGTTTAATTTCCTCATTGAATACTTTCGCGCATTTTCGACACTCAATGAGATACGAAGTTCTTATTAAGCTCTAACAATACGCTTATTCTGAGAAAGTACATAAAAGATTATATGCAACTGAAACCTTGTTGGCAGACTGTTTGGCGGCTCGTGCAGCACGGTTAGCGTCCTTAGCAGCCTTCGTCGCTTGTTCGCGCTGCTGTCGTCGGAAATCTTCTGTCTGATTTCTCTTGGCAAGAATAGCTTCAAGAGTCATTCCAGCGACAGCACGATTGACGACTTGAACAGTCTTCTTGGTCCTCTTCTTTTGAACACTCTCTTGTCCGTGAGAGCCCTAAATTAATTATATACTCAAATAAGTCATCATTCTCCATTAACCTTCTTGTTTTTAATTCTGTACAGAACGGTCCAGCGAATATCACGAGGATTACGACGAAGCTTGGCACCTCGCACAGCCTTATTGTTCAGGAAAATTTGCACCTGAAAGTTAAAATTTTAAAAAAACAATAATTGATAGTAAGAAGAAATTAAAAGAAAAAAAAAAACTAGAAATCAGCACATTTTGTTCAATAAAAAAAGAAAGATGAAGTGTTTAGAAGATATATTGCATGGCCTAATACTAATTTGAGATTTTCTTACATCATTAAGATTTTTAAGTTGTGTTAAAGTAATTTTCGCAAGATTTGAAAATATCTCTGATCCTCTGATATTTTTTTTTCGCTTCGTAGATTAAGGAAAAAAAGCCTTTTTGAACTTCGCGGAATAACTTGAAACAATGCATAAGCTAATCAAATTTGAAAGAAGGGAGTACTGCCGTGTTCAAAGTGATAGCCGTCGGAGAGAAAAAAATATTACTGGATTTTGGAATTTTGCACTACGAGGAAATTACTTTGCACACTTGGCTTGAAACATTTTTATGAGGCTTGATAGATTTTTTTTTTTTACATAGTACTGTCAGCGGAGGCCAGATATACGACACGTTCAAGGCTAGTTCGATGCGCGCTGAAAAAAAGTGTTTCTGTTGCAACGGCTCGAGCCGAAGCGCAGCAGATTGCCCGCTTAATTGGACGGCTCCGCCTTTTTGGCAAATCTCTAACATAAATTCATTTTCAAAATACTTTTCTTGCCAGATGAGCGGAGCCAACCGATCACGTCATGAGAATCTGCCGCGTTTCGCTGCGATTCGGCTCGCACTTTTGAACCAAAAATTTTTTTTGGTTCGCGCGTCAACTCAGCTTTGAACGCAGCAATGCGTGCTTTGAACGCAGCAATTTTTCAATTTTTCAATTCATTTATTTTTCGCAAAACTCTTTTTTCTTTTTCTTTTTCATTGGAAATTTTATTTTTATAGTTTTCTTTATGCCTAAGCCACAGCTCCTGCCGCCGTTTAAACACAGTTAAATAAATGAAAGTCGATTGCACATGTATTATTACATTAAAGATGCAATAAACAGTTATAAAAAAAACCGTTTTCTTTTTCACCTCCAAAAAACTTTTTTTCAAAATTTCAAACCTCCTGCATAATTTGAGGATCATTCTATTTTTCTGTTGAGAATTTTATGTAAGGTGGCCGAAACAAATTTTGATAGCCCCAGAAAAAATTCTCTTTTATGCCGTGTTCAATTTGATTCCGCGAAATGCAAAATACCTGTTAGAGAAAGGAAAAGGTCACTAAATTTTGGAGAGTCAGAGATCATTTTGCATTTCGCGGAATCAAATTGAACACGGCATGGTTTCAAGTATTTCAAAATTGAGGCGTTATTCGTTCAAAATGACTTCGGGAAATAGGCAGAACTGGTATTCAGGAAGCCTTGAGAAAGAACGGGTCCTAGAACGATATATCGCAATATACTAATTTTTTACGGAGTTTTAGGCGTTAGTTCGAAGTTTTGGAGAAAATGCCCAAGTAATTTCGTAATTTCAAAATTTTGAGTTGCACAATTCCCTATATTCTGAGAATATGAAATCTCAAAGCCCGAATGTAGCTTATTTTAATGCCGTGTTCAAAGTGATTCCGCGAAATGCAAAATACCCGTTAGAGAATGGAAAAGATAACTATTTTTTGGAGAGTCAGAGACCATTTTGCATTTCGCGGAAATTACTTTGAACACGGCATAAGAGTTTAAGAAATGTCGTTGACTTTGACGTGACCTTTTTTCAAAAACTAAGAAGTTATGCCGATTGGGACTTCAAGGATATTTATAACTTTCGAGAAAATTCCTAATAGCCAAATGTAAAATGACATTTTTTTTTTTGTCGGACAAGAGTTAACTTTTTTATCAAGATCAGTTTATTCGTCTTGTAATTGGTCAAATCATGTTATATGTGAGGTGTTCAAAGTGATTCCACGAAGTCCATGATAGCCGTCCGAAAAAAAAAGATAACTGCAGTTAGGAGTGCCAAAGATGATTTTGCATTTCGCGGAAATCACTTTGAACAAGGCAAAAGGAACATTTTTAAATGCCGTGTTCAAAGTAATTTCCGCCAAATGCAAAATGATCTCTGACTCTCCAAAATTTAGTGATCTTTTCCTTTCTCTAACGGGTATTTTGCATTTCGCGGAAATTACTTTGAACACGGCAAAAATTTCTCGAAAAAAAAAGTGATGTCAAAACAGTTGGCAAACACGCAGAGAACCTTTCCTCATTTTGCTTTCTAAAGAGTAAAACATCTGAAATTCCTTTATAATTTTATGTTCTTTCTTATTAGCATTTTAAATTCCTTTTCGAGCCTGTTTCAGGCCCTTTTCGTAGATTTTTCGAGTAAAAATGACTAGGGTTTATTTTTAGGCGCTAAATTTGTTATAAACCTAACTCGGAGACTAGTAAAGAAAAGAATGTGCTCCGGACATTTTTGGGCATTTCTAGGGATCCCTGAAGAATTCTGAAGCTACTAAAGTGGTCACTAGAGATGCCTCGATACATCCGATAAGCGCTACCAAAAAAAAAATAAAATTATTTCGGGGAATAGGCGGAATTGGTATTCCGGGAAGTCGCGGAAAAAGTAAGTCCTACAACGATATATCGTTTTATATGCTATTTTTTACTGTAACTTCTGCGCGGGAACTCAAAATTTTGGAGTTATTTAGGCATTTTCTACTGAAATTTCAAATTCGCGCGTAAAAGTCACCGTAAAAAATTCGTTTACACTCACTTTTTGTGCCCCTTTCCGGAATTCCAATTATACCTATTTTCCGAAATCATTTTAAACAAATAACGAGTCTATTTTGAAATTGCCGAAATTACTTTGAGCACGGCATAAAAACGGCTCAATAATTCAGAACAAACTCAACGAAATCTTTTTTTTAGAAATCATACAAGGAAAAGTAGAGTAAAAAAACCTTGCCATCTGGGCGGACGACGCGCTTTCCATGTCCAGGGTGGATCTTGTATCCAGAATACACACAAGTTTCGATCTTCATGGTAAAGTGGACCCCACGCTTGACCTCTGAATAAAAATTAATAAGAAACTTATGTGGCACCAAATAATAAATAATAATCGTACATAAACAGATCGAAAAAAATTTTTTTATAGTAATTTCTAAAAAAATTTTTTTTTAGAATTCAAAGAAATAAAAAAAGCGGTAAATTCTTCTTCCAAAGACATAATTTTGTGGGCTTAAATCCATTGAAAAAAATTCTTTTTTTCATATATACATTACTAAATTAAAAAAATAAATAAAAAAATAGGCCGCGAAAGAAAAGAGAGAATCAGAGACGTCTTAACCGTGCTAGCATAGGGGTGCGAAGAAGAGTGTACGGTAACGAAAAACGTTGTTGTGTCCTATAGCATCCCAAAAATCTACTTTTTATTTTTTTATTATTTTTTTTCTTTCAAATTCTGTATCTTATTTTTTTACCCTTTTACCCTTGGATTCAATACTGTTTGAAAGATTTACAAGAGATACATGCTTTGAAAGTTTTTTTCTTAGTTTACTTTTTCATAAATATTGAGAAAAGTTCAAATTGGTAAAAAAAAAGTTGTTTCAGAAACTTGCGGTCACGATGCTGATCCCCAAAAGCCACAGAAAGACTATCTACGAATACCTCTTCAATGAAGGTGTTGCTGTTGCAAAGAAAGATTTCAACTTAAAACAGCATCCCAACATTGAGGGCGTCTCCAATCTTGAAGTGATCAAGGCTTTGAAGGTTTGAATTTTATTTTATTTTTTTTTTTCACTCGGTTGTACTTTTAGAAAATTCCCAAAAACTCTGATAGCATTACGCTTAAATGAAAAAATTTTGATACAATTTGATAATTAATGCCGTGTTCAAATTAATTTCTGCGAAATAAAAAATTATCTCTGAATCTCCAAAATTCACTTATCTTTTTCTTTCTCTGACGGCAATTTTGCGATTCGCGGAATCAGTTTGACCACTGAATTACACTGCACACAGAAACAGCGGGTTATATGTTCCTATCGTACTTCCGCATAAATCTTTCAAACAACCTAGCCTGCCATTTTGAATAAATTGCTCAAAAAACTCATTAAATCTTCAACCTACCGAAGTTATCAGTGGATTAGCTTTGAAAATTGCATTAAATATGCTTGATCAAAACTCTGTCAAAAAAAAAAATCTGTTTTCTGTTCATTTCTATAATCTTCAAAAGAGTTTGTTCTGATGGCGGGTTCATCGAACAAAACGGAAATTGCTTTGAGACGAAAAAAAAAATTGGTCCAAAAGAAAAAAGTATGTTTATGGACTGTTTTGGAGAAATTTTGTGAGGAGATTTTCTGTTTCTTTTTTCTAGATATAGTTTTTTTACTCAGTTTTTAAAAACATCCGCTGAATTGTTTTTTCAGTCAAGGTAGAAGGAAAATAAATATTTAAACCTATATGGCCCAGTCAAAAATTTTAGCTGGCGCGATAGAAGGCGCAAAAGTTTTGCATGAAATCGGATCAAATAGAGAAAGTATTTTTTCCCGAAGTTAGCTTTATCTCGAACACACAGCCAGATTTTTTTTTTTCAAACGGCACAATAAAAATTCTTGGTCTAGTTTATTACATTGATTTAGAAACAATTAATGAATGAATGATTGATCTGTTGAAACGGGTTTTCACATCTATTATAACTTCTTTTTATTTCTTTTTTTGCAAATTGATTGATAATTTTTTTCGTTCAAAAACCGCATTTCTATATTCTAAATTGGAATGCAGTAGTTCATAATTCAAAGCATTAGAGGGTTAATCAGCATGTTCAAGACGGCCGGTCGTAGTACGGCAGTCAAGCTAGGTTTTTCGGTAATAATATATAAACTTGTGAACTTTTTGTGACGTAACTTATCTTGTAACCTCTAGAAATAGGTCCTTAACAAATTGCAAGGAAGAAAAAAAAAATGTTAGTCGCACTGAGTCAAAAAGCATTGGATCTTTTCCTGGCTCCGAAACTGACGGCGCAATATTAACCGGCCGCGGTCGCACTGTCTTAAACATGCGTGAATAACTTACCTTTTTCAGAGTCTTGCTTCTCGTGAGCTTGTCAAGGAGCAGTTCGCATGGCGCCACTATTATTGGTACCTTACGGAAGCCGGAGTGTCTTACCTCCGCCAGGAGTTGAACCTCCCTGCTGAAATCGTTCCTCAAACGATGAAGACCAAGCCTCGAGAAATTCGTTTCCCTACTGCTGAAAGAACAGCTCGCCCGTGTACGTTTTTTTTTGTTGCGAAAAAGTTTTCTTCAGGTTTTAACACTAATGAGGGGTATTAAATATTGTCAGAAGGAGTTTGCTTGAAAGAAAAAAAGTGTAATTTACGAATGCGAAAGTATTTATTCTTAATTGAAAAGCGTGAATAATGAACTTACCTTAGGCAATGGTGGGGGACGCGCCGGGTTTCTGTCTTTTATTTTAGCCTTTTGATTGGGAAAACCTTTTAAAATGGTTAGTTTTTTATAATACTTATTAGTGTACATGCTCACTTTTAAAACCGGTTTCGAGCACATTTGTGCGAGTTTTTGAAGAACCATATTTAAATTGAAAAATAGATGTAGTTGAGTTTTATGGGTCGAATTTTATGTTAAACTAATGCCGTGTTCAATTTGATTCCGCGTAATGCAAAATACCCGTTAGAGAAAGGAAAAGATCACCAAATTTTGGAGAGTCAGAGATCATTTTGCGTTTCGCGGAAATTACTTTGAACACGGCATAAGCATCATGATGAGAGGAAACGCATGAAAATGAAGAAAAGCCGAATTTATAAGCTTAAATGGACAAAAAAAGGCAAAAAATTAGCGGAGACTACTAGCGCGTCCCCGCCTGAAGCGCAGCGCGCTCGCCACCAGTGCCTGAGTACGTGAAAGGAAAAGTCAGTAAAAAAAATTGATATATTTCTTTTCTTTTTTTTAACTTTTTGGAATAGGTTCTTACATGAAATCTTTCATTGAAATTTTTACGGAATTTGAAGTAGACATTCGATATCTGTCTAGCAAAAATTTCTATTTTGGAAAAGGGCAAATTAGTTTTGATTGTTGGGTCACGGATATAATTTAATTCTTTCTGTGAAGTTATTTTTTTGAATCGTTAAAAAAATATTTTTTCATCATGAGAGATAGTGAAAAAGTCCAAGATCGTGTATTTATTTCAGCTTCTGCCAAGGAAGGAGATCGCGAAGCATACAGAACTGAGAAGGTCACTGAGGCTGGGCCAGGAGCCGCTCCAGTTTACAGGGCTGGATTCGGACGTGGAGCTCCTCCGCCGCAATAAAAAATATGTTATTATATTTTTGTTTGAGATAAATTGTTGTTCATTAAAAATGTACTGCGAGATGGTTTTGAAAGGTTCCCTCCACTCATACATATTAACAAAGAGAGTTGAATTCTGCAAAAGCTTGGTTATTGAGATGCCTCCGCGTGGACCGCGAAAAAATGCTGTTTTGGAAAAGACATCAACGAATTCACAAATGAACATTCATTCTAATCAGATAAGGTATTCCTTTTGGGTTAAATAACGGAGAAAACATTAATTTAGTGCCACAATGAGCGGTGTAACAGTTTCAATACATCCTAATTGGCCGGATATGCAATTCACACAAGGGGAGCTTTTTTTCGAGTGCACACTGTTTTTATATTCGGTTTTGGCGTTGTTCCTCCAATATTTGAACATTTATAAGACATTGTGGTGGTTACCAAAGTCTTATTGGCATTATTCATTGGTAAGGCTTGTTTTTCTCGGTAGTAATTCAGCCGGATTGAAGAAATTTCATCTTATAAATCCTTACTTCCTGTCGTGCGTGGGCTTGTTGCTTGGCTGGAGAGTCACAATGTGTTTTTGGAAAAAGGTTTGAAAAATAAGTTAGTTCAAATTCCAGTTTGACATTTGAGATCAGCGAGATCGTTGCAACCCTTTCTGCTAATAGATCGTCTTTTGTTCAGTCAACGTTGATGGTTATTGAATATGCAATTATAAAAACACCTTTGATGACCCTAATCGTGACCAGTTTTCTTTTCAGGTGCGTTAATTTTTTAATGAGCAGTAAAAACTAATATTGCGAAACTTATAGTTAGACAACAAGTAGGAGTTGGAAGTTTTCGCGCAAACGTTTATATTGCGAACTATTTATTCCAATAGCTTTTACGAAAGCGAATGATGTTGAAAAGCTCGTTTAATTCGATATTGCAGTTTTTCTCGCGTTTGCAACGATTTCCCTTCGAGATCAATCATGTATTTTTTCTGCCCGTGAGCGTCGCAGTGCTTTTTATGAACTGAGACTTCAGTTTTCAGCTTTATTTTCTATATCGGCTTTTTCCGTTGCGAAATCTGGTGGCGACTGATGCGACTACGAACTCATCTTTCTGTTTATTTAGCAGGAGCCATAGATATAACAACGGTAGCCCTTAAAAAGATGAATGTTTCAATCGTTTCTTCACAGCTCTTCGAGCGATTGCTCGATCCATTGCCTACTCAAATTGATCTTGACTCGGTTCTGCACATGTGCAGTGATAAACCAGGTTAATCTCGCACTTTGCTCTTGAATGAATCAACTTCAGAGCAAATTCGAGCCGAGGTCGACGTTTTGATCACCGATTGTGTTTTGCGAGTGAAAAGAAGTTTGTTCGCCGGTATTTCCACGGCTCTTTTGAGCATTCTCCTTCCTTGCGTTTTTGTTCCTGTATGTCATTTGAACTTTTCCTTTTGTAGGTTTGAGATTTACAGTACAAAACGTCGCTAGGAGTGCCGCAGAGTATTTTGATAAACGATTTTTGGGAATACCAACTCGGAATGGTTGTGGGACTGACGGCCTTTTCCCTGTACTTCACTTATCTGCTTCCTCTCAACTATCTCGATTTATTGCATAGGTTGGTAGAGTTGCCTGATTTGATCTCGGTGGCAATCTTCTCACGTATTTCAATTATTGTATAATATTTTAAACTTTCGTAAAAAAAAAATAGAGAGAAACCATTTTTAGCGCAGAAAGTAACTTTTGAAAAGTTTTTTTCTAGGGCTTCTTTGTCTATTCGCTTTAAAATTTTTTTTTTTTTAATTTGATTTTCCTGCAGATCAGCTGTACATCTTGGAACTTGGCAACAAGTAGAAGGACCAAAAGTCGGCCAAACTGGAAGCGCTAAGTTTGATTTCATCGTTGTTTTTCGGGATGATTTTATTTGAAAAAATTTCAGCTGGGCTCCCCAAAAATGGTATTCTTTTTGCCTGTATAATGACGGAGAAGTTGTTCAGATGCCTGATGGAAGGTAAATGTCCATTTTAACCCGAAATTTGCATCACTTTCTTCTTTTTTTTTAGGTGCTATCGGGCTAGAGCATCTGAAATTGTCGGTACTGTCGCGGCAAATCCTGAGGACTCTCAGCATTTCAATTTTTTCGTGAGTTTTGTTCTATCGTTTTTTTTCTATAGTGACTGATGAATCTTTGTGAAAAAAGTCTCCAACCATATTTTTCTGTTATTTTTTCTCTCATTATTTCACCATATCTCTTGAAATTATTTGATCGGTGAAAAAGATAGTTTAAATAAGTTTACGATACGCCAAACCCGAAAAATAGTGACGACGTCAAATTTTTTGATAAGACCTTTGTTTTTAAAAATCTTTCAATGGTATCAGAATGATCTTCAGCCAAAGCAATGTTAATTTCTCTGAAGTATTTCTCAATTTTTCCGCCTCAGCTTTTTATCAAATTAGTATAAGACTGAATAAACTCTCGGGTGAAAACGGCCTAAAATAAATGCCTGTCAAAACAGAGAAAATTTTGAGCTGGAGGCGCTTAAAGCGTTGAAACGCCTCCAGAAGCTTAATTTGAGCGAGGTTTAACTGGTTAGAGCTTATTCTGCATTCCGCAAAATATTCAAATATCCCAGGAAAATGTTTTGGAAGGTTTGACACGACGTGATAAGTGCATTGAAGGATAGCATCATTACCAAGAAATATTTTTTTCAAACTAGAAAAAAATCGTAAAAATGTCCCATTTTTTTGACAAATCCTTGTTTAAAAGTTTTGTCGCCAACCTCACTCCTGTAGTGCATTCAGAATACTTTAGTGACCAAAGTTGTTTGCAAAAAAACAAACCTTACAATCAGGAAAAACTAAAAAGTTAGAAAAAAATTATGGTGCGCCAAAAAAATTTTTAAAGAATCCAAAAAAAGCCATAAAAAAATTTTATCTTTGACTTTTTTTGATCAGACTTCCAGAAAAAAAAATTTTTTTGTTTTGTTTGTTTATTGATTTAAAATTAAGATGGCCTGCCAGCGTCCAAGCACCCTCATCAATATAATGTGCTTCTTTGAGTTCATGCTCATTTTCACGCAGTTTTGGATGCTGGTGCTCACTAACGACTGGCAACATATTGTCACTTTCGTATTGCTCATGTTTGCGAACTACTTGCTCTTTGCAAAGCTTTTCAAAGACAAGGTTCGAGTCTTCCTCGTGAATTTTCAGTCCTCGTTTAAATATTCAGATTATTCTTGGCCGAATCTATGAGCCTTCGCAAGAAGACTTGTTGCTAATTCAGCAACTTCAAGATGGCCTCAACCAGAATTTGGCTGCATCTGCTGCTGCTGCGCGATAGCCTTTTTCCTAATCCTCAGTGTCATTTTTTGTTTTCGTGCAATTTGAGAAATCGAGCGCTTTGACCTCATCGATTGCCTTTTACCTTGCCTCTTCTTTGTGAATCTGACTTAGCCATCTGATCATGTGTGCATAATTTCTCCATTTTTCACTTTCGCTCTAATCTGTGATCTTTTTGTTCAAGGGTTCTTTTTTTGATTTTTAGACTGTTGGTTTCTATTTATTAACTAACTTATGGTTCAGGAATGAGTTTAATAAATTTTTTTTTTTCATCCGTTTTGATTAAGTTATTTAGTATTGTTAATTCTGCTGATATTACCTGTTAATGTGAGCTTTTGATACTATTCAAAACTTTTTCGGAGTCAGGAGAATGGATCTGTTCAAAGATATGGATCACGTCTCAAAGTACTTGGGACGGCCAATCGAGGTGAAAAATATTTGGATTTTCACTTAAAAATGAGAAATTTAAGGTTGAATTAGACACTGGGAAACGTCGGAGCGAGCCGATAAGTGGAAATTTGGTGACTGTCGACCCGGTGACAGAAGGAATAATCATTGCGCGTTTCAAGCATATCTCTGATGCTGGTTCCGTTTTCCGCATTTCTGTTTTGTGAACATTATTTCTTGTGGTTTTGAAAGGTTAAAAAAAAAGTCCATTTATGAAGATCTAAATTTTTCAGAAAATCCATTCTGAGTTATTCGATTTACTATGATTTTCAGAACCAACTTGGTTCGACGTGATACCCCGAACAGCGATAGTCAACATATCTCTGAAGCACAACTTCGACGACACGTGCAGAGAGTTCGTGCAAAAAGTCTGAGCGAATTCATCACTCTGTTTCTAAGATATTTCGCTGACTTTGGAATGTCGAGCACAAGTGAACAGAGCTCGCCACCAGACGTTGAACGACAGGAAATTATCCGAAAGCGGTAATTTCAGTAAGAAAAAGGATGACCATTTTCGGTGATGTAGGGGGGAAATGTACGCCGATTATTTTCGTTCTCATCACATTGAAGTAGAAGAACTCGGTGACGGCGTCTACGTAGTTTGCGGGAATGTGGTAAGTTTATTTTTCTCCATAGAAACGATTACGAATAAAATATCCGACGTAAAATAAAACTGCCGCGAAAAACTCAAACTTCCTATGGAGCACATAAAATCTTAAGTAATTAACTCTTAATGTTTAATTTGATTTCCCGGATTTAAAATTCAGGAATATACAGTTACGCGGTGACATAGTATTTTTTAAGGATCACTATATTGGTTTTTCTGTTTAGGCGAAATCACTTCAAACCATACATGGGCAGACCTTTTTGAATGTCGTCAACCCCTCCTCCCAAGTCTTCCTAAATCAAAATCTTAACTACCTTCTTAAGTTAAAAACTAATTTTATTTTTTTCATTACCACCTACTGGGGTTAAACTTATTTTTATACCTCATTTAAAAATTTTTTTTTTGCAAGTCAACCCTCCTCCCGGTCGGCTTGATCTTTTTTTTGTCCGTGTATGCTTTGCCGTTCTTACTAATGACAGGAGGGGTTAATAACTTCGAACTAACGGAAGTTGAAGTTGAAGTATATGCCGTGTTCAAAGTAATTTCCGCGAAATGCAAAATACCCGTTAGAGAAAGGAAAAGATCACTAAATTTTGGAGAGTCAGAGATCATTTTGCATTTCGCGGAAATTACTTTGAACACGGCAATATGTATTCCGCAAAATTAATGATGTAAGTTATAGATTTTTCCTTTTTTTTTTATCTTTTTAAAAAATAGTTCGTGCGAATAGTTTTGTACACATAATGTCGGTCGTCAAATTTGCATAATTTCTCAGTTCAAAATTTTATTAACGTCGAGAAGTTTCCAGAAGTTGCTGCCCCCATACAAGAAAGACTGTTTCCATTGCGACATGCCGCTGATCCTCAACAGAATTCTGAGGATGGTCGAACGGATTCCCATTCAGGACGACATTCAGCCACTGTACTAACATCAGTATTAACATTTTCATTTTGTATCACTTTGACTAAATACGAGTCTTATTTTCGATCTCAACTTGCATGCTTACAAATACTGAATAAATAACAGTAAAATTTTTAGATTTTCCCGCATATTCAAATAGTGTCTTGTAAAAGTTTATTGAAGCCGAACAAAAGAGAAGTAAAATCTAGGGCGATTTGCTTTTGAATATTGATAGGTGATTATAATATCACCCAGCTTGTTTCCCGCGACCGCGACCCCCATGTCTTGTTCGTCTCTTGTCTCGCGGATGACTGTCTGGTTCAGATTCCGAGGAATCTAAAATGAGTTGAAAAATGCTGCAGAAAAAAATATAGTTCATGAAAAAAATATATATTTAGTTTTTAAGAATGAGCTTCTGATAGAAAAATTTGTATTTAGTATTCTTTTTAAAAGAAATATGGCAAAGGGAAACTTCCTACTTTTTCAAAACTAAAATCAAGCCTTTTTAAAGTATTCCTCGAAAAAAAACTCAGAATTCAGCTACCTATTTGTCGAAATTTCACCGGTGGCGATTCCAAAATTGCGACCTCTTCATTGATACTTAGTTTTGTCGGACTGGAACCATCAGCTTCGGGTAGGTCCTCGTCTGTAAGCCGAAAAAAGAAATAATTGCAAACCAACCATCTGAAAGAATTTTTTTCTTAAAAGCTGGAAATTTACTTGTTGCTGAGCTGGTCTCCAGTAAAAAGAGAGCTAGAAGAAAAAATACAATAGAAGCCGAAGGCATTTTCAAAAAAAGTGAGCGAAGCTTTTTGACAAGACCTCACGAACATTTTGTTTGAAAGGTAACCAGGGAGTTTGTTGAATAAACGATTTGGAGGAGCGTTTCGTCAAAGAATGTTGCAAAGTGAAGTGTAAAGTTTCATTTCAAAAAGCTTGACACAAAAGAAAAGAAAACATGGAGGTGAGTAAAAGTCAGATGACTGGCTACATGAGAAAACTGTTTGTATAAGACTGCTGTCAAATTAATGTGTGGGAAAACTTGAATCACGAAAAAAAATAATTAGGACATGCTTCAAAAAAACAAATATAATAAAAAAATTTTTGTAAAAATATGGGAATAAAATGTGGAAAAATATAGTTTATTACAGATGCATAATATTTCTTTTTAATTTATTACACGTCACTTGGCGCTTCAGTTTTGATATCAACGATTTCGAGCCCTTCGAAGTCGTGAATCTTCTGAAAAATCTCATAAACTTTCTAATTTATTTATTTCAAAGTCTTACTTTGATGATTTCTTGGCCTCCTGTACCTCCGTTCTCTGCACACACGTAAAGAATCTGAAGTTCATAAACTTTTTATAAATTTTTTTACGCTATTAGAAATCTTTCATTCGGCTGCGCTTCGCGAACAAAACTTAACAATTTTTTCAGCTTATTGAGCAACGTATCGAGCCATTATCCTAATCTACATGCGAAGGTTTCATGAAAACTGAGCAGGAAAAAAATATTTTTTTTATTACAAAAAAATGATATAAGTTTAAAGCCGAGATCAGGTTTGAAAGTCCGTGATATATACGTTGGGTAAAAATACTCGAAAAAATTGCTAAGTGTCATGCTGGTATTGAGAAAAAAATTACGAAAATGTGTAGAAAAAGCTTTAAAATTATTTTTCTGGATGTTTTTATAATTTTTCTCGTTTTGATCAGATGGCGTAGAGTATATTCTTTCAAGAGTTCACAGATTTGTGCCATAATCAACTTGGTTTAAATATCAACTTATTAGGGTTCTATGTTTCTTCTCTCACACAAAAGACTTTTTTCTTCACAGGGGGGTTAGTTAACCCACCTAGTGGTGTTTTTCCCTCCATGCCATCTCTTGGCATATTTCCTCGAGACCTTGTAGCGCTTAAAAGGAAAGGAAAAACGAACCTCGCGACACTCGTCGACTCCGCATTCACAAGAAACGTGATCAATTTTCCTCTCAAGAAGATTGATCCGCTTGAAGGTATTGACTAATTTGAAACAATTTTTCAAATAAAATTACTCTGGAAACCTTGGCGGCCGACCGGATGCTGAAGTCTTCTGAAGAAAGCCTCAACTTTGTCTTCGTAGCGCTTGAAGAAGTCAACGGTCAGCACTTCTTCTTCCATGATCTGAATTATAACGCCGGTATTTGATCTCCTCGTATCCTCAACATCACTGAGGGCGTAGAGAACGAGAGTCGGAGCAACTTCATCGTCGTACTCTCCCCATTTCAGCTTCACTCCACAGTTGGGGTGACACTGAATTATTGAATTTTTTGAACGTCTTTAGTAGCTCGGAACAAAAACACATGCATCCTAATGGGACCTACAGAATGTTGAATGAACTTCGAGAGATCGTAGTTCTCCCGGCGGTCCAGACAAAAAGGCGTTCCGGGGACGTTGAAGAACGACGACAAGGCCAACATTGCGCCCTCGTTCGTCATTGATTCTTCGGCCACCGATTTTTTTCGCAGCTCAAATCATTCGATTTTTAGATTACTACAATAATTCTTCTTGACGGAAAATTCAAAAATCAACGGTTTGCAGTCATATATTATTGATCAAACCCAGTGTTTTCTGAGCGTTTTAACTTACGCAGTTTTTTCACATCTATCAAAATGGTCGAAACATGTAAGTCTTTTTTAAATTTTTTTCAAGCTGTCCGATCAAGTCAGAAAATTTTGTTAGAACAAATATTGCCAGAGGTGATTGAAAAATTGAAAATTGATTTTAAAAAATGAAGATTTCTTCAATTTCATTTTTGTTGAACTGATTTGAGAAAAAATTGAGAATGTGAAAAAAATGTTGATGAAATCTTACTATTCCGCCGAATGGCAAGATTTCTTCGTTTCGGTTAATGTTTCCGCCTGCACGGAGTTGCCACGATGACCTTTCCAATTTCAAGACGACACATTTTAGTTTGAACCTAAAATTTCAATTTCATTTGTTTACCTCCATGGATCTTTTCCACCTGGATGGTACCTCCCTGTTAGTTCCGTTCTGCAATGAAAATCCATTGTGACTATAAAAAAATAGATCAATTGCAACTTTTTAATGTGTGTCACCAATTTAAAAAAAGCGCAATGGAAATTATTAGTAATGAAAACTTGAATAATCAAGATGATCACAAAAAAATAATCTAAAGCTTTCGAGAAACGCTCAAACGTTAGGTTTTGATATCAAAATGTGAAATTTTCAAGTCTAGAAAAAAAAAACGCACGACGGCCTTCCGGAAAACCTGCGTAGCTCTCTGAACCAGCGACTTTTCGTTGACAAGAAAATCCACCTCAAAAGAATTATTGATTAGTTCACAGAGAAGGCGTGAAGAAAACCGAAACGCCGTCCAGAGAGCGACCTTTGAGTTCGCATTCTCTGAACTGTTGCTCCGACAGCGGCCTCCAGAGAAGGTTAGTCAACGGCGGCCAGCATGGCACGAACCCGCTCCAGTCTTCCTCTCCGTCATTCAGTTCAACCTGAAGTTGTTTATCCTCTTCTACAGGTTATTCATAGGTGTAAAGTGGATTTTTAAACACTCGTTTAGAGACTTCCACCAATACTCTCCAGCTTCGTCATCTACCACAATGGCAGCTCTTCAACCCACGGCAGAAACGAGGCGGAAGACCGTAAGATCATGTGTTCAATTTTTTTCAATTACACATTCAAAAATACACGGACCGAGAATCTTATGAATATTCAAAGAGGTTTACTCTTAAGAATCCTGATATCATGCAAAAATATGCATCTTTGGCCTGCAATAACACTGCAAACAGCTTTTTGCTCAAAAACCTTTGTGAAAATTGTCTTTTTTTTTAATTTCCAAGCAAGAAATTATTATAAAATACCCCGATTTGAGGATAGTGATCGATCCGGAGAAAAAGGAGATCCTGCATGTAATGGCTCTCACAGAAATCGCGACTATCTTGTGTCAGACGTCGCGTATCAGCCAACATCCACTCCATTTTGTGGCTGGAGATCAGTTCCTGGGAAAAGCTGCTGAATCATGAAATAAAACGGGCATAGTCTTTTTTTTTCTGTTTTGCACGATATGATCTCCAAAAACCTTTTCTAGAATTTGAATGACCAAAAAAAATGCAATTAGTTTGATTGAAACATTACCATGGAAAATTTTTTTTCTGAATTCTTAATGGAAATGTTACAAGAATCAACAGTACAATAATGAAACTCACGGTGACTAGTTTCCTCTTAGAGCTGACACTATTGTGCAGCATATAGCGCAGAGATCCCGCTCGCAGAGCATTTTCGATGAAAGTCGCCCAAGGTAGGATATCATCTGAGAAAAATTCACTTATCTCTATTCCTTTTTATTATGAGAATCGCAAGGAGATAAGTGTTAAGATGAGATGGACTTTCAAAAGGGGGTGAATATCTAACAAGAAACCACTTTACAAATTAAGAGTTTAATATATCGCCCGGCCCTTTCGAGTGCCAAAATTGGATGACATGGAGGGCCGCAAGAGTCTGAAAAAAATATAACTCACTGAGAAAATCAGCATTACCAGGAACCGTCGAATTTGAAATCCTTCGCGATGTCTTTCAAATATCTTTTGTAAACAAAGGCTTGTATACTGTCGAAAGTTTGAATGCGAACTTCTTCCTGAATACTTCCATGAAACTTCAAAACAACAAAAGGACTTCACCTCAACTGAATTGTCTGTTGCCGCCCATCCCTTCCATTTGATAACATATTTGATAGCTTCGCCTTCAACCTGCAACGAGATCAGTTCAATTTTGAAGCAAGCAAAAAAAAAACCTTGACATCAACTAGATTTTCTACTTCGTACACTTCGAAGTCTATTTCATCCTTATTTGTTCGGACCTTCTTAGACTTCCTTACAGTGGTCCGAGAGGACTTTACGCGCGTTCTCTGTAATTTTTTTTCTGGAAAATCGTCTCTTCTTCCTAGTTTTTTTCAATAAAAAAATTCTGAAATTCTATCATGTTCAAAAAAACTAGCAAAAAAAGGCCTGTGTTTCAGAATGAGTAATGGAATAAATGACAAAGGTGACAGTGAAAAATAAAAAAAGAAGAACCTTTTTCGAAACTCCCGAGTTCACTTTTTGACATTGGCGCCGCAACTGAAATTCGTCTTTCTCCTTCTAAAGGAAAAAAATTAAAGGTACAGAAGAGAGAAAAATATTTTTTCTAAGTCTTACTTAAAAATATCGGAATGAAGTTAATATACTTCCATTCATAAATTAATTCAAAACTAAAAAATTTGGCCAAAAAGTATTTACTCATTAGAAACTATGATTCAAAGCTGGCGCGTATCTTTGAAAAGCTAGCTAGTTGGTACTTTGAAAAACCGCACGTACTCACTCAAGTTTGAAGAAAAATCAACTTTCAAGGTCAATTCAACGGGCTTTGATCACGGTTCACATAATATAAATTATATAATTATAGAGGAAAAGAGAATAAAAAAATTAAATTTTGTAAAAAAAATTCAAAAAGTGGCCACCGCTTTAGGGGCTTCTGCTAAATTCGCCGCAGAGCGCGATTGTGCAAAAGCTTTTAGCATTTCTAGTGATCACTTTAGAGTAACTTGATGCCGTGTTCAAAGTAATTTCCGCGAAATGCAAAATACCCGTTAGAGAAAGGAAAAGATCACTATATTTTGGAGAGTCAGAGATCATTTTGCATTTCGCGGAAATTACTTTGAACACGGCATGAATGATCACTCGCGATTTATCAATGCATTTTCGAATCTGTTTATCAGTCATTTTAAAAATTACAGAGCACCGATTCCATTTCATTCCAATTAGATGAATTAGTTTCTTCAATAGTTGGATTCTTTCTTATGATTTATCCTTCGGGATAACACTAATTACATTAGATTTGTGAAGGACCAAACATTTTCAAATCGGTGAGTAGGTTTCTGTATCAATAATTAACACAAACGTTCTATATCAAGCTCTTTCACTGCACTTTTTGCGTTCGCTGCTCTTTCCTACTTCGGCGGATCACATTTGCCTTCGGGCAGGACGTTTTTTCTTCATTTCCACTTCGAAGGAGATGAATCGAATTTGCGCTGAAGACTGGAGAGTCGTCAACAATCGGCAGCTGCAGAAGCTATCAACTGCGTTATTCTCCGGTGGGTAACGTTCCGCCAGTTGCTAAGCACCCGTCGCTCCGCCTCCTCATTTTCTACCCTTCCTTATCAGGTCGTCTTAGTTTTCTCACTCAATTAGGTACTTTACTTGGGGTGTGGCAAGGAGCATCCTAATTTTAATCTAATTTCATAAAAGTATTCGGCAAATGTTGATTTGACTTCGTTTTTCCAGCAATTTGAACCTTTTTGACGGAAATATACATAATTATAAGATAAGACATGCCCTTTCGCAGTTTTTCACGTTCGAATTAAAGTGCAGTTCAAATACCGTAGTCTTGAAATGATGTTAAAGGAATATCTTCGAATTCAAAATTGAAAACGCTGACGCATATTTTCAGTCTTTTATGGAGCATTTTTTTGTCCCTAAGCTAACTTTGAATGGAACCTATGATTAGAAAGTAACTCCAAATTTCTAAAAATCTCATAAAATTTATGGTTTAAAAAAAGCTGAAATTCGTGACAAGTTTGTATGTTGAGTAAAATTTGCTCAAAAACAAAAAATTTTCGCCAAAAACTTTTTGTAGCCTAGAAAGAAGCTTAAAAAAACAAACTCGATTCTTTCAATTTTTTGATTTGTCAGAAAAGAATAGTAAAACTTCGTCAACGATCTTCGTTTTAAAAAGTCGTCATTCTCAATGAATTAGAAACCATGGATGTAAACATGTAGAAAATATAGTGACGTCAGGCTTTTTGGGTTGAAAAACGTGGTATAACATATCTAAAGCGAGTACACGGAACGCGTGATTCAGTGTTTTTTTTCTTTTTTCAACTTTTTTTTTCCATTTTCGCGCCCACTCCGTACATAGGACTCGACTGAATAATCGCTTCCCACCGTTTTTTTCCCAGTTTTCTTCTATAAGTTGTTCTATTTCCGAAAATACGCTAACGACCGGTGATTCCTAGTTCTCTTTCTCCTTCTGCTCATTCTTTTTTTTATAAAATTCAATTTTGCACCTGTTGCGATTAGTGAGTTATAGCGGTTTTCAGACGATTCTACAGAGAAAGTTGAAAAGTAAGCGAAAAATGGCGCCTTCGACAGCGTCGAATTCAATTTGCTGCTGTTTCAGAAGAGATGACGAGGTTCAAAGGACGATTTGCTCGTTTTAGAGTTTAGGAACATTCTGAATTCCAAAGATCACTGAAAAATAAGTAGAAAATTGCGGCGGCAAGGGGTTTTGACCTAAGAAGTTAGATATTAGCAGGACCCTGATAATTGAAAGTAAAATTTGAGTAGAGTTAGATGTGATCAGGACTTTTCGAAATTGTCATGAAGGAAGTATAATCATAGAAGTTCGGCCAATTTTCTGTTTAATTTGTAATTTCTCATCCGGAATACAGAAATCTGAAGTTTCCATCTCTAGACTCGCCGCCAGAGAACAGACGGATCGTCAAAGGTCGTGGAACACTTGCAAGTGCCTCAAGTTGTTCTCAACTCTCCAGAAAAAAGTTCGACCGCCTCGCCTTCTGTAATTTTTGTCGAGGAAGAGTTTGCGACGGCCAGGACTTCCAGAATTACAAACACGTTGGTTTATATTTTTCCGATCAGCAAAACACAGACTGTCTCTCCTCTTATCTAATCATCAAAAGGGCTCGCTTTTTGGTGCTCAATATTTTGCTCTGTTTTGTTAGGACAGTGTCCAGAAGTTTCTTTGGGAAGATCAGATTTGAATCAAAATTGAAATATTAAATCGTCTTCCAAATGATTCATCGCGAAGAAAATCTTGAAAAAAAAAAAACGATTTTCAGAAAGTTCCTCTCGATGAAGGAACTCATGCGGACAGTCCGTATTGAAGAAGGCCTCGAAGTGACACCTCAAGGGACGGCACGTGGCCCGAATACTCAGCCTTCGACTTCCTCGGTGACGCATCAGCCACTAAGTAACAGCTATAATCAGCCTAAGTAGGGTCTAGAAATTACCGTAGTCCTCGTGTCTCTCCCATTCTTCCAATTCTCATATCCGCTCTCGCAACTTTGATCTCACGCTAGTCTGTGATACTTTATTTTTTGTTCCGTGGAAATAAAACATTTTCTGAGAACCGGGGAGATTTCAGACGTTGTGACGCTGATCAGGTCGCCTGGGCCGAAGCGATTCCGCAAGGCGGTTTTCAGTGAAGACGGCGATATAACGGCGAGGACCACGTCTACGCCAACGAGGTCCATTTCAAAAATAAAGACTGGACCGACAGGAGGATAATTTAAATCGATTTGTTTTTCTTTGAAAAATAGTCCCAAAAAATCTAGAGGTCTTGAAGAAGACCTCTCCCAGTCGCTACCTGGTATGTTATTTAAGGGTCTGCATTTTCAAAGAAACATGGTCGCGCTTTTTTAAAATTTTAACATTAACGACCTCAAAACTAAATTTTTACGCACGTAATAACAATGGAAGATTTTGAACAAGCTGAACGGCTGCACTTTCTAAAACTACGAGAAATCTTAAAAAGTAACTACCAAAAGTTTTGAACGAACTTTCCAGACTAACTAAAATTTTTATTTGTGATATAATTCGTCATTGAGACATTGTAGAGACATTGTGAGATTTTCGGGAAATTGAAGGCTTTCCCAATAAACTTTAAATTTCAGGTCAGCGCGGAATCAGCATCGGTTTTCGATCGGAAGCCTTGGGGCTCCTGTTTTGGAAGTCTCCATCCCAGCCAAGTCTTCGACCGTCGTTCGCCTCGCTTCCGCCGTTCCTCAGCTCGTCTTTGCTATGATAACTGTCGCCTACGCTTACATTGCTGGGGTTTTCACGTCTCTGGGAAGATTTGTTGTCAAATGAAATCTCTATATTCGTCCGCGAGAACTATTCTGATTTATTCCGAGATTTTCTTGAGTTTACTGGTATCTACTGCATTGTCTGTGATTAAATTTTTCCCGAGATTAAATTGACTAATAAAAAAAATGTTTTCCAACTTTGTATTGCACGTCTGTTTTTGAGAAAAAAAAACGTAAGTTTTAGCTGAAGGCTTACCAAGAACAGGGTATGTAATATGTAATTAGCAAATGCAGTCAGACGAAAGTAAATGTTATTTTTTTTCCGAAGAGTGAAATTGGAAAGAACCACTCAACCGATAACAGAATACGGTAAAGAAAATTTTTAACTTTTTTTTTGCAGAATCAAAAATTTATCACCGTGTGAGGAAAGTGCATCGAATGACTCTAAAGTAAAAATCATAAAGTAAAAAAAGTTTGTAAAACTGGGACAAAGGTCCCTGCATAAAATTAAATATATTTTGATTTTGTCTAGGAAAAAAATCAAAAAAAGTTGACTCCAATAAGTATTTTTTTTTTCTTCAATGCCTTACTGTAGTGACTCACTCTGATCACGGTCAAGGCGCCGAAAATGACGCAACTCCTTACGAATTTCCCAACCTTTTGTAAAACTTCTCTTCATTTTTTTTTTCAACTATATTTTTAGCCTTGTGCAAGAACTATTACGATTTGTAGGTTAGTTGAAAGCAGACAAGTTCAAATTTTTTTTCCTGGCTTCGCAAAATCCTGTAGTCGTCAAATAAAAGTAGAAATAAAGGATGCATCCTTCTGGAAACTCGTTCCCCTCTTCGAACTCTAACAAAAGTTGATTCCCTTTTAGAGCATTTACGCTGCGTAAACATTCTTTCATACGACCTCCGATTGTCAAATACAAATTTTGAGTTTGTTCATTTCGATATTAGAAGGACATTAGATGACATCATAAAGTTTTTTTTTAATTATATGACTTTTCATATTAAACATTTTTATCGTGTTTTTTCTCCTACTAATCTTCGTACATTCATATTTCTATAAACCTGGAGAGCTCAGAAATGGTCGGCGACGCCCTATCTCCAAAGAGTTCAAGCGATAACGAAGACATTTCGACAACCATATGGATTCAAATGCCATTTGTTAAATGGGCTGAAAGATTCGAGGGCAAGAAAAAATTAGATTACGACACAGAGATCACTTCTTCTGAAAGTATAGCGAAAACTTTTATGCGAGTTTAACTTTTCTCAGTTTTGTAAATTACTTAATCATAAAATTTTTTCGAACAGTTGAATAACGCTAAAATTTGTTCAGAGCTCTCGAACGAATATTGGATGACGTTTCAACAGATTTCGGAGGTCGTGTTTTTGCTGATTTTTCATCTTCATGTGTGAACCAACTTCACGATTTACATGAGGAAAAGGCAAAACAAGGGGCGAGTTGAATAGTTTGTATCTAAAAATGTTTAAAGTTGAACTTGCAAATTTGAAACGGCATCCTAGTCTTCTTGGTTTAAATAAAATTTTTAGCTGAACGACGGGGAATATTTCCCACATGGCTGCCCCATCTTCAGGCGCCAGGGTTCAAGTTATTTCTTTCATCCAAGAAATTCATTCGCCCTACCCATAGAAGATGTGAGAAGTCGAAATTCGAACAATCTTTGATGTTTTTGTTATTTCTAGAATAATAATAACAGTCAAAGTCCAAAAGTCGATTTTCCACGCTCGCCGCCGAGACAATCTAACGAAGACGACTACGACGGTTGTAGTGAGGGATTCTCGACGGAAAACGAATCATCGGACATTGAAATAGTTCCGGTAATTTTTTTTTTACATGGATAGCTTTCAAATTACGCATTTTCAAGGCGGCCGGTCGTATTACGGTAATCAAGCTAGGTTTTGAGTAATAAAATTAAAACTTGCGTAGTGTTTGTGACGTGACTTATCTTGTAACCTCGAGAAACAGGTCCTTAACAAATCGCAAAAAAGAAAAAAAAGTTTGAAAAATTTCCTGGCTCCGAAACTGAAAGCGCAATATTGACCGGCCGCTGTAGCACTTTCCTAAACATGCGTGAAATCTCATTTAAAAGAGAAAAAAACGCGTTTTTATTTTCTTTTTTCATTCCCATGTTTATTAGGTTGAAAAGGAGGTATCTACTCAGCGCTCTGAAAGGAAGCGTAGACAAAATTCTGTCTATACAAAGGTGAGGCTTCGATTATTTGCATTTTTTTTTTCAACTCATAATTTCAGGTTCTGGAAGATGATTATTTTAAAAGGACCAGCAGTTCAAGATCTGATCGTAAGCAAGAGAATGTTCAGATGAAAGAAGTTTGATTTTCCTTTTTTTGGATTTCAAGGTTTTGAAATCTCTTCAGAGTCAGAATTATATTCCTGCTTCCGATGATCGCTTAGCCTTGGCGAGGTATCCTCTGAGAGAGGTTGTCGAGAGATCGCGAGACATTTTTTCGGATGAGGTCCCTTTTTTCGCATTAGTCTTTTGTTTAATCTCGAAGCTTCACTATTTCTGGCCTTGGGAAGTTTTTAGTGATTGCAATGATAGAGGTTTTTTCAGTCTGATGATGATGTTGATGATAATTTTTCTCTAATCGATTTTCTCTCGCCTCAAAAGCAGCAAGAATCTCCCAAGGTTAGCCCCGAAACTTTTTTCAAAGTAATTTTCCTGGTCTTTGAATCAACAAATTGAGCTGAGCTTTCCAGATGTCTCCTGTCAGGAAAACCAGAGACAAGAAGGCCAAGAAGAATGAGACCGGCTCTTCTTTACCATTATTTTGCCGTCGAAAGTGCACGCTTAATGTTAATTATAAATACTGTGAGTCGAAAATTATTCCATTCAACGCACTTTTGTCATTATTTACAGAAAAACTCGCGATTGAAACGAGAAAACCCAAAATTGAAGTTTCTCTAATCTAACGCTCCCAGGCTTCTTGCTGAATCACCAGGTTTTAAACTCTTTTTCCTTTCAAATTTTCCCACTTTTCCTTTTTCATGTTACTTACTGTTATTTTTCTTTTGCTGCAATTTCTTTCAAATCACGTTTTATGAGTGTTTATTTCAAAAATTAAGGAGAAACTACAAATTTTTCTGTGAATAAAGATAATGTTTATTTTGAAGACCTTATAGAGTTAACGGAGATAGGTGGATTCTAAAAATGTAATTTGGAAAGTTCATCCTGATAATTTGTTACATTGGACGATTATTGTAAAAAAAAAAACGTTTATTAAAAATCAGAAAATGACCTTTGATACGGGTGATTTGCTCATCTTTGAGGTTTTAGTGGCATTTTTCTGAATATAAAAAGAGAATAAGCGACGAGTGGCTCGAAACCTTTTTCCCATCACCAGAAAGAAAATCTGTAGAGACGGGTTCGGCGGTTTTGGGTGCTCTGGGAGCTTTTCTCGCCTTGTTACCATAGGCTTTCATGTAGACAGCGTCGATTCGGCTGAGAGACAGTTGGAAGAAAATGAATCGGGACGAACCTCAAGAATGGAAAGAGAGAAAAGCTTTCCTTCTTTTCGGGTATTCGACTGACAAGCTCTTTGTACAGCTCGAAGTAACTGCATTCAGACGAACTGAAGCTCGATCAAGGTGATTCAAAAGCTCAGAACAGCCAACTATGGATTGAAGTTGCGTGTCTGTTCGAAAAGCTTTTTGACGTCGCTGATCGGAGGCGGCTGCTTGCTTTCCTTTTCTGGCTTCTCCTTTTCGTCCTCATCTTTCTAAAAAAAAATATTAGAAATCCTATTGGAAACTGTAGTCAGAACCACCTCCGCTTCGCCGGCGGCTGTCTTCCGGTCCTCGTTTTTCTTCTCGTTATCTGTTTTTTCGGCAGTTTCCTTTGGTAAGGGTCTGCTCATTTCTTCCTTTTTATTTGTTTTCTCTGGTACTTGTTTAGCCTTTACGCCCGACATTTCCATTGCCTTAGCTGTCGGTTCACACACCATCGATGATGTCGGAAGCCCCGTCTTCTGCAATAGTTTGAAAACGTTGATTGCTGAATTTTTATTCATTCAGCTCGTTAAAGGCACATAGGAAATGGAAAAATAAGTCTAATATAGGAAACCAATATAAAGATCTTGTTCTCGCATTTTTGACACTCACGGTGTACCGAAGTCAGTAATGATAAAACATCAGAATTACTGGAAATATCATTTTCACAGCCGTTTCATTGTTATAAACAGTGTAAATCACCTTCTTAGCTTTGGCAACAGTATCGGCTTCTGTCACAGTCACGTCCTTTGGATCTCGCGTACCGTATTCATCAATCAGTTCAAATTCCATCTTTTTGTTCAGAATTTCCTTAGCTTCGAAAATCAGATGTCTTTTTTTCCGGAATTACGGACTTGAAAGTTCTTCAAGGTAGACCAGGGCAAGCTTCCAGTAACAAACTCGAAAAAAATGTACAATGCGGAGACTAAATCGTCTTGACTCGTTTGCTCGATACATTGCATCGCCTCAGGAGAACTGAAGTTAATTCATGTTTTCTCTTCAACAAAGGTTTTTACCTGTAACGAGTGGAGAAAGTGACAGTAAAGTCACGACGAGGCTTTTTGCTGTCCAGACCTTTGAACTGTCGGCAGTAGCCCAAGTCAGTCAACACCACCATTCCAGAAAGTTCTGCTTCTCTTCTGCAAAGGATCAGCTTCGGAATAACTCGGTCTTCAGAACGAACTTTCTCAAAAAAGAGTTGCAATGAAGACGCAAGGGCGAAACTCGAGGGCTGCACATTTCTATGGCAGTAGCCCATTCGATGGAGTACGCGCAAGGCCTGACACACAAGTTTATTCTCTCAAAGTTTCAGAATTGATAACCTTGATGATTCCAATCGTGAGGTAGACGCCTGTTTGGAAGGGTAGGAAGTTGTACTTGGACATCTTGATCACTGTGTCGAGTGCAGGATTCAGCCGCTCCATGATATAGAAGGGTCTCGGGATGGAAAACGCCACTTGTTCGTGTCTATCGAGGTAGGAGTGCTGAAGAGAAGCTCAGGGATGAATAATGAGAAGAACGCTCAAAAATGAATTAAATATTTTTTTTCTAGAACACTTTTCGATGTTCCAGATGGAGATACTGAAAATCTGGACCTGCGTATTTTACAATAAAAATAATTTGAAAAAAAGTTTCGGGATATTTTCTTTCAATAGAAAAGTGGAACGGACCATAAAGTCCAAATAAGGCATTCGACCGAAGGCGACGATCTGCGGCGCCACCTGAGAGACGTGCTTGGCCGAATTTTCCTCTCGGATCCTCTTCATTATGTTCATCCAAAACATCAACACGTTCAGAATAAGAAGAGGAGCAACAACCTCATGAAGGAGCATTTCATGGGAAAGAGAGTCATCGAACCGACAAAGCCTCATCGTGTACTCCCGTTTGTTCACCGCGATGCGCTGCATAAATATCCAGTTATTCCTTTTTTCTCATTTATTTCTTGTCTATTGAATTCAAATACATAACAACATTCATGCATGTTAAAAATCAAGTGTCCTGACAAAAACTTGAATAATCTAAAATCGGATGAAAAACCGTCACAAAGAAGGTAATTTCAATTGCGATCGGGAGTTTTTGAAATTTGTCTAGAACTCATATATTTCTCTGAGAAAAAAACTGAAAATTTTCACTACTACCAAAAAATCTTTGTTGTCTACAACATGCGCTTTAAACACAGAGGATGCCATCAAAAGCAGGTTCGAAAATGTGAGACGAAATTTTACTTTTTTATTTTTAAAGTTGCGCAGAATCAAGCTTTAAAATTTTGACTGCAATAAGTCGAAAAGTATTTGAGAGAATTTTCAGAAAGTTCAAAAGTAAAGAGTCCAGAAAGCTCTTATAAAAGTGTCACCTCTAAAGAAACTTCTTTTCCCACGGCGAAAACCCTCGGTGCTCGATAAACTTCGTAGTCGGTGCTGAGAGAGGTGTCGAACCTTCAAAACAACTGAAGACTAATTTTAAAGCTTTCTTTCCCACTTGGTTTTCATTCCGGTGATAGTCCATTCAGATTTGTCGGCGAGATTGAACTTGCCGACCGCGTAAGATTCTGTCAGGTCACATTCAATCTGAAATTTTTCCAAATCCGTATCCAGTTCACACGTTTACAAGAGTGCTGAATCGGCCGGTCGTGGTCTCAAAGTCTGGGTTCTTCATTGCAACTGGGCACTCTATCATCGGAGAATCCGTTTTTCTTAGCAAAATCGCATTGGTGAGGGTTTTCAGTTCCTCCAAAGTTGAAACTGAAAAGCTGCCATTGAAACTTCAAACGACAGGCGATTGGGTCTTCCAGGGAAACTATTTTGTATTCCTAAAGTTCGGCATCGAAGCCTCCAAACAAGCCCTCGTTTAATATTTATTATTTTTTCGAAAAATTTTGAAAAACTGACAAGTCTCCAGCTGCCGGTCTTTCTGTTGACGTTTTTTCTGGTTTTTTCAAAGCTGCTTCTATAAAAATTAGAGAAAAATTTTTTTCCGGTTTTTTTAAAAAAAGTTTCTAACCTGTCATATTTATAACAGTTATCGAACAGAGAAATAAAAATTGGGACTGATGTTTTTGTCGAATTTATACTAGCACGTTCACGCTTTATCTTATTATTCTTTTTTTATATTTTTTTTCCTTTTTTTGATTTATACGTATTTATGCGATCGCGAGGTGTACAATTCGAACGCAAAGAAAGGAATTCTCCTTTTTCAAAATTTCACTGAAATTAGCAATTTTATATATTTTTCATATGATTTTCGATCAAGGTAATATTTATTTAAGATCTTGCCTTTTTCATTTTCTCCTTTTTTTCTTATAGAAACAGCATAATTAATGAACAACCAATCCACGTCTTGGACTTGCATGGCTGCAGAAATAACATTTGAACTCACGACAATTGTCCGCAATATCGGGGGCCTTCACGCGCAAATGTACTTTTATTTCGTTTTTTTTTTAATTGTACAGTTATTGTATAATTTTTCGTTCAGCTTCAATCATATTTCGAAAAAAACTGTTCAAGCAGCAGCCGTAATTTTTGAATTATTTGTTCTCAAAAAAATTGAAATTATTTTGTTTTTTTTTGTACTTTTTCTCTTTTTTTCGAAGTTTCATAGCGAATGTCATGGCTTTCGAAAGTTACTGACATTGCTGGAGCGGCAGAAAGCTTTGCTGAACAAGCTTGATGAAAAAGGTCTGATTTTTCACTTATAAGGCTTGAATATTTCCAAATAAACTGTAGGCTGGAGACGCGATTCACACCGTTAGGGACAAGCCATCAACATCAAGAATTCGTAAGTCGAGTACGGCCAGCGTTCCTCCAACAGCTGTACCTCTACCGGTTTGTTCACTAAAAAGCTTTCATTTTTTTAACTTTAGGATATATATTTCTTTTTCAGGAATACGACCGGCCTATAGTGACGGAAGACGTTGGCCGTGGAGCACTTTCGATCCCTTCGCGCGCCTACAGCGACTACACTGGCGGTCAACCTGTTCGAAAGCCACGTCCTCCTGTTGAGTCGTTAGTTTATTTTTCAAGCTGTGCAAAAACAGTTTTTTCTCCCATTTATTTCATTCTTATCCTTTTTTAATATTGCGAGCAAACTCCGATAATTTTTTTCCCATTTTTACTTTCCTATTTCTTTTCATGAATATCATGATCTTGATCATTACTGTCGTGTTTATTTGGTTAATTTTTTTAAAGCAAAAGTCAGGCTTGACCTACATTAACACTCCAACCGCATTTGTTCCTGGAATTTCAGGCTCTTGTCATCTTCAGAATCTGTGAATTGGTTTATAAATCAGATACACGCGAAAAAAGTTTCAGTTCAACCACTAATGAATCAAGCCGCGACAACTGGACATTAGTTCTCAACGAAGGAGGGAAAGATCCCGAAATTTCGACCCGAGATGAGGACAGCAGAAGTCGCAGGAGCAGTGGAGGAAGAAGCATTGCCAGCGTTCGTACCACCAATGGATGTCCGTTTCTTACCTGCTGAAATATTTTATTTTTTTTTGGCCTCTGAAAGAATTTCATCTTCATCTTCATTTTCCAGCCGAAATGCATACCGCCGACGTTTCTCAGTTAAAATCACAACTTTGGGCGAAAGATTCTCAAATTTCGTTGATGAAGGCGAAAATTGCTGTGAGTTCAACCTTTTACTTCTTTTTTATGCTTTTTTTAGGATGTGGAGAAAAAGCTGGAGAAACGCAGTCAAGATTACTACGAAATGAAAGCTGAGAAGGTTTCACTCACCATTTAGTTTTTTTTTTTTTTTGTATTTTGTGATTCAGGACATGATCGAACAAAGATTGGCCAATCAGAAGCAGTTCGTGGAGAATGCGGACAGTCTCGAGGAAATGAAGTTGGCGAGGTTTTCAATCGAGAATATTTTTCGAAGAACAGTTGTTTTTTTAGGAAGAAAGCGCAACATCAGAAAGACATGGTGGTCGAGGAATGCAATCAGATGAAAAGGAAAGTCGTTGGCTTGGAGGAGGAAATCCGAGCCATGGTCGAGCAGGTGCAGGAAAAAGTATAAATCGTATTCGAGCCTCTTTTTGTAGCTGCGGTTGGCGAAGTTCAACTTGAACGAGAACAAAAAAGAGTTTGATGAGTACAAGACGAAAGCTCAGAAGATTTTGACAGCCAAGGAGAAGCTCGTCGAGTCGTTGAAGGCTGAGGTGCGTACTTTGAAAGTATTTTCTACGTTCGTTAATTCACGACCTCTCATATTTTTTCTTCTCGAAGAGGCTTCTAAAAACTGAGCGGAAACTAGAAAAAAAGGGCGGAATTTTCGAAAATTGCAAAGTCAGACAGTGTTCACGCGCACTCAGTTACTCACATCTTCAAAATCGGTGAATTTTAGAGAAATTACGATTTTCGAGTGTGAAACTTACATTTTTTTAATACTGCTTGTCGATTCTTTTTATCAGGAAGGTTTGGACCGATTTATTGATTTAGTATCCCAAACTTTGGTCTATATTCTCAAATTAAAACTCAAAGGTAAGGCTGAGTTTCGAAAAAAGAAAATATATAAAATCGGATAATGTTCTAGATCCTTAGAAAATACGAATATATAGAACAAATTTATGTTTACATTTCGGGACTTTGAACAGTTTCTAAAAATCGTAATGAGAGGGGATAGTTTTTAGAAGCGTCTCAGAGAGCAAAAATACAGTCGGTCATCAATAAATATAAATAAATCGCGTTCTTATCAAGTTCTTTCCTCCAGCAAGGAATCGGCTCCGTGGATCGTCCTGGACATCTTCTGCAAGCGGAAGTTGAGGAAATAAAAGTGGAAAGGTTTTTAGAAAATTTGTTTTCATTTGAAAAAAAAACAGAATTCAGGGACTTGGCTCGTTCTGACTTAGAGTCGGCTCAACTCCAAGTTTACACTTTGAGATCAGATATGGAAGAACTTGAGGCTCAAATTCGGTAGCCGTATTCTCCTTCAAAACAAAAAATTATTATTCATTTAGCGATCTGCAATCTCAATTAGGAGAGCATAAACGGGGGTACCTCGAAGAGAGACATTCGTGGGAGACGACCGTCACTTTGCTCAATGAAAAGGTCGAATGTGCAAGGTCAGTTCCAAGAGAGAATATAACAAAAGTCCGATTTTCAAGAATCGAGAGTGAGTTCGCCAAACAAGAAATGAAGCGGCAAAACGACGCCAATCACCAGAAAATCCAGGAAAAAGAAGCGGAATTGAGGAGAGCCGTCGAAGAAGGCCGCGCCAGGTTCACTGCACAATAAATTCGTCGTTACTGGATATTATTCGCAGAAAACGCGAAGAGGTGTATCGAAACTATGACAATGACAAATCGATTGGAGAGATGCTCCTCCAAAAGCAGCAGGAGTTGGAAGAAGCTCTTAGGACAAACCAAGTTCTGAACGTTCGTCTGGATAGACTTCAGGTATTTCAAGTTCAAATGAATTGAAAAAATAAGAAAAACGGCTTAAACGAGACATGTAAAAATCACCGATTATATGAATTTTTGAAAAAAAGTATTATGAGCGGAAACATTGTCAATAAGTTATGTTGTACCGTTGAAATTTCGTGCATAGTAGCAAAATTATATTATTTTCAAGCTTATTATTTATATCAGAGACGAAAAGAAAATTTCTAAAAGTTCCACTCTACGCCAGAAACGCCAAGAAACGATAGAATTAGAGCTCCAAAATTTCTTTAGAAAATCTTACAAAGTAGTGCAGAAAAGAAAATATGGAAAAATGGAATAAAGATGTCGAAACATGCTTATCTTATTGAAATTTTCTTTTCTCATCAACATCAAATTATGTTAAGAAGTCGTCGCGCGAGACGGTGATCAGCATGGAGACGACGTCATCGTTGTCTTCAAACTCGGCGACGTCGCCGCTGCTACAGAACGTGGCGAATCCTCACGCACGCCACGCCATTTCGGCCATCGACTCGACGGCGTTCAGGGCTATTTCCATGTTGCGGAACTATCCATCTGCTCGTCTTTTTTTCGTTCTCTACTTTCTTGTTCTCCATTTATGGGTCTTCTTCATCATCCTCACTTATACGCCCGAAATTCACTGATAACCTTTTCAGTATTCATATTTTATTTTTATTCCAATAATCTCCCTTTTTTCTTTTGTTTCATTTCTTGTCATATGGGTGTAACGGTTGTCAGAACATTTTTTAAGTTTTTTTCTTATGATTTAGTTGAGGCTAGCTTTTTTATTGCTTGATGTTTCCCATCCCCGTGTATAAAACGGTAATTGTTTAGTGTACAGATTATTCGAATATTTTTCTGTGATACTGGGTAATCGCTTTTTATTAACACTGTCAAAAGACCATTTCTTCGTACTAACTGGGTCCTTCTGAGAAATAGATTAATCTGTGGAAATAAAGATTTATTAGCGTTAAATTTCCCCAGTTCGAGTTTTTGAAAGTGGTTTGAATGTGCACCACAACAGTTTATTTCAAACGACGATGATGAAAGCTTTTTGAAGCGATGAGTCACCGCCGCACGATATTTTCGAAGTTCGGTCGTTTCTTTGTTTTTTTTTAACCCTCAATAGCTATTTATTTTGTTTTAACTTTGATTTTGAACTACCAGTAAAATCATAGGAATGTTCATATGAAGTTATTTGAAAAGAATTAGAATATTCGAAAGTGATCACATATGCGTTTTTCCTTCATCAGGCCGTAAACTTTTCCGGCTTGCTTTTACCACCAAAATCTCATAATCCGGAATGTAAAAATTGTTTTTTTTTTTTGCAGACGTTTCTGATTTCTGATATAAGGAGAATCAACTTTTGTTTGAAAATTCTGAATGTCATTTTTTTTTTTGCTTACTGTACTTCTCACTGCCAATTTATATCTTTCAAGCGGTAAGTGAAATATATATCGTTGGTATGGAAATTCTAAAACTAGCAATTTTTGCTTCTGAATACCTCTAGCCTGTTCGCTTAATTCTCATGTAGGATGGCCCTAGAGGCTGATGAGTAAAGCCTGAAAATCATCTTCATGCGGAAAAGGCAAAATGCCTTTTTTGTTTTACAATCTCCATAATTTCAGTTGAATACGTCATCAGAATCTTTTCAGAAAACCCTAGCTGTAGTTTTCCGAATTCATTTATTTTGACCATTAGCGTGACTTTTTGGCCTCCACTGGCCTGCGCAATGTTTACTCGGACTGTCAATTTCTTGGCCATTTCCTTCCCTCACCATTCGTCTTGGCCATTCACATCCTTTTTCCTACCATAAATGGAAACATTGAAAACTTTCGGTCAGAATGTCCGCAAAAGTGCCGCCGGCGTTCAAACCAGTCGCCCACTACATCAAAATCGCCAATGAAAATGCCAGCCGCGACCCCGTCGTTTATTATTGGTGTTAGTTTTTTTTTTGGCCTATCAATTTTAAATAGAGTTTTTCGTATTTTCAATTTTTCATTTTCAAGCTTTTTTTCGCTCGAGACAGGGTAAATCTCGTTGCCAAAAAAACTCTTTCTCGAATTATATTTACGATAAATAATTTTTTTGAAAAAAACCGGTCAGTTTCAAGCACATTGCATTTTTTTCATGACTATTCATGATTTTTTTATGTTCTTGACTTGACGCCGCTTTCTTAAGTCAATACTCAAAATGTCGGCATTTACACTGCTTGAGAGAGTTTTAAATATTTAAAAAGGTTTTTTTCGCTCAATTCTTTATGGTTATTGATAATTTGTTTAGGCCTTTTCTATGCGGTCCAGACGGCGATGCAGCTTGACAGGACTTCGCCGGAAGCTCTTCAGTTCCTCACAGGCCTTCTCACGACACTGGAAACGATCAAGAAACAGCTCCAGAACAACGATGCGATAACTAATGAGGTCTTTTTGCTTTTCAATTGGAATCAATCTCAAGCTTTCAGACTATTGCACAGGCCCATCTTGAAGATTTCGCCTTGAAGCTTTTTAACTTTGCCGACTCCAAGGAAAAGACTGGCAATGTTTGTTCATTTTCCCTTTCCTCTTTCTGTAGTCTTGCTCAAATGAATATTTTGAATCTGTGTTTTTAAATATTCAGGTCGATAAAGCGGTCGTCCACGCGTTTTACACTGCTGGACATGTCATGGATGTGTTGTCGTTGTTTGGAGAGGTATTTCAATTGATCTCACTGAATTCTTTCTGTTTTTTTTTAGGTTGACGAGCAGTTTTTGACGTCGAAAAAGTACGCAAAATGGAAAAGCACGCAGATTTTCGCTTGTCTTCGTGACGGAACTCCTTATGTCCCCAGCTCTCAAGAAGCCGCTGACCCTAGCGTCGATGATGGTTCTTTTTTTTAAAATATAAAATCGGGATCAATTATAATATTGAGAAAATTCGAAATAATATGAAGGTTCCAGATTGCTTTGCTTTCTCTGCTTTGGAGCTATTCAATAACTTAAAACGAGTAGGAAACATTGTAATACTTATTTTCAGTTAAAACTGGGCAGAATACATAATTTTCAAGTTTTTTCTTTTTTTCAGAAATTTTCTAATGCCATTAAAATTATTTCCTATTGTTTAAGTGTTGTTTTACAGTCGGATGACTTCAAGTTTTTGGAAAAAAGTTTTTATTGTCTAAAAAAACTTCTTATTTTAAAAGATAATTATTTTTTTGCATTTTTTTTAAAGAAATTCTTTCATCTCAGCCTGAGCTTCGATATTTTGAGACCTATCTGCATTTGGCGCTCAGTTCCAACCGAAACCGACCGACAGCTTCGGATCTTCCTCCGGACCGGCTCCTCCAGCTCAGTTTGGCGGCTATCAGAACGTCGGACCCTCGGATCTCTTCAATGGTTTTTTTTTCGCCTTTCCAATCAGTGTAATGCTGCTTCAATCTAGTGCCGACCCCTCCTTCGCGCAATCCTCCGATGCCTCCTCATCACAGTTACAGCAACATCAGCCCGGCTTCATCTCACTCTTCGGGCTACCTTCCCAATACTGGTTTTTTTTTTATTTTTTAAAAAGGAAAAATACAAATACTTACAACATGACTTCTATATTGAATCAGCTTTGAAATGGTTCTATTTTAAGAACTCTACAAATTAAACTAAAAGTTCATTTCCCATAACTTGGATGTATATAACTGTATAATTTTTCTTTTACCTAAACAGATGAAGTTTGTAGTTTTGATATATGGCAAATTTTTTTTCCATTACTTTTTCGAAAGCTGTTCGGACATTGGTAACGCGAAAAGGACGTTCTCCGGACGTTCCTGGGATATCCTAGTGACCACTTTAGTAGCGTCAACACTCTTAAGTGATCCTCAGAATTGCACAGAAACGTCCGGAGCACGTTTCAAAATATTCTTTAGCAAGCTCGGCCTCGGTCCCAGCGACGATGCCACCAGGAGCTGAACCGACAGCCGAGGAATTCGCTCAGGTCCGCAAATACGCCAAATACGTCCTGAGCGCCATCGACTACAGCGACACGAAGGCCACCGTCGAAAATCTTCGCAAGGCTCTGGCCGTCGTCGAGAAATACTGTTAATTCCATGGAAAACTGAAAATTCTTCCCCCTCTAATCCTCTCGAGTCGCATAGTTTTGCAACTTTGCTTCTCTTCACACCAAATATTGTTTATATTAGCCAATGCCTAAATGTAATTTTCTCCGTAAGCCATTTCACTTGTGCACGTTTTCCTTTTTTTTTTTGCCCCAATCTTGACCGCAAATGTTAGTTTATCATTATTGATTTGTATAAAATAAAGTTTGAGTTGTATTTTTGGTTTTTGAATTTTTTTTGAATGGTTTTAAACCAGAAAGAGATTATTTTTTCTCACTTCAATGAAAAGAAATTTTATTCCATTTTTAGTTTATCTTTTTTTTCGCTTGAAAATTTTTTGAAACTTGAGAAGATTATAATTGACATTAATGCATTTTTGAAAGCTCAGTATAAGTTTCATTTTATTAAGGGTAGGGCCTCTTCCTCTTAGAGCGTAACTTTGACGGTTCGACCTTGGATTGGAACCAGACGCGGAAAAGATGCTCGACGAGCCCGAGAAAAAGAAAAAAGGCCCTTTGCGTCTGTTAGTTTTTTTTCTTGTTTATATCTCAATGGATTCGATGTTTGAGGGTTTCTCGGAAGTCGACGCGAAAAATGCTCGGGAAGTGGAAAAAGCTGGACAACGGCGAAAAATCCGACAACGAGTCGTTCAATGGAAGCATCGAAGAAGTTTGAATTCAAAGAAATTTTTATTTTAGTAGTGAAAATTGTCTTTCTTATGAGAATTATATTACATGGATATGAAAGAAGGAAACCATTATATTCGAAAATAATAAAGTAAAAAGTAACTTACCAGGAAATGGTCTCAGCTCACAGTGGGACTTTTGAATGAGACCATATATTCTAGATGTAAATTTTGTCTCTGTTATTGAATCTGGTCTTAAAAGTTGCCCAATACGCCTGTGAAATAAGTTAGGGACTCTCAAGAGCCCGTAATTTCAGTGTCTCTGATTGAGCTTTTTTTCGAAGCGTATGCCCCTCTGGTCACGAAAAACTAATTAGTTTCCTCCAAAAAGTTTTGGAGCCCTGATTTAGTCTTTCAAACCTCCACATGATAAGGGAATGCGCGCGCGGTGTGGTACTGCGATCTGGCGATTTCAGAAGCTGCTTACCAGGGTCTTTGGGTGATTAGGTGAAAAAAAAAGTTTCCGATTTTTTCTAAAATTTCGCCTATGGTTATCCCTTTTTCTTCTATATTAAGCTGAAATCAATTTTCTGAGCAAGAGAAGATCGAATCCATCCAATTTGCAGACATTTTCGGCGACATTAGAACGAAGAAAAGTGTTCGGTCTGCCCCTTCGAGAAGCCGTCGACGCGGATCCTTCCCTCGACGGAGTCCGACTTCCATCCTTCTTCCGATACTCCATCGACTTCATCGAGGAACACGGTAGCATCTGAATCGCGGCGAGACCTCACATAGTTGTTTAGGACTGTCGCTGGAGGGCATTTATCGCGTGTCGCCACCAAAATCGCGACTCGACGAACTGGAAAGACGCGCCAACGCCGGGGAATCACTGACTTTTGCTGACGCCCACGACGCCGCCGGTCTTATAAAAAGGTGATTCTTTGCGCTTTTTGTTGTTTCAATTCAGACATGATCATCTAGCTCGTTACAGCAGATTGAAAAAAAATATCGGTAAAAATGGATTGATGCGGTTTTAATGAACTTGTGAGAAATTTCTTTCTAGTGGATGATACTAGTTCAAAGTCCTTTTTAAAACCAATAAATCACAATACTAAACTCTCATCATGGCGCCCCTACTGCAATAAACTGTGCCAGAGATGAATCGGGTTCATTGTTGTAAATAAGTACAAAGAGCTCTTTTCAAGATTCCTACGACAACTGCCAGAGCCGCTGTTGCCGGTGGAGTTCGAACGGCTGGCCGAGACGTGCCGATGCAACCTTTACATGGCGTCGACGCCTTCTTCTTCCGTCTTCTGTCGCTGTGGCGCGGCAACGGCGATGCGAGATGTCTTCGCCTCTCTGGAAGTCGAACGGAGCACCCTCACGACCTACGTTTTCCTCCACGCCCGACACGTCGTTCAAAATGTATGACATTTGGCATTTTCGATTAACTCTCGGTTTCAGGAACGTGAGAACAAAATGGGGATTCCGGCGCTGGGACTTCTGCTCCAGACGATCCTGGACATGAGCCGAAAACTCGTTTGTTTCTGTCTCAACGCCATCAAACCCTTTGATGATGGAATAGTTGATGGGGTACATTCCAAACCAATCTTTGAAAACCAAGTTCGTTTTTAGGCTTCATACATCCTCGATGCCGATGCACAAATTTTCAAGTGAGTTTTTCCTTTTTTTCTCATTTTTTTTATTATTAGCATAAGGGTGAAGGATATCTTTGGAATGACGGAAAAAAAAATAAGGACAATTTGGAGATTTCGATTATTATATAAAATGAGGGAACCGTTTCATTGGCATAGTTTTGAGAAGTTTTGAGCAGCGTTTAGAAAATTTGTTGAATGTATGAAAGGATTATGGCAAAAATAAGCGGACATGTTGGGAAGAGGAAAAGTTCAAATGTCAATGTTATAAGCGATTTATGAGAAGTTTGAGACGTTGTACCTGCATGGAAGTATTGGAAGGCAAAGGTTATAACAAAATAGTTTCTTGTAATTCTGGAACTACCGCGGTCCGGCCGAGGTGTTGTGTGAGGCGGGATTAGAATCGAGCTCGATTTCCACCATTCCGTCCTCGATCTTCGCGCTTTTGCTCTCTTCTTTCTTCACGTCGTCGGCTCCGATTTTGCGATTCTTCTGAAAATCTCAGCATGTTTATTTTGATTTGACGTCGTTCAAAGAAAAAATTCCAAGCGTCGTGTTTGTTCTTTTAAGAGAGCGAACAGCTTTTTCTACTGCCATGCCATATTCAACGACAAAGTGGGAGATTTACTAATATAAAGTATCTAATAAGTTATTTTAACATCTTTAATTGGATTTTTGAAAAAAATTGTACTATTCTTTTTTTATTACAAGATAAACACAATTTTAAAAAAAGTTTAGAAATTTTTCCCTTTTTTTAAAATTGTTTCTAAATTTTGTTAAAAAGTAACTCTCACTTTCACTTTGCTGACTTATTTGACAAAAAAACCTTGTCGACCTCGTTTTTTTATATCACTCTTCCAGGGCTTTAAAGACCCACTTTTTCAACTCTTCAGAGAATTTTTAAAAATTTGAAACAAAATGTGTAGTTTAACACGAGTTTTAGTTATCAAACAAAAATGGCTAATCACTACAAAAGCCGATTTACGAATAGCAAAATTTTTATTCTCTGACACAAATTATTGGTAGAAAACTGGGGAAAATATTTCTCGGAATTCTGTTTTTCTTACTCAACATCGAAGGAAAAGTTCTGCGTATGATGTATTTACATAGCAGAAAGTATATTTCTCAAAACAATTTCTAGTCTTTTTTCAGCCAATAGTCTTTCCTCTTCATGTAAACAGCCTCTGGTAAGAAAAGTGTCCGCCAAATTTTGTAAACTTTTGAAAGAAAATTGAAGGGGCCGAAAATCCCTCTTTTTTTAATACTTTTTCAAGAAATTTTATTTTTTTGATTAAAAAAATAATAAGTAATTTTTTTAAATTTTTTTCAAAAATCTTTCGCAGATGCAGGGAGACAATTAAAAAATGCGGAAAAATAGTTTGAAAAAATTGAAATTTTCAATTGAATGAAAAATAAATTGTTAAACAGTCAATCACCTATTATACTTATTCAAGGCGCCTAAAAATTGAAATACTTTGAAAGATCATTATAAGAAAATTCATCACATTTCGAAACGATGGAAAGATGACACTAAAATTTCGATAAAATTTCTTGATTTAAACAATAAAATGTTCGAACCTTCAAGAACAAGACGACGGCGACGATGATGATGATGGAAATGATGGCGATGACGCCGATAGTGATAGGAAGGGCATAAGAACCTGAAAAGTGGCCAATCGGTGAAATCAAAACGCAATAATCTACAAAATAAAAATGTCAAGCTTTTACCTGTGAGGTACATAGGACTGTTGGGTTCTTTAATCATGTTGCCATCCATTTTGGGGGGAACTTGACGAAACAAAAAGACAAAGACGATGTGCGGAGAACAAAAAAGAATGGGCTCGAGTCCGATGGGAATTGACGCCAGGAGGTCGCGTCGAGGCTCCTCCCACTTTGCCACTGGCTCCCTCCTCCTTTGCCTCAGGCAAATGCTCAGTCTCCGCGTGGTTTTTGTTGATGTTTTTGTTGTGAGTTCTACTCTACAGCTGAACCGCTAAATTTAGACGCAGGGGGACTTCCGTTCAGCTTTCCGGAGGTTATTTAGGAGCGAAAAAGGCTTCCCGACAACGTTTCATGTGTATACAAGGGGACACAGCTGTGTTGACATGTTTGTTTGCCTTTTTGGTAAGATCATCAGAAAACTGAGTCATTTGTAGTTTTTGAAATAAATTTAATTAGTCGTACAATTTTCTTACTGGAACTTTATCACGATTTTGTGAGTAGTGGACCGCGTGTTTTCTGCATGAAAAAAAAATGGGCGAAGACGCCCAAAAGTGACGTGAATGACATATGTTGGGAATCGAACACATGCGTCTCAGGCACCCAAGGAGGAGGACTCAGGAGAGAAGATAATCTTCTCATTTGAAGAACGCGGCAAGAAAAGAATCGAAAAAGTAGAGAAAACCAACTTTTTTCGTTGTACACGCTCTTGGTGTCGTCGGTTTTGGAAAGGTCGTAGACATTCCTTCGAGGCTCTTCCTTGAAAAGCGTCTCGTTGGTCTCCGAACCGATGAAAAGGTCAGGCTAAATTTTAAGTGTTTTTAAAGGGGGTTTTTTTTTGAAAAAGTAGAAGATTGCCATTATAATAAAGGAGCGATTGATGAGCCATTAGAATTTGTCTCTCTGAATTATTAATTTCTTCGAAACTTTAAAATTTTCTTGGTCAGTAATTTTCTTTCACAGGCGCCAAAAAGTGGTTTTTAAAAAAAAATATCATGAAAAAACTGACGATTTTGAGCGGCGTGGCGGATTCAACCTCCGCCTCGGCCTCGGCTTTCGACTCTGTCTTCGGAGCCACGGTGGTGGTGTCGATGGATTCGTCGTACGGCTGCAAGTCGTTCGTGTCGAGAGCCAGAAGCGGCTGATCGCGCATGGAGTACGGTCGATCGCAGACAGTCTCATTCGAGCTGAGAACCGTGAAGTTGCTGGTGCCCTGCTCCACGGCATGGTGCCGGTCTTCCACGGCAAAAATGACTAAAAAAGAACTTCAAAACTCTCTCAACTTTCTTTCTTCACTAACAGTTGCTGAGTTCTGCGTCGCAGAGGTATGGGTTCTTCGAAACATCAAGCGATTCGAGTTTCGCAAGATTTTTCAGCAACTGCAAATGTTTTTTTGTTCTCTCCTTTGGTCAGAGTGTAATATGATTTACGTCTTTCGGGATCGTTTTCAGCTGGTTTCTTCGCAAGTCCAACTTTTTCAGCGTATCTTTTTGCACTTCGAAAGCGTCCTCGGATATCTTTGAGATTTTGCAGAGACCAATGTCAAGTTCCTATGGAAGAATGTATTGAAATATTAACAGATTTCCCCTACTTGTAAATTGGGAAAGTCTTTGAGAAGGTTACCATCGATTTCAGTGAAGTCACATTCCATCAGTGTCAGCTGCTCAAGTTTAGTCAGACCCGTTGAAGGCAACTAAATTACAAATTTTCATGAAATACTTGGTTTTATTCCCGCATACGCTGCTAATTGGATTGTGCCTCATCTTCAGGATTTTGAGCGTTTCGACAACTGGTTTAAACGCCGTTTCAGGAACATTTTTGATCTCATTCCAGCCCAAGTCAATCTCGTTGATTTTGCTCAAGCCAAAAAAGACTTCAGGCTCAAGTTTTCTGAAATACTCGAGTCTTGTCTATTGTTGCAAATAATTTTTACGCGATGTAGTTTCCGGCAAGTGAGAGACGGTGAAGGTTTTCCAGGCCGTCGAAAGCGTAGGCTGTGATGTTTTCAATCAGATTCACACGGAGATCAAGCTGAAATACGGATTTTAGATGATTTTCGATTTTTTTTTCTCTGCACTTCTTGGAGTTTCTTCAAAACAGCGAATTGTCCAGGCTCAAGCGACGCAATGCTGCATCCGCTGAGCTTGAGCGACTCCAGCTGCGGAATGTCGTCGAAAAGGCTCATGGGCGGTTCAAAAATGCCATCGGCTCGGGTCAAGTCAAGGAATTTGAGTGCCTTTAGCCGTCCGATTTCCTCCAGAACGCTCTCGTTCATGAAGTTGTGCTCGCCAATGACCAAAGACTCCAACGAGGTCAGAGGTGTGAATGCTTCGGACTCGGCGCCGTTGATGAAGTTGCCCGACAGGTCGAGGTACGACAGCTGAATCAAATTAATAAAACAACCTGCCTTTGGAAAATTCTGGTAAGGGGGTTTTTCAATACCTCGGCTTTTGATTCGCTTAAAAGCATTGCAAAAGAGAATAGTCTGGTTCTGATTTTTTTTTTTCACACAATTGCATGAATAAGGTTTGAATGAAAATTATTGCCAAATGTACCAAAGGGAAGAATTTTCGAAACTTTTCTTTCCTTAGCAAAAAGTGACAAGGGAGTTTGACATTTTTGGGTTTTCCAGAGCATTTCAAGTCTTGAAAGGAGTGATTGACGTTGAAGAACAACAAGCGTAGTAAAAGGAACCGGTTGCGTCTTTTTTTATCGAGGAAGCAAAAACTAAACCGGCCAATTGTGGAATTTGTCGAGTGTTTCTTCTTTTGCGCTTTCCTTTTTGACCTCTAACGGGTTATAACTATTTACAAGGTTGATGAGTAAGAAAGTGAAATGAAAGTTAACCTTTCTATCGGCAAACGACCCGCAAGGAGAACTATCTTTTTTATGTTTTTTTTTAAATTGAAGTTAGTGTCAGTTGCAGAAAATTTTGAGATCAAAAGCATAAGTTATTCTTGAACAGATTTTTATCTTCTTTGATCCTTTAGATGCTGCGAAAAAGGGAGAACAAAGTTGAGAACGAAAAAAGAGGCTCTTTTCAATTTTATTGAAAGAAGCCTTCACTGGAATATTTCTCTTTTCGGAAAATGTTGCAACTGTCAAGCAACCACAGACGTTCATTAATCAACTCGACATTCTATAAAAAACGGCCCCTTTTTGTAAAGAATTTTATTGGCGACGCGCGTTTCAGGCCCGTGGAAATCCTTTTGACCCGCTTTTACAAGATAACGTCCGTCCTTTGGTGGGACTTGTTGAGATTCGCATCGAAAGATTTCCGCCACGCAAAACGTTGGAATAATAGCAAAAGTGAGAAAAACGGATTTTCGCCGCTGCTTTCTACGTTTAAGCCGAGCCAATTTCGAGAGCTGTGTATGGGTAACGGATGAAAGTTGTCTGCTCTTGAGAGCTTTTTGGAATTTTTGAACACTCATTCGATTTGATATCTGGAACTATTTAAAGATGCCTCTTTTAATTTTTCTTTTTCAGAAAAATAGTTTTCAACAAAATTTTTAAGCCAGAAAAAAAAAATTGATTTTCTTTCGATACGCATTTCTAAAATTTTGGGACCCACAGAACGTTCGAATTCTATAACACCATATTTCAGATTTTCAACTCTATTTTCCCCTTGTAAATCTTAAACTATTTTTAAACCATCACACTTGTCCTTATTTTTCTTCTAAAGCTCGACCACTTAGGTATCGCGCCATTTTTTTCCTCTAATTACTATGGTACACCTGACAGGTAGAGGATTTAGTGGGATTTTCGACTGAATGATGCTTATTTTGAGATCTATACGCTTTCGTACCTGCTTCTTGTTCTTGAAACTTTCGACGTAGAGCGTTTCGAGTTTGTTGTTGGGCAAGGCGAGCGTGTCGAGGTTTTCCAAGGTATTCAGCGGCTCCGGAATCGTCTAAAATGACTACTTGTTTTTCGCATCTAGTAGCCATTTGACTTACCGGTAAATTGCACGCGTGAATCGTCAAATTGCGGAGAGTTTGCTCGACTCCGACGAAGGCGTCGTTCGGGATTTTAAGGGGTTCTCGGCCTGGACATTCGCGGATGTCCAGAGACTCGAGGGACGGCGCCAGAATGCCGAACTTGGGCAGTCCTTCGGAACCGAATTCCATGTGTTGGATGCTGATCTGGAATCGTTCATAATTAAAATAATAGTTATCGTCTACAACTGACGTGAGAAGTTGTGAGGCTGGCGTTCTTAACGGCGTCCGTCGAGCGCTTCAGATGGTCGAGATTCGAGCCGAAGTAGCAAGAAATGGCCACTTTTCCCTTGTCGAGTGACTAAATTTTTCAAGATGCTAGTGATACAACACTCAAAATGAATGTTTCTTTTTTCTCTTTAACTGGAGCTGGAGCATCTTTTTAGAAACTGCTACACTAATAAAAAAAGTTTAAAAAATCTAAAAAAATTTTTAAAGCTCTTATTATAGAGTTTTTGGGGCGGATTTCGAGGCCAAAACCACAAAAAAACGACAACTTTTAAAAATTATCCACGGATCACGTTTGATTTTTTGATATGTTATCTAGCTGTAGCATCTCTGTTTTTTGAAAAATCAAAAAAAGTTAGCTTCCCTTCGCCGCGCGCGCTACTTTTTTGGCCATAACTTTTTTTCTTAGTGGATTTTTTTTCTTCGAAAAACTATACTAATTATGAATTCTCCTCTATCGAGCAGTTTGAAAAACCTTTTTATGAATCATTTTTTTAAAAAAATGACCTGCCGCCCCTGAGCTTTATACAGAACTTTTTAGGCCAGGTAACTCTTTTTTTGTTTTTCCAATTTTGCAAACTTAAAAAAACAGAAAAATCTCTAAAAAAAGCTGATATTTAATGAAATTTTCCGAAAAACTACAATAGCCGAAGTGGTTTTTTTTCTCAAATTTCGAAATCACGTGGAACATTAGACATTAATTGCCAAGTTAAAAATCCTCATATTTTTCAAGTTTTTGAGTCTTCTTTTTTTGAGTTATAGATCATAACAAAATACCTTGCAAAAGCAAAGCAACAAATTGCGAAGTGTTTCCGCGGAGACCTCGGAGTCACTTTCGAGGACTTCAAGATCGGGACAGTTAGGCACACCGACTGCTTGGGCCGTCGGACCCAAGACTGCGACGGCGATCAGCACCGCCACCACTTGCCGCATTCTTCTCCGGCAATTATTCGGTCGAATCACTGAAACCGTGAGATTTCGGCCTTTTCTGGCTGCTTTCTGCGCTTCGATATTGGATTTTCAGCGCCCACTCGTATCAAAATTGGTTTTGGGCGAAGCGAATCGGAGTTAATGGTTTCACGAGCTATTGAAAAGTGTGAAAATGCAAGAGTACAAAGCAGTTCTGGTGTGTATTGGGAAAGCTTGTTGATTTCAAGAAAAAAATGAATATTGGTATAGAAAAAAATAGTGCTTGCAATAAATAAATAGAAATGAAGATGAAAAAAATATACTAAAAAAAGACAAAAGAATATAAAGCAAAGTGTATTTTTAATGACCTTCATCTGGATGAATTCATTCTTTAAGAAAATTCACAACCCAATTTTAAAACGTTTGTTTTATCTTCACTTTTAAATCCGTTATGGAACGATAATCACAGACAAGCATACTAATAGTCGGTTTGAGTAGAAAAAGGAGTGGTGCCAGTTCTGTGGGCGGAGCTCTAGATAAACGCCCTTGGGGTGTCCCTTGAAGGAAAGGTCGCGTCGTGTACGCTTAGCGCCTTTTTTGGAGTTTTCCTACAGTTTCCGGTTTCCTTTAGAACACACAACAGCGGTTAATGCTTCGGTTCGGCCCTATCAGTTTTGAAATGGTTTTCCTAATTGGCCAATTAAGGATAGAGTGAATGGCTTTCCAAAAAAATATTTTCTCTAGTATATACTTCAAAAAAGGTTTTAGCTCTTGTATACACCTACGATTCAATTTTGGGAGTGTGTAAAGGATTTTTAACCGGTTCCTATCCGCGAAAAAAGTTTCTTACAATGATGATGCGTGAATCCTACAGAAGAAACGATAACGGTGGGTGGCAAGAAAAATTCCTCGGAGAACTGTCTGTCTTGTTATTTTTCTCCCGTTTCCCCGACCTTTCAAACAGTTTCAGAAAAAAAATCTGTAAAGGTTGCAACAAAGGTCAGCGCTAGGGAGCAGTTAGAAATTGAAATTTGCGAGATGAGTCAGTTGGGCAAAAAAAAAACTTTGACTATTTGCTGTTGCATGAGAGTTTTTTGGAGCTATGTGGTATAAAATGTGGGACAATATGAACGTTTTTCTTTCTCATGGGAATTTGAGAGGAATACAGTAGGAGTAGTGAACTTTTGAATTTCTCCGTTGAGTATTGAATAAAAAGTTAAATTCACTTTTTGATAGGGAGAGATTTCCGGGAAAAAAAGAAATATAGGAAACCAAACAGAAAAGTAAGATGACGGAAGATTTGACGGCTTAAGTAATATTTGAAAGGTTAAAAAAACAAAATTTTAAAAAAATTCAATTTTCATAGAACGAATTCAGTATTATTCAAAATTCCATTTCAAGAGCTCAGTTCCGAACTTGAACTTGGTTCATGATTTTTCCATGAGAAATTGGGTGTCAAGAAAGGGTACAACTTAATAGATGTACAGAAAACAGCTGTGCTTGGGCAAATCGACGTGAGATTTCCGCGAAAGTGGAGAGAACCCAGAGGAAAAAAGGGAACTGTGGTGAAGACGATCGAGTTTTGGTGTCCATCTTCTTGTGCCCCGCGGCGATTTGCGAGAAGGCCGATTTTTCCATTCATTGTACCCAGACAGCGTCTTGTAAACGTACGACAAGTTTTTACAGAGTAGTTTGGATAGACTACAGTGTATATTTAATTGCAATAGCTCTGAATTTTAGAAACGAAATGACATGGGTGTAAGTTTTGAAAAACGCCATTTTTCCTTGAATCGTAGTAGATTCACGGAAGGCTTGAAATAATATTCGAAGGATAGTCTCAGATTGAAAAAGCGGTATAAAGAGCAAGAAGAATTAAGAAAAAAATTTTTTTCTAAATTCTGAACTTATAACGCTGATCAAAGTAAAAAAGTTTTAAAAAAGAATCTGAGAATTTTTTCATGGCTAATTAACGAGAACTAACACAAATCTGTTTCAAATTCAATTAAGAGAAAATAACAAGCGAGAATCAAACAGTGAAAGGGCCTTAAGAGACGATGAGGAAATGTTATTTTGATCGCAAAGAGGAAAATATCTCGACAAGCTTGCTTTCTTGATCCGCTGATTCACTACTGACTCACGGCAGCCGTTTTTTTTGTTCTCCTTTCGATTTCGTTTATGGCAAAATCGTCCGAGGATACAAAAAAGACGACATTATGGCGGTTCCTGCGCGACTTCTAGCGATTTTTTCCTCCTCGAGTGACTGCAGAATTGTCTTTTTCGACGTGACTTGATTCCCGATGTTTGGAATGGTTCTGCAGAAAGAGGCAAAGGCGTGGTTTCAAGAGTGCTTTACTGAGTGGGAGAAGCTTTCAGGCTGAATTCAAAGAATCTTATTGTAATAAAAATAAAAATTCTGACAAATTTCCAGGTACATCCCACCGCGAGCGGCAGCTGAAGTTGAAACCTGGGTTTGCGAGGATTTGAAGGAAGTCCGCGGGGAGTTGCGCAAGCAAAACTGTCTGCTGGATGTCCTCCACAACAAAGTTTGTTTTTGTTTCTCCTTGTTGCCAGCTTTCACCTTCCGCAAAAAGTGAGAGTTACTCATGTATTTAGCGTGAGATAATTCACGAGAACCGTCACTCCCTTCGAATTTTTTTTTTCTTTGAAGGAACACCCTGGGGAAGGCAAAAAATAAATTTACGAGGTGATTCTTCCCAACTAATCCGTTTTCTGGAGCCGCTTATGCTTTTTGCGGCGTCTGTTTGAGGTCAACTGAGCCATGAAGGAAAAATGGATGTTCTTAGAAAAAAGGAGACATTCATTGTTTGGAATCACTAAAAAACTTGGAATTATAAGTAAAGATGAACAGCTTTAAAAAAATCATATTTTCTCGTATAAGTTGAAGGCCTAAAAAAAGTCGAGCATATTTCTAAAAAAATTTTTATTTTGAGCTTTTTCGTTTTAGACTCAATATTTTTATATAGTTTCTTCATCATTTTCTTAAGACGAAGCACACTGTCGAGGAACGTAATTTATGTGAAGAGCTTATTCTGGAAGTAAGAAAGAATGACGAAAATGAATTCGAAAAGAACTTCTGCGAGCTCTATGTTATTTTTCTATACATGCTCTTCGGATCATAACATAACAAGAGAAGAAAAGGAAGCAGTAAACAAAGAACAAAAGACGGTTCCTGGACATCTGTTTGAGGTCAACTAAGCTCTGGAGAGAGAAAAGATAATGCTTTTTCGACAAAAAAAAACATTCAAAACTTCAAAAGAAACATTAAGCCGAGAGAGGCCCAAAAAATAATTTTGACCATCTTTTAATAATGGCTTTGACAAAACAAAAAATGCCAAAAAGAGAAAATGAAAAAAAGACAAACTGAAAGAAAAGTTTTTTGGAAAAACAGAATGACGAATTAGTTTCGAAATAGACGGTTTTGAAATATCTTTTTCCAACACTAAAAAGATTTGAATGAACAGAGAAACGGATCGTTGATCATGAAAGAAAGACTTAACAAAAGATTTTCCCTGAAGAATGTGGAAATTGATTAACTAGGCCACCAAGCGTGCAACGTCTTTTTTTTCGGACCGCTGATTTTCCTGGCCTGGTCGCCGCACTTATGAAAAAAGGCGATTACCGTTCCCGAACAAACTGCGCGGTAATTTGAAGAAGTTGAGCGAGAGATGAATCTGAGATGATAAGGGAGAGGTGGTTGGAAGTGTCGAAAGAGTGAGGCCGCCAGATTTCGATCAAATTTCTATGCCACGCCCACAATTTGTTGTGGCCGCTGTCCAGACCGCACCTTTGGTCAGATCTACGCGTAATTCTCAGAAAAGAGACCTCGGATTATACGATTTGCCACAAGAAAATGAGGAGATCTTTTTTGTGATTTTACGGAGAAGTTTTATGCGGAACAAACTTCCGATTGGGTTAGTTTTAAAAAAAACCTCCATTTTTTTAACGAAGAGAAGGGTTGGAAATCTTGATATTTTACATACTCTGGGGACTTATTGAAGGCCGTTTTCCTAGACTTCAATCTTAATTTTTTTTTTTTTAACAATCTCTCTTTGCTATAGCGATATGAAACTTTCAGAAATAGTCATTATCATACAAATGAGAAAAATAGTGGGAAAGAGACTTGATTGTGGCGATCCACGGCGACACCCGCCGCTGTCGTTACGCAATCACATCATTCAGACCGACAAAAACCGACTTCCCGTTGATTTGATGACTCTTTTCACACCACTTTTGAACTTGTTCCGTAGAATCTACGAAAAAAAAGGAAAAATAGTATTGGATCTAATTTGAATCAGTTTTCGTTGGCATATCGCCAACTTTTTTTCTTCCTTCTTTGCTGTGACATTGAAAATGAACGTCCTCGGCGGCCGTGATGCGTGAACTCATGATTTCTTTGCGGCCCTTTTGTTGGAAGATTCTAATCCTTGCGGAGAAACGAACAAATTTTTCGTTTCACCGGTGCCCATTGGATATAATTCTCCAAAACGATTCAAAATGGTGATTCTGGAAGCTTTCAGATCAGCGCGAGACATCAGAAACGGCTCCCCACGAGAAGTCTAGACGAGCAGCTATGGCAAGTTCAATGCGCCATCACTGTTCTGAAACGACGAGTAAAGGTGATTTGAATAAAGTAATATTCATCTTTCGAATCTATTGCCTTTTCAGCAGTTTCCTGAGCCTCCGCCGGTCGCCTCGGTCACTCAAGTGGACCCTTGCTGTGCTGAGATTTACGAGGAGAAGCAGTTGATGGCGACACAAGGAATGTTGAGGTAAAAGAGCTGAAAATTTCTCAAAACTGTTTTTTTTTTCAAACGGCTTCATTTTAATCATAAAATTTTTAGTTCAAAAAAAAGTTGTTGAAAAGTCATCATTGTTAACGTCACTCATACTCCATGAGATATTGAATCAAGTTCAAATTTTCATTTAAAAAAGTGCGAATAGCATATAGGCATATTTTTTAAAGTTTCAACAAAGTATGAAACGAAGTTCTGCCCCCGAGATTAGAAAAGTTCTTATGAAGTAGAAGTTTTTGAAAATTTCTTCATCAGGGAAGACCTTGTGGATGAACAGCGTCGGATCGCTCTGCTGTGCTGGAAACTTCGCGAGCTCGGCGTCGAATCTCCGAGGGTCTTCGGCATGGCGAGCCTCTGCAACTCGACCGACTCCGAAGAGGCCACGTCATCTTCGACTTCGGCTGACGTCGATGAGAACAGTCTTCTGAGTGCCGAGGAGCGTGAATGGAAGGAACGTTGTCGTCTCGAAGATGCCGCTCGTTCGGCCCTACTCGGCGAAATCGTTCGTCTTCGCAACGAGTGCGCAGTTCTTCGTGCAAAGATAGAGATGACGTCACAGGGAGTTTCTACCGTCAAGTCAGCTACGACTCCAACCAATCCCGCTGTTTTTGTTTCTAGATTTTAGTTCTGTCAATCATTCTGTATATGAAATGAGGTCTACAGAACAGGCTAATGGGTCTGAATTTTGAATAGTTTTAGCTTGAATGTTTCTCGTGAGATTAACTCTGTGATCAGTGCCTTGATCTTGTGTTAGCTCAGAATCTGTGCCTTATTCTTCGAACGTGACAAATTGAACTCTTTTTTCTGTTTCGGCTTGTTTCACTTCAAATATCCTGTCCTATTCAATCACTTTTGTTTCCTTAATTTTGATCTAGTCCCGGTTTTTAATAGGTGACTATGCATAACCATTTCATTGGGTAGCAGACACGAAAGAACTGTGCGAGTTTTATTTCAATTTTTTGAAATCAATCCGTAATCTCGAATCTGCTTGAACGTTTTAGCTATGGCATGGAATTTTTCCCTTTCTGTAATTTTATGTTTGATTCTGTGCTTTGCCGGCGCGGCCGGATCCATCCATGTGAATAAAATCTTTCTTTGTAATATTCAACTCTTTTTTTGAATGAACGGCTTGTTCCAAGGTTTTATTTTTGATTGGTTCTTTTATCCAGCTGAATTTAAAAAAAATGAATTCAGTTATGAGCGAGGATTTGTTCAAAAAGCCGAAGAAAAAAGTGCAAGTTCGAAAGAGAATTTTAGAAGATGAAGGAGAAGGTTGGTATTTTAGGGGATTGAAGGAGTTGTAGTAATTTTTCAGATGAGGGATCTCGGTTAGACGATATCAAAGAGCTGCAGAAGGCGCGTGAGAAGAAAAACGGCCTGACCGAACTCGAATGTGCCGTCGGCATTTCTAAAGTCTGTTTGTCAACTCAAAACTGAAAAATCAAGCAACGAAGTTGAAAAAATTTGGCGAGGATATATTTCTAGAAATTAAGTCGCAAATTTTTCTACTCTCGAAAAAAGGGCTTTGAGGGCGCACCACCGTAAAGAATTATGGAAAAAGAGTTGATCAAAACTTTTGTCCTTTTGACTGGAGAGATTTTATTGCCTGATTGGTAATGTATTCCAAATTAGGCAGCCGCTCTGGAGGACGGAATTCAAATGACAGGGGGTGGAATGACTATGACGCAAAAGAAAAAAGCGGCCATGGAGGCGGCGAGCATCGAAGCCGGGCTCAGGTTGAGCTTCTTCTGATGAATTCCCCAACAAACATTCATTTTTAAGGGAACAGTTCGAGAAAGAAACAATGTTACGCGATGAACACGAAGAGTTGCGGAAGTACATCGACGAAGGCATGAAGCAGGTCCGTGGCGACGGAAAAGCTCCGACGACGTCCAAGTCGGTTGCGCTCAGCTCCCTGACGCCTGAGGAAAGGGTAGGTCAAAGTGTCGTCAGAATATTATTCTTGTAGGCCTCTTGTAAGAAAAAAAAAACAGATACTAACCTAAACAACTTTGGTACATAAACGGTGTTTAAAAATTATAAGGAAACAACTGATATCCCTCAACGTCAGGACGTAGAAAGTATAAAAATGTCAAAAAAAAAATATCTTGGAAAATGAAGTTGGGTTTGCAGGAATCAGAGATGCTGCGACACGTGGCGAGCAAGCTGAAGAACCACCGGAGCGAGGCATCGACGGAACTCCTTTCTGAGCACATGTTGGCCGGAATTCCAGAGGTCGACCTCGGAATCAGCGCCCGCATCACCAACATCCTCGAGACGGAGAAGAAAAAGAAGTTCCTCATGGAGAAGGCGATCGCCGTGGCGGCCGGTCTGCCTCCGCCGGTTGAAGAGACCGATGAGGTTGGTTATTTCTCTCTTCTTATTATGAACAACTTTTTTTCCAGCCTCTCCAAAAGCGTCGACGTGGCTTCCAGCGACGATAGCGCTGCCACTCATTTTTTTCCCTGTTCATACTGTTTGTTATTTTTTTCTTCAAATTTCAGTTCCATTTGCAATAAAAATGTTCTCCTATTTTTCTTTAGTCTTTGAGTCTATATGAGTCTATAAATCTTACGCTTAACTATTTGGAGTCACTCGTATATCAGAGATAATTCCAGAAGTATCATCTAGGAAATGTTTAAAGTCAGAATACGGAATAAGGCCAGGTTTTAAAATTTTTGCTGATTGAACCTGATTTGGAACTTTGGACCTCCAAAAAAAATTACTCGGCAGTTTAGAAAAAAAAGTAAAAGTGAAAACTCATCTTTTTTTTCGATTTTAGTTCTAGTTTCTGGTTCGAAAAAGTCTCCTCCTAGCTTTTGGTCTTTTCTAGGATTCTCTAAGTGTTTCTGAGAGTCTGTTCAACTTTGCGGTAATGCGATCGGCTGAGTAGATGAGATGAGAAAGTCGGCAATCAGTGGTGGATCGGCGGCCCAATTCGACATTTCTCGGTGTTTGTCGCCTGTACTGTCGCCTTCCTTATCGGTGTTTGCGGTGGGCGTCGACGGCCTCCCGCGCTGCTCGATCTCTTCTTTCGGCGCCGTTCTTTCGGTTCAGACCCCCCCTTCCGACCCGACTTTCCACACTTTTTTCTCCGCTTCTCCTGCAAAAACTCGAGCATGGTGGGTCATTTCATTAGGGAAACACATTTGTCTAATTTTTTGTCTTATTATTCTTTGTTTTTCTCGAAAACTTACATAAAAAAAACTTTATTACTGATTATTTGACTTCGCTTTTGTAGCAATGTCTCATTCAGACTAGTATCGGAAAACTGTTTGTCGCTTTCGGATTTAGTTCACAAGTTCTCAAAAGATTGGAACCCTTTCTTTTAAATTTATTACATTTGTTTGTTTTCCTAGAACAATTTTGAACGGGGAAACTTTGCAGCAGAAATCAGTTCATAATGACTCTCCTTTAAAAAAAGTTCAAAATGTTCAAATTTTTCAGACCGAGTTCTTCTCTCAGAACCAGATCGATGGTAAGCATTAATTATTGTTTATTTTTTTCTTTTTTTCATCTCATGAATTTTTTTTATGAATTGCACATGTTTGCCGAATCTCTCCCAACGTCTTATTTCCTACATGAAGCGTTCTCATAAACTCTCTGTCTTTGAACATTGCTATTATTGTGACGAGAAACGTTGGTTTTTATTTCCTTTTAATAAATCACATGAGTGAACTAGGAATTCTTTTTCAATCCTTCAAAAATGAACCAGGAATTCTTTTTTAGGTAGAAAACTTTGTTATTAGACTGATCAATCGGACTTTTTCACCGAAAAAAATACTTTCATTCACATTCCATAATTATTTCAATGTCAGAGATCCGAGAATGTTTCAACGTGTACTGTCCCGACGGAAAAGTTGCCTCGGCGTCGCAGCTCCGTTGCGTTCTGCGGAGTCTCGGATATTCTCCCACCGCCGCCAAGACGGCCGAGTACTTCCGCAGGCATAAAAGTTTGCTATGTTTCGCAAATTTTTAGATAAGTTTTCTAAGAACTAAATTCCTTAGATGTTGAAAAATGAGCTCTGAGTGTTCGAAAAAAAAAATTCCATCACGTTTTTCATGTCAAAGAGTGTACAAATAAAAAAAAGATAATTTTCAATAAATATGAATTTGATCTTCTTTTCATAGAGCACATCAAGATTCCTTAGCTGAAAGTTTCAAGCTTTTTTTTTTCTTGGAGTTCTAGGTTTTCCAGCTGTACTTCATGAGTTAAACTCTCAAAATCCTGTTATCAACACGACTTTTTCAGAAACAAAAGCAATTGATTTCGCCACGTTTTTGGAAATCGCTAAAGAAGAGCAAAGCAGCGGAGATCCGCTCACCGAAATCATCAAAGCGTTGAAAGGGATCGACAGGTTAGCAGTACTTTTCTATCCTCCAGAAGAGCGCAGACAGGCCACGCCTTCTTGAGTACTAAGCTAGCCGTGAATAGACTTCATATAAAAAAATTTAGAGGCTTCGCTAGGCTGAGCTGCCTTGCTATTTCTGCAGAAATTATGTTTATACGTTTTGTAATTTTTTTTTCGTTCTGGTCATTAGGTTTTATCTTTTTTTTTCCAGAGAAGGAAGACGCTCGATGCCGTCCAGAGAACTGAGAGCCATCCTTTCCTCCGTTGGGGAACGACTCAGTCACCAGGAAATCGATTTTCTACTCTCTCAGGTAGGGTCCGCGAAGCAGTTTTTGAAACTCATCCCATAGCTTTGATTTTGGTATCGTCTTGAATCGAACGCTCCACATTAGCAAGCCCCTGAAAATCTCATTTTTAATATTCGAAAAACAAAAAAACATGGAGGGTCGTTGCTGAAAAGCTCAATTTTTGGAAAAAAAAAAGAAGTTTCCTGTTAGAGGGTTTTATGTTCCGTTTTGAGTGAAAATTCGCGTTCTACGTCATAAATCATGTCTTATCGCATTCTCCTTTTGTCCAAATACGCGCGCGAAAAAAGAAGAAACTAACAAATTTATTGAGAAAAAAAGTTCGCAGCAAGCGGTCCCTTCTCTCAGGTTTATAATTTGTCATTCACCAAGGGCATATTACAGTATAGCCCCCGCGACACGTTCGAACAAGCCCCCCACACTTATCCAATATAGCCCCCGGAACTATCCAGTATAACCCCCACACCGAAAAAGCACGCAACGATCACGCAGGACACGTGTCAGAGCTTCCATTTTTTTAAATTTATTTTTCTAATTTTTTTCGTATCATTCGTCGTTCTTGGTTGTTTCAAATGGTTTTTGTATTTTTCACATGTAAATTCGTGTTCTTTTTTTGTGAATTTAATATTTTTTTGTCATTTGTTTTTTTAGACCATGGAAGAAATTAGGTCGCTGACCGAGTTTCATGAGAAGTTCAAGTCAGACAAAGAAGTTTACGGGTACGTCTCGCCGAGATACGTACGAATATCATAAAATTATGGGGCTCTGACCACTTAGAAAAATTTAAGATGAACTTTATTAGTTTTCAATAAAGTAATTGTTCTGAGGAATAGAATTTTTTTGCTTTTTTTCTTTTCATGCACATTAATTAATAAATTACTTAGGAAAAATAGGCTTAGTTTTAAGGCTTCACACGGAGGCGGAGCGCGCATAGCGCGAAAGCCGACTGTGGCTCGCTTCGAAAAAAACTGAGCCACAGTGAACAATTCGTCAAATAAATAAAAATACTTGACATAGAGGGGGTCATTCTGAAATAGAGGGGGCCATTCTGAAAATGGGAGGGGGCCATTCTGAAATGGAGGGGGCCATTCTGAAATGAGAGGGGGTCATTCTGAAATGGGAGGGGGCTTGTTCTGAATGAGCTCTGGGGGGACTATTTCAAAGCCGTGCGGGGGGCAAATATGAAAGATTGCCTAGGCATTTTCAGAATCGCCCCCTGTTTTGTACTGTGGGGGGCCATTCTAGAATACATATTCACCCCCCGCGTTCGATTCTTCCCCCCACATGAAGTCCTCCTATTTTACCCCCCACAGATCGGAACTTGGCTTGGTGGGGGGCTTGTTGGAACGCGGGGGGCAAAAACAGTGTGCGGGGCGATTCTGGAATTTTCCCATTCACCAATAAATTAGATCTTCAGAATCAACCGTCATTGCAAAACAGACCTAATTGCAGGTCGAAGTCAACGGAATGGTCCCGCATCAGAAGCTCATCCAGTTTTTGGCGCGGTAAATTCTTGATCTGTACAGAAGCTTGTAAATATTATTTTTTTTGATAAAATACTTCCATTGAGAGTTTACAAAAAAAACTAATATCTATTTGTGTGCCGAGGGGAAGATGGCCATGCTGGAAAATATTGTGAAACAATGCGGCCAATGTAAAGGGGTGTGTAGAGGGCAAACAGGACGCCCTCGCTCTCGTGATCAGGTGGCCGAGTGGTTAAGGCGATGGACTGCTAATCCATTGGGGTTTCCCCGCGTGAGTTCGAATCTCATCCTGATCGAATTTCTTTTGTCAGTGTTAAAACTTTTTTTAATAAGTTTTTTTATTTGTATTTAATATTGTATAAAAAAATAATAAAGTTATGAAAAAAATGACTAGAGCACGAGAATTTTAGTTTTAATTTTTGATTCATGAAGCTTTTTTTCTGCTACATCTATTATCTCAGAAACAAAAATATTTACAGAGAGACGATCATGGAAACATTTACAGTAACTATTTCGATGACAAGCTAGAATAAATTAGCATATATTCAACTTCTAATATCTTAAAGTAAGGAAAGCTCTATCTTCTGAGACCAGAAAACCCAGAAAAAAGAAATGTTAGCAGTGCAATGATAATACATGAACCCTTGGAAAAGAGTTGAAAAAAAGAATCACATGTTCAAAGGGATGACAAATTTGCGAAGTTTTGCCCAAACTGGCTCTTCCAATGAGTCCAATTTGACACATCTGTCTTCGATGCACTTTCCTTGGAAACAGATGGGGTACTCCGAAAAGCCGGTGCAGTTTCCGCCGATTTTCACTTTGCTCATGCAGTAGGGCGGCTCCTCGACGTCTTCAGGAACGAAGCAGAACAAGTACCTGAAGATAGCAACTATGGCTGAAAAAGCGAGATATTCAGACTTTGAATCGCAGTTTCGATGCTCCCTGGAACAAGTCGGCCGCTCGGCGAACTCGTAAAGGTTGTCCGTGTAGGCGTTAGACAGGGCGTCCCGGTTTTTCATTGGCTGAAAACTTTTTTCACTTTGAATCATTATTATCATCATATTTCAAAATATTTATAATCGACACAACTTCAAAAAGGATGACCTGTCTGCGCTCTCTTTTCTCTCCCTGGGTAGGAAATTAAAAAAAAGTGATCACCAGAGTTTTACATGAAAATAGAACTCTAAAAGTCGGACATTTTCAAGTTTTATAACAAATTTACGCTTTCAAAATGTTTGAAGTCTTTTTTTTATCAACTAACAAGGCAACCTAAGACAATTCCGAACTGAAAGAGGAAAATAAAGTTGAAATTGAAAAAAAAAACAAGTTAAAAGGGCTATCAAGAAGCGATATCAAGAAGTCATGTCAAAGCTTCAATAATATTTCTAGTGTTGAGGCTCAAAAAACCTGTAAGAGCGGCATGTCGTTGTCGAAATTATGCCAGTTGGGAAAGCAGCGGTCGTCGCTGGGTGGGTACTCGGTTTCGCGTTGCTTTCGGTCCTGAAACAAAACGAGTCAAGCCAGCAGTTAATAGACTCAAAAGGGTCACCTGCATGTTCTGACGATATCTTTCAAAGATCCAGTCTACCATCGAGTGATGGTAGACGAAGACAATGTCGTTGGAAGAGGAAAACGATCGACTCATGTCCCCACCTGAAAGCAGTCTTTTATTGGGGTTTTCGGATGCATGTTTTGATTTTGATCATCAGTCAAGAACAAAATGAGGATAAAGGACTGTAAAGGACTGCAGGTCATCACAGAACGACTCACTGACAAAGAAGTGAACGTAGTCGTGCGAGTATTCGAGCATCCGCGCGTCCAAAGTGTGGTTCATCGGACAAGTCTGAAATGTGAGATTTTATTTTCTTTCAACTAGGAACATATGTGCTTTCAGAGTCAGGGCTTTGTGATAAGCTTGAACTATAGAAGTTTTAATCAAAAAATTGCAAAAATGTTTTCTTTAGTACTCCGTTTTTTAAAAATCACATTGGAATATGCCCGTCCACCGCGACTTGACAATTTTCGAGTGTCTGCGTCTCTCTGTTCCCTCACCAGCGAGGTCAGAGAAGCATGAAAAACAGCAATTCAACAGGAGAGGGCTCCCCGAGATACGAGGATGGCGCAGAGAAGTTCCGCCAAAACGAACTAATTCAGAGAAACCTAACCGAAAGGGGCATAGAAGCGCCGAGGATCATGTTGTAGTCGTGATTATTGACGAGCCAGTCAACTCTAGCGTTGTTCAGCATCTCGCCGCTGACGTCGTCGTCGAATTTCCGTTTAATTTGGGCGCGACCCTGTTCTCGACAATTCTTCTAGGCTTCGAACCCCTTTCCTCACCTCCATCGTCTCCCAGTTGTGGTATGGGCCGTTCTTGACTAATCCTTCTTCATCAACCTGAAAAAAACTTGTTGGAAAACGCAGTAAAAAGTTTGAAAAGGACCTCGCCGAGGAAAAGCTCAGAAAAAATGATAGAGTCCTTTGGAGAAGGCAGCATCGCATCGAGTGTCGAGTCCCAATACGGGATTCCGAAATCGGGGTCGGGCAGAAGAGTTCGCAGGACTAGTTCCAGCCTGGAAATGAGAAGTTTGAGATAAGTTTAGAATTCAAGAGATCACATGTCGAAAGCAAGAAAAAAAAAGTTTGAGCTCACCTATAAGGATAATAAAAAACCTAAACATGAGGAACGCAAAAAGAAAAGAAAAGAGAAGTTCTCGAAAAACCAAAAATTTGAAAAATGGATGATCCATTTAAAAAAATATTTTATGTGCCTTTGAGGCCGCGGTGAGCGTTTTATACTCAGCTTTTTGAAATTAAGATTCATTCAATGCTTTGGCCTTTTTTTCAAATCTGACCCGTGTTTTTAAAAACTCGAGCGAACTTTTTTTTGAATAGATTATATATGAGTTCAACGTTCTAGTCGCCCTCGTAATATTTGAAGATGAGAAAAAGCACCTTTTGAGGAACTCGCGATGCCACAGAACAAATGCCGGTCCGGAATGAACTCCGGAATATTTATGGACGCGGCCGAGACGGTTGTAGACACCGCTCGACTTCATCACATTCCAGGCACCCTCAATCCATTTTTTTAAAATCAATTTTTCATTTTTTTTTTTTCGAAGATAATAGGAAAAACCTCGATTTGTTTTCTGTGCTCGTCGCTTAAACTCCGAAGTTCCTGTCGATGAGCTTTTTTCAGTATTTTCCCGCTCGGAAGTCGGCACTCACCATCGATTATCTTACCTTGAATGAAAAGCTTGAAAATGGTTTCGAAAGCCAATAATTGGGAATTACCATCAAAATAGGGACAGACGCATTGACGGTTCATACAGGCAAGGTATTTGGCGTCGCGTGGAGTCCAGTCTGGCTTGACAAAGACATCGTCTTCCGGAACGAAGTGCTTTCCGAAGGCCGACGTCGCCTTTTCCGATTCTTCTATCTGAAAAGGTGACTTGGGTTTTAAAGAAATGAGAAACTCCACATTATGAGGTTTTTTCTCATGTATTTCGGGAGTCCGTTTTGGTCATCATTTTTAAACTGGATAGTTTCGAAAATTGGCTCAATCCCTCTTTCAGATAGATTGCTTTCATATTTTTCAAATTTTTTTTTCCAATCTCAATTCCGACCTTTTTGGCGCCGGATGAAACGCTAACATGGTTGCCTTTAAACTGGTTTCTCTGTCATTTATATGTCAAAAACTATAGTAAATGTATAATTATGAAGAAGCCGACCCGATCGTGGTCGTAGTGCATTTTGCGGAACCAGGGCTGGTAGAACTTCTCAACGTAAGTCCGATTGCCGACGCGGTACTCGGTGACGGTTAGAAAAGACGAGCAGAAGGGCAGAAAGAACGCCAAAATAAACTGGGAGAACTCCAAATGTTGGAGAGACGTCATTGATTCTGCAGGGAAAATTTTTTATTTTTTTTTTTGGATCAAGGATTCTATCAAAAAATGTGCAGGAAAATAGTTAAAATTGATAATTTTGAAAGATAGAGAAGGATCCGAGTTCAAGCTTCAGCGGAAAATCTTTATCGAATGAAGATATTTTAGAAGTTTAAAATAGCGAAAGCCGTTTAAAGTTGGGATCTCATGAGAAAAAAAACCCAAGCTAGAGAGAGTCGACTTTTTCAAAGGAATGAAATTTAGGAGAAGTAAAAAAAAAATCAAAAGCGGAAAAGTTTAGAATGTCAAAACAAGCTTTCAAAATTTATTGGAAACGTTCGAATAAACTTGCAGACTTTCAGAATTGAAAAAAGCAAAAGTAGTGAGGAGACAATGAAAAGCCGCGATTGACACGGGTATATCAAGTACCAGAAGCAGTTAACTTTCGCCTCTCCTATTATTATATACGTTTTCCGGTTTTGCGAGTGCACAAAAAATATCCAAGGGCGGTCCTCTTCTGTATGTTTATTGCTGTAAATGATGGGGTGATCTTCTTTTGACAGGGCAAATTTCAAAAGTTGTAGTTGTTGTTTTTTTCGAACTTTTGGTATCAGGGAAACAGTTTTTTTCCCGGAAACTCTGAAAATTAGTTTATCTGGGAAGTGGAAAAAAGAAGTTGGAGTGCTTTGAGGCCGATTTACGACAAAATAAAAATAAAAGAACTAACCGATTTTCGCTTCTATACAAAAATGTATAGACTCACAGAGAATAGTAAATTATTTCGAATCTTTTTTTTTATAAACTCATTTATCCAAAAGCGAAAAAAATCTTCAAAAGCTAAGAATAAGGAAAGGGAGATGAATTTTTTTTCCAATCATAGAACTTGAGAGCTCAGAAAAAGTTAATTTATTAAAATAAAGATTGAAATAAAAAGAAATAACATTCAGCAAAGTTTTTTAACGGCAAAAGGGAACATTAGTTCCACATTTCTCAAAATGAACAAATCGAAGAGGGAATTTAGGTACAATTATATTCGCTAAATTTTTTGCTGGGAACGCGTGATGATTTCGCCAAACGGCCGTTCTTTTTTCAGAATTCGGAAGGACTTTTCAGTGTTTTCAACCTGCCAAATCAAAAGTTCAAGAGTCAACATTTGGAGAAACGTTCAAATTTGAAAGAAGAAAGCTTTGAAAGAAAATTGGTCGTCTCTTTTACCTTTAACCTTTCGTAAACCGTTAAAATTATAAAAGCGGCTGGAAATACTTCGAAAAGGCGAGAAAAAGGAATAGATTGATTACCAGTCCAGAAAACTGAAATCAATGGGTCTGACAGTTATTTGTTGTGATAGGGTGGTCGAGAAGGAAAAAAAGAAGAAGAGTTCGAACATCCCAAATTCACAACAATTGACGACCTTTTTAGTTCCTTGATGGATGGAAATACTTTTTCAACGCTTTTTTTCAGATTTTTTTTCATTCTTACAGATTTCTTCGATTTCCATTTGACCATTACCCTACTATCTATTGATTTCTTGTTTTAGTTATTCTTCTTACCTAATTCTTGCTACCAAACAGAAGTTAGGCGAACTAATCATTTTTTTTTTCTCTCCAATAAATCAAACTGCACCATTACACTCTATTCAAACATTTGACGAACATTATAGAGGTCAACAAAAAAAAATGCTGAAACTTAAAAATAAGGAGCAAAAACCGGCACAAAAGAAGGGAATGATTCACGCGTTTTTCCTTGACTAGTCGACCGGGTTAGCAGCACTACATGTCTCCTTTTAATGTGAAAAAAAAAACTAATTTGAATAGAAATTTATTAAAAATAGGAAGCAAAATGATTTCATAGATAGAGAAAAAACTACACGAAATCTAAGAAATTACCCGCAATGAAGAAACGGTAATTATTATGACAAAGTACAAATCAAAATTCACAAAGGTCTTCAAAAGCGGTGGCGGAAGCTCCATGCACGCGACGTTCGTGTTTCCGTAGTTCAGCAGCCAAAGGATAGCTGTAAAAAGATCATTATTTTATTAGGTAAAAAGTCTAGAATTTTTCAATAGGAATGGGTATTCTTCGAACTCTAGGAGCCTCTTGAATACATCGTCTTTTCAGAAACTCTTCCTTCGACTGTAAAAAAGAGTATCAAAAAGTATTTTAAGACTATCTTGAAACCTTTCTCCAAAATTTTAGAACTATTTAGTCCTCACTCAGCAAATGAAATCTCGATCTTGGAAAAAAATTTCCACAGGTTTCAATAATATGCTATACAAATAACACTACCAAAAACTACCTTTTGTCGCACATTTTGCACCCAAAAGCAAGAGCGCTTTTGTGTATCCTGTTTTGATGTAAAGTCATTGCCGCGCGCGTCGTGAACCGCTTTCCGCATTCCTGGCAGCAGTATTGATGAGATGGCTAAAAGAATTTTCAATAATTTGGTAAAATTAGCAAAATCTCACCGATTCGACAGAAACGTATCGTACGGCGGTCGCTTCAGGATTTTGAGAATGTTCTGGATGTTTTCTGCCAATGTGACGCAACATCGACTGTCTACTTGCGCATTCCAGACCGCAAATTAAACACTTTTTGTCTGCAAAAAAAATCATGCTTAATTTTTTTTTTTTGATTTTTACTATTTATAAATTTAAAAAAGATAAAAAATTCTCACCGATATAGGAAACAATCTTAGGGCTGATAACTTTATTCGGTACGCTGATGGAGGAAGAGCAGCTGGCCACAGAAAATGCGGGACTCGCAGGAAGACTTGACGCCTTTTTCACCTGTCGCTTCTCGAGAATCTTCTCCTTGTTCTCACAATAGTACTGATGACGCTGAAACATAGAGCGTTTAGATTTTTTCGTCCGAATCAAACAAAGAATAGACTCAAACAAAGAGAGGAATGTTTACTTTGATCTGAGATTCTGGAAAACCGACGCCGCAAACTTTGCACTTTTCAAGATCTACTTTGTCCGAACCATTCACGGATTTCATGTGTTGCCTTGACATATGTGCTTCCAGTGACGTAGATGACCTAAAAATTGAAAATTGATTTTTAAACAAATAATTCATTTCCAACAACTTACTTAAAAATCATGGGACATTCCAGGCACCGCAGCTCAGTGGAACTTTGATGTTTGGCCAAATGCGCGGATAAATTTTTTTTGTACTTGTAGCTTTGGGGGCACATCGGACATTTGAAGTTCCTTTCCTGAAATGGGAACGAGATGAAACTTTAAGATTAAAAAATGCGTACCGATAAGTTGTGACTTGGCATGTGTTTCTGGAGCAGCTCTGCATTTTTGAAAGCTCGTGCACAAATCACACAAGTGAAAAGATTTGTCTATAATGTACATATATCCCACCTTAACTCTTTCATTCAAAACAAACCTTGTCAAACTTCACAGCATCTTTGGGGTTGACCTTTTCCAATTTATCCCGTTCACGATCAATGATAGCTTGTTGACGCACTTCCTAAACCATTTCTAGTTATTAGATTATTTTGTCATGATGCTGAAGACATTCAAAATTTAAAAAAAAAAACAACCTCGTAAATAGCATCAACTTCATGCTCATCGGCAAATCCGCTGTCAACCTTTTGCTTTATCTGTAATAAGTTGAGCTGATAGAAAAAAAATGATCAAAAATTACTCTATTAACCAAGTCCTCGCTGTAATCCTTCCTCTGATAAGGATACTTTACTTCAACTTCTTCTTCGTTCTCGCTATCCGAAGAGTCGATCGGTTCCGATTGTACGCTGAATTCAGATATAAAGTTAAAATCATCAACGCGGAAACTAACTATTCAGAGGTATCGTCATCGGACTCGAGTTCGGCGAACAAAGTATCACAAAAAGCTGTAGTATCCTGCAACAAAGAAAAAATGAAGTTAGAAGAGATAAGAGAAAAACTCAGACGGTCTGAGTAGGTTTAATTTGCCAAGTTTGAGGACCTATTGGTTTAATTACCCTCTTCAGAGGAGTTGGTTTAATTATCCCTCGTTTGAGGCTCGGTTTAATTTTATCAAGTTTGAGGTTTGGTTTAATTACGTCAAGTTTGAGGTAATGACAGGTAAAAAGCACATTTTGAATAGGAATACTAGTCTGGGGCGCACGTAAAGTCGTTAGCTCCGCGTAAACTGGTTCAGAAGCGATTCCTCCGTCGAGCATCTCATAGCTGGGTGGCTGTTCATATCCAGACGATGTCGGAAACTCAGAGTACGACATCAAAACAGAAGATGTCATGAAAAACGAAAACAATGGAAAAAGATGAGCAGCCGCAGGCGTTGTTTGTTCCGTAAATCGACCAACTGATTTTACAATGCGGTTGCGTCGCGTATCGGGTCTTGGCGCGCACATTAATTTTCTTGGACGATTGCCAAGTTCGCTTACGATTTACCTTCGCTCAAAAATGTGCACTTCCGGTCAAAAATCTCTTTTTTTCAATCTTTTTTTCCAAATCCCGTTTTTCATATTGGTCGAATGCTTTTTTGTTTGTCAACAAGTCAGCTAGCGCTGTTTGTTCATATTTAACAGCGCCTCTACATTTCCCGAGGAGTATCAAATTTGAATGTAATGATGAATAAGCCATTATGCCGTGTTCAATTTGATTCCGCGAAATGCAAATTGATCTCTGACTCTCCAAAATTTAGTGATCTTTTCTTTTCTCTAACGGGTATTTTGAATTTCGCGGAATCAAATTAAACACGGCATAAAATCGCTATCTCAGATTTTCTCAGCTATCATTATCGATATACATTTCTTTTCAACTCCGAAATTTTTTATCGCAAATCCAAAGAAAGCTATGCTGATATGATTTTTCAAATTTCTCACACTTGGTGGCGACAGAAAAACATTTGTATTGAATTTGATACTCAAATTTTTTTTCTTCAATGACAATCATTTCTCTTCTTTTTTTTTAAATTGGTTCGTGAGATGAGATGAAATTTACAAGTCTGGAAGTTAAAAGAGAGTTATAAGTGAAAGCTTAAACTTGCGCGTTCGACGAACTAATGAAGATCAAATATTATTCATTTACAGGGGTAAAACGTTTGGGAATATTAACCAGATGACGTCGATGCACTCACCACACGCGCCTGTCGAGAGACAGTGGGTCTTTGATGATTTAATAGATTACACAATGTAATAATTTTACTATTTTTTTTTTCGAGTTTTGATATTTTTTTTCAAGTAATTCATTTATCAATGAGAAGTTTTAAGCTCATTGTCACCTGGGAACGAGTCAGCCCGTTTCGAAGTTGGCGACAATGTCGTCTTGCGCATCGGAACGTTTGAAGACGATCGCGAACGCGATTCCTCCAATGTCCAGACAAAGACCATCATGGACTACAAAGGAGAGGTACCGAATATTTACGTAATGAAAAAAAAGACTACATGTTTAAGGTGCAAGAACTGCGTGGGAGGATCCTGACAGCCTACAAAGATCTCGTCGCTTTCCGTTGTTACAATGAAAAGACAGGCGAAACCGTCAGGATCATCGACTTGAGCACAAGGAATCGACATCAGTTGAAGGTTTGAGAGCGAAGAATTCATGCAGAAATGGTCTGGTTTGAAGGATCTGGAGCATCGTCCAGTGGACATGGCCTTTGCTCAGAATTCGCCTTTGCTAGCCATTCTCGACGCCGAATCGAGTCTCTACATCTATAAGATTGGAGAAGGCTTCAATGTGTGAGTTTTCAGCATTCAAAAGAAATTATTGCTTTTACCTCATCAAAAATATTTTGAAACTTCATCGACCCTTGAAATATAAGCTCGAGCCAGCGGTCCTTAGGAAAAGTTTTTTTTTCTTCTTTTTCGATAAAGAAATTAATTGATGCTTTAAATTTTGAGATTTTTCCGAAAAGGCGCAAAAAAGATTTTTATTAAAATTGTTAAACTTATTTTTCAAGAATACTCGAAGTGAAGAAGCTATAGATGAGTGTTCTTTAAGAATGTTTTTAAAGAAAAATGAAGATTATGGTATTCAACGCCAGATTTGGAACTTTTTGACTTGAAGACCTCATTCAATTTTTCTAAAAATATTCCAATATTCAGCGAAATATCTTGGTTACAAAAAAATGACGTTAAAGGCTGATTTTTTTCTGGATACATTTTTTTGTTGAAGATTAATGTTTGGCTTTATTCTCGTTTCTCATGTTATTATTTTTTGTTCCATATAAAGCTTTTTATCGAACTTTATAAGCTTGTCAGCCTTATTTCGCTCACTGTCCTTCAAAATTTCAAATTGGAAGAATTTCAGTGAGCGTTTTCTGAGCGTGACGAACTGGCCTTCGAGGTCGACGCGAGACGCTACTGAACGTCTCCGTATCACCTGGTGTCCGTATGTCCCAGACGCTTCTGACGATGATAACCAAGACGAGTGGCATATGTTGGCCGTATATTCCGTTTGCCATACTTCACTTCCTCAATTTATCGTTTTAATAAGGGCCGTCACGTGAGTATTCTGTCGCTGACTTTGCTCAAGGAGTCGTCGCCCGATGGAGAAATCGACTTCGATCAGGCCAAGAACGTCGCGGACGCCGTCTATTCAGTTACCGTGGACGAAGTATTTTCAATTCTGAATCGATAGAACGAAATGAATGGACGTTAAGGACAATGATCACGACGTCTACGTGAAAGGCGTCTACATATCGCCCGATGCGACGGCCGTCGCCATCATCAAGTCTTCCGGACTGGTCTCGTTCTACGTGATGGACGACGACGGCTTGAAGTTCGCTCACAACTGGGATCCCAAGTTCGGAAGCCCCGTCACCGACATTGTCTTCTTGGACGATCTGCGGCCTGAGCGCAACGAGTAGGTTTTTGAAAGAACTTTTAAATAATCTTTGAAGAACTATTTTCACACCTGGAAAATGAAATGTTCTGAAATATGTAGTCGAGGGTCATTTCGGAACAAACTTTTGATGATTAATCTTCCCAACTTCACAACTTCGATTTTATCGTTTTATTTCTTTTTCGTATCTCATTTTTTTAAACATCTTTTCTTTTAACGAAGGAATTACTGGGTTGAGCTCCTTCTTCTTAACTTTGACTTTCTCCTCATTTTGCTGCTTAAAATTGTGTTTACAGTCTCCCGTTCTGGGGAACTTGTCTGGCGATTGCCGACGGCGGAAAGAAAGTCGCTCTGTACGAATGTCAGACCTGGAAGTGCCTGGGCCGGATTCGTTTCGAAGTTGCGTCGGACAACACAGAGTTTGCGCCGTATTTCGACGTCTCCACACGATTCGTCCATTTTTTGGATGTTGATCGATCGGTGAGAACTTTGGAAGTTGCAAGTTTGCCGAAAAGAACTATTATTCATGTGATATTTTGATTAAGAGGTTTTTATATTCTAACAATAGGTCTTCTCAGTTTGTCTTTTTCTGTTTTCTCCGCTCTTTCGATGATAAAACTCATAACTTCGGTAATCAAGTTATCGAATGCTACTAAATAGCTTTGCATATTGATTTTAACGCAGGCGTTCAGTTCATCACTTTTTCCCCACAGGACTTTTTTCTTTTATTCCTACCTCAAGAAACTATCAAGCTATCCTTCTTACTCGATCCTACATCAAATTTAAAAAAAAAACGAGAAGTAGATGAACATAGAAGTATATTTTCCAACTATTGATCTGAAGTTTGTTCTGAAATATCCATTATTATGGAAAAGTTTGTTTGAGAATTTTTGCTGGATGTGTGGAGGTTTGCCAATAAATTTAATGGAACTCATAGGGTCGATCAAAATTGAGCGAATTCTCTGTAGAAAATATTGGAAAGGTAATTTTTACTTGCAGAGCATTTATTCGATTGAACTGGCGACGGTGGATGGTCTGCCCAGATTCGCGGGAGTCACTCAGACGTCATTCTTCCGTTCGGTCTACGCTTTTGCTCCCCTCAACAGCTCGACCTTCGACAACGCCGGTAGCTGCCTCCAGCTGAACGACCCGTAGCTGAACAACGTTTTTAGACCAGTCGTTCGACGACATGTTCGGCAACGAGTCTGAGGGCAAGGAGGCGCGCTCGTCGTTGTGCGCATTGACATCTCGAAGCCTCGTCGAGATGCAGATTCAACTGGAGGTCCACGACGCTCCCTCTGGGAAAAACGAGAAAATCGGCGGCTCCGTCCTCTCTCCCAACGTTTTCGACGTTGGAAATGCTAGGTAATCCACCAAACCTTGTAAATATCGTGTTGTACATCTTTTTCAAGCTGAATCGCGATTATATGATAGGAATGAGCAGAAACTTCCAAAACGTTTTTTTTTCTAATAATTTCAGTATCTTATAGTTTCATTTTATTTTTCATTCGGGAACTTTTTTTCTCGCAGTTCTGACTAAATGAAAAAATACACAAACATTTTCAGAAATTCAGTTCTATTATTCTTTTTCTCTGTTTGTTTGAAGGCGTCCTTTTTTTGTAGATCTGCGGGGCCAAGCGAGTTGTTCAAATCGACTCGAAATGTCAAAAATACTCGCAGCGATTCGCCTTTGATCCAAGAACAGAACAACGCCGAGCTGGAGAAAAAAGTTGAAATTTCTTTTTTTAAACATATAATTTCGGCTTTTTTTTTAGCTCGATCTCGTTCTGGAACGTCTAGATCTTTTGGAAAATGCGAACAGTCGGGGCAACGACTCGAGCGATCAGATTGTTACGATGCTCAACAATTTGGGTAAGAGTTTGGATCATGTAGTTTCTTTGAGAGCCTCTTTTAGCTGAAGAGGGTCGCCAACGCGAAGATCTACTGTTGTCGACGATCGGCCGGACGATGGAGAATTTACGAACTGATCTGATGACGTCACTCGACAGAGGCCTCACCGAAAACCGCCGTCACGTCGAAGCTTCCATGGTTGCCATCCATCAGGTTCGGCATTTGTCCATTTTAATAGAAAAATATCATTTGAAGTTTTTATGAAATATACTTTGATCAAATTTTGTATTAGAAACCCTATTTTTTTTCCTTTCTTGGTTTTATTGATCTTTTAAGAGAAAACTTTCACGTGCTAAATCATAGCTCCAATAAGAGATTATGGGTTTTTTTTCCTTCAAACTTCAACACATTTTTCTCAGACACCTGAAAAACTGGTAGATAAAAGAAGAAAGTTTTCATTCCAGAAGAACTTCGAACTGCAGTCGAAGGTCCTTGGCGGCCAGTTCAAGCAAGCTTTCGCCGAAACCGTAGTCCCGAGCTTGGAAAGAACCTGCACCCAACTGTTTGACCGCCTCAACGATTCTTTCCAGAACGGCCTCAATGAAGTTACTTTTCTATCTGAATTCTTTGTTATTCTACCGTCACAGTTCGCGTATAGAAAGCAAATAAGATTTATTTCTTGCAGTACCTGAAAAGCATGAAGTTGGCCTTGCAAAACGCGGCTCTGACACTAAATTCCGTCAATCCGCCGCCCTCGGTCGCCATCGCCAATGAACGCTTCGCCATCATGCAACTCGTCAATACCAACCCTGCTCTTGCCTTTGAAACGGTAAACGAATGGAAGAAATGGAAATCATTTCATGCTTATCGAATTTGAAGAAAAGGTTGTAGGAAAGTACTAAAAGAGAGTTTTCGCTGCGTTCTAGTCGACTTTTGTATGAAGTTTCTTTTAAGTGCTATCATATTCCGCCAAGTTCTTCAATTATTTATTCTGGTTTTTTTTTGTATTTACTTTTCATGCAGTTTCTCAAAGATCCTTTCTAGAGCTTGTGAAGGAGCATACGAGATTCAGAAAGAACTATCTAGGCGAAAAGCCGTTTTCAATATTTCAATATAATTGAGATTGGTGACCCAAGACTCATGCGCTTTGTAGGCAGGACGCGTAGCGTGTGCGTACGCGGTTCTTGGCACGTTCAATTCGACCGCCAGCGACTATTTGGAAAGCCCGTTTTTCGTTTTTCGTTTTTCATTCCTTTTTCAATTTTTTATTGATTATGTTCATGTGTGCATCAAAAAATAGTAGAACACGAAAATTGCCGAGCTCTTTAAATAGTCGGCGACGAACAGACGCCAAGAACCGCGTACGCACACGCTACGCGTCCCGCTTCTTGCCCCGCCTGCCTCACTTTTCAAGTCGGGAAACATTGACTATACAGAGCCGAATTTTTTTTCCAAAACAAGTTCTTTTTTTTTTCATCCAAGCGAGAAGTTTACTATTAATTTTTCACTTCAACGATAATTTCCCCTTACGGGAACCTGAATGCAAAATGATGTTAAAATGAAGTTTGGTTTTGAGGCTCTGAACAAAGGAGATCCGACGCTGCTGGAATTTGTGTGCAGCCACGTGAACCCGGACGCTTTGTTCGCGCAGCCGAACTGCATGAGTCAGCCGGTTCTCGTCTCCCTGCTCCAGCAGCTCACGATCACCCTCAGTCATGAGCGAGACCTCAAATACAGGTTAGCTCGAAGAAGATGTTCGAGATATAGAACTACAACAATCGGTTATAATTAAAAAGGAAAAGCCTTTCAAAAAAAAATCTATTTTATTTTTCATGAGAGGTTCTCCAATTTTTCCAAAAACAACGTATGCTTGAACGTACAAGTTTTTCAGATACATTGAACATATTCTGGGGGCCATCCAGCCCACGGATGCAGATACTTCCTCCGTCGTTCCCAATGTTTTATCCCAGCTTTTGGCTTCCCTCAAAGGTATTTTTCGATTTCTTCCTTCCCATTTTACTTTGCAAAAGAGCCTTTTCCAAGATATTCTTTGCATTATATTAATCAGAGCGAGCTAATTTTTTTTTTGTTGATCACTTATAGATCTCATTTGTAGGTCTTTTTGATCCAAGTTCGTGTTATTTCATAGTTTTTCTTCTCGATTTTCCTCTTCGGCGGGTCCTTTGATTTCTGATTGATTGAAAGTGACAAGTTTGGTTTGGTTTGCGAAGAATGGATGAAAAATGAACTTGAATCTGTTTCGGGCCACTTTGGACTAATTTGGTTTTTTAGTTGTTTTCTACGTAAAAGGGATCTAAAAAGCCAAAAATTAGGAAAAGTTTCACATGCGCAATTTCGCTAAAAGATTCTCTTTGAAAAACAATTATATATAATATGTCAGCTTTTGATTCTAAATGAAGATAGGTAAGTGGAGACCTGAAGAGTTTTTTTCCGTCATCGAATGTAGTTTTGGTTGCACTATCTTTTGTTTAGAAAATTTATTAACCAACTTTTACGATCAACATTCTAATGAATTGAAAAGTTGAATTCTTATCAGAGTTATTATTTTTTTCAGAAATCGCGAGCCGCACTACCGACTCGATGGTTTTGCGGCAAACGCGCCTGATTTATCAGTTGGCGCAGAGCATCGGATTCCAATCGCCTCTTCCGACTCATATTAGTTGGTTTTTTAGAACCATTTCCTTTCCACTGTTAGAAAAAAATTGTTTTATTAGTTATATTGAATTTTATCGGAATTACGAGACAGGTCAAGTTATTCGAAAAAAATCTCATAAAAGAAGAGTGCTCTATTTTTGTTTGCTTCTACCGAATTTAGTGGTGGGAATCTCAAAAAATTTCCACATGCCTCTTTATTCCAGCTTCTCTACCGCCAGACACCCACAACATCATCTGAAGTGATTCTTCTGGCGGGTCCGATCTTCGGCGGTTTCCGAAATCGAAGACATGACAAATGTATCATACTCATTTCTCCTTGCTCCTTCATATTAAAACAAAAATTCACAAAAATACGTATAACAGCCAAATTCGTGTGCTTTTTATCTTCTTATTGTAGAATGTTCCCAAAGTTGCCAAAACAAAAATTGAAAAAAGCACAAAAAATTGCGATCATTCACTTTATCATTCTTCTCCCTTTTTCCCTGTTTTTGCTCCGCACTTGATTAGACGTGTAGTTTCTAAAGTTTCACTCACTTTTTGCCTGTATTTTTATTAGTTGCTCATTTTTCATGAAGAACTCGATGCGCTCACCACTGATCAGCACATATTTTTTTCCTTGTTTTCAGTAACGCTTCTCATTTTCCTGTTTTAATTTTGTTTTGATCTTTAAGTTTTCAATTAGGCATTATTTTTTGAGATTTTATGTATGTTCATGATAATTTTCGGTGAAGTTAGCTATTTTGTGAGTCCGTACATAGAATTTTCTCCAAGAAAAACCTTGTTTAGGCTGCCGATTTTCCTATTTTCTTGTATTCGATTCCTCAGAGGAAACTTGCCCATTTTGGGCCCTAACTCTAATTTTTCCGACTTTCTCCATTGTATAACATGCGCTTAGGCTTTGTATTTTGCTGATTGCCAATTATTTATACATCTATGAAATTTTTTTAATTTTCCGCTGACTAATCTAGTTTCTTTATAATTATTTTTCTACGTGTCGCTTATAATGTCGGTGTTTCTTCTTCGCCCGAGTTACCAAATTTAGAATGAGTACTTTTAAGCCGGTTAACTTCAAATATTTCTCGTTCCATATTTTTAATTCAAGCACTTTTTGTAATCGTAAGATAAATAAAAATTTTAAAAAGTAATAGCTATGAAAGAATCTTGTTCAAGTTTGTTTAATCATTGGAATTATTGAATATATTGCATATTTATAGTCCTTTTTTTTCGCGGCTCGAATGGGCGGGGCGTAAATGTTAATGTTACTTATTTTTTCTCTTTCTATAGGCGTCAGATTCCCTCTCGATTCTCTACGTGCTTTCCAAAAATTCATTAGCGACCGCGACGCGTGTGTGGGCCGACGCGGCGCGGCTCTCCCTTAAGCAGGCCACCAAACAAGGCGCAGGTCCGTCGCGACTACACCTATTTCGGTGTTGTGTGCTCATTCTCGTGTTGCCTCCGTCCATCCGCCGCTTCTCCTTTCTTTTCCGTTCCGCTCCATTATCTTTCCAGCCCCTCGACTTACCTTTGTAATTCTCGCCTCTCGTTCCCGACTTCCTGCTATTATTATATGCATACGGAAAGATCAAACTGTACCAATTCGAAGGTTCTCCTCGGATTTTTTTTCTGGGATTTTTGCATCTGTAGTCATATAATTCAGCTTAGTCGGATAGGAACGACAGAAATTGAATTATTTTGAAATTTCATCGATTTCGGAACAACGTGAAATCGGGTGCTTAATGTTCTTTAGTTTACTCCATTCCTTGCTGGCTTGGTCAAAAAATACCGACAAAAGCCTTTTTAAAGTCTCAAGCAAAAGGTGAATGATCTATCAATTGAACAAAATTTTTAGAGATTTTTTTCTCCCCTCTTTGAATCAAATTCCACTTTTTTTTCGTTTTCGTTGCGGTACACCACAAAAAATTTTTTTTCACTTTTTTTGTTTCATGTGAAGCTCTTCATTGGAAATAAAGAGAAACGCCGAAAAGTACTCAAGGTAAAAGGTACGATACTTTCATTAGAATTTTGAAAACAACCTTCAAAAATCCTTTTTTTCTTGCCAAAGTTTAAGAATTTCAACACAATTTTTTTGTTTCTTATTTTTTTCTTTTATCTTCAATCGAAAAAAAGGTTCTTTTAAATCTTCGTCACGACTACAAACAGTCTGACTCGTCTGCTTTTGCCGTCTTAGGGAATTATTTTTCATTTTTTTCTACGATTGCTGCGATGATGGGCAAGAGAGGGCAGACAAATCAGACATTTTCAAAAAAAAAAAAATCGAAAATCCATCGGCTAGCAATAAAATATCTTATTGAAAAAAAAAACTAGGATAATTCGTGCATCTGTGAGCCCAGAAATGCGAAGCCAAATTGCTCGGCGCAATTACCCGACTCCGATATATGTGACAAATGGCTGCGTGACATTATTCCAGCTTCTTCTGCCCTTCCTGACCCTTTTTCTGGCGTCTTCCATCGATATTCCTCGATTCCACCACTTTGTTTCGCTCCTTTTTTGGGTCACTGCTGTAACCGATTTTAAGAACGATAAAGTGAATACCAGTTACGGTTAAAGACGCGTAAATTTCTCCAATCGGGCGTTTTTTTTCTAGTTTTTCAGAAGGGAGAAGAAGGCCTTTTTGTGCACTTATTTGGCTTTTTTTATGTTTTCATGTTGTTCCAATTTTTTTCTTTTTTGAAATAGGGATGAATAAAAATATTGGAAGTTTCCTAAAAAAAATTAGAATCTAATTTATCTCAGAAATTCTTACATTGTTATTGGTTTTACACCAATATTTCAACTCGCCATAATTCCAATAAAAAAATTATAAAGGATGGAGAAAAAAACAAAATAATTGAGTACGGATCACCACAAAAAAACCGAAAGTTCCGAAAAATTCAAGTGTCTGAAAAAAACTGAGTAATCCATAAATTTTGGGAAAAATTTTTGAAATTTTATTGAAGGTTTTAAAAAAATTTTTTTGGAGATTTCAGAATGAACGTGAAAGTTCAATTCATACTGGTCTCATTCAGCAGTCCAAGTTGAAACTTTTTTTACGATGAGAAAAAGTTTTTTTCTCATTGAATTTATAAAGTAAAAAAATGTTTATAACGAATAATATAAAATTTTCTCGAATCATTCAAAGATATAAAACTTTTTTGAACCAAAAACGTTGTTTATGATCCGATGCGAAGCCAACAGATCAAGTGGAAAAACACTCATCGAGCCGCCGATTGGCTTGGCCAGATTAGTAGATTGAACTGGAACACGGCGTCGAGGAAGCGAAAAAAAAAGAACGCTTTGCCCCCTGCGGCGGCTTTTGCGCTCTCTCGCCACTCCCGATTCCGTCTTTTCTGTCTCTTCAGCCAAAACAGTTCAGTTCGCACGGTTTTGTTCGCGTTCCCCATTTCGCAGCCGCCGCGGCTCAGCTGCTCCAGCTGCCTCCTTCTCTTTTATGCCCTCTTTTTTTATTCCGCGACTCCGGTTCTCCTTAATTTTGTCTTTTCCCCCGCTAGCGTCTTAGGTTTAAACCTTTTCATAAGCCTCATCGTCGTAAATTATTCGAACACGATTAGAACTTGAACAAATTCAGTTTTTTCTTGAGGAGAAAATTCACACGCATTTCGAAATTACCTCATTCTTAACTTTCTTTTAAAAGTGATTATGCAAATACCTACCTATTGACCTACGAGGTATAAAACAAAAGTGAGAATGTCTCATACATTTCTTTTATGAATAAAAAAAATTGGCTTTATCTTAAAATTTGTCTTGTGTTTTTAGTAAAAAAGAAAAATAGGGGTTCCACATTATTCATTCATTCTTTTCTTTCGTTTACCTGCTACCTGCTTATTATTCGAAAAGAACTGCATGGTTTATTACCTTTCTCACTACCAAACTGGTAGAAGCTTCCGGCTTTTACTTGCATTGAAAGAGGAAATTGGATAGGTCGGAACCTCTCTCGCATATGTAATTTTGTTAATCGGATTAGACCCGCCGGCGATTCTGCTCGGAATTGACAGGACGCAATTCGAAATGCCCTTGTTCTTCTTTGTATTCAAATTGGATTGCTTCAATCTTCATAGTTCGTTCAACGCTGGCTTCAGTATTCAAACAAGTACACGTACACGATGATTCAGACGTTTTTGTATCAATTTTTCTAGTTCTCAAATAATTTCACTTTTTCATCGATTTCACTAGAAGTAATCCGAAGTTTCTTCAGCTTATGTCTTCAGAAAAGCCCTACTTGCTTCGAATTCAATTATTTGTTTGGCTAATGTAAGCTGGCCGGAGGATATTTGCATTTTTCGATTTCCGGTCAAGAATTTTTGGGAATGTTTGGAGAGAAGTTTATTGGGATTGTGGCGAGAGGCCAACTTTTGCGGCCAGCGAGAACATTTTAACGAGCGCCGTGACTCACTCCGTTCTTCTCACGCCTTTTTCTTTTCTATTCATCTTTTTTATTTTCGAAAGAAAATATTTTGTTTTGCGATTTTCTCAATCACATGCATTAGGCTTTGATTCGATTATTATTGGTTTCTTGTCCGATTATTATTGGTTTCAAGTTTTCAAAAAGTTCACATATCTTCCAAGTAGTGACGCTAAGAATAAACGATTGCAACAAAAAAAAAAATCAAAATGATGTTGGTTAAGTTTCAACAAGCTTTTTGAATGTAGTATTCGTCATAATATGGATCGCAATTTTGAGAAGCTCAGAGAAGAAATTTCAGCAACGTCAAATGTGTCATTGGGATAAGTCTGTTTTTCAGTGACCATCTCCCTAAAAATAAAGATCTTTTTTCTTTTTGGCTTTTTCTCCAACGCAAAACGAGCGAAATCGATCATTGAATTCGATTCGTTCAGCCTTTCTGTGTGTCTGTGTGCTGCGTTGAGATATATATTTGCGTTCGAAATTTTTTGACACCCACAATTCTCCCTCCCACTCTCCGTCGGCCGGCTCACGCTTCTTTATAACAGCTGCTTGTCAAATATTGTACTTTACTGACTGAAGAATCAATTTTGTGATGCATAAATAACTATTCGGTTAAAAATGGCAAAATTCTCTGCCAGAATTGCGCACGTTTCACTCTGTTTTTTTTGTTGCCTTTTAGTGCGTAACTTGGACCTGCTCCGTGCAATTTCGAGGTATGGAATAAAAACCAGCAAAATTTCGAACGGCGGCTTTTTAAAAATTTTCATATCATTAGGGTTTCCGACTGCGAAGGTTCCGACTAATTCTTTTTCGACTTTTTTCGTTTCGATAAACTCTTCGTATTGAATCTTCCTACATAAAATATGTATTTGATTCACGCCATTTTTTCGCCATTCTGGCAGAGTAAGAAGGATGAATTTGGGAGACATTCCATTATAGTTTGTTCAAATTTTCAATTTCAAGTCACTCCCCAAACTCAAAATTTATCGTAGATCAAGCCAATCAGAGAGCGAGCCATCCACAGACCGTTGTTGGAGGCGGAGTTTGCTGCTTGACAATCAAAATATGAACAGAGAATAATTAGTCAACCGACTAGATTGACCTTGCGGATTTTCAATTTTTTTTTTCAATTTTCGATCAGAGTGTCCTTGTGGAAGGAAACGTTCCCGTACGCCTGCATGAACTTGCCATGAGTAATTCATTGATTCTCACACCCTCGTTTCGCAAGTTTCCTCGCGCTTCCTTTTACCAATTATTCTCTTGATCCTCTTATTTCTCGACGTTCAAATCAGAAAAAAATATTTTGAACATATGATTTTATGAACATACATTTTTCAAAAAAATTTTTGTTTCCGGATCTCGAATTTGCGAATGATATGTGCTCCATCGCTAAATGTCGGAAAGCAATTTTTTTCTCAAATTTTTCAATTTTTTTAATTTTTGACAAGAAGATATTGAAAAATAAAAATTTTCTTTCGACTTTTCATTTTTACTTTTTAAAAAGTTTCGTTTTCAATATTTCCAATTGAGGCTAAAATCTGTTTTTTTAATTTCATGAGCTTTTTTTCCTGCAAAAGTCAATTTCCATCAATTTTGGAGATGCCTTTGATAGTGTTTAGATGCAAATTACATAGTAGATAAGAACACAAAGGAATCGTTATCGGCACGCGAATTACGTTTTTTTTTTACTTTTTTTCGTCAACGTTGCTTGAAATTTATTAATTATTTTTCCTTAAAATCTCTAATTTATCAGACACTGCTTCCTATGATTGACCGTTTTGTTTCATTTTCTTATCATTTATTGGTTTTCACTCGCGCTTCCGTGCTTTTACTCTCTTTTTTTTTCATTTCAATTTTTTTCAGGTTGTTCAGGGAAAAACGTTGGATGTGATAATCCGGGATCTTTTTATAAAACTTACGAGTACTTCATTAGCCTTCTATATTTGTGTCATATTTGCCATGTCCCATTCTGGGGAGGTTTGTTTTTTTTTTTGTTTGTTTTGAGTTTCATTATTTTGAAAAAGAAAGTTTTTTTTGCAGACGGAGATTCTGTCGAAAGGCAACGTGAAAGACATTGTAAATCGATTGTCCCGTGATATGACTAATCGAGCGCCTTTCAGCCTCCACGAGCCCAGAAAAGGTTTGCTCTGTTCTGCTTTTCAAGTTAGCGATATTCAGATGTTTGATTGATTAGACAACAAATATTATATACTTCGTATTTCAGCGATGCCTTTATTACTCGTGGGAACTTTTGCCTACACTGCCCAGCAGCCCGATGAACTCTCTTTCGCCGTCGGCGAAACTATTGAGGTTTTTTTTTTTGAAAGTTTCTCTCGAAATTCTTCTGAGTATTTTGCTCTTTGTCCAAAAAGGTAGTTTCAGTTCTTGGAAGATATCGAAGACGGATGGAGCAGAGGCAGACTCAAGTCGACTGGACAAGTTGGCATGTACCCGACGAATTTCGTGGCTCCTAAAGGTATTTTTGTTCATTTATTTTCCATTTTGTTTTTGTTCTTTGTTCGATCTTGAAAAATTATTATTGAGCTTTCTTTTTAGTCAGCTTTTGTTGTTCTGTTCTAAAAAAATCGGTCCAGAAAGTTTTTTTACTTGAATATTCTTCTATTTTCACACAAGGTTTTTCTTTGGATCTATGAGGGTATTATTTTTGTAAATTTTTGAAATTTTTGCTTGATTTTCAGTTACTATCCATGGATTTTTTTCCGTGTCTAACTTTCATTTTGAAGGGCGTTTTTTGCAAGAGACTTGAATTAATATACTTATTTTGTGATTGAAATAAATATAGTTTTTAAATGTAGTTAAGCGAAATACAAAACGAAAGTTTTTTCCAGTTCCCACGAATGCACCAACGTCTCGTCCAAAGGCCGACGTTGTTCTGCGAAGTGCAGAACCTCGGGCGAACGATCGCACGCCTTCAGTCGTCGGAGAAGCGGCGCCGACTTCTACCTCCGCCGCCGCAACCTCGCATTTCGAACCCAGCGTCGAGGCTAACCCCAAGACAAAAGGTATGAGAGGTTATCTTAATATCAAGGGATACGATCGAGTCACTCAGCTACTTGAGTAAATTGAATTTCTAAAGGGAGATTCCTAAAAAAAAAATTAGTTGCTGGGGTAGGTATTGCTTACATAATTTGATTATCTGAGTTCTGGAAAAGTTTTTCCTTCATAGAGCAGGTATCAATTATTTAAAATAATGCTCTTTTTGTCACTTTTTGCAAATGGCTCCTTTTTAGCTTTTTGATTTCTAAACCACATCTCCTAGATTAGTTTTCAAAAGTCATACATTGACGAGAACTAGAGACTTTGCTTTGGCTCAACAAGTGACAAAAAAGATTTTTATAGATTCCGAATTTCAATTCTTTTTTGATAAGAAGCTTCTTAGTTGTTTTTTGTGGCTCAAAATAAAAAAACCTAGAATTAATTCATTTAATGAAAACACAGGATTGATATGTCAAACAATGTTAAAGCGAAATTAAGCTGCTTTTTTTCCTTCGTTTCAAAAGTTTTCGATGAAGCTGACAGCCTAAAAATAGTCCGTTAAGGGAATTGTGGGATTTTATCATTTTTTTTGCCCGCGAATTTTATTTAAAAACTCTCGTTCCTTTCAGAAGTCGCAAAAGCGGCTTGCAATAAAAAAGAAACAGAAAAACGGCGTTTACTTCGAAACCCTTATGCACTTTTTTAGGGTCTATTAAAAGTTTTGGCGAAGTTGAACATGTTTATCTGGATTTTTTTCAGTACGACAAAGAGTTTCGATTCATTTCGAAACATTAGCTTATTTTCCCTAGATAACTAATGTCACATGGATTTTTAAAGCCAGTTTTACAAAAACAAATACTAATTTTTTTAGTCACTTCAAAACCCTCTGGTCCATAGTTCCAAAAATGGAGCTCAGCCGTTACTCATAGGTTGCGCAAACACTTTCATGCTTCCGCTTATTTTCCTACCTTTTCAACAGTTTCGGAGTTCAACAAGTGCAGGGAATGTGTACCGGTTCTGACTATGTGAGAACCGAGTTAGTGATTGAAAAAAACGGGAAAGCGAGAGTTTTTCGAACGTCAAAGAAAGTTCTTTTTTCCCTTTTTAGTGCCGTGGCAGCTTTGGCAACATGATAAACGCTTGCCAGTTAAAAGGTTACTTTTATTTTTTCAAGAGAAAAGTTGAGGAGATGGGTTATGTTTTAGTGGTGGAATGAGTATGAGCTGATGAATCTGAAGAGTATTTGAAGACAAATGGAAAAGTTTGAGGGAAGCTTTTTTTTTTTAAGAAAAATCAACTTTGACGCGATCAATTGACATTTTTCAGAAATGGCTCGAGTAAAGTTTGTCTACACTCCCCAACATTCCGACGAGTTGGCGCTGTCCGAAGTGGATACGCTGATCACGATTCTCAGGAAGGATTGCGGCGATGCCGGCTGGTTCGAGGGCGAAGTTCACGGCAAAAAAGGCCTTTTCCCTGACAACTTTGTCGAACTTGTACAGGTCCGCCAATTGAAACTTTTCATTAGCTTTGAATAGTTTTTTCAAAAAACTTCGTAGATTTTTTTCAATGTAAGGGATAGCAGTAGTTCAATTTTTTTTCGAAAGGTTTTGATAACTTCAATCAATTGCTAGGCAAAAATCGCCATAAACTTCTTTTTTGTTTGATATTATAATCGTTGGGTTTCTTAAAATTGACAATAGAATAAAGCTGAGTAGAATCAGAAAAAAACAAACAGAACCTTTTAGCCTTGCATGATACAAGTTTTCTGTTAGGTGCCTGCAAACACGCATTCCGGGTCTTCGTACTCGACCGTGGTGCACTCTTCGAGGTTCGGATCGACTTCTTCAGCCTCTTCTATTCCTTCGAGGCCGCCGCCAACCAATCCCCCACCTCCGGCCGTTCCAGCCAAACCTTCGAAGAATAAAGTAATGAATTATCATAGAAAAAGTCGGAAGGGTCGAAAAAAGCTCCATAGAAATTTTTCTCTCAGGGTGATAAAGGTTCCTTCTTTGCTGTTTTTTTTTTTGCACCAATTCCTCGGTTTTTATGCACCATTCGGACTCTTTGCTGTCTGTCTGCGGCCTTTTTTGAGCCTCTGCCTTTTAGCGGCCATTACTCACCATTCCGAATTTGCCCGAAATTCGTTTTGGTTTAATATTTGAATACCGCTACTAAAAACCTTTTTGAATCGACTCATTTTTTGTGCGACGATTCATTCCACACAATTTAACGTATTTGCTCTTTCAGAATACGAAATCTAAGTTAAAAACAAAGAGATGGAATCAAAAACCACGTTCGGAATCATACTTTATGCATAGAAACGATTCAGATTATGGACACTGGCTCGACGGCTTCTTCCGCCGCTTCGGCCATTTCTTCTCGGTCTTTTGCTGCTCTCAGAGATCACATGGAAAAGGTTTTTTTTTTAGTTTGAAATAGAATTTCATATTGAAAAAATGTAAAGTAGTTCAAAATAAAAATACAATATTTCATCACAAAGTTGAAACGGAGATGAAGAGCTTTTCTAATTGTGTTTGAGTCGATACAACTCAATCAAAAAATAAAGGTTCTTCAATAAAACAAAATAAAAAGCTTGATTTCTAATTTTTGGCCGTCATGAATCATCACTAAAGAACGTAACGGTGTATTTTCAAAAATATTTTTTTCAAATCTACCAAGGAAGTTTGCGAATAAGGCTTCCAGAAAGAATAAAATCAGAAAATAAAATGAGTCAATATTGTTTCTTCGATTTCTTCCATCATTCGAGGGAAAAGTGTGAATTTGTTTATTTTGAGACCTAATGGATCTAATGGATTTGTGGCGAAACATTTCATTGTTTACATTATTTGGGATTCGCCTTTTGTTGATACATGTGTTTTGCCTCAAACATTTCATTCGTCGGCGAAAATCTCTTCTTTCTTTCTTTCATGCGATGCGTAGATTCCGATCCCGTTTCCGCGACGTATTGGTTAGGAACCGTTTTTTTTTCACTATAATAATATTTTTCAAATTTGTTTTCACAGAACTTTTTTCGAAATTACTTAATTTCAACTTCTCCAGACACGGTTACATCATGTTTTAGTGTAATTTATATATTTTCCTCGCGATTTCTATATATTGATACTGATAAGTTTTGAAAAAGTCTGCCTCTTTTTCTTCAGATCAAAAAAACGTCAAAATAGCATTGAAAAATAATGGCGTCACTAGCGAAGGGTATAGTGAACTACGACTTTATCAAGTCTTGAGGGAAGCGTTTCATCAGAAAAAAAAAGTTCAAGATTTAAACCAAAGGCTGTTTTTAAAAGAATTTAAAAAATCAAATTTTTGCATGAGAGAGGATTTATAGAAGATATTCACTTTCACAAAAAACGGAGATACTCGAGAAAAAAGGACATTTCAGGGCCTGAAAGTAGTGCCACCAGACCAGGTGTCCTCTCTGCACGGCCGACCGAGCGATAGAGAAAGCGCCGAATCTGTGAGGCCGACGAGCACCGTCGAGCCTCCCGGAGTCGATTGGAACGCTGAAGATCAGGTTTCCGAGTTCTCACGTCTCAATTGAATGTCGTCCTCTTCGCCCCTTTTTCAGTTTCCTCTGTTTTAATAACTTTTTCGAAGTTTTCTGCTTCAATTGATTGTTTTGGTTTCATGTATGCGAATAACAAGTCTTGTCTTTTCAAGGTCTCCCAGCTTCAGCACGTGACCAAGTCTCGAGCAAGGCCTCCGTCGAAGAGGCCTGCGAGCATGTTGATGCTCAGGAAAAAGGCGAGTATTCCGAAAGTTTTAGAGTCACACCAAGCAATTTTTTTTGTTCACGTAAAGTGAAAAAAACAAGAAAAAAAAAAATGCATCTCATGGTTTCTGATATATTTTTTCTTTGTGCCAGCTACTTTTTTGTTTATTTTTAAAGTCGTCATCAATATCTTCTAATAGTGATCTCTTTCGCCTCAGTTTTGCGCCTATATGAAAATCTATGAAAAAAGAAATTCCTACTATTCGGAATAGAATGAAATCAAAGAGAAAAAAAAAATTGAATTTTGCTTCACATGAATGAAAATGTATTTGTTCTGGAATTAACCCGTGCAAGTTCAGTCGACAGACAGCGGCCTCGACGAAGTGACTGACGGAGCCTCCCCGCCGGTGACGGCTCCGACCCCTCAGAACATTTCCGCGTCGATGTACGTGCCTTCGGTCAACAACAGCTCCTCTGTTGCTCCCGTCACTGCCAACAACAATAACAGCTTGTCTCATCTCAAGGTGCTCCTTTGTTATTATTTGAATGCAGTTTGTATGTTAAATCACTCTTAAAACGAGGAAAATCTACGTGCAAAAACTACCTCCGCGTGTTATTTGTCCATCTTTTTTGAGAGTTATAAAAATTTCGAGTGCATATTTGAAATAGTGATTCAGACCGCTCAAACAATCACGACGACGACGAAGCAGGCGCTTCGGCCCATGGGAAGCAATACTTCCACCTTTTCCGCCGAGATTGGTTGGTTTTTTCTCAGAAGATTAGAATCTCCCATGTTTTATTTCCTAAGTTAATGCATCAATTTTTAGAGACGACACCGCTGAAGCCGACGACGAACCACGTCGTCACGACGACGTCAGATCATTCAACCAATCCGACGTCCTTCGTCGCAGAATCCGCCAAGACAACGTCTTCTGACTTCGTTTCGCGCGCCGATTACAACAACCTTCTCGCCAAGTTCACTGCCTTGGAAGCTCGTGTTGCCTTACTGGAAAAGAGCAGCCGGTTTTAAGCCTTTTCACTGTCTTTTTCGCTCTCACCGGTAATCCATTTGCAGTTCTGTTCAACTATTTTGCACTATGCGATTATTCACTTCTTCCTAGTTTCAATTCCAAAAATGCTACGTTTCGATTTTTTTTTTTGTTCCTGAATTTATTCAGTCGATCAAATCTGAGATGATTGGCCATCTTATCGTTACGCTTTTAAAAATTGATTTTGGTCGTTCTGTCGCATAGCTAATTCTTGTAGATTAAAATTCAAAGTGGAGTATTTCCTCAAAACTTCTGGTTTCAAGGTCGCTTTTTTTGTGTTACTTGTCGGATAGATGAACAGAAAGCCTTGAATTTTTCCTATTCGTTCGCTTTATCTTCAACTTTTGTGATTATCTGATTATCAATCGCTTCCGGTCTTGTGTACCCCCCATCCTGTGCAATTTGAAACTCAAATTCTATTGATTTTTCAGGTCGATTTCATTTTTTCTTAATTGCTCCGAGCCATATTTCTCCTACTAGGAAATGCCGCGAATTAACTCATCATTTTACGCTGGTATCTTATATTTCGCCCATTACAAACTGATTGATTGATTTCGCTTATTTTCGTTTGTTCTACTCAGCTAAATAGTATTATTGTCACTTCTTTTTTTTGCATAAATATTACTTATATATTGGATCAAGTGAGTTTTCGTTCTTCGGTATCGATCCAAATTCTCCCGCAATATTCGAAAAAAGTTAGAAGTGTGTAAAATCGCATTCATATTAAAGTTTCGAGCCCACCATATTTGGAAATTCGCCAAAGTATAGAAAAGGGGAAAGTGTGCGCCATTGCCATTCACACTTTTTTTATTTTTTCTTTTTTCAAATCGTCATCATTCTGCGTGCAAATCGGTTTTCTGCGAATTTCGAAACGTGTTCGACTTTTATTCATAGAAAAAAAGTTCAAAGCGGTTCCGATTCTTTCCATGATCACTTCTCTTGAATGAAAAATTATTCTAGAAGCAAGTTTTTCTCTTTCACTGGTATGCTCTCAGGCTTTATCATATCCTATCAACGTATTTTTTTGAAATTTGCTTTGCGATTGAAAACTGGATACCCGCAGAATGTTCATGGATTCTTTTTTGTGTTGAACCATATCGCTAGGAAAAACTTTCCCGAGAGATATCTTTCAAGATCCTTCTGGACTTCACTCGTGTAGATTGATAGATTTCTTCATCACGTTTTAGGTTTTAATGAGAACTTTCTTGTAGAAATATGCCGGTTATCGAGTGCCACGATAACTCCGAGTTCTCTAGCCTCATGGCGAGTGCAGGGGGAAAGCCTGTCGTCATCGACTTCACTGCGACTTGGTTTGAACTTTTTAGAGGAGTCAAATTCTGTTCTTTTTTGGTTCACACATTTTTCAGAGGATTCTAAGGGTGTGAATTAAATTTGCACTGAAAAAATCTTTTTGCATCGTTTGATTTCGGAAAGTGTTTCTTTATTTTTGAAAATAAAATTAAGTCTTGAAAAATAAGAGTTGAATCTATGGACCTAATTAAAATTTTCATGAAAATGAAGTTTTTTTAATAACAGGAAATGCGTAGAGTAGTTTATAGGCTATTGAGCAGTTCCAACTGGTTATTGGAGGATGCCTAAAGTTAAAATTTTCGTGTCTGAAAGTATTTCGAGGACGGGCTTTCGCTACTAGGCTTCAGAAATTTTGTCTATGCTGTTTCAAACGTTATAGTGACCAAACTGATCGAGATAAGTTACAGTTACTGTTTCTTAGTAATTAAACGCAAATACTGTTGAAATCGTTCTAAAATAAAGTATTTTTCGTCTTTAGGTGTGGCCCATGCAAACAAATCGCCCCGGTTTTCGACTCCTTGTCGTCGAAATATCCTGGAATGGTGTTCTTGAAGGTCGACGTCGACAAATGCGATGGTTTTTTTTCAATTTTTTTTTCTGTCATCATTTTTTCTTTAAGAAATCGCTGCTTCTCATGGCGTCTCAGCTATGCCAACCTTTCAGGTTCATATCAATGGGTAATATAAAAACGAACGTTTCGGATAAATTGTTCTTTGACTTGAAGGCAAAAAATGGAGCAAATGAGTGGAGCGAATCCGTCGGGTTTGGAGAAAATGGTTGAGAAATATTCGAGCATTGTCGAAACGTCTCTTGTCAAGGGACAGGTGAGAATTTTTTTGTTGGAAACTGTTTTTAGAAATGTTTTTTTATACCGAAAAAAATAGCTCTCCACCATTTTTTTACCCGCAAATAAAACTTTTGATATATAGAGTTAGAGTTTGAAAGGGTTTTTTTGTGGGGAACCCTTGAAAAATGCTTTAGTTCTAAAATCTCGGCTTCGCTTTAGGGAAAGGAGCCTTTTTCTTCGAAATTGACGGCAAAAAGTTATTTCGGAAATTGGACTCTCTTTTTATCAACATATTCAAATCATTCTCACATTTTTCGTTATGAAAACGCTTTCAATGTGTGCAGGTAGACCTCGGAAACCTGTACGATAAGCGACAAATGGAGTGTCTCAACGGCCTCGACGAGTGTCCCCTTGAGAGCTTCCTTGAAGGTAGCTTTTAAACACCTAGAAAGTTATCTCAAGTTCTACTTAAATGAAGGAAACTGCAAAATGATCTCGGATTGCGATGAACAACTCATTCTCACGCTGCCTTTCAACCAACCCGTCAAGGTCCATTCCATCTATATCAAGGTGGACTTTTGATCAATCAAAACTTTATTTCATTTCAGGAAGGATGTTATTCTTAATAATCGCTCATTTTCAGGGAACTGGGCCCAGATGCCCTAAAGTAGTAAGAATTTTCACGAACATGCCGAGGGCCTTGGATTTCGACAATGCCTTGGGCGCAGAACCCATCCAGATCATTGAATTTGGAGAAAAAGCTCAGTCTCGTGAGTTTCAGGGATTTTCAAAAAAAAAAGGGAGTAATGCACGAGAATTTCGGCTGCAGTGGTAGTACGTGTGATTTAAAATGATAATTTCGAAAAAAACTTTTTTAACTTTGGTGTTTCTTCCGCGAATAATCGCTAGAGGTCTTTAAAATAATTGTTAAGCAAATCAAGACTTTTTAAAAAGCAAAAGGAAAAATATTTTTTCACCTCGAAAAAAGAAAGAACAATTTCCAAATTTTGCAGCTGACGGAGAAGTCATCGCGCTGAAGTACGTGAAATTCCAGAACGTTCAGAGCATCCATCTGTTCATTGAGAACAACCAGGGCGACGAGGAGGTTTTTTCGTTCATTTTTTCTGTTTCTCATATGATCTACTTGAAGGTCACGGAGTTAGAGGAAATCAAGATCTTCGGCACTCCAATCGCCTCTCTGAACATGAGCGGCTTCAAACGAGTTAGTTTATCCTTCAAATTCCCAGTATGACGAATTTTTTCAGGTTTCTGGAAAGGCCGGAGAAGCCAGCCACTGAAAACTGTTAACCAATGTTTTACGGATTTTTCACTGGTTTAATTTATTGTCCTTTTTGTAAAAATCGCACTCATTCGGAACTTTTTTTGCTTGTGTTACTTATTGCCAATTTTTTATTGTGATAAAATTTTCTGCATTTTTCTTGTTGTTCGATTTAAATTACAAACGTTCCTTGTACGGCCATGAGGGTTTATTTGGAAGGATTTTAAAAATATGAGATGATTATATTCAAATTTATTCAAGGATTTTTCGATTCTATGAAAATTTTCTGCTTTCAAGTTCTTGAACTGCGATTTGTAGATTCTGTACAGTGTTCGAAGAAAAAAAATCTTTCTGAGTCTCACAAACCAGCCTGCGATGTGATAATACATATTGTGTACTTCTAGAAAGACCAGAACGAGATTTTTTTTTGAAAAACACATTTTTTTAAAAAAATAATTCGAAAGTATTCTCCAAAAGGGGCGCATTTGGACTGTCCACGTTTTGTAGGCGTGGCTTGGAGGCAGACTGTGCGGAGATCTCGGCAAATTTTCGTCTCCCTTTTATTATTCTTGGATTATTCGATTTGCAAACTAACTAATAATTTGATCAGATGGATGTGGATCGGCTGATGCGCGATCGAACAGTCGAGGAACTGGAAAACATCCAAGCGAACTTGGAGTTGGTTTTTCATTATCACTTTAAAAACAGTTAATTCACGGTTTGAAAAAGATAAATTTTTTCACTCTCCCTATTATTTTATTAAAGATATCAATCTACAGATAATTGAAGGATAAAAGTAAGCAAAGATTTTTTGCGTGTGATAATGTCATAAAAGAGGAAAATAATAGTAAGTAGTCATTTAAAAGATCAACGTGTGTTTATGAGCGCTTAATTACTTTTTTGTGAATTTCGCGAGTATTTTTTAGGAAAGAAATGGAGGGAAAACGCGAAGGTCTGCGAGAAATGGTGGGACGACGGTATCGCGACGTTCTGGAGGCCTCCAGCGAAGTTCGCAACGTTTGTGACCTCGCTGAAAAACTCGCCGCCGAGGTGGCCAACGCCAGGACGACACATCTTCCGTCGCACATCAAGTTGGTTTTCAGAATTCCGTCCAAAACAATACCACCAATGGTTATTAAATTTAAACTTTGAAGTTTCGCTCCTCCAGAAGCTTGATGAGACATTCGAAGAAGCATAAAAATGAAGATAAGAAAGAAATTTGAGAAGTAAAACGGACTTCTTCGACTTTTCGCACGAGCATTCCAATCGGACTCATACATCTAGTTCTTTTTGAGTTGCTAACAAGGTGTCAAATGTTTTCTGAATCTCTTTTCTTCCGCCCTTTTTCACTTTCTTCTTTTCATCTCCTAAAAAGTCATCTCTAGAAAAATGTCGACAAACAAAGGAGCCTGTGGAGCCTTTTTCCCAAAAAGCTTCTTTTTAGGTCCTTTTAGACTTTGCTTGTTTTTTTTTCCGTTTTTGTTTGTTTCTTATGGGATAAACTTTCTTGTAGTGGAAATCAATGCTTAATTTTTTTCTCAGTTATTTTTTTTTAAAGATTTTATTAAATAAATTATTACTTGAGAAAAAAATTTGATCGTTTTCTACACCTTATTAGCAGAACAGTATGGAATAGGAAGCTTTGTTAAATGGTTTATATTCATAAACTTCATTTTTCACCCGATGTTCAGAACAAGACGAACAATGTTTGATTATTAGAACTGGTTCTCGCGACGAGCAACGGGCCAGCGAACGGTTCTACGCTCTTCACTATCTTCTGGCGAACATTGGCGACAACGACGAGTTGGACGACGCCTTCGCGATGCTTCTCGTCGAGTTCCTCCACAAACAACTCGTCACTCATCATTCCTCTTCCAAGGTTCCCATTCTCGTCTAGTCTTCCCGAAATATTCCTTCTTAAAATTAAGGCACATGATCAAAGCACTAAACTCCCAGAGATCTTAAAAATGTTTTTTTTCCATTTTTTCATTCTCCCAGGACTATTCTGTTTCATTCACCAATCAATTAACGCTGTAGTTCGGGAAAAAATATCTTATTTTGCTAGCTTCACTAAAAATCCTATTTGTGGCGAACTGTTTCGTTGAAAAGTTGAACTGGTAAAATTTTTCAAATTTCCTTTCCACGAAAAAGGAAATAAGTTAACTAACTCCTAGAAGTCTCTTTGTTCATTAGGCTTCGAAGGGCATTTTTATAGTTACATAATATGGAATATTCACAATCCATTTTGGGAGGTATAATTTTGGAAACATTATAGAACCCTCTCGATTTTCCTATGATTTTCGCCGCCGTAGTTAACATTCGTGAAAAGAGCTTTTGCAGATCTACAAGGCAGCATGTGCATTCACGAACCGAATCGTGAGCACTAGGAGTCAACTGGAAGAAGACCTTGTGGAGACTCTCGGCGAAGTTTCCCGTTCGGATTGGGTCATCAACCAGCTCGCCGGAATCGCCATCCTTCAGTTCAAGGACCTCGACAATCTTCTCGAAATCTACTTGCAGAAGCGTCATGTTCGATCTCAAGCTTTTCGGAGCAAGAAAGAACATTTCAGGAGTACATCGTACGGCTCATCAACGATTCCTCTTCCATTTTGAGCATTGTTGAAGAGATCAAGGTTCGGTTTTTTTACTGTTAGAGTGTTAGCACTGTTTGACTGACACAGTGTTTGAGAAATCGTAATGTTCTAATGAAAAATACATTTATCCTAAACGACTGCACTTCATAAAGAGCTTTTTCTCACCTATTTGATTCCACTTTTCAAGTTTAAAAACGCGTGAATTTTATAAAAGATTTGATTTGTGTGATATTTTTTTGAATATTCATCGAACTATTTGCCAGAAGACGAACTAATTAATCACTTGGAGTGTGTTTCAGAAAACGCTCTCCGTCGTTGAAGAAGTTTTCCTTCTCGGCGAACTTCAACACGTTATTCAGTCAATTTCCAACGGACATTATAGATCAGGTAAGTGTTTAGGAGGTTGAGAAACAACAGGAAAATACTCCAAACAAAAATAATTTTGAAAATTTGGTTCTTAAGTGAATATTTTCGTTTTGAAGCTGATCTCGTTTCCTAAAAAAGTTTGTTTTTCATCTTGAACTATTAAAATCCACCGTTCTCACGAATATGGAAGTTTTTCGGCTCGGTTTTCAAACAAGAATAATCAAAGTTACTTGAGTGATTTCATCTGCAGAACTGATCGGAGATATGTGCTTCGACCAGGCTTTCCACTTTGAACGAGTGATTCGCGAAGACGTCGAGAAGATCGTCCGCGGGATTCGCGAGCGCAAAACCTCCGTCGCCGTTTCGGGACAACGGATCCAAGATGCTTGTACTGCTTGGATCGAGAAGTTGGTTGGAAAAAGAAAAAATATCTACGGATCCTTGAACGCCTGGATTAGCTTGAACTCAAAATAACTGATTCAAAAAATAAGTCCTGAAATGAAGCCGATAAAGTTCGTTTTTGGGAACTATTGACCGTCTTTTTTCAACTTCGAAAAAATGTTTCCAGAGTGTGCGCAGTAACGCATCCAGTCGTTGCGGAAGTTTGCGAGTACTACGAAAACACTGACCAGGTCATCGAGCTTCTCCAAGCCATCTCCAACTCTTTGAAACAGGTTTCCTTTTCAAACTTCTCATAACTACATTATTTCGACAGGATTGGCCAAGAGTTGGACCCAGTAACATCGCCTACGAAAGGCTGCTTCAAACAGTCGTTCTCGACAAACTGAAGGTTTTTTTTTTCTTTTTCACCAACTCTTTATATTCCGTTTCCAGGAGCTGCTGAATCAATGGGTCGAAAAAATCGAGAAAAAAGTCCGACACGACGTTTCTCAAATCAATGACGGGCCGTCGACTTCGGTTTTCGATGAAAGAGCTTACCGTCTCAATTCTTCGGCCCATATTGGCGTTTCCAACGGATTAGTCGCGTGGGTAATTTTAACTGGTCCCATGGATTTGCCTTTGAGCTGCAAATTGAGTATTTTTCATTTTTGTAGATTTACTCGTGCTGTTAAGAAAAATGGACTGTTTGATCGTATCAGAATTTGCGGTTTGAGTGTTAGTTTTCTATCGGTCACTTGTTAGGACTTTTCCTGGTAAAAATCCTTAAATATATACTTTTGAATTTTTAGATGTGTGAAGAACATTTGGCTGGAGTTGGAGAAGATCGGAGACAAATGTTCGCAGTACGAGACGATCTGCTCCTCTATGAACGACTACACGTCGGCGGCCAGTCTCAAGTCTTGTCTCGCCGACTTGGTCCACGCCTTTCTCATGAGGTTTCCCACATTCTAGACTATTTCCTAGTTGGCAGATATTCCAAAGTTCTAGTGACTGCAATGATTGGTTTAAACATTTACTGAAGAGGTAACCTTGCAAAAGGAGCAAATGACTAGAGAAATTTCTTCTGAAAGTTTTGCTCAACTTGTTTTTTCCCGGTGTTTTCCGTGCTTATATCCATCCAAAAAAGAGAGTACGTGAGAACCTAACAAGGAAGGTGTTTCAGTGGGAGTAATTTTTCGAAATCTCACTCAAACAATTTTGGAAGATTCAGGTTGAGATTCCTCAAATCCTTATCTGTTTTGTAAGTGTTCTATTAAAAAAATAACATTCCGCCTTACAATTCACTAAATTTTTTTCTGTTAGTCAAGAACTTGGAGAATTCCTTAATTTTTGCGAGACATGAATTTGGAAAAAAATAATATAATATCTCCAAAAAAATAAAAATAGTATGCAGGAAAAGACCTTTTCGGAAAAAAGTAGATCATTAGTAAAATCGAAAAAAAAAATCTGGAGCTCTTTTTTTCCCAGACTGTGCGATGAGAACGAACAGAAGCTGGAGACGCCCTGGAAGAAGGAGCTCTCGAGAGCGCGACTGGCCCTGGCGTTGGTCCATTCGGACGCCTCTCTGGCCTGCTCGCTGCTGGACAAGGACTCGCGTCGGATTAACGCCGTCAATCAGAGACTCCACTCAGTTGTCGAACACAGCCTCGGGTTGGTCTATCACATCGACAAAAGTGTTGAAAGGCGTTTATTGGTACTCGAAAATCAACAAGTGGGGGAAAGAATTGATATGTGGAAGATGACCCGTTTCAGTGGAACGTAATAGGTAGATACCGGGGAAAACACTAGAAATGGAATATCGTAACGAATAGAAATCTATAAATAACATATGACACATTTTGAAAAAAAAAAACAGAGATTTTGTGGTAGATTCACTTTGAGTAGAGCTGCCGAATGATTCTCAGAAGCTCATTGAACGGCTTGATTGGGAAGGTCCGTCGAAAGAAGTATTCATAGGCGAATGGCTCCTGGTTGTAGTTTTGCACCGTCATCATCTCTGTCTTGATGAATTGTCTGAATTTTCAAGCTTTAGTAGTTGTATACAGCTTTTCGGGATTCTAAAATATTTTTCCTCCGAGAAACTGAAATCGCAAAAAAGCTTACACTTTCGGATTTTGCCCCAAACTTTCTTTGACGCTGAATAAACAAAAGAAACAACTCATGATAAGCTATCCAAATTGGCACTTTTTTCAGTGCTCAGTAACCTCTTTAGAAATAATCACTTACTTGTCCTTCTCTTCTTCGCTCAACGTCAGCCATTCTTCGCTGATAGTCGTCAAAGAGTAGCTATCTCCTAGCGCAGCTTTCAACTAAATCCATAAGTCAATAAGATAATCTACAAGGCTCAAAAACGTCTTCAAAACCGCCGCATTCTTCGATGAACAAGTCGCGCATGACGATTTTCGACCCTAGTTCGGCATGTTGATGTATGATTTGAGAGATTTCGACGGGCGATGGCTGAACCTTTTTTTGTACTTGACATGTAGGCTTTCAAATTTGTACTCACGTTTGGGTGGATGTCTGGTACTGTAACGATAGAATTGTCGGTCCAGCAGATGAGAGCGTATCTGGCTCCGAAATTGCGAGTTCGGCGGTTCCTCTGTTTGCAGGAAAGCTGTTCAGTATGTAGCGTATCCATTATTTCCACCGTTTGGCCTTCTCCGCCTATCCGGCTCAACGAGACCGATGTGCACCTGAAAAAAGATTTTTTTGAGAGAACAGATGATATTTCAAACTTACCAGTTTTGGACGTGGTCTCTTAAGAAGCCAATAGTGTTGTAGATGGTTTCTTCGACTAGACGGTACTCGCCGAGAATCCGATTGTACTCACTGATTGTGAATCCAGGATTTTCGCACCAAATGTACATGAAGATGAAAAGCTAAAGCAGCTATTATTTTAGGTGAGTTCTTATTTTCTTTACCTTGTTCAAAGGCATTCTTGAGTAGAAGAGAAAGGTTCCTTCGTATACAGAGATTTTTGTGATTATCCGCCGTTCTGTTCTTTTCCGACATGATCGACACCGCCACTGTAAATTTTCAATATTTTCTTGTGAATTCTTTTCTTTGTTCTTGAGAATAATAGCGGTTCACCAGAATATAGATAGCTCTAGAAGTATGAAATAACTCGAGTAGAACGCACCACATATCCGTTGGCGTGCTTGATGAGACTCATTAACTGATCCCGTGGACATGCTGGTAACCGGCAGGATCGCGAGTTTGGTATTAATCCGTACCTAGCCAAAAACTGGACTCTGTAAGTCTTCGATTCTCATTTTCAAGCTATTTTTCTTACCCCAATCGAGGATCTTGGAAAATATTCTGCAGTATATCGACGTTGAACTCGACGTCAATGATGTCGTCGACCTCAGCAACTTCCATATTGTCAAGAATAGTGAATTTACCTCTTTCTGGTCTACTCCTGAATCTAAGAATGTTTGGAGATACGATGACATTCTATTGACTACCTTCTGGGATAGGCTGCTTGTGCCCGTTTCGGCGTTTCATCGTTTATTGAAGAGACTGATGCCGTCGCGGCGGCGAGGAGCTCAGCGGAGACGTCAAGATCCATTTCGCCATCTTCGTCTCCGGAATCGGCTTCATCCTGAATTTTTTCGCCTTCTTTTCAGTTTTGAGAGTAAAAACTTGCTTGAAGATCTAGCTTGGCTGTTGAGGGTAAGGAGAGACTGTGAGAGCCGCCGAAAAGCGACTCCAAAATGTCCATATGAGTTGGAAGTGTCTAATTTTGGAGGCAATGCTGAAAAGGGAGCATCCAATCAATCAAATAGTTTATTTTGTTGCTTTAGTCAGATCTCATCGACATCGAGTAAAGAAAAAAAAATTCGTAAAAAAGGGGGGGAGCTACGAGCAGAGGTAGAAAGATCAAGTATAATTGAACGCTTATGGAGAAAAAAAATAAGACGATGATCAAAGTGGAGAAAAAGCCGCACCCCTAAAATTTTCCAGAAATTATGAAAAAAAAGGCGGTCTTTAAAAAAAATATGAAGGAAAATTTAATAGTTTAGTACACAAAAATTTTTCTTGAATTCTATACCAACTTCTCTTCAAATAACGAGAACATAACTTCAGTATTATTTTTTGTTTTCAAAATCAAAAAAAAAGAGGTCAGGCCTCAAATCGGAAGGATTAGTGCATTTCAGGCTGGAGAAACATGATATTTCGTGCGGGATGACAAGTTTCTTCCGAAAATGTTGTTCCGATAAAGACACTCTTTTCACGATTATATTGGAAGTAGGAGTTCAAGATTAAAACATTCCGATGGGAGAATCGAACCAGGACCATGGTAGTTTTGGGAAGGATTGTTGTGAGGACCTTCGTCGAGTGGACGACCTTGGACCCTTTCTGACGGACTCGTCGGCGCACAATTGACAGCCTCGTGGAATACACGGCGCTTTTGCAGCCTGAGGACCCGACCTGTCCTGGGCCGGCATGTCTTATGACCACTTGGTCCGCCACGGATCCTTTCCTTGTTCGATTGTTCAGCCGGGGCGATCATAACTATCAATAGTTTCCAATAGAAAAAACTCTTCTCTTAGAAAATGAAGCTTTTATAACTTCTGAGCCTTTGATTGAATTTTTTTTTTCTAAAGGAACTGAGGTCGAAGGTAGTACAAACGATGTTGTTTCATTCATCCTACCCTTCCCGTCAATTTTTAAGTGAACAAATTGTTTCAAGGAATGCAGTTTTGAGATTCTGGGACGGAAAATTCAGTTATTGAAACTTCCATACAAAAAAAAACATTTTTTTTGATCGCAGGTGTTACTTGTTACGAATAGACTATGTTTCATCGGCTTAACTCTTTGATTTTGGTCCGATTTATATTTTTTTTTGTAATGAGCAGGTATGACGCTCTTTGCTTTGTTAGAGAAACGAAGAGGATTAACTTTTTTAGGTTGAATAAAAAGAACTATTGAATGCAACAATGAAAACTATGACGTTAGAAGGTTCAGAAACAATATTTTTGTGAGTTTTGAAAGTAAATCCGGTAAAATCCCTATATAAAATAAATTTTCATCACATTCAGAATTTCTCAGACAAAACTGGTATAATAAGCTGGAAAAAAAGATTTTCCATAATCTCCTACGAGATTTCAAGAAAAAAATTTTTTTGAGATATGAATTTATTTGAAGTTCGAAAGAGAGCCACCTTATCTTCGACTTCTAGCCATATTGATGAAACTTATCGGTTTCATTTTTTTGATAAATCTTATCAGGTCAATCTTTTTCTTTTTTTGAGCCAATCATGAATTGCGCAAATTCTAAAAATTTTGAAAACGCCGAATTATTATTTTTTTTTTTCGATAGAAAGAAAAAAAAAATGCTTTGCGGGTGGTTTTCCTTGCCAGTTTTTTTTTCCTCCAGGAGCTACTGTTTTGTAGGGTAAATTTGAAAGAAGCGGTCATAATAGTAAAAACTAATACAGGAGAAGCGGTTTTTCTTTTTTGATTATTCTTGATTTTTTGAGTGAGTCGATTTGAAAGGATTCGTTTCAATTTTTAAAAAAATAATGGGTGCAGATCAGGGCTATATCAGGTAATATTTTTGATTAGTGACTGAATTAAATAAATTGAAGGAACTGAAGAAGAAATAAGTTCAAGAATTGTTTAGCGCTGTAATTTTCAGGTTTTCATAGAGATTTTTTGAATCGAAGTTTGGTACGAGGCTGAATTGGTCCGACGCCCAACACAAATATATTCAACGTAACGAGGTGATAAGATTGAAATGGTTGGTGGGAGGTGGAGAAAGAGACGAGACACACGATAATACAGTGGCTGCGACGGACCGGAGGGACCACCTCTCTCCAGGAAAAACGGCGCAGGAATAGGAATGGAAATGGAAAAGGAGGAGGTTCTCCTGGACGCGTCTATCTATGCGCATGCGGTGTGTGTGTGAGTGAGTGAGTGAGCGTTTCTGTGAGTGTTTGTTTGAGCGTTTCACTTGAAATGCGACGACGGACCTTGTTTTGCGGCAGCCTCCTCACGTTTAGAAGGTCCCTTCGCCCGCCGCCTGTAGGCTGCTGCTGCTGCGGCTGGCGTCTCTCTCTTTATCTTCTTTTGCCTCGCAGCGCCGCCTGCGGTCAACCTTTTTCTGGTTTTTTGTTGCGCCGTCGCTCCGCCGAGTGGTCCCCACGGCAACTTGCAGCTTGAGGCGATGGTTCCGATTCAAATGGGGACATTTTTTGGGATGAAGGATCAGCTTGATCAAAAGATATTTGCAGGTGTTAGGGAAAGAAGCTGGAAAGAGAGAAAGACTTTATATGCTCGAAAAAAGAAAAAAAAGATCTCCGAGTTTTGAAGTTTAAATGATGATCGAAGTTGACTAGCGATTAGAAAGTATTGCAATTTTCATCTTCAGAAAAAAATATCACTGAGAAATTATCAAAAAGGGTTTGAGCAGATTTGAATGAAGTTGAAAACTTTCATACAAAAATGGATTACGTGTTAGTTTTTACTGTGAGATGAAGTAAAGTATTGATTGAAGACATGAATACTTTTTTTGAAAATTTTTCTTTTTTTTTCGCTAAATGGTCCTGACCATAACTTGTAGCTTGAACGAATCGTTCTATGAGAGCGAGGTCGCAGAAAATTTTACGGTACGTAGTTGCGATGATGGTTTACACATGAGTGAGTCGAGAACCGGCAACCTTGTCCGACAAAAGTTTGAAAATATTGGGCTTCGAGAAAGTTTTCAGCCTTTGTAAATACGATAACTGTTTTAAAGTTATTCCTGAGGACTTGAAGGCTCTCAGCAATTCAAAGTCATTTGAAAATATATTCAGCAGATTTTAGAACACCAAAAAAAGGTTCATGTGTCGTGTACTTTTTTTGGGCCTCACGACATTCTCAAAAAGTATCTATTTACCGTTGAAAAACTGTTGGATTTTATATCTGTTTTCCTCATAATCAGTTCTTGAAGTGCAATCGAAACCGAGAGCTTTAAAAAGTTTGTTTTTTTACTCCGAGGAATCGATTTTTTTAAAACAGTTTATCTCTTTCTATTAGACGAAAAAAAGTTAGGTTTCGAAATTTTGTCATAAGTAACAGTAATCAGGAACAGACCAATTACTTTTTTTATTATATAAAGTTGACTTTTTTTCCATTAAATCTGAATCATTCAATTGTGACTTGGCTGATTTAGGGCACTCCCTTTATATGTCTCCTTTTAATGATATGCGTTATCAGTTTCTTCTTCGAGGCGAAGAGATCGGGCCAGTGGCCCTTTCGGTTGCGATGCGACGGGTTCCGACAAAAGATTCGCGCGCCACCAGGATTTGAAGCAAAAAGTCAGCAAATTTCGTATCGTGTGATCTGATGTAGGAATTTGATTTCAAAAATGTTGGGAATTCGATAGTTTAGCTGCTCTTCGGCGAATCTCAAGAGCTAGGGATAATCTTGCGACCTTAATCCTTGAAGATTTGATTGCCGAGAAGGACCATCTCGACGGAAATCCCACGTGAAGATGCTTAAAACAACGACTAAAGAGAATAAGCCGCGGCACTCCGTGGAGTAGTCCTTATCATTACACGAAACGCTGAAATGGATGTATGGAGAAGAGAAAAAAGAAATCAGTTGAGAGAGGAATTCCGAGGGCATCTGATATATCCTCTGGCTGCCATGGGAACCCGAGGCTCGTTTGTTGTCAGACCAGCTACGAAAAAATTGCGTCTGCCCTTTTTCTCGGAAAGAAAAAAAAAGGAACGAAAGGTCGATGATTAAAAAAAGCGTGGTCTGATTGGGAGAATTCTTCGGCAGTGGGAAGCTGAACTAGGAGTTCGCTTGCATGAGAAAAGCTTATCAACTTTGGTGAGGACCGAATCTTTGTTGAAGGAATTTTCAAATGAAGTTTTAGTTTTCAACTTTATTGGACACATTTTAAAGTTAAGGTATAAGAGAGTTTTCCATGAATAAATTTTGAGTAAAATTTAAAACAGGCTAGTGAAGGTTTTTGGCCTCCGGTTGAACTTTTGATGGCACTTTAGGACCTCCTGATTTCAGATTAAAAAAAAATTTCTCACAATGAATCTGTCCTTCGAGTTGAGGCCCTTCAAAAGCTTGAAGTTTTTTTGCCAAAATAAACGTATTTCGAAAACTTTAAAGCTTCATCATTCAAAAACGATCTGTTGCTGTTGATTCTGTTGCAAAAAGAATTTTTTTTTGAATTTAGGAAGTCCTAGAGTACAATTCAGAAAGTTTTCATCAGAAATTCACTTTTCTTTCTTTTTGAAAAGGAATATTTTCAAGCTCAAAAATTTTGAATTCTTGCTCAAAGCGTCGAAAGAAAAATTGAAGAAACATGTTAAAATTATGAGTAATTGTTTCACCAAAGAAAAAAAAAGTTTTTCAGAGAGTATTGCAAATGGTTGGCTAGTGAGTGCATAACGACCTCGGCGATCAGCGACTACCTGGACGCGTTCGCCGGCGGAATGCAGTCGCTTCGCCTGCTCACTGTTCGCTACCTACAGAACTTCGATGGAAAAGGAATGACTGCTTGAAGGAGTGGCAGTCGATCGAAATGGGCGACGTCGGCGTCGTCGACGTTCCGATGACGCTGTCGGCGCCGCTGCACACGGCTCTGTTCTCCCTCGCCTCGCGTATCACCGACGCTTCCATTTCACATTTGCTCAGCAAGACCGTTCGCAAGACGCTGTCAGCGGCGGTGGGTACCTGTTTTTATTTTTGTTTATTGGAAATAAGTGTTAGGTTCACCGATTTATATTTCTTTGCTGGGATTTCAAGAGGGCATTCATTCACCTCTTGGAAGTTCATTCCAATTGCAATTGCGAAGTTTTACAGATCTAGAAGGTGTTTTTATTTATTTATTCATTTTTTTCAAATTCTTATAAGGAAATGAATTTCCGAAGTACCGCTCATTTTTATAAGGCCTATTTGATGAATCTCACAAAAAATTATAGTCTGTGTGCCACGACTTGAAATTTTACCGAACGATGTTCCGCTGTTCCGCTGCGTGCGTTCGCGAAGCGTCGTTCGAATCTAGGTCACGCTTTTAATTGATTGTTATTTCTGTGGGAGCACATGAAAGTAGAATACCTTATAAAAGAAAAAAAAATTAAAAAGCGCGACCTAGGTTCGCAAAGGCGCGCAGCGGCACAGCGGAATGTCGTTTGGTGAAGTTCCAAGTCGTGCTACACAGGCTATAACAGATTTTGGTTTTTCCCACTTTTCCTCATTGAAGAATCAAAAATTCAGATTGCCGGTCGTTTCTATGAGATCCTCTCAGCGAGAATCGGCGCTTCCCGCGAAAAATCAGCAGAATCCGTCGCCTCGCCGACGTCTCCTTCAGCCTCTTTTCATCTGCCGTCGCGTTCTTCAACTCAGATTCTCTTTGATTGCCGAGTTCTAAACGCCATGTTCCCGGATGAAAGGTGCTTCGGATGTTCAGGATGGCTCCAAAAAAATTGTCGATGAGAATGAAAAACATAAACTTCGACAGATTTCATGAGTTTTTCGAAAAAATTTCAAATAAATTTGTCGAAACTGAATTCTCATAAGAAAAAAAGGAGAACATGCGAAAAAGGGTATTCGAAGCTGTTTTCTAATGCTACCAGGAATTTTTGTATCTATCTAGTTATTGAAAATAAAACAAGAAAATAAGTTCGAAAAGAAAAAAAAAATTAAATTGACCATCTTCATTAATTTTTTTGATACTTAAAAGTTTTTTTCCTTGCTGTAGTAGTTTTTTGCTTTTCTGTGATTTTTTTTCACAGTTTTTTCATTTTTTTCAGTAGTACGTTTTCAGATTGAAATCACTGGGTTCAATCGTAGAATCCCACATGGATCCTTTTGACGTTTCTTTGCTCTCTCCTCTCATCAACACAAATGTTCGACTTTCCTATACTCGTTCTCAGGTGAGAATTCTTCAAAATAGAACTTCAATGTGTTCAGGTTCTTTTTGCTTCCTTATTAGTGGAGACCATCTCCAGCAAAGATATTGAACTACCCACGTCTTATTCAAAGGTATCAAGCCTATCAATTGAGCTATTTGGAACTTTTTGTTTCGATTCAAGGTTCAAGATATTGTTGTCCATGTCAATCAGCCTTCGAGAATTCCGATGATTCCGCGACTTGACAGAGCCTCGGTAGTTCTTGTTTTATTGCAACGGAGTTATTCAATCAGTTTGTTTTCAGATTCCGACAGAGTTGAAGAAAAGTTCGCGATTCCCGAAAGAAAACAAGCTTCTCGCGAATCCGCAGCAAGGTTAGTTTCAAAAAAGTTTAAGAGCAACAAGGTCGTGATAAAAAGATAAATCTGATTCCTATTTGGTTACAGGAAACAAGGCGCCGTCTCTCAGTGCATTTTACGATCGGATTTCGTCGAGTTGGTTCGGCGGAAACAACTGAACTTCCTTTTTATCATATTCCTCCCAAGTCAACTTGGAAGAGCACAAGCACAATTTTTTTTTTGTTTTTTTGAGGCTTTGAAAATTGGTGTGATATACTAGAATAACAAATGGAAATGGGTTTGAAATAGTATATTTATTGTTTTTAAATGTAGAAAGTTAACTAATAAATTTACTAAATTTCGCGTATGGGATCGATGACGAGCAAAAAAAAAGGAAAAAAACGGGAAAAATTATTAATTTGCCATATCTATCTTCTTTTTTAGATTTCTGGTGAGTTTTATGATTATGTTAAAATAAATTTAAAAAAATTGAAAAATAGCGATTCTCGAAAAAGTGCTCCTCCTGACACGATGAGCGAAATAATTCGGGAGAAGTGGGCGGGACGCGTAGCGTGTGCATACGCGGCTCTTGGCACGATTTAAATTCTAGCGCCACCAAATATTCAAAAAGGTCGTTCACCGCTCTTTTTGTATCTACTCTTAGAGACCGCAAAGCAAGTTTTTAAAACCATAATGAGCCTTAAAAATCAATTTTTGTATCTACTCTACTAATTTTTGATCCAAAAATAAAAAAATTCAATAAATAATTAAAAAAGAAATGAAAAGAGCCATATAGTCTGATAACTCCGCCCTTGTCGCTACAGTATCTTTTCGCGTCGATATTTTATCGCGCGGGACGGTTTTTGATCTTTTTGTTCGAGAAAATGAAGTCAAAAAATGCAGCCATATTAAAGGTTCATCGTCATCTGGGATAACACAGTTACGCGAAAGATTTTGTAGCCTTGGGGCAGAGTGAGCAATTATAAACGATCTCTAAGTATACGCTGGCGGATAAAATGAACTCGTCCCAAGAGCCACGAACGCACACGCTACGCGTCCCGCCCTCTTGCCCGCCTCCTCGCCTTTCAGGTCGGGAAAAACCGCTGTTTCGTTCACCTAAAGAATCATTGGTGAGTTTTGAAGAATGGAAGACACCAAAAGCCGATTTCAATGTTATTTTAGGTCATCCAAGAGCTTCTTCGAACTCTCCACAGGTCTTCCGGAACAATCACCTCTTTTAATTGCACCTCCAATACGTTTCCGGGCTCATTGAGGAAAATTTCCTATTATAAATACAACACAACACTCGCTACAACAATCCAGCGACAATCTCGCACAAACATCAACAAATCCACAACTACAAAGTTCATAAATGACGCCTCAAATGGGTGCCAAAAGTATGGTAAAACGTGTTGGCGAATCACGTGGAGCCGTCGACTCATTTCTTAAACTTCCCTGTCTTTTTGAAAAATCCTCACGCGACCTCGGCCGAAAATCCACGTCGGCTTGATTCTGTGCGCCACGGGATCATTGCTGCTCCAAAGTGATGACCTCTCCGACACCTCAACGCGAAGTCATCTCTCCTTCCTCCATGGTATCGTCCCTTTTAGATTCGATACTTCCAAGTATGGATGAGCTTATTCATGTAGGCGGGGGTCAATTCTTGCTTCGAAAGAAAGGCCCTCCCGGTTACGAATGTCAGCAAAAAGTTATACTCTTACGAAGGTCATTTTCTTGACCTCGGTAACAAAAACCGGACGTTTCTGAGCAATTCCAAGGACCACTTAAGATAGCTGAAGCTATTAGAGTGGTTCCTAAAAACGTCCGATTCGCGTCCGTTTTACTTATCGTTAAAATAATCTAACTCGAACCGGAGACTCAAAAAAGTCTTTTCAAAAAGAATCAAGAAAAGTAACAGTAATTTTCTAATGCATGTTTGAAAAAGGAAAGAGCGTTTTCAAAGTTATCTTTGAGTTTAAAAAAATCTTGTCTCAATTCTTAGGAACGAAACAAATATGCTTAAAAAGTTGATGAAATCTTTCTTAGGGGATAAATTCTACGGGAAAAAAAGACAACAAGTTTTTGATTGGAGTGTTTTTATAAAGGAATAAATTTTGCAAATTCATTCTCAGAACCGCAAGAGAGCCTGTGTCATGTGCCAGACGCTTGTCTCCTGGACCTACGTCACGTCTTTCACCAAAAATGCTTTGAAAAGGTTCAACTCACTGATAATAATCTTAAAGGAGGTTTTTCAGAGAAGACTGGATCAAGTCGCTGACCAACGACGACGCCGAGAAGTCGGCAACTTTAACCGCGACTCTTGAAAAAGGAGGACGAAAGTAAGAATTCGATTCGTTTGAAAAGAATGAACTGAAACATTTTCAGGTACATTTGCATGGATCATTTCGAGGCGAATCAGTTAGACAAAAACGAGGATGGCAGCGTCGAAATGACTCGCACCGCGATTCCTTGTTATTATGTAAGTTCCACCTTAGGATAGAACGCACTTGAAATAGCTGTAATGCGGCTGCATCAGACCCAAAACGACTTGCGCGCGTACAAATGAGAGAGTATCAGAGCTAGATATGGTCTGCTCAGATTTTGAATCTCAAGCTCGATAGCATCATTCAAAGTTCCTCTTTGGAGCGCTCGCTCTCTGATTGGCCTTTAGGGGTCTTTAGGGGCAGAGCTTGAGGGATGATTTGACATAAAAACTTAAAACAGACTAATTTTTGAAACATTCGACTTGATACCGTGGTATTTCGAACCGCGACAAATAAAGTTTATCAATCATTTTTATTTTTCAGGACCCTGAGACTTTTACCAAAAAAATCGGCACAAAGCACGAACACATCGATCTCGTAACTATCGCCGAAACCACAACAAAGAGGCATGTTTAATAATATTTTTTTAAAATAATCACTGCCAAAGTTTCTTAACATGAATTTTTTTTGGGTAAAAATTTGGTATATTCTTCACTTGTTCTAACTTTTTGCTACTAAAGTTTGGAAAATATATTTCAAGCAAGATACTCAGAAGACCGTGTCATTTTTTGCTCGATCTTTGAAAATAATATAACCCCTCTCTAACTTTGTCGGGAACTCTTTCATAAAAAGAATTCTTTCAGCTTCAGGATGTCGAAAAGCCAACAAAAAAACGTTTGGTCGATGAAGACGAAAAGGTAGTAGAACGGCAAAATGAAGAGATTTTAGAATCTTGATTATAGGAAGCGATCGACGAGAACAGCGCTCCAGCGAGTCCAAAACGTCCGAAACTCGTTTTCAGCACAAAGAACAATGATTCGACGTTTTATTGGGATCAGGCGATGCCGGCGCTTGACCGCATGGATTTCGAACTTGTGGGTTTCATTTTTGTTCTATTTTTTTTTCTCGCTAAAAACATATGTTTAGTAGAAGATGGTGTTCGAGATGGTGATAGGATCATGTGAAGCTTTGAAACCAAAATAATTTGTAAATTGCTCTATGACCAAACAGGAACTGTCAATTTTCGATTTTTTTTTTCTCGATTTCAAACATTTTCTTTTTCTATCATAGTCTTCTCCGTCATGTTTTTTTTTTTACTTTTTAAAATTATTTCTAAACTAGTTTTTTTCATAGAAAACTCAGACTTCTGTATTTAAAGTAGAAATTTGAAAATGCTTTACAATATGGCCGAAGTTGTCTTTTATCAAAAGTTATATTTTATCGACCAGAAACTCCTTCAAGTGGTCTCTTATAAGAACCACACATGCAGGGAAGCTTGGAAAAGGGTCTGGCGGCAAGCGATTCCGATTCGGAGCCCAGCTCCTCGCCGGTGAATCTCTTGGAAACCGTTTCGGACCAGGATGTCGAAGCCGAACGACCTGCGAGCACCTTGGATCTGCTGCTCAGTTCCATCGATCAGATGATCAGCGGTCTCGCTTCCGCCTCCGCTCGTCGTTGATTTTTCTTCGTTCCACTTTTATCTTAACGGGTTTTTGTTTCAATAAATTTTTTTTTAGTATAAATTTTCAGATCGCGGTATGACTTTTAAAACGCACAATAAGGTTGCGCGTATGGTTTTTTCATACGCTTTTTTTGATCTGGTAATGAGAATAGTCGGAAAAAGCTGTGAGAGAAGTTTCGATTTTATCAGCTTTGAAATTCAAGAAAATCATCCACCATTTTAGAATTTTTTCTAAAAAAATTACACATCAGTTTCTTTTTAAACGTTCTCATAAAAACTACGTAAAGTTTATTACGATTGTCAACAAGGGAAAATGTCGACTTGCAGGCCTTTTTTCTCAGAAAATTTGCTGCCATATGAAAACTTTCTGAAATTTTTCGGTTTCACATGATTTCAAGTTTGGAATCTCACGAATAATGATTGATTAGCGCATCGACAGAGTGGAAATAAGGGTTGCTAGAGTTATCGACCGATCTTAGTCGGAATACTGTAGAACCATCGGCTGCGGACTCTTCGATGACTAGGTGATGGCTGGAAGTTTTCAATTATTTTTTAGGAACTATCATGTTTTTATTTTTTTGTACATTCTGGAAATTCTAACTCTTTTCTCGATAACTAGCGAGTGTTGCAGGTTAGTTCAGCAAGTCATTTAGTACATTCAAGAATATTTTGGCTAGTTTTCAGCAAAATCATTGACAGCAACGTATAGTTACCGTCCTCCAAAAAAAAAGATTTTCTCACTGGTAGATGCCGTTCTCAGAAAGGTAGACGATGCTGAGCGGAAGGTGAGGCTGAGGCTCGAGATTGGACGAGGACTCCGACATCTGATGGTAGACCGCAAACTCGGTCTTCCTTTTCACCGACTTAAACTTCCGTAATCACACTTCTTTTGTTTTTAAAAAGCGTCGAACTTTTTCAGCCTGTTTCTTGGTCCGGACTCCGATGTAAATATTGCGAACGGAGCTTGAGAGTCCCGAAACGGTGGAATCGCTCCTTTCCGCGTTGGAAATCACGCCCAATTCCAACTGTTTATTCTCGTCCAAAAGTTCCATCAGAGCTGTAAGAATTTTGACAGACTGCAAGAAAAAGAAAAGAATTTTAGCAAGTCTGAAAAGCGTATAGTTCCATCTCTTCGCGTCAGACTGTAGTATCTTTTTTTGTTCTAAACTTTCAATGATTCTCCACTTTGATGATACATCTCTTTTTGTCATATTTTTCCGCAGATTCGATGGTTTTTTTAATGAAAATAATGAACAAACTAGCGTTCGAAAACTTTTGAATAATTATTTCAAGTTCAAATTTTGAATTTTCCCTTTTGATCTTTCTTGAAATTTATATTCCATTGATTGATCAAAAATTAGACTTGTTCTTCGAGTTTGGTATAAACTCGAGCCAGTGAAAGAGTGATTATATATATATTTTGTAAATTTCATCTGTGACTATGCGATCTTACACGGGTTACGAAATTTTTTTGTCTTCAGAAAAAAACTTTAATAAAAACCAGCTATTTTTTTATAACTGTCTTATATAGTCTGTCTGCCACGACTTGACAGTTTTCACGTGTCTGCGTCTCTTTTTTCTTTCAGAGAAAAGTCAGAGGGAACTGAGAAAAATGGAAACAGCACGTAAACATGAGAGAGACGTCGAGAGATAGGGAGAGTGCAGAGAAGTCTCGCCTTTTCGGGTCGCGAAAAACGGACTATACGGGGAAAATGCAAAAAATACAGGTTTCAGAGTAGTTTAGAAAGTTTTCGGAGCTTTATAGGTTACATTATTCAACTTAATATTATTTTCGTTGTGAAATAAGAGCTCTGTAAATTACGTATTTCAGCAAATATTCAATTTTTTCCCATTTTTTTTCCTATTTTCTTACTCGGGAATACTTACATTGAGCTCGATCAAATTTGGAAGAAGCTAGAGGGGGAGGAAATTTTCGAAATGAGTTTAAAAACTCGAGCGAGTCCTCGAAAGCCTTCTCGAGATCGGCGATGCCGCTAGAAAACAAGTTTTTTTTGGAAGAATCCAAAAACTTACGATCGAGGTTTGTCGTTCATGACTCCAAAACAACAAGAAATGAATGAGATAAGTTTTTATTTTCGAAATAAAGCTCACAGCGAATTTTAGATCGTAAGTGGAATAGTTTCTTCGTCATTTCTAGTTTCGCTCTCGCCATGAATATGTTTGCCAATCATCATTTCAAGCACCAGATCCCGTTACCAAGGTTTAAAAGACAGTTTGTAATTTTTGCGGAATATCCTTTTTGAGAAGAAAATTTTTTTTTGAAAAGTGGTTGAACTTTGATGAAACTTGGCTGAACTTCAATACTTCTTAAACCAAAAAAATTTTTTTTTGAGTTATAAAATTTCGAAAGCTTCAAAAAGCCCATTTTTTTAATCAATTAATTATTATTCTATACATAGGCAGGTTTTGTGGCGCTTGAGGGGAACCAAAAAAAGTTAGGTTATGAAATATATATATGCTCATTTTGAAGCTTAATGACTCGAAAAAGCACATACTTACTTCTTATTCTGGAATGAGGAGACCCTAGAGAGCAATCCAGCACAGCTTCATCGAAATTTTTAATAGATCTTCGGGAAAAATTCCATTTTGAAGTTATTAAGAAGGAACTAATGAAGAGGAAAATGTAATTCTCCTCGCTTGATGAACTTTCCTAAGCTTCGAAAAACGTAGTAAACAATTTGTTGAAATTCAGAGCCAAAGCCGGTCTGTGCGGCGAGCTTCACGTTCGTGCTAAGGTTGACGAATTGGAGTGTGGCAGTGTTGGTTCTACTCCAGTTTCCGATAATAATGGTGTGATCTCAGATTTCCGCCACGGTCCAACCTGAAGACTTTGACAACATCGTCTCATCCCTGCAACCAGGTGATTTCAATCTTCCAGTTCTATCAATCAATTTGAAGTCTTTCAGCCAAAACCGTGGAAGTGAAGAAGCGAAAAGCGTGCCCGGCTCATGATTCTAAACTATGGAGCGACTTGGTAAGTATTTCTCCAAGCAAAATGAGGGAGACGCGAAAACTTCAGAAACACCCGCGAATATCGATTCGAAAGATTCTGTCGAGAATATTACTGTTTGTGCTATCGATCTTATACATTTTAAGTCCACCGTGGCCGCCGTTGATGATGCGAAAAGCGATCTTTTGTCCGCCACCCCGCGGCTCCTATTACTACCTTATCGGATATCAGAAGGTTCTGGTTTTCTTCGAGTTTCAGGCGATTTCCGATAAGCTTCGTTCACGCAGGCTTTGTTGACATACACTATAATCATCATGAAATGAGCAAAAATAAGTTCATTGGGACCTTCACTACCTCATTTTGCTGTAGCATGTTGTGCCATCATGTCATGATTTTTTTTTCCGAGAGTTTCGACGGTCTGTCTATGTGCAGGCAAATTTAGTTTTTTAAAGCTCAGAACTGCTTAAAATAACACCAAAGTAATCATTTTTTCCAGAATGGGAAGAAAAAAGCGTGTTTCTACGCCCATGAAGCGATCGGAATGGAACGTGTGGCGATTTGTTTACCCCAAATGCTCCATCCCAAAATCCGAGCCGTCGACGTTTATTACCATCTTTTAAGGTGCAAAGTACGGACTTGCCTTGAAATTACCAAATGAATACGACAATTGAGACAATAATCCTGCCATTCAACGAAACCCAATATTTTTGTGCGATGGAACTTTCTTGCGAACAGTCGATTCGATGGCTTCATCGCGACAAGTCTCGGACAATGTAAAAAAAAATTTTATGGTTTGAGATCGGATAGTTGAAAAAAAGTCGAAATTTTGAATATTCTAATTATATTCATTATCAACGCCGACTATATAAATGGATCCATTTTGATTTTGAAAGAAAACTTTTTTTTTTCATATTTTATGAGAAGCCTCTTTGCTGGTTTGAGAAATTTATTTTAAAAAAATAACCTTTTTAAGTTTCATAATCTTTTTTCCGAAAAAAACTGACCAGCAATGGAGATATAATCCGTCTGCCGCGACTTGGCAGTTTTCGAATGTCTGAGTCTCTCTGTTCCCTCACCGGCGAGGTCAGAGAAACATGAAAACAGCACGTCAACACGGAGAGGGTCCACGAGAGACGAGGAGGGCGCAAAGAAAAACAGGAGTTTCGAGTCGCGAAAAACGGACTATAGGTGATATGATACATAGAGGATAACCAAATCAAAAAAAAAACCCCTCTTTTAAAAGAATATTCGTTTTTTCGAGGTCTGAAAGATTCCAGAAAACGTTCGCCTTACCTGATAATCTTCTCGCAACCGAACAGTTCCGATCTCGGCTGCTGCCTGATGATGGATCCAAACTTTGTGAGTATTTGTGTGAGTATATGTGAGACTTTAAATTTTATTTCAAGTTTTTTCAATTACTTTGATGTACTCAAAAAACCATGAACTGATCAAATAGATAGTCACAGAAGCATAGCTTAATTCAAAAACAAAAAAATAGCGCAAAAATAAGGCGTTTAGAAACTTTTATGTTCTCTATTGATTTTTCAATAGGAGAATTTTTGGCGGGTCTTTTTTTAATAAAGGGGAAAAAACCATTTTGCCATTACACTATCAAAATCGCAAGTTCTCAGGCCGACATGGCGGACTTTCTGCAATGCGACATGCTCATCTACGACTACCCTGGCTACGGGGTCAGCGATGGCGAGAGCACCGAGAAGAACATTTATGTCTGCAGCGAGGCCGTCTTCAAGTTGAAAACGGCCAAAAAGTCAATATCGGATGAGGATTTTTGCAGATATGCGACCGACAAGTTGGGCTACGCACCGGAGAATATCATTCTGATGGGCTTCAGCCTCGGCACCGCCGCCATGATACATATTGCCGAGATGCAGAAGGTTGATTTTTGAAGGATTGAAGGATAGATGTCCAAGAAGTCAGGGTCTCTGGCCTCTCTCAATTTTTGAGGGATCTTGTCTTTCTGATGCAAAAGGTTATAGGTAGGAGCGGTAGTGCTGATTGCGCCTTTCACATCGTTCTCGCGAATTTTGTTGCGTTGTCCGTCGATGGCGACGCCGATCTTCGACATGTTTCCCAGGTAAAGACTAGAGAAAAAAAGAATCTCAACTTGAATTCTTATATAATTGGATATATATATATATGATATTTTGAAAAAGGCTAACTAACGAAGCTCTGACTAGGGAAAAAAACGTTCCCTGGTGAGAAAGATTTCAGAATTAATATAATTTTTTTCTAAACAGTCCGTCGAGATTTTTCAAATAGTCAAAAATTTGATAACTTCATTTTTTTATTCTGGTATTCTAAAACCTTGAAAAAAATTTTTTTTTGTTTATTCGGCCCAATACAATCTTATCGGTTAGTTTTCAATCAAAAGCTTCATTGGTATGAGAGGAGCTGCAAGTCAACAGTGTTCCGAATAGCAAAACCCGAAATTTAAAAGTTTTGAATGGTAGTTGTACTATACTTTTTCCGATCCTGAGTGACAACTGATTAGGGGTTTGTTCTTACCGAAGTCTCAGCTACTCTCTAAGATTTCGAAGTTCCAACACGGTATTTTTGAAAGCTCGACTACGGCTACATTTGAAGAAATTAGTTCTGCTAAGTTTTTTTTTTCCGTTTGAATATTTCCTTTAACAATTTGCAGCCTGGAGAAGTCGGAAAAGATCACGTCGCCGACGTTGATCTGCCATGGCCAACGGGACATAATCGTGAGCCATGCCCACGGCGTTCAGCTCCAAAAGAAGATCCCCAACTCGGAGCTGTACTCTTTGAAACATGCCAGCCATCAGGTAGCAGATACTCACTGAAAAGTTCAACCATGAAACGCTCAGGGAATCTTCTGCGAGCGAGAAATGTGGGACGAGGTGGAGCGGTTTCTTGGTCATCGGGTCCAGATCACGGCCAAGTGGAGCGAGTTGCTACAGAAGGAGTCGGCTTTCTCCGAAAGTCCGTGTCTTTTTTCTTTTTCTACAGTCCAAAAATGCTTGTTCCTCAGTTACCGAAGTCGCCGTTGAGCCGGTCTTCGTGCCAAGCAAAACAGATTGAAACCTTCTTTTTACTCATTCAATAAGATATTAACCCTAAGAAAAGCCGTTTTTAGTTTTGAAATTTATTTCCATCATTTCAAATGACAAAAAGAAAAGCAAAATGCGAGCGAGTGAGCTTTTAGGTGTAAAATACGGAAAACCCAATTGGAAATGAAAATTGTGACACAAAACTTGATGAAAACATACGAATATTAAGGACATGAGTGGCCCGTGTTTAGTGGCAGCCAAATGCCAAGGGAAGATAGAAAAGAAGAAAGGAAGAGATTGAGGCAAGAGTGGGGAAAATGGTGTTCTTTCCTTAAGGTGATGATCAATTGGAATATATTAACATTAATAATAAATAAACAAGAATTAACAAGAAAACTTTGATCGTCTAGGAAAAAGAAATCACAAGAATCTTTGCCCTGGGCGTGTAAAAAGCCAAGTGAAAGGTTGCCATTCAGAAGATAGAAATGAATGGTATGTCGATCAGAATGTACATATAAAAAGAGAGCAATTAGTGCATAAATGAAAGATTCACGGAAAATAATATGTCCATTGAGAGTAAGTTAAGTGAGCGCAAGGTTCGAAGTTGAAAGAAATGGAAAATCGGCAGGTCGATTGAGTCATAAGCCACTTTGATTCGATAAGAGGGAAAAGTACATAAAAATTGGTAGGTAGAGTACCCGCGAGGACAAGGAAATAAGTGCTCCAAAACTTTTTACATTGGAATTGGAAAAGTTAAGCAATTGGGAACAAGTTGAATAAAACTCTATGTGGCACCGGTGCTGAGGATCGATAGGGCGGTAAACTCTAGGAGAAAGGAGGACGGAACAGAAACACCTACAAGGAGAAAAAGAAATGAATGAAAAAAGAAGACGCTCATTGGGCGCTTTCGATGCTTTCCAGAGTGACGACAGAGACGTTGTCGCGTTCGTCGTCGTAGATGCGGAGCTCGTCGTAAGGAGCTGCGTTCTGGTCCGTTTCCAGGTCTTTGATCTTCGAGTTGAGCTCGTCGTCTGGCTTGGGACCTCCTCGCGGCGGGTAGAGAGGCGGCGCTGGTCCGCCGAGTCCTGTGTCCAGAGGCATAACCGGCTTCCGCAGGTTCGCGATCGAGTACTGTAACGACGCTTTGTTGAATAAAATATTTCAAAAATGATTTTTGTATATGAAAGTTCAGTGCATACAGGTCGGTTCTTTATAAAGACGGCAGGAAATCAAAAAGTAACAATAGGTTTTTCTAGCTTTTTGTGAAATTTCAGTCAGAAACAAACTAGGAAGAGGCAGGTGAAGATAAATATTCAAAAAAAAAAAAACACTAACGATTTCTGTATAGCTTCTTTCCAATCTACCAACCTGATCATTATCAGCTTCACCGCCGCCTTCAACGGCATACGGCCGGAGGTTGTCTCTATTCAGTTCGTCAGGGCGAATCGTCTCGAAAGGCGCGGGAGACCGTCGGGTGTAAACAACCATCAGCAGGACAAGCACTGAATATTCATAAATTGAAGCAAGATTGAGGGTTATAATGACTGACTGATGAGTAGGATGAGAGAGACGAGGATGAGGATAATGGCTGGAGAGCTGATGCCGAGCTTGGAGACGGCCAGAGTGGCGCCGCAGCCGACGACCTGTCCGTCTTCGCCGATGATGGCGTTCGCGCCATCGGGACACGTGCAGAATGGGCCTTTCCAGAAGTCGACGCAGGCAAAAGAGCCGCCGCAGTAGCCGACGGGAAGGTCTGCACAGGTGATTCGCAGGTCGCAACCTGTAATTTTCCAACATGATTCTCAGAAGCTTGAAAAGTCGACACAAACCATCTCGAACTCCTCCGACGTTGGTTATCGTTACGATCGCTTCTTCAGATTCGTCGAGCGCACTTCTTCGCAGCGGAAGATTCTGCTTCGACCAGCGGTACGTGCCAACGCATCCCTGTAACGATTTTGAGTTCAAATCACTCTAACTAAAGAGGTCTGAAAAAACACTAACTAAAAAAGTCACAAAAATTACCTGGAAGCCCTTGCCCTGAGTGCCGAGCATGATCTGGTTCACTTGCAAGGAGAATGGCTGTCCTCGTTGAAGTTGTTGAGAAACAGCGTAAGCGCCATCGATGGCGAGGCTTGCCCTGAACGAGAAAAAATATTACAACCGTTCTTTTTTATCAGAATGAATCACCTCGTCGGATTCCTCGTGAACTGCATCCAGTAGCTAGCATTTTCCTTGAGGATCACGTCGGTCACTCGGAGATCTTGCTGAGAGCGGATGCCGGCGGCGCCGAGGTCGAATTTGGACGCCGCGTTGATTCCGTAAGAGGAGGACTCGAGGGAGGTCGAGACGTAGCTCTGAAAAATACAAGAATTACAGTAGGATTGTCTTCAAGTTAAAAGCGAGTTTAAAGTAGTAAAATTTATTAATTTAAGCTGACAAATGCTGGAAGCTGAAAAATGCAAACAAAAAAAACTATTTGACGTTTTTTTTTCGACTTTTTCTAAACAGAAAGCTTCACTCCGGATGCTCTTCGAAGTTTTGGAATACTTTTTTTAACTTTGAAAGAAATTTTTTTGTAGTTTATTAATTGAAATACCTGTTGAGAGTCAGTTCCATAGGAGAGCTCTGCGGCACCGTTGACACGTCCCGGAATGAACAAAAGCTCGATATCGTTGACCTGAAACGAATCGAATATTTTCCCGCTTGATTCCTCCTTCTCACCTGTTCCGGGAACGCGATTCTCGGTGAGTAGTCCACGAAGCCTCCAGGCTGGAACTGAATCCACTCAATCTTCCGGTCGCACCTCGCGCCGCCCCATCCAGGATCGCAGACACACTTGGCCACCATCGCCGTGCTTCCCTGAAAAAGTTGTTGTCAAGAATGTCTCGCGAAACGGTGAAGTGAACCTGGACGTCGGCGAAGCAGTCTCCGTGGACGCAGTGCTGCAGTGACTCCACCGAGTTGCTGTCGCAGGTCGATCCCCACAGACGGCAGCCACGCTCCGAGTTGGATTCAAAGGCCGGCGTCGCCAGGTCGTACTGGTCGCCGTTGACGTAGAGGTTGCGCACGCAGCCGTTCAGACCGTTCTTCGGCACTGTCAGCGGGTATTCTTGGCCGGAGAGCGGCGCAAGGCCTGAAACTAGTTGTTGGAGATTGAATTAATAAGAATGTTATGGAGACTCGTTTAAAATACATTTTTTCTGCAAGGTTTTCCGAAAAAAGGTTCGAGGACTCGTATTTTACCTCCAATCTGAACAGGTGTCACTATATTGAGACGTTCGTCGTCATCTGGAGTGTAGAGTTCGGCGCGGCAAGTCGAATCGTCAGCTCCCATGCCGAGGAATCGACAAGAGTCCACAACCAGCTCCACATGCTGCAAACATTATAATGAAGTAGAGCTTGTAAGTTTGCCGTTGAATTTTGAAAAGTCATTACTCTAATTATTCTATTTTGTGCGTGTAACAACTCTAACTATTCATTAGTCCTCTAAAGAGATAACTAGATTCTTGATAATGAAACTACTTCAAGAGCTCATGTGAAACCGAATTCCCTTGTAGGTGTTACTTCAAACTTTGAAGTTCTAGGCTGAAATTTTCCACCTATTTAGAATCACCAAATACTTCAAAACTCATGAAATTAGCTAATAGCCCCGTGAAAGCATGGAATCACGCAACACGCGTAATTTAGTTATGCCAGACGAGGAGCCTAATCGAAGGCAGCACATCATGTCAACCGGAAAACTCAAGGAGTCTCGGACCCACAATTATGCAAATAGTCTCTGGGCGCTAAGTAACGTTGCGTCGTCGTCGAGTAGTCGAGTGGGTTCATCCGTAAACATTCCCACGTACTTACACGTCGTTAATTTAGGTCGCTCGCCGCGCAAAAAGTGGACAGAAACCGTTTTGAACCACACTAATCCGCCTATTTCATAAAGACATCTGACCTTATTTAGATTCGTTAATTAGTAATCCTACATAGTACAACTTTACTGTTCGTTCCTTAGTACGAGCGAAAATTTCATTTTTTTTTAAAAAGTTAGCTTGAATGAAAAACTATCAAACATTTTTGAGGAAAAACGAAAAAAACTTCATATAAATGTGATAAATGATTTTTAAAGATATTTCGAAAAGAAAATTTTACATTTTTTCTTTTAGGTTTTTCTCTTACACACACGTCAGACGTCCTTCCCTTAAGCGGATTCTAAGACATCCAGCGATCACTTAATTGAAATTAGGTGATGATTTTTAGTGTTCTCTTGAAAATATGAATCTCACTTTTTCGACGTTCATATTTTCTTCTTTCAACTGCTTCGCAATAGACATCTGCTTTACCTTTCCGTTTTGCGTAACGGCGATATCGTGCCAAGTTCCGTCGTTGAGCGCCGACGACGCCACTTCCAGGCTGTTCTTGCCCTGTCCGTTCATCGACAGCTCAAGATAGACACGGCCGGCGCGAAGTTGGATGAAGATGTAGTCCGAATACTCAATCTGCGTGCCGCTGCTTCCAGTGTCCATTGGTCCGTTGTAGAACAATAGCGCGTCGGATTGCCTGAAAGCCCAGTTGGAGATGAGAACTGACAGAATGTTTCAGACATGGTCATGAAGCTGAAGGAGATGTTCAGGCTGGTGCAGGCGGGCATCGGTTTGTACCAGGCGAATCCATTTCCGGAGAAGGATCGTGTCGTTCCCTGGCATCGCATTCCCTTCAGAGCGTCGTTGCGGCATTCGCAGCTGGAAAACAAAAAGCAAAATGAAAAGTTCGACTGGTGAAAACTGACAAGAATCCAGGATTTGTGTTGTGGCAGACGCCGTCGTTGTGGCAGAGGGAGTGCTGACAGGCCGGCGGAGCTCTCCAAACCGGACAGGTACAGTCGTCCCGAGAAGTAGCGTTAACGCCGACGATAACTGTGCTGTTGGCAGAGACAACAATTCCGTCCTGTAAAAACAAACTTTCAATCTCCATAAACTAACTGGAAAAGAAATTTTAGTTCATATTGGGCCTTCATCCCTTGAATCTATGCTTAATCAGAAGTTCCATCAAGCTGAGAGCCCTAGTGAGAGTAAAAAAAGTTCATTTTTAAGTGTCGTTTGAATTGAAAAAGGAAAAATTGTAAAACAGTGAAAACAAATGCTAAAGAAATTCAAAAACTCAAAAAGCGCAAAAAGGTCTCACTTGAAAATCTTCTATAAAAATTCCAATATTTTTCCGTTCATTTAAAATTTTCGGGTATTTGAAAATCGCTGCGAAAATCGAGCCTCGATTTTTTACACTATTTATTTTTCTCTGTTCGTCTCGCGCTGTAGAAATGGCGGCTCGATTTTCGCAGCGCGATTATCATATACCCAAATTTTCAAAACGCGTACATAATCAGCCGAGTTCAAAGTCTGGCATCCAGCATCACACGTCGTGAACTTGCACATATCGATTCCGACGCCGACAATATCGACGCCAAGCTTCTGCTGCAGATCATCTCGATGCGCCGAGATCAGACCGTTCAGCTGGGCGGAGTCTCTGAAACGAAGAGATGATCATAGATCTTCAGAATGTTCTGAAACCTGTAGGCAGTGCCTCGAGCGTCGAATCTCACGTTCAAAACAGGCACATCTCGCGTCTGCAGCGTGGCGATACCGACTTGGACCGAGAAGACATCGATGGTGACGTCGCCGCCCATGTAGCCGACCATTTCCGACTTGAACACGTCCATCATGCTCTGGCCGTTCGAGTTGATGCGGATAAAGTCGTCGGGCAATTGGAGCGGCGTGTCTTCAGCGATGAGCAGTTGAACGGATCCCTGGAGATGCAAAATATGAGTGTTTTGCTTGGCTTTTCGGGTTCAAACCTGGTTGTCGAAGGCGATTTGGGGTACAGCGGCGACGATGACGGTGACATAGCCGACGGCGTCTTCGTTCCTCGCATTGTCATGACAATTGGCCGACATTTGGTAGGTTCCCGGAGGCATGTTCGCGTCCATCGTGATGTCTCCCTTCGGCGACAGTTCAAAGCCTCAAAAATTTGAAATTTAGTGAAATATTCAATTGTGAGGCGAAAAATTCTAGAATTAATGCCGTGTTCAATTTGATTCCGCGAAATGCAAAATGATCTCTGAATCTCCAAAATCTAGTGATCTTTTCCTTTCTCTAACGGGTATTTTGCATTTCGCGGATTCAAATTGAACACGGCATAAAAAAACATTTTTCATCCGCATGTTTTTATTTATTAATAGATCACATTTCCTGTGAAAGTTCTACTTTAATTCTTGCTCTAGTTTTTTTTTTGGGAAGATCCATCCACGATAACTTTTTTTTCTAATTTTTCAAAATTTTTCAGAAAAAAAAAGTCTAATACTTAGAAAATATGGACTTTAAGATATTACAACTTTCTCAATGAAAAAAATTTATCTGCTTTTCATTTAGATTATTTCCAGGCTTTAATTCATCTGAACACTCACCAGACTGTGACTGTTTCCAGGTAAAAGTCTTATCAGGAAGGTCCCAATCGTCGGCGTCGTCGACGTAGACCCGACCAATGACGGTTTGCTTCAGACGGCCCAAGTAGGAGTTCACATTGATCGTCATCCGACCGTCGTGCATCGGATTGTCGTTCTGAAACCGACATTTTGCTTCTATTTATTTTGACCCTTTGCGCGACTTAGGTTAACCCAAAAAAGATGCAAATTAAAAGCACTGGTGAGGTCTTCAAGTGGAGAAGGGTGACGAGAGGCAGAAGAATGGGATTAGGAGACGTTTCGCATCTGTCTCAAGTAGGTCAAACTCGAGAGCTTTTTTTGAATAATTGTCTTGATCTTCATATTTCAAAAATCGTTTCATAAAAAAATTTTTTTTCATTTTTTTCAACATTCTTCACTCAAATTTCTTCCCGCATTTCAAGTTCCCAACTTTATAAAATTCAATTTGAAAGATATAAGTTCCTTACTCTTTTTCCTCATTTTCTGCCCTTGATTTTTTTTTTCATTTAGTTGGAGTCGACAAAATTTTTATTTGAACTCAACAAACTTAAAATTCTTTCTGTAGCTCACACTCCCAAGTTTTCATAAAAATAGTAAACTTTTCGAGTTCGAACTAATTATGCAAACGAAGAGAGAAATTTAATGCGGAACACGGCAAGCGGCGCCTTGTTCAAGGACCTCCCATAACACTAATTATCTAATTAGAGAGAGGCACATGTCCAACGGAAGTGAGGCAGCGTCTGTCGTGAAGAATCAGGTCAAAATAAGGCCAGAGCCGAAGCCTACGGTTATTGAGAAGATTTTTGAGATCCTGCCTTCTTCTACTTGAATAATTTGTTAGGATGATACAATTCTTTTGAAAAAAACACCTTTTTTTCAATAAATAGTTTACAAGTTAAAAATATGCTTATTTTTGCTCAAAAAAAGCTTATTTTTCGCAACAAGATCGAAAAATACTTGAATTTTCCTAAATTTCACAAGTTTTCTGCCGTTTAGAAATAATAAATTTTACTTTTCGCGTTTTCCTTCCGGACAACAGAATTATGGAACCCAAAAATTCTCAAGTATAAACTTTCGAGTTGTTGAGGAACGTTTCCCGCGGAAAACTACCAGATAATCCTCAACAATTAGTGTGCGTTAATCTACCAGAAGACGTAAATCGTCATGTTCTTCTTGATTTTTTGTCAGCAAAAAAAAAAGTAAAAATGGGCACAAAACCTCAATTTTTTGAAAATGTATTCCACTACAAAATCCCAGGTGACACGCCTAATTACAAGCCGAAACCAGCAGCAAAACGGCGATCCGCAAAAAAAAAAGAGATTTCGCGGGCGACAGGTAGACAGATGCAAAAATAATGGTCCGCATGATTTGAACATCAAAAGAGATTTCCGCCCTCTTTTTTTGAAAATAAATAGAGGGAAAGGCTCACCACGTCGCCAATGATGACGTGCACGGAAGCGTAGTTAGTTTTTCCTGCTCGATCCGTCAATTTAAGTGGGATTTCAAGGATCTGAAAATGAACAATTGAAAGTCTGGATAATACTGAAATAAATGTACCTTTCCGGGGACCGGCGCTTCACGATCGAACTGTTGGAGCGGCGTGATCGTCATCGACCCGTTGCCGCCGTCACCATCTGCAAAAATGATCAAATTTATTCTGATTTTTTGATGGTTTCCGAAAATTGTTTACTCACTGTGTTGAATTTATTTCTAGGCAGCTTTATTAACTGATAAACCTCGATTATTTCATCTTATAATGAAAAAGTAGGAATCAAAATGACGAACCATCAATCAGAATATCCAGAAAAAGTTTTTAATGAAGTTTTTACTGTAGGACTTTTTACGCGATGGGAATTTTCAACAAAAACCAATGAAATTCGAAGCGAAAAATGGTTTTTAAAAACTCCTTTTGAAATAATTTTGGAAATTAGCTTTTTACATGAAAACTATACCATCAGGAAAAAAACCTAGTTTAAGATTACTGAAGAAAACAACTTGAAATATCTTAAACTTTAGAGAAATTAGAGAGAACATACTAGGATTGAAGATGACGCTGAGGTACTGGCCGTATTTGAAATTCGGCGACAGTTCCATGGTGAACGGCGGTCCATACTCTCTGAAAATTGCTTGTAAAACTATTTAAGAAAAAAAAATATGGATTCTGTGAAAAATTAAAATCTACCAGCAGTATGTAACCTTGGCGCCAATTTTCGCTGCGTCAAAAAAATATTTCATTTTTTTAAATTTTTGAGACGCAAGCCCGATACTTTTAAAGAAACTAACGAAATTTCTTTCTATCGTATGTTCCGAGGCGATCATGTCTTGAAAGCAGAGTCAAAATAGCTACCGTAAACACAGCTTTTTCTTGCACTTTTGCTCTACAAAACTGCAAAAAACAAAGATGTTGCAGCGATTTGGTATACGGTCTTCTTGCACAAAAAAATGATGTGGCGTGGAGAGGGTCATGACAAGTAGATTAAAGAAAGTTATTGATTGATTGAGAAGAACGGATCGAACCCCGTGTCCCTGTCGGTGGCACGGATCTCGCAGGTGCCGAGTTGGTTGACCGGCGTGTTTTCGCGGAAGATACAAGGCCTCGGGACGGTATACGGCTCCGGACCGTTGTCGTTCACGTCCTGCAGGTAGACGGCCACCATTTGCCGGCCCACGTTGTTCGCTGAAAAAAAGTGGATTTTACAAATTCCTCCGCTTTTTTCCTAAAAATTTGAAATTCTGCCGATTGACGCAAAAAGCAAGCCTCGCATCTTCAATTCTTACTCTAATTTTCTTATAAGAAGAAAAACCAATTAGACTTTGCCAATTTTTCTATCAAGTTTTTAAATTTGTATTCCTGAGCCTTCTCAGAAGTTTCTCCTGAGAGATCTTCTCTTTTCAAACCATCCTTCAAAGTATTTCAGAGATTCAAAATAAGTTCTCAGGAAAAGTAGTAAAAATTCACAATTTTATTCAAAATGACAAGTTACAAAATTTTGAACTTCTAAAAGACCTTTTTCAATGCTTACTCTAACAGCTTTTGAAAAAGCAAGAAATTATAATTTGTTGCACTAACTCTGGCGGCCTTAAATTAAATTTTAAAAAAATTTTTAAGGAGATCTAGTTTCTTTTTTTAGGAAAAATAATTTCTTCATCCTTGCGAATTTGAACTACTAACAAGCATCGTAGGCCTCAATGATAAGGTTGTAAACGGCGATGTCCTCGCGGTCGAGTCGATGGGCGACTTTCAAAGTTCCATCCTGGTCGATCGTGAACTGTCGCTTCGGATCCGACTGTCGGTTGATTCGGAACCTGGAAAATACTTTGTAAATTCAGTGGAAAATCCCTCAAGTTCAATCCTCTCGAATTTCCCCAATTATTTGTGATTGCATCGTCCGTCCAGCAACAAACAATTGCATGGGACTGACATTCGATACGCACTGGTCAGACAACCGAGAACAAATAGCCAACATGTACGTGTGCAGGTAAACTTTTCACACCTGTCTCGTCCCAAAATTATAGTCACTATTATTTTTTTATTTTCCAAGATTTTGAAGTTAGATTCATGAAGTTTTCACTAAACCTTTGATAATTGACTCTCTTTCGAATATTTACGCCTAAAAACCTAGAGAGAAGACAATTATCAATTAAAAGAGAACCCGCTGGTTTCCAACCGGAAATCCACTCATTAATACGTACTTCTCTTCATTTCGTCTCAATAACCGATTTGGTTAGCGGCGCACAACAGCGAAAACAAATTTATTCCTACAATGACTCAATTTGTCGCGACGGCAATGGTAGAAGCGTTACTCGAAGATGGTTGGAGGCGAGTTTCAACCAAAAAAAAAAAAGAAAGAGGTGACCCTCCAACAAGGCTCTAAATCACAGAGGCGGTGTCGATGACGCATTTTTTCGGCAAAGTACAGAGGGTTCCGGAGGAGATTAACCAACCATTGTCTTTTGGATTCGGCACTTGCGATCTCAACTTGTCCAGAGGCCCATCAAACCAGTATTTTTTCCAGAGAAACTTTTTTTTTCAAATCTCGGATTTTGAAGGCACGCAAGCGCAGCCAGTTCACAGCCGAATTTTCCAGAGATTTTTTTTTTGAAAAAAATTTAAAAAAAAAGACACAATTGTTTCAAACAATGGCGCGTTGAATCGAATCGGATGACACACATAAGGAAGCCGAAGCAACTCGACAACAAAGCGCAATGCCGCGTGTGTTTGTGTTGATGTAGCACACACCGGTTGAAGGCGAACCATCGAGGAGGGGTCCACTTGACGACCAAAGGTTCCAAGTGGGTCGGCCGCCTTCAAAACACCTTCGGTAACGCTTGCTCCGACGAGCAGATTTCGTGTCACCCAACTTATATGACGAAAAGTTGGTAAAACATCGGAGCGTAAAAAAGGTATCTTCTGACCTCCAGAAGTCCTGTAGCCGGAGCATAGAAAAAGGCCACAAGAGCTCACTCTTAAGTTTGAAAAAAGCTTAGAAATTAATTTAAAAAAGAAAATGATCCAGAAAAATATAACTATCCGGATACAGCTTCAAGTAATTCATTTTCTCAGCTATTTTTTCTTCTCGCCCGTTGCCCCTCAAACAAACGACTAACATACTATTAGTTAGATAGAACCTGGACGATCCTCTCAGAAAAAGAAGCCTAACCCCGTTCTTTCCCAAAGTACAGCGCTCAAATTCCGCCACGTGCTGGTTGTCATAGCCCTCAATTACCATGTCAAACGGAGGAGGCCTTTTGCGGATTGCAACCTCGTTTTCGGTCGGAACTCCAGAGTAGAACAACACATATGGACCCTCTCAATGTGGTAATTATCAGCAATTGTCCGGCGTGCCATGTGTTTGGTCAGCGGAAAGCGATACGGCTCACAAAACCTTATCATTATCTCCACATTCAGATGCAAATCAGCAAATCAGGTGTTGATCTGACAAAGCGAGACAAGGTCGTGGGAAGAAAAACGAAATCCTCATCGTAGATTTGACAAAAAGACAAGGAAAGTGAATGTTCTCACAACTTAAAATTTCAAAAAAAAAAATTGGCTATAATTTTTTCAAGTAAATATGCACACTTCCAACTCAAATTTCCTTCTTTTTTTTTTCAAAAGAATGCCTCGCTTTACTAATTAAGAAAATAGAACTTCGAAGAGTGAAACCTGGGGCCTTCGAAAAACCATTTTGCACTTGTTTTCGATTTTTTGAATATAATGACCTTCCTTGTGAACAGGTTTAGATAACTTCTTGGTCGAGAAATTCCCAAAAGTCACTTTAAGCAATAAAATGGCTATTCACAGGACCGGGGTCGAATGTTAAATCGGCCATAAATGTTAACGGTATTCAGGCCGTTCGATTCACGGCCAATCGACTTCGAACGGCATTGAATAGCTCAAGGAATCGCAATTCACCACGAAATTCTCAAGTGCGCCCAGGTGGAATTTGCATACGCCGCGACTGTAGGTTCCTATTGTCAAATACTACACGCGTCGACCTACTTTACAGTCGCCCATGTGCCGAGTTTTGGCCTTTGTCCACTTTGTCAAGTAAATATGCTCGAATCAAACAAAAATGACCGGCGGCAAAGTCATTTTCTTTTTGGCATGGTTCAATGAAACCGCCCCTGTCAAAATATCCAACGAGAACAGTGTGTCTTTACTGTGCGGCGAGGACGGCTAATGCTTACACAAACATCTGGGAGCCACGGCGGACTTCACGCCGGCTTGTGTCAATTGTTTCCGCACTTCCTCTCATCGTGAGAACCAATTGAAATCTTCGAAAAATGACACATTCCGTCGAGTTTCAAACAAATAAGCTGTGGATGAGTCGACTTTTCTTCTGATTTCAGACAAATGTAAATTTGACAGCAATCAAAATGCATGGTGAATCTCAGTGACAGACGAAATTCCCTCGTCGCTTCGAATTATGCGTTATTGGCGGATGGTTGGTTGATGCAAATCTTAATTCCAGATCGGGGTCATCAGCCTTTTCCACCTCCGACGCCGCCGCTACATCGTTGTAGCGTAACCTCCGCCGAAAGAAGAGGACGGAGACGTGGGAAGACACCCAGCTGCGAACGGTCGACCCATGTTCGTCTGCCAAAAAAAAAAAAGGCGCCTCCTTCGACGTATACGACCAAAACTTTCTCATCGCCACATCTTGCGCAATCCTTTCTTCTCCTGGAATAACGAGCAAGAAAAAACAGTTTCCCAGCATGGCAAAAGGCCACCGCAGCGATCAAACATGTCTTCTCGTCAATTTAACGACTCGGCTCTTTTGTTTTTATCTCGCTTCTCTCACTGATAACGGTGATAGCACTCGACGTTCTCATTGTAAAAAATGTTGTACGGCCGGAGCTCCGTTCAAAACGTAAAGATGACTCAGAGCAGAGTCAACTGCGTTCAAAAAAGACGAAGAAGAAGAAAGAACGGCAAATTCCACCTGCATATGCCACCTACGCATCACCAACACCTTGAGCAAACATACAAACCGAGCAAGGCTATCGATCGATTGCTCATCCTTTTCCATTTGAGGTCACAACCTCTTAAAAAGCTCCTGAGCAAACAGGTAACGTCATCGCTTTCAAAGCAAAAAATGGCCCAGATTGTATCAAAAAGAGCAGAACCCATCGAAACGAACATTTTTCGTGCCGATTTTGGTCAAAGATTAAGTTGAAAAAGATTCTTATCTTTTTTCATTGTCTGATTTAACCGAGTCGTTTTTTCAGGATTGGAAAATCCCTGCGGACAGACCAGGAAACGTCCAATTCTCAAAAACGAGACTAGGAGCCCCATTGCCAGCAAATTCGATTCCAATGCAACAATCGTGTGTTTTGCCGGCGTTTTACTCCACACTGCAGCTAAAGAGGTGCGTAAATCCAAGCGGCCTCGCATCGAGCTTTTGCCCTTCCGAAAAAGGACAGCAGTAGTATAAGAGAGGAAGGCGAAATCTCTTTTTCGTCCCAAAGTTTTTGCAGCATCGCCTCAATGAACTACGTCGCCTAAAAAGGCCCGTTTAAATCAATATAACGTGTTTCTTTCAAGTGCCATCGCGTCGGAAGTGCGAGGAAATTGACTTATAACAGTGAAGAGAACTTTTACACAAATAATACATCTAACTGCCCCTCGAAACTTTAAGAAGCTCAAGTAGGCCGGCGTGCTTACAATAAATTAAGTCTGGCAGTCATCAAAGAGAAAAAAAAAACATCTAGCGTGCTTGGGTCCGATCATGCGTGTCTTCAAAAACTAGCCGAGGGTCACTCTCCCCGCGTCGCAAATCAACTTATAGCCAATTCACACAAGCTAGTAGATCATCATCGCCGCTCTTCTTCCTCGAAATTGTCTACTTCTACTTCTCACCGGGCAGCAAAAAGCTATTTGCGCGAGATGAAGCTCTACGAAGCGAGGAAATGGACAAATAGATGGACCTACGCGAGAAGTTTCGTTTTTGGTGTACACTTTGCGAAGAATTTCACGCCGAGCTCGAGATTTCAGTCCAAAATATCCGCTTCCGTTTACACCATTATGAAGTGGGTTGAAAAAAAGAAGTTTTTTCGGTCCCCATCAACTCGTTCTTCACCTTCCCAGTGGGACACTAAAGTTGTCAAAGCGCTCAAGGTTGCTTTCGGATTAAAAATCATGGGAAAACCATGTCTTCACATAAAAGAAGTCAACCTATATGCAAATGAGAGTCCAGCGTCTGCGTTATACGAGACCTAGGGAACGCCTTGGGTTCTTCAAACGAGAGCCTCAAAAAGAGCAGGAGAAATAGCGGAGAGCACTGGACACACACAGACCGGCGACTCCTAAGAAGACCTTGAACGAGCCTTAATGGCACCTCCGCTCGTTGACGTTTTCGGCAGAAGGACACACAGGTCACGTCGGCTCCTGCCAGTCGGCTCCATTCGTTTCCGGATCACTTATTGTCATTTTTTCCGAACGGCATTCCTTTTTTATACAGTTTTCCGACAGATCCGTCAAATTTTGCGAAAAAGAAGCTATAAAAGTCCTTTTTTAAAAACTAAGATTAGTGAAAAAATGGAAGTAACAAAGAGATTCGAAAAATGACGTTTGATTAATCCAAAATGATTGAAAGCTAAAAAGAATTGAAAAGGTTTGCTCATTGAAAACCAAACAAGTCTCAGAATCATAACCACAACGATATCCCTTTCATATCCAAACCGCCAGACGATTTATACGATATACCGGCACGAGGTCATCGGCCGGCCGCACGTCTTTCTATACATTGAGCACACAAAAGCTCACAAAACGGAGCTCTCTCCGCGCATATGCATATACCAACAGAATGAGCTTTCTCCCGCACAATCAAATGTCACAAAATGATCCGTCAGAGGATTTACGAGCGCGAAGAAAGGACAAAAAAAAACCTATGAATACTCAAATCTCCTTACTCGCTGAAATCATCACCAATAGAAGAGAGGGTGAAAAGGTTAACTCATTGATCATCACATATCTCAAAAAAACGATTAAAAACCCACGAAAAAAAGACTTCTCGTATTTCCCATAAAATAGCAGTTCTCAAAAGTTGGGTCGGAAAAAAAGCACAGCAAAAATTGAATATTTTCTATATGAAAAAAAAAACTCACGTAAAGTTGTACATTGGATTGCTAGGATCGTGGGCCTTGAACGTGTCTAGCACAGTTCCGACCGGCGTGTCTTCGCTGATATTCTTCATGACGAAGACGTGAATATCCCTGGCGCGGACGCCGCCGATCAGAGACGAAAACCGCGACTTAGCCACGGATTGCTCGAGGCCGAAAGGCAGCGACAAATCGCCAAAAGCCGTTGCAGGCACCACAAGAACTAGCGCCACCGCCAGCCAGAGCCCCCACTTTGAAAGCCCCTCACCTGGTCGTGTCGTTGGCGTCGCGATCCGTCGCCGTGTACTTGGCGACAACGTGGCCTGGAAGGACGTCTTCGCGAATGTTGAGCTCGCTGACGCCGTGAATCGTCGGCGCGTGGTCATTTCTGTCGAGGAGTCGCACGCGCACGTCAGCTTCGGCGTCGTGTCGTCCATCGCTGACGCGAACACGCAAGTTGGAGCCGTCGCGTTGGCTTGCGTCTTCGTAGTCGAGTTGCTGCAAGTCGTCCGTCCTCCAGAACGCTTTGAGGGGCTTGGGGGACTCTTTTGGCAATGGCTTTTTGTTCTTTTTTCGCTGTTTTCTTATGGTCTTTTTCGCGGTTTTAATGGGTGGTGCACTGATTTTGCCGGCTGTTTCGCACCACGAGTGTCGGAGCACTGTAATGAAGCTGATTTGTAACTCAATAAATCTCAAAAAAGCGAAAAAAAATTGGATACGAAAAGGCCACACAAATGATAGTAGAAGAGGGCAAATGAGGCGTCCAACCAGAAATTTCACTGAATAAATCATTGCCAACGAAAAAAAAATTGAAACGATTTCCTTCTATTTCTAAAGAAAAGTTGAACTCGATTAGATAAGAAAGAACATATTAGTTTAAACACAAAATTTTCAAGAAAAAATTGCATAAACGCTCACCGATTTTTTTTTGTTTTTCATCAACACAATCATTAGCAAAAAGAAAATGAAGCAAAATCAACAAATAACGCACTAGATTTCAAATGAAAGAGTTTGAGACGCACATTTTCATTTTTTTCGATAAGAAAAAAAGAATATAAAATTAAATTCAAAATATGGAACCCCTTTTTCACGGAACGAACAAAAAAATGTTTTGTTCGAGCAAAAAAGCAAGGTGCGCAAAGCAATGAACTTCGAAATCCTAGTTTAAAATATAGCTATTTCCTCCTGCCAATGCAATAAAATAAAGTGGCAAAAATTGCGCCAAAAACTAGTGTATGAATAAATTTAGAAGCTTGTTTCTCTCAATCTGTTTCTTTATTTGGACGATCTTTTCGCATGAGGGTCTCATAAATAAACAAATTCGAGAAGATAAAATTGAGAAGAAAATCAATATCAATGAGAAAAGAAGTATACATTATTGAAAAAAGGATCGAAAACGATAAACGAGGATAAAATTCATAGAAGGAAAAGATGAGGCGTCAGATAAAATGCGTATGGTTCTATGAAGCGGTGTTTGCACATGCGCACTTCTACAGTAGCTCCATGATGAAAAAGATCAAATTAGTTCAAACTCGTAGTTTAAAAGCTTTAAATGCTATCTTTAGAATGACTTTTAACTGAAGTCTATGGAGGCCACGTTATAAAAGATAAAAGAATGAAGAGAGCTCCGGAAATCCGCTGTTGCAAAAGTCAAAATCTATAAAAATTATTCAGTGGCCAAACTTGGGAGAACCAGGATTCAACTGAACGGCTTAAACGTGCAAATGACCTGAAAATTGCTCCAATTTCCTGCGCGTTCAAAGCCGTCCAGCTCTCGATTCGGAACTACTAAATACGCTCCGACGACTACAAGTGCGTTGGGATTTCCTCCTGGCACGACTTCTTCACACAAAATGAATGTGCGAGTGTGAATGCGTAGAAGTATATTTCCTAGGAGGCGTTTTGCCGCCGGCATTTTGCGGAAAAAGAAGAAAGATATTTTTTAATGAAAGAACTTTTGCCGATACCTTTGAAGATTTGGAAGTAAACAGTTAGAAAAGGTTTGGATGTTTTTTTCTTTTGGCAGAACGTTTGTTTAAGAATGAGAAACGGCGGGGCTTTCACTTTTTTACGCATTAGCTCTTAAATCAGCGCCCAAAACCAGATGAGTTGTTGCAAAAAAGTGAATGGCGCCGTTGCTTTTCCTTTTTTTTTCAAATCGAAAGCTTCTCGTGACTGACAAAGCGAGGAATAAGCTCAATCGAGTGACGTAATTTGATTGGAGTTTCGATTTTGAGGTGAATGAGTCATTTTTCGAGTTTCAAGGTCGAAATGGGCGATAAAAATCTTTTCAATAAAGGATGAAGGCCGATTTGGAAAACTGAAAAACTGCGGAAGAGAAGATTTTGAAAAATTTGTATTTCAAAAATAGAAATATCGGAACAAACTAATATTTTTTTTATTTAAAGGAATTTCGTACACTTAATAGCTTTTGTTCCTTAAAAAAAGAGTTAAAATCGAACTAAAAACGTCGTTGGGAACGAATCTCGCTTATCGCTTGATAACGCAGTGTAATGTAAACGCAACACGAGGCCTAGATGTTGCGAAAAAAAAAATCATCGTCTTTTTTTAATATTTAAAAAAAAAAAATAGGAGACAAGAATATGAAAAGAGACAAATTGCGCGGTTAATCCCTCCGTGGAAATGTGATACGGATAAAGGAGAAGCTTGCAAATGCAACCAAGCAAAAAAGCTAAGAAATAAAATTCATCTATTGAAAAAATAACATACTCCGCTCGAGGTTGCGACTAAACTTCTGGATTTGAGTAAATAGGGTGAGTAAATAGAACAAAAAAAAACAAGTACAAGGTCAGATCATGAAAAAATGTCCTCGAAAACTTCTAGGAACGCTAAAAACCCAAAATAGCTGCACTGAAGCCGTTGGAAAGAAAAAAAAACTGAAAAAAACGGCTAGTTGAGTAGGAAAAGAACGAGATGGAGAGAACATGACGATGGCGAGGGCATGAAAGAGAAGAAAGTGGGCGGAGCGGCGAGAGAGTGACGAGAGAGCGTCCGTCGACGTAGGATGCGCAGAGAGGCTAGAGTCGGTCCGATTGACCACGCCTCCAGGTGCACCACAACACCTTCGGCCCTTCGGTAGAGACACCAGATATCGGGCCGTTGGAGGTCATCAAAGTATTATGCGAGGACGCGCCATCATTCATCCGACAAATTGCGCTGGAGCAAACAATCTTTGTACAAAAAACGTTTCTTTCATGAACCAAAAAAAGCCAACAGAGAGCTGAGCAGAAAATAAAGTCAAAAGATGAATATTTTTCCATTTATTCTGATGTCCTACGAAACAAGCTGACAAAGGAGGTCTCACTTCAAATTCAAAAAATATATTCTTGGCTAAAAATGAATGAAAATCTAAAGTCAGAAACTACAAGAAGAAGCTTTACTTTTCACAAAGCTAAAAAAAAAGTGAAAAGAAAGCTCAAAACTTTGCTCGAAAACAGAACTATGAGTTTGCTAGGCTTTTCAACCAAAGTAAATTTCGTTTTGGAAAAGCGAGACTAAAAAGCTTACTATATTTCGATGATTCGCTTCAAAGACGTGGAAATAAAATTATTATTTGAAAAAAATGGCTGGATAAAATCAACGACCGAACGGTGATAAAATGGAGATTGATCGTCAAAAAAAAATCCCAAAAAAGTGAAAATTGAAACTAGGACTTTTTCTTCCCACCAATTTCTTCAAAGCATCAACTTTCGAGGATTTTCGGAGAATTATAAGAGATTACAAACATTTTTCCAGAATTCCTTTAGAGGAATACTATCGAATGGGGTCTTATCGGCATCCAAGAAATCTTCGGATCGCGCTAGCCTGTTTCCTGCCCCAGAAGGTGACAGATTTTATGCGGCGAACGATTCCGCTTGAGAAATATGCAAATCATGACTCATTGCTGTTTGAATTCCTCGTTTTTTTCAAGGTATTATTGAATTTGCGGAAATTTTCGTCGAGTAAAGTTTAAAAGAAGAGAAAAGTTATGAAAGAGGTGTGAAAACAGACGAAACTCCAGCGGACCGAACAAAAAGGCACACAAAAATAGTATTCTCTTTGAAATCCCCGCGCAGAGCACTCAAGAGCCTTTGAAGCTTGAATCGACACAAAACAGAACGAGAAAAAAAAAACGGCTGAAATGTTTTGAGGTCAATAGATTCCAGGGATCATCTTTTAAATGAAATATCAAAAGAAGAACATTTTTCTCAACATTGAGAAAAATTTGATACGACTGAGAAAAAAAGTGTTACCAAGAAAAAAAAATTTTTTCAAAACATGTTCTTTTCTCAAAAAACTTCTCCAAGTCAATTTTGATCGTTTACTAGAATCGTGTTGAAAATTCTATTTGTCGATTAAAAAAAGTTGTAGGCGGGAAAAAAAGAGGTGCGGAAAGTGGAGAAGGCGCTCAAAAAACAATGACCGGCGGGATGAGTGCCAAAATAGTTTTATTGAATTCTGGTCGAAGCCTTTTTTAGTAGCAAAAGCTGAGATACACGGGATTTTCGAGAAAAAAAAGCAATTTCAACGTTTTTTTGAAGAAGTTTCGATGGTGCGCACATAAATTAGGTTTAACTTCCGTGAAAAACTCTGAAAGTTCGAACTTCAAAGACGAAAATGTTCTTTGAATAATAGCCAAAGCCTTTACGAGACTAGAAGTTGAAAATTGTAAAATCAGAAGGGGTTTATTGGTGTTCTAATAAATCATCTGAGATAGTACAAAGTAAACGTGATACAAAACTCCCGTCAAACGTTTAAAACGCGCTCCAATTCTCCTTGAAGACCCAATGATGGTCGTTTCTTGGCACGAACTAGAGCGGAAAGAGTAACCAACGCGAAAAGGTGATGCTCAATGGAAGATGGAGGTGGTCACTCGAGGAGGCGCCACTTGGCCCAAAAAGGGTCGGAGCATGACTGGAGCAGCCTCTTCAAGAGCCGCGGCTTAGAAAGAACATCTCGTCGCGCGCTTTTTGTGCTCTTTTCAGGAGGAAAAAAAAAAGGAAAAGAGCCGCCGCTTCTGCCTCATGCAATAACTCAAGTACGTCTTCCTAGTTTTTGTGTAGAAGAACGCCGTGCGGGGAGTTATGCCGAACAAAAACTGACGTTTTGTCTTCGGAAATTGCAACTAATTTGTTCCGCCGTTGGTCTTGGAGAAAACGAGAAAAAAGTATGAGAGCCATGTACTTTGAAAAAAATTCTGTTTGAAAAACCAATGAGTTCATTCATGAGCTCTCATTCGAAGAAAAAAATAATATATCGGACGTTTTTTGTCGAACTCAGTAAAAGTAATATTTACGGAGCCATCTCAAAAAAAAAACCTCTTTTTCTTTCAGTTACTTAAATAGACCAAAGAACGAAACTAAAAAAAAATATTTTCAAGAGTCAAAGTTGTAAATTGGATGGAAAAGATTCGCTTCGAATGAAATTCATTTATAAACTACTGAGTGTTCATTCCAAAAAAAAGCAGCATTTTTTTGATCTAAAAAAATTTTTGTTCAATGAATACTGATTGCGTTTTTTTGTTAAAAAAATTGCAGTTATTTTTGTACTCCAAATTTTTTTGAAATAAGACCTTTCTGTTTTTTTAAAGAAGAAACTTTCAGGAAAAACGTCGCTGATGGAATGAAGGTTGTAAAAAAATGTTCGGAAAAATAAAAAAATAGCTTATTCTGATATAGAAAAAGTAAAAAAATTGTGTCAAAAGCTAGGGCAGAAGAAGAGGACAAGGAGGATTTCGTGGGACCGGAAATAATAAACAAATCGCTGCGAGACCCTTACTATGCGCGTAAACCGAGTGCCCAGAGGCTGCTTGCAAAATATAATCTATCGTTTACAACGTCCTCTCAGAACGGCCGCACTTTCCTTCCTTCTTCCATCTGACAAAGAAAATCATCATGCGCCTGGAATTGGATGTGAATATTCCTACGAGTTCCGTTACGAGCGAGGAGATCTACGACAATGGGATATGCGCCAATAAAACTTCAAGGCAAAATGGATGCTTCCCGGGAAAACGAAGGAAGATGAAAATTCGTATATTTTGATGCAAGGCATTTTAACGAAACAATTTTTGGATAATTTTTCGAAATTCTACTGTGAAACAATTTCTCTCAAAAACAGCTTTCGATTCTGAATATGGAGAATAAACTCGAAATCGATGAGTCCTGAAAAGAGTACAGAAAAGTCGATGCGCACAAAACGGAGAGGCCTGCTGTTAAAGTCTGAGTCACATTCGCGTTATCAACAGTCACCGCCCACACGATTTCAAACGTTCCAGTGTTATCGATGAATCGTAAGTTATGAGCTCAAGATATAATACCGAAGTAGTGAAGAAAAGTTCGTGATATGAAATTTTACCTTTAGCAATATAGATTATTCTACTTGGCTCTGAAATTTTTTCAAACGTTTACAAGAACTACTTTCAAATGAAGGTTTTCTTTTTTTTTCCCCTGATAAATTAATCTGAAACACAACTGTTGCGCTTATCTTCTAATGCATCAAGTGTATTGCATATAGAACAGTAGAGGTCACGGGAAAAAAATTTTCAAATAATTTTCCGTTCTTTCCTTTAAGTTTTTTTTCAAAAACTTTTCGAAGACTCTATGAACTGGAAATTGACATTTTTTGAGATTTTTTTATACGAAAATTGCTTCTTAAATGTTGGCATCAGCCACAAATTGTCGCTTTCAAATTCCTTGTGAGGAAAAAAAGCGGGCGGTCACAACAAATAATTGAGGAGGAAGAGCTGTCTTTTGACGCCGGCCATCCGTCCGTGTCCACTCGAAAATTGGACGAAACGGCTAGATGGACAAGTTAGGCAGCGGTAAAAGTCAAGAAAAAGAAGAAGAAACGGCGTCGGACAGAAGCAAAACACGTGCCGCCGGTCCAGGAGTTGTTGGTTTGGCTTGGAACCTGTTTGGCCTGTGGAAAGGCTATGTAATGCTAGGGCTCGATTTTGAAAAAAATCGGGACACTAAGCAGAAAAACCGCTGTCATGTTTTGTTCCTGCTTTACTAAAAACTAAAATTTTAAGTAACTGGAACTTGAGAGAAAAAAAAATGAGAAAATGAAAATTTTGAATGCATCAGTCATACTTTTTTGGGATTATCAATGAAGCGAAAACTTCCAGTTGGTCAACTTTTTCCCAGCTCGTAAACCCTCGGCCTTTCAAAACTTTCTCATAAAAGGAGTTGACCGTCTTCAAAAGATCTACCGCCTCTCAGCACGCTCCATAAAACTTTAAAGTCGGAGTAAAATCCTCCTTCAAAACATATAGTTTGTCGTTGAAAGTGGAAGATAAGCCGGAGGGAAAAAGGCCGCGCAAATTGCCCAACATTTAGCAACTCCTTTTGCGTCCATTCAGAGGCTGACCTCATAACTCAGCGTCGACAGTCGACATTTAGATATTACTGCGAAGATGAAGAAGAAAAAGCGTCCGGCCGAGCAATTAACAAAAATTTTGTGACCAAAGTTCTTCACCGTTTCAACCTCGATTCTCGGAAAAAAAAAAACCGGTGCCGACAAAGACGACAGTTGGTGGCGAACCAAAAGGCAATCACAAGTGTGAGAAATATCGCTTTTTTGCATCGAGATCGTTGAAAAGAGACCGCCGCCGTGCTATAAAACTGCACGGAGGAGCTGATAGATTGTCACCAATTAATGGGGTTCTCGAGTAGCTCGTTCGATCGGGACGAAATGAGGTTGGCGCCAGGTCGAGGAAAAGTGATTATATAATGAGTTGACCTGGTAGTTTGAAAAAAAAAACCACAGCATTGAAGGAAATTGGCCGGAGTAAATCTATAAAAGTTCGAAATCATGAACTTCATTGATTCCAGAAGATCTGGACCTGATTAATGGCTGCTTCATGAGGTGTTTGAAAAAATATTAAAAAATCTCATATAATACATACAGCTCGGGAAAATCTTTTCGGTTATAATTGAGCTATAAAATCTTCTTGTCTTCAGACCAAATTTGCAAGAAATAGATCTTACTGGAAAGAAGGCTCAAGAAAATTAACTTTTCGATCAGGAGCTAAATGATAAAACTACCACTTTTGTCAGTTTTTAAAATTTCAATGTGTTCCGTTGTCAATTAACCGCTGTGCAAACAATCCTCGATTCAGAAAGAATGTTACTTTTCAAGAATGTTGCAACGCCCAAGAAAGGAT